GGGGAGGAAGGGGAAAAGGGGATGGGAACTTGGGCGTCAAAGAACGGGAAAGGGGTGTTGAAGTGGCTAACATGAACCGTTGATAACAGATGCAATTTTGCGCTGTCACTGCCGCCCTTGTCATCGGAGCCACGGCCGAACGGGGCCGCGTCGTTCCCGCCATGGTTTTCACCTTTTTCTGGGCCACAATCGTCTACTGCCCGGTCGCATACTGGGCTTGGGGTGCCAATGGATGGGCCTTCCAATACGGTGTTCTCGACTACGCCGGCGGCGGTCCCGTCGAAATCGGATCCGGTGTCTCGGCCTTGGCCTACTCTTGGGTCCTTGGTCGCCGCAATGAGAAGATGATGCTCAACTTCCGGCCGCACAACATCTCGCTGATTACGCTTGGGACGATTCTTCTGTGGTTCGGTTGGCTCGGCTTCAACGGCGGTTCTGCGTTCGGTGCTAACCTTCGTGCGACAATGGCCTGCTGGAACAGCTGCCTGACCGCGATGTTCGCCGCGATGACCTGGTGCCTTCTCGATTTCCGCCTGGCTAAGAAGTGGTCTCTTGTCGGCTGGTGCTCAGGCACCATTTCTGGCCTCGTTGCTGCTACACCGGCCTCGGGTGTGATCACCCCCTGGGCTAGCATCATCCTTGGTGTGGTTGCGGGTATCGCCTGTAACTTCGGTACCAAGGTCAAGTTCATGATTGGTATTGATGACGCCCTCGATGTGTTCGCTGAACACGCGGTTGGTGGAATCGTCGGCTTGATTTTCAACGGTTTCTTCGCGGCCGACTACATCATCGGGTTGGATGGCGTCAACATGGGGGCCGCCGGCGGTTTCCTCAACCATCACTACCGCCAACTTTACGTGCAGATCGCTTATGTCGTTGCGACGTGTGCCTACACTTTTGTGATGTCCGCCATCCTCGCCAAGGTGATCGACCTCATCCCCGGCTTACACCTACGCGCTTCGTCCGACGCTGAGCTTCTTGGCATGGATGACGACCAGCACGGCGAGTTCGCTTATGACTATGTCGAGGTATGTTACTGTCTACTGACTACACTGGCTACCATCTGGGATGCTAACCATATTTTTTTGGTTCTGCAGGTTCGCCGTGACTACCTCGCCTGGACACCCGCCGAACGAGACCCCAAGGAGGATGGTGTGGTGGTCGTGCCCCAACACGGCATCGCCGGTCACCAGGACATGGTCGACAGTGCAAGATTGCGTGGACCTGGTAGTTCCTCGGAGAAGGGCGGAAGTAGCGCGCCCGTCACTCCACCGCCAGAGCCAGAGATGTCGAGCAAGCCGGTTGTGCCAGAAACGATCAATGAAAAGCCCAACGAGGCAACCCAATAGTACACTTGCTGTAATGCTATTTTCTTTTCCTTTTTCGGTTGGCTAGATTGGCTTTGGTCTGAGCGTGTTAACGGGGCAAATCTGGGAACTCGGGATTGGGGTCGATCCCTGGCGCTGGAGTTTTGGGTTTCGTCTTTTTTTCCGTTTTTTCTCCTGTTTTGCATGTGGGACGACTATACTCGTTGGCTGAGGGAACGGTTTGCAATGAGACACAAAAAAGGCGCGAGCCGCCTGCTCTGGTGGGACGCTTGGGTTATCACTGTCTTGTCAGAGGCTTGCTGGTGTCCTGTTTTTCTTTTCTCTTCTTCACTTTCTGTCTATTTCTTTTTTTTGGGTTATCTGCGCTGGCATGTCGTTGTATAATACCCCTGGTTGCTACCACCGCATATCCTACTTTTATTCGCAAATTCGAAAAGAGCGATGCTAGATTTGTGAATAATTCCGGACGCCAGGAACTCCCTGAATGCCGCCGAAGTGACCGAAATCGGAGAGTCAGCGTCGCCCGATAAGCCGTTCGTCCGTATCACCATTCCGGGATGACCGCTTAACCCGAGTTCTGCTCAAACCGTCTAGTGTTCGTGACGGGTAGAGAAAGAGATGAGCAAACGCGTCCGTCCTCCAATGACGACAACTAGCAAAGTCACGAGACGAACCAGGAACAGATTTGGAGAGTAGGATAGCCGCGTTGCAATGCCGCCCCCCTCCGTTCTCCTCCCGGGAATAATGCAAGCTCAAGCAGTGGGATTCCCAAGCGGGTGGGATGACAGGGGCTGCAATCGGACTTGCAGCTCTCGGGTCCTCTCTCACGAGATACACGAGAATGATGAGCATGATCCTGTCTGGCCTTTGCCCTCTCGCTTCACTAGTCCGGTGGGCCGGATCGGGGTTCTGGAGACGTGTGGAGCCGATGCAGGGCCAAAAACGACCTGGGCAAGCTGGGCACGCCGCATGTGGGGGTCGTATTTCCCGGAGAATTCAATGTGGCCAAGACGGGGGTGAACACGGAAGAAACGGGCGCCAAGACGGAGGGCCAAGACGGAGGGCCAAGACGGAGGGCCAAGACGGAGGAGAACGGAAGACGTGGGGGGCGGTCGTTACAGGCTCGGGAAAGAACGGCGGAGAATTAACGGTGGCTGGTGTAGCTTCTAATGTCGTGCATGTTGGAGAAAAGGGTGATGACCCGAATTCCCCCGTCCTCGGATCCCCACCGAAAGAGCTCTCCGCCGGAGCCGGCTTTCCATCTGCTCACTAGCCCTCCGTCGTGTCGCGGAGCGCGTGCCTCGCGGGTTTGGGCTATTGTGGTTCAGATCAGCGCCGGGTGAGAGGTAGTGTAGTGTAGATGGGATCTCTCTTCTGTCGAGAGGAGATAGTTCGTGCAACGCCTTCCAGTGCTTCAGGTGGCAGTTGAGGTGTGGGGGTCAAAAGTGAACTGAGACCACCGGGAGATCGATGACAAGGTTCGCCGACTGGCCTAGCCGGGGTAAGGCTGAGATCAACACCCGCTAAAACATGGTAGCTGCGAGATCGCTCCGAGAGAGCCAGGTGGAGGTCACCAGAAGACCGCCGTTAACAGTTCTTGCCCCATCAGTCAGTCAAGTCCCCCTTCCCGAGATAAATAGTTGCTCTCCAAAGTCGGGTAGCTCTCCTCCGTTCAGACCGATGACATCACAATAAATCAACTAAAATTCATCGGCGTAGAAGAACAGAGCGTGACCAAACGCCGAGCTCCGAACTCCGGGTGCCTGGTGGTTATTGGGCACTGGTATCATGACGGAGGATGTCGTGATCACGCTACTGCGGTAGGCAAAATATTTAGAAGCAATAGGAATCTCCGGTGAGGTAGGGAAATACATAGTATAACACCACCCAGATTGAAGCCGGACGCGGTTAGCAGATGGGACCGGCCGTTCCATCCGCCCACTCACATTTTCGATCTTGTCATCCACCATGTTGGTGCGTATCCCAGTGCTGAGTGGGGTAACTATGCACCAACCACCCTCCTCCTGTGGTATGCGTCTGATGTCTTAGACGAGGCTGGTCACGGAGACTGAGTCGGCGACGGCCCACAGAGGGGTCCTTCGGAACGCCGGGTTTTCAGATATCGACGTCGATTAACTATTTAGTTTGTTGCGGCAGCCGAAGCCTGTGCAAATGGGCCCTGCCATGATGCGGCCAAACTTACGACGACTGCGCCAAAGCGCAGTTGACAGAACAGGATGCTCACTTGGGCAGTTCAGCATGGCCCCTATGCAACGGCGGGCGGTTAAGCATCAGCCATCTTTAAGCATCAGCCATCTTTAATCTTTGTTCTGACGTTAGATGGTTGGCGGGCGTGGCATTTTGGCCGAGCCCGGACGAACACCATGCCGAGGAAGCGCTCAGTTTGGCGGGGCGTTTGAGTGTTAACTAGGTAGCGTAGGCTGCTGTTGGTTGTGGACCGGAAGGGACCTGGAGCGCCAACGGGCAGTTGGTTTATGCTGGAGAAAACCTGTGCGACGAAGGTAGATATGGTAGATGTTTGCTTAATCGATCGCATAATGCTTTGCGATAATCCCGTGGATGACGGTGGATGAAGAACAGCTCAGGCCAACCGAGGCAACGGTTGGTGCCCGGTTGGCGCAAGTCGTCGAGAGCTGTCTCGCTGTCCGTGTGGGGAAAGGGGGCCTTGTAATCCTAATACAAGGCGGACCTGTAATTATGTGTATTAACAAAAAATACTCTGTACGTTTAGCGAAGCGGCTGCCAGCCTTTTTATCTCATCAATTATCATCTCATCTAGCCCCAACCCAAACCTACACTAGGCCCCAAGCCTGGGCATTGGATTTAAAGTCAGCCGGTTTTACGGCCTGCCACGTGGGCACGACGAACACAGCCCGGGCCGCCCAGGACTGTTGCCTCGATGGTTGGCGTGTGATGACACCCAATTTACGCGCCATGCGACAAGCCTCGGCCAAAGTTGGTTGTGTGCGGCTGGCGTGCCATCGCGTGCATCCATCATCCATCGGGGTCGGCTGCAGAGCTCTCGAAGACATCAACGCGAACCCAACTTTATCCTTAATACCACGATGTTTCTTTTGCTGCACTAACCATGATATTTTCCTTCAACTCCCTGCTTACCGAGATCCACTAAGCAGCTGAGGCTCATTCCACTTGTTGTTTCGCCAACGGCTTTCTTAATCCCCACCTGAGCAGGTGCAACTCAGCTTGTGTCCAAGTCCATCGGGCTCCCTGTTGAACCTCTCTCGGCCCCACCCTCATCTTACAACACTGCATTGTCGGACCATGAGCTTCTTCAACCGCCTGGGCCTGGGCTCCCAGGCCGAGGGCGACAACACCGGGCTCGTAGTTGCGAGCACTGCGATTGCAACAACCGTCGTGGTGACACTTCTCCGCAGATATCTGTGGCCGACCCAACCCAAGGTCCTCAACTCTCCACTACGAACTGTCGTTTCAGTCCTCTCACAGGATAAGTTCAACGAGCTCGCCTATAAGCCTGACAACTTCCCGGGCGCTCGGGATGTGGAGACTCCTGTAAGGCGATGTCGCTGTGTTCCTTCACTCCAGAACTGGTTCTTACTAACATGGCCCGTAGTACGGTTCTGTGCGCGTCTACGAATGGGGGCCCCCAGACGGCGAAAAGGTGGTCTTGGTCCATGGCATCAGCACTTCATGCATGACCCTGACCAAGTTGGCGAACGCCTTGGTGGAGGAGAAGGGGTGTCGCGTCATGCTTTTCGATCTCTTTGGTCGCGGCTACTCGGACAACCCATCGGACCTCCCCCATGACGACCGGCTCTACACCACGCAGATTCTCATCGCCTTGGCTTCATCCCCGGACCTCTCCTGGACCGGGCCGCATGCATTCCGAATGGTTGGCTACTCCCTCGGCGGCGGCATCGCTGTGAACTTTGCAACCTCGTTCCCGCACCTCGTCTCATCGCTCGTCCTGCTCGCGCCCGCGGGTCTCATTCGACCAGCATCCTTCGGCGTCCTCACCCGCGCCATTTTCACCTCCGGCATCATCCCACCCCGCATCTTGACCTGGATTCTTCGCAAGCGTCTCAAGAAACCCATCCGCTCGAGCGGAAAGCGCGGTCGCAATCACAAGGCCGCCGTGAACCCCAATTCGGCCCCGCACAACCCGGACCCAGAATCGACAACGACCGCGAAGCCCGACCCGGTGGCCGGCGCTCTCGCCGAGACGGCACCCCTCCTCGACAACGACGCCGTCGACTTTACCGGTGAGCCGCGTAACGCTCTCGAGAAACGGGTGCTGCGCGGCGTACACTGGCAGTTGGCGAACCACGTAGGATTTGTCCCGGCCTTCATGTCTTGCATCCGCTACGCGCCGATGTTGGGGCAACAAGCCGCGTGGGCGCGGTTGGCCGAGCGGGCGCCGGGCACTACAGCTATTATACTCGGCGATGGCGACGAGATCATCGATCCGGAGGAGTACGCTACGGACGCCCTGCCGTTGGTGGGCGGTGCTGGTCGGGTGCACTGGACAATGGTACCGGGCGGCCATGATTTCCCCATGACGTTTGCGAGGGAGACGCTGGTGGAGATATACAAGGCATGGGGTTGGTAATGAGCTAATCTTTTATATTGACTACCCTTTTTTCCCCCCAGTTCTGTTTCGTCCTTTTTTTTCAGTCTCTCTTAGCTCGCGGTTTAGAAGGTAAATGCTGTTTGAAGGTCTGTGACATTGTGCGAAGGAGTGACGAGTTCCCGGCGAGCGTGTCATCCCTACATACCTACAGATAGAAGAGGGGAAGCCGCTAGAACAAATGAACAAGCGATTTAGCAAAGCGAGTCCGCAAATACCACATCTTCGTGTCTCGTTTTCCATTCGTTTGTTGTGTTTCTATGTAGAAGTTGACCCACGCACATTTACCCAAAAATAAACGGCAAAACTGAATAGTTTGGTAGTAGTAAAACCCACATAGATCAAAGATGCCGCGCGGCCGTCGCCAAAAGCTACACGGCGTAAATGCACTAGATCATAGGGTATCATCAAGTCTACGAGCCAACTCGCCACCGCCTTAACCAAGCCCCTTTTTTTGTCTACGTCCTTCGCGCCCCAGACCAGATGGAAAGTGTTGCACCCAATGTGCCTGGGATGCCTCATAATCTGGTTCGGAGGACCATTTATCCCTCGGCATCGACAAAGTTGTTTTCTGATACCATCGAGTCCGTTCGTTTCGTGCTATTTGGCAAGTCCTTCTTCATGTCGCCGTGGAAGTCGATCAAAGGGCCGCCCTGGGCCCGCTTGCCGGTCGAGGCGAGAAGTTCCTGAACCTCAGCCGTACTACTGTGTGCGGGATCGAGCGGAGGTCGGCTCTCATTCGAAGGTTGCGCCCCCTCCCCCGACGGAAATTGATGGGGCGTCGAGCTCTCGTTAGCAGAGTCTGTCAAGGTTCCTTCGCCGTTGTGAGAATCTTTGGACGAAGCGGATGCCTCTGAGTGCGAGGCCCTAGGGGGAATTACGTTTTCCTGTTTGGGTTTCTGCCCCTTGATGACTGGATAAATGGCCATGATTTGCTTGGCCTGGGCCTCCGGCGTAGCTCCGTCTCTGTCATAAAGTCAGCACCTTCTGATTTCTAACGAGGAAACGTTTAGGAAGGCTGTTCTCGAACATTGTAGCGTTAATGATCCACTCAAGATCTTCCTCACCCTCCTCTGGGCCGCCGGGACCGCCCTTTACCGGCCGGAACAGTCTGGGATGCCATTCCACACCGTCGTTGACCCGCTTTGCGGCTTCTTCTCGCTGTGCCTCTTCTATTTTCGTTTTCTCCTCCGTCGCAAGTTCATGGTTTCGGTCTTTAACAGCTTGCGCGGTTTTGGCCCATAGTCGTTGTGATTCTCGAGCCTCTTGCTCATCTAGGGGTCGGGAAATTGGGGGACTTGGTTTCGATCGTAACGCATTAAAGAACATATCCCTTTGTCCCGTCTGGCTCTATGTTAGTTCCACAATATGGCCGGAAAATGAGGGGGGAAAGAGGGGGGACGGCGGCCTACCTTAACGTCTTTGAGGAACATTTCCTCGTTCCACAGTCCTGAGAGCTCGTAGAGAATCTCGCCCGTGTGGTCGTTCTTGATTACACCTCCGATGGCATTGTAGGTCCCACTAACCCACCCTTTGGTCTTGAATTCGATATCCGCTGACAATCCTGTCTCCGGGCACTTTACATAGCTGTGATCTCCTAGCTCGTACTTCATTTTGCCAAAGAGAATGCCTCGGGCGTACATGTTGGGTTGCGTGAGAGAGCTGTCCCACAGACAGTTAGTAGCCATAAAGTAGAACCGCCTTCCATTCTGGACTGGAACGCTCACTATCGCTCGCCCTTTGACGGATCCGCACCCCGATTTAAGAGGGACAAAAAAGCGGTGCCTTCCATCAAGCTTGCTGCCGAGTTCCCCAAGAATCTACTCCTTGGTTGGAGTGTCCCATCCACTCTAATGTTGTGACCTGGAACCATGTAGAAATAGCTCGACTTCGGGGGGTGATGGGAGGTCTGTTCGGAGATGTAGTAGCCTCGGGTCTTGTCGGGGAAGTCCCAGTAACAAGTGAATATTTCGCCGAGGACGGGGTTCAGCGGTTTCTTGACCCCTCTGCGCGGTATTAGTAACTGGTCCTGGGGCCAAGGGCGGAACAACCTACGGGGGGCGGATATGCCAGCCGCTAAGGTAAAACTTCACCACGGCAACAAATCGTTCTACGGGGTCGTCGATTTCGGGAATCGGCAAGAGCATCTCGGGGTGGCACATGAAGCTATTTGTGGTTCGTCAGCCCCGCTCAACACTAGTCCTAGGAACGCCCGAAGACCCGATGGGGTCATACTTGGTGATTCGCTCCAGCATACTACGTGGCTCCAAGATGAAGGTCGGGAGCACCACCCTGCTCAAGTCCGCGCCGGGCCGTAGCTGGGAGATGATATGCGATAGGACTATATAAAGGTTAGCGCCTCCAGTGTGTCGAAGGGGACGCGGCGGTTTGGTGGCTAACCATTGCCTTGGTCGGGCTCAACCACAAGGGTGTCGTCCTCTGGGTCCGTCGCTTCGCTGGAGGCTCGACTGCCTGGAGCATCTTTCATTAGTTGACAACGGTGCACATATAAGCCCGGCTGTTTCTCCCCTCATCATTGCTCAAGAGCTTGGATATTTTCCACCCGAGACGAGATAAAAAAGACCCAAAAAATCGCGCGACTCACTCGCATTGGAGATAGTTCGGCGGCGGCCAGGTACAAGTCCCACCATTTTGGCAACCTTGTCGGGGATAGCTTCAGCAACCCCCCTTTTTGTTTCCGTTGCTTAAAGTTGGGAGATCTCCAACTTGATGAGAACTTTTAGGAGGACCAGGTGGGGTAAGATGACACCCCACAAGAATTGTTGGGGTTGTGCAGGACGAGTTCTTCTCAGTCTTGTAGGTGTTCTGCGGAGGTGATGGCCTAGAGTCAAACCGTGTCAACCCCATGAGATTTCGAGCGGTTTCGGCGGGCGAGGATTACGTTGTCAACAGCTACTAACTTGGAGGTTCCAACAGTGATCGGAGCAGAAGCAACAAAAGTTGGGCGGGGCATGGCGGGGCGCTTGGGGCCGGCGATGACGTGGGTCCCAAGGCCCGACATCATCTGCCTGCCGCCGGACATGCTTCCCGGCCCCTCCAAAGTTGGGACGACAGGAACCATGCGCAAAGGGGTATTGCCTTGAGATTCTTCACCCACGATGATCAGATGGAATTTGTGAGGGTTCCGCCTAAATCAACGAGAAAATTCTACGTCGGAAGTGTATTTCGCGTGAAGAAGGAAGGAACTACCTTTACTATCACAGGAATTCTTCCGAGGTTCTAGCTTCGCAAATTCACTTTCAGAGAAACCACAGTTCCCTCATTCACGTCAACAATTCGCCCTTCGTGACCCCACGTGGTGGAGGAATGGGCTCGCGTGGGTTTGCCAGCCTCGCTGTGGCCAGAAAAGTCCAATCCATTAACAATCGATCAAATCTTAAAGAGATTCCGATTGATTTACTCTTTTTCGCCTTTTCTTACCTTTTTGATTTATTCTTTTTGTCTTCTTTCTTTCTTTTTATTTATTCTTTTTTGTCTTTTTTCACTTTTGTAAAAAAGTCAGTTATCCAGTGACTTGGTCTGCCGCTTTTTTTGGCCACAGTGAGCCAGCCAAGCCAGTTGAGCGCGGGGAGCTGAGGCAGCCCAGCCGGCCCAGGTTCGGTCGACGGGTTTGGTGCTCATCATTTCCGCCTCCACAATTCAGGTTCCTTCGCCTGGCCCATGCAGCTAGTTATCGTTAGGAGTCGATTGGTTTGTGTCCCACGTGTTTCTTTCCTTGAGAGAAGGTTCTGAGAATCTGCACCTTGTTTATTATCATCTCTTCTTGCAATTAGTTAACTCCTCGAGGGACAAAAGAACCGGTTTGACCATTCTTGCGTGTAACGCGCAGCGGCCCCATTGTTGACAGCTCATGCCAAGGTGAAATGTCAGTGACCCACAGCACTAAGTGAGTATGCGAGACTGGGGCACTGCCAAACAGACCTACCCGGCATAAATGATGATCTGAGCCTTCGGTACTCGAGAAAAACTTGCTACTGTGTACAGGTTGCAACTACACTAAATGTTGTTGCTGACGATCGTCAAGATGTTGGAGCCGGGCCCATGCCGGGTTTGATTGCGGTGTCTGGCTCTGTAACACCCGAAGAAACACCCCCGTCGGTTTCAGATGGGCAGCCGCCCCGGTGGTGGTGTTCGGGCCGCCCGACGCTGGTTTGTTTGATCCGACCGGGAGTGGATAACATTAGTTATCGTTAGACCCGAAAAGCTCGTCTTCGAATGTGTTGCTGGCCTCCTGAAAAGCCCTATGCTGTTAATACGAGCTTGGGAACAGAAGTGGTCCGTGTGGAGAGTCACGACTGGCTTGCAAAGCTTCTCCTTCACGAGACACAACGTTGCAAGGTCGCACTCAACCCAAGAGATGAAGGGTGCGCCACGGCAACCGGGTGTTGGCAGGTGGTCGTTCAGGAACGGGCGTTGCCCAAAATTGTGGAGAAAACGCAGCGGAAAGGGGCATTGATTTGAGGCATTGTGGGCGGGAAGAAGTGAGAGTTCTCCTCGACCGTGCAAGCCCAGCAAGCATGAGGGAGAGTTGCGAACTAAGACTAGTAGCCAAGCACCCGTGAGATTGCATGAAATCAAGATTCCAAAGGGGAGGTGGGAACTCAAGTAGGTTAGGTTTTCGACTGATTTGAATTTGCGGCCGAGTGCCACCAAGCGGTGGCTGCACTGCTTCTGTCGCGTCAAATCCGCCCATCTCTGGCCCGCCCGCCCCCCGCTCCTGCCCAAACCTGCGGCTACGAGTCTGACCTGGATCCCTCGGCGTCCAATGCCTGCGCAGGACAACGGCGCTTCGAACCCTGTTTAGGAAGTCGATCCTTCACTTTGCGTGCCTTTGCCCCGCCGAAACCACCCACTCGTTGTCACACTGACTGGAGTAGAGCAGCGTGCACGTTAATCTGCAATCTGCCGTCTCGTCTGCTGTGGTTGCTATCCTGTTACCAGCACTGGAGCCTCCCGACCGACCGACCTTCTGCACCTTTCACAGGGTGCCTTCCTGCTGCCGACCGGGCTCCCACTGTTTCCACCCTGCAACCGACTTCACAACCTCGTCTGCCCTTCACCGACTCGGCTCTCCTTGCTGCAATCGGGTCACATGCAACAACAGAAACCCAACAACGACCGGCCCATTTGGCAGCTCTCCAGTCAATTGTTGGGCTGCCAGGCGGACAGCAGCGCCGAGCAGCGCCGAGCACATGCATAGTTTCCCTTTCCGTCCCGGAAGTAACGACACCTCATCTGAGCCCGGCGCCTGCCAGGCTTGAAGTCCTCGATAATCCCCATGAAGAACTTGGCCTCTCGATAGCGACGAAGACCGAGCGAAATGACTGAGAACGAGCCGCCGGCGTACGCCGTGCACGACGATGGCCGAAACACAAGGGGCCGCCGCATTATGGGCAAACTCTTTGGGCGCGACCGTGACAGAAAAGCAACCCATGACGAGGGCGACTTGAACGACTTTTTGCGTGGCTCCCCGGACAAGCTTCAAGTTGGTCATGCTGGGCCGCCAATGCTGACGAAAATCGACACCAAGACCGCCCCACGATATCCCAATGCCCACGATGTCAGCGACACATTCGCCGCGCCGAGAGAGCCCCAAACCCAGGAGTACGTTGCGCGGCCCCGCAACCCGCCCAGAAGGTCCAAAAAGGGGCTTTCGGTTCACTTCGCCGAGACATACCCAGAGGTCATTGGTGATGGCGGTGGCGAGTGCGAGCTCCCCACGCTCGAAATATCTCGACGCAAAAAACAAAAGCCTCAGCCGAGCCCTTCCATGCCGCCTCCTCGGCCTACAAACTTTGGAGATAACTCCCGAAGCCCGTTCGCTGATCCGGCCAGAGACCCGCCGGCGAGAGACACGTCGTTTAGCCCGGGGTTACGGCGTACCCAGACCGGGTTCGTATCCAGCACGAGCTCTCACGCAATGGGCGGGGCCCCTCGGGCAAACAACTCAGGTGCTGGCCGGCTCTTGGGAGCGCCTTCTGGTGGCCACGACGAAAACCGCAAGTCTTTCATCGAGGTTCAACAGGCACAGATGCGAGAGGCTGAAGGCCGAGCGCTGCGTGCAGCCTCAGGAGACACGGCTAAGCAACAGTTACGAGTCGACCCGTCTGCTTCTATTCTGTCCGACCAGGAGACAGCATCCCCCGTGACCGTGTCGCCGGTTTCTATGCAACCGCCGCAACTTCGGTCACCACCACAATTTTCCACCTCTGCCGGTGTGCCTGTTAAGGCACAGCGCCCGAGGCTGCCCCAAGTCCCACCTTCTGCCCCTGACTCGCGAGACCAGCCGTCATCGCAGAGCTCATATACCCCATTGAGCCAACATTCGAACTCGCCCGACCAAGTGAAGAGAACACCCAAGCTTGAGAACAGCCCAGGCTACTCTAATCCAAACACACCATCCTTTCATCACCCATTCACGGCATCTAGGGAAGGGTCCAAGATGACAGATAGGGACTACGGCTCGCCTGCCTCTCAGCAAGGGCCTAGTGGCTTTCAAGATGTGTTGGCAAATGCAGCGGATGATGCCATGAACGCGTTTGTGACACGCACCCGCCATTTGTTTGAACTCTTCCGTTTGCATGGCGAGAGCGTCCGGCCACTAGTGGCAGCCAAACCACATGACATTGCGCGGGCCGCTCTATGGTGGTTCCTCACCGGTCGAACCGCCCTCGAAGTTGCCATCCGAGACCGCCCTTCCACCCCCGAGTCACAGATGAAGAACGATATGGCTAAGCAGCAAGCGTATGCGGATTTGGCGAAAAGTTACTGGCTACTGGAGGAAGCGATGCCCGAAATCGTTGGCAGCGGGCGGAGTCCGGTCGATACAGAGGCCGAGAGCGTCCGCGCCACGGTCGTGTCCAGTCTCCGGAAACTAGCCAGCTCCATGAAACGGAACGGCTTTTTACCCCCAGAGGAAGCTTTTCTACCCCAAACCGTCGATAGAGCTATCTGGTTGGATTATCCGCCCCTATCACAAGACGTCACTTCTCTCCTTTGCGGTTCAAGCTCCGCTCTTGCACAGAGTCACGCCAGTTCGGGCATGACCATCTTAGAGTCCTTGCCGTTGGGCGACTCGGCCACTACGTTCTCGTTTGCCCGCTTTAAGGTCGACGCTTTCTTGATGGAGCAGGGAAGAGAATCGCGGCGACTCTACCTTCCATGCTTCTTATCTATCGTCCGGCCGCAGACACAGGCGGAGATCATTTTCGTTCTTACCAGCCAGAACGGGGCAGTGCAGCTTCGGATCTCAGGGAACAAGAGCCTTGGCCCCGCGTGGGATGAGGTGCGCTGGAACCCGGAGAACTGCAACCTCGAAGTGAAGCTACCGCGGGGTTTCATTCTCGTGGTGCAGAGCTCGCAGCAAGCATACTCCACGCTGCGAAGCATGTACGAGTTCAGCGCAAAGGTCCATTCCAGCCTTTATCCCCGGCAGGATGAGAACTGCATCTTCCGGTCGACTCTTCGTGCATTTCAGTATTTTGACAATGATCCGCAGTCCAGGCAATTCCCCCAGGAGTCGACGCCCGACTGCGGAATTGCCTTATTTGAACGTCTCTTCAGGGAAGGGGCGGCAACCGGTCCGCGGACTTACCACAAAGGTTACAGGATTGCGGTCGTCACCGGGCCCAGGACCAAGACGTTGAGCGGCGTCAATCAGCTGTATCTTCCCCATGCCCCTATCCAATTCGGTTTCCTGCGCAGTGATGCCAATGACCCGGCCCTTTCACTCAAATTCGACAATGGCAGGTTCAAGGGGAACATGGTTTTGTCATTTGCCGACGAGTCAGAAAGGCTGCGGATGCATAGCCTACTTATCGGAACCGCATTGGACCGTGGTGAAAGCGTCTGTGGTGAGGCACCACTCCAAGGGGTGTGGTTCTCAGAAAGGTACGGCGACGCCCGTGACAAGGGCTTGCAAGTGTTCTCCACGCTGGCATGGAACAAAGTCAGGGTAATCAACTACGATGACGACGGAGAACAAGCATCCTGCGTTCTCGCCGACCGACTACGCGTGGTTTATGAGTTTAAAGATGGAACTCTTACCGACCGCATCAACGTCGCTCCCGGCGAACTCAAGCTCCGTCTAGATGTGGCGAACCCAAGCTGCATGATGGTTTTCCGCCAGCCACAATCCGATGTCACACTCGCCGTGACGGAAGCCAACTCTTCTCGTTCCCTGTCGGTTGGCCTCGGCCAGGCCCTGGAAAGCCTCAAGCAATCCGCAACAATCCGTACCTTCATGTTCCCGAACCTGAAGGAACTCCACGCTTTCCAAACAGCTATTACAGGATTCAAGGTCCTCTTCGACGGTACCGCCTCTGCTTTTGCCATTTCCCGACGCCGCATGGTGGTGCCCATTCATAAGAAGTGGGAAGCCGGCTCGACAAGGATTCAGGTGGTTCAGCAGGATGGCGTTTCGCAGCTGTTGGCATTTTTCGAAGACTTTAGTCACGGGCAGTGCATGGGCTTCCACCTCAAGGGGACGGACATATTTGAGGCGTTTAGCCGTGGTGGGAAAGTTGGGCTCAAGATTGACGATGCCAAATTTCCACTCCCGCGGGTCCTCGCACCCGACGCGGACAGCGCCCAACAGGCAGCTGACGCCGCATTCCTGTGCCTGGACCTCCCAGAACTACCAGGCGAGCATGACGATATATCGATATACTTTGACAACGAAGCGGGTGAGTAATGTCAGGCGGGTCAAGCAGGATGAGATGCGCTAACGAGATGTAAACAGAACGTGACCGGCTCGTTACATGCCTTCCAGCGCCAACCAAAGGGCCGCGGATGACCAAACTCAAGGGTATATCATAAGAAAGCCGGCGGGGGACTTGTGCCGGCGTGTGCAAGCCAGGAGGGCATTCTCAACACCAGTAGCTCTTGATACCCTCCGGAATCTAGCTTATTTCGTTCGAGATTATTTTCAGTATGGCGTAGTGTCCCACTCGCCGCCCATCTGCGTGAATGGATGTCAAAATTATTGCAGCCATGTTTGGCTCATGTAGATAGAAGAAGCACGGCAAAGACCCGATCAGCTGCTAAAGCTTTGTTATTTGCATTTTGTTGCAGAAGGATAGGTACTGTGTAGTTACAAATAAACCCTTTTCCGGTATATCCCTTCCTCCAACTAATAACTCCGCAACTCCGTTGCAAGCCACTGGGTAAACCTTTGATCCGCTTTCTGAACCCTGCAGTATCCCTCGAATATGCTAGCTCCTGACCCAGGCAGCATTCCCTTTCCTGGAGCGGTGTCCGAAGCTTGTCCATGCTAGATCACCCTGCTGCTTCGAGTGTTGCATTACGATTAATATCTCCGTCGAGTCGGCTCTGGGCTAGGCGACCTTGTAGGGCTGCGAGATCGTGGCCGCGTCTTCAGCCACTTCTTGGTAGACAACTCGAGTTCGCGGTCGAGTTCTGGGCCCGGATTTTTGCGGTGTATAAAGTTGCAGAAACCGCCGCGCACGCAGCCTTCTCCACTATTGAGGCGGCAGCAAGCCTCACGAAAGTCGGTGACCGGGCTGAGTTCGCAGTAAATGGGACGGGCGGCGTACCACCGCGAGTTGAGGTCGTCGCAGGCTTTTTGCGCGCTGTCCTCGTACTTGAAGCGCGCGTACACGTTGCCGATGAGGTGGTCATTGTTGTTGTCGCAAACAACGAGCTCTTCGACCTCTCCGTACTTGCACATCTCGCACCAGATGTCCTCGTAGAAGGCGTCAAAGTGATTTTGCAACTGAGATGGGTTCATGCGGTTCTTGGGGTCGAAAGCTGGGTTTTGGTACAGGTTCGGCATGAGAATCGTCTGGCTGTATGATGGCTTGACATGTTTCCTGCTGCAGCGATCGCCGTGGCGACAGGCGCCAATTTTGTAGTAGAAAGAGCAATTGACTTTGTCTTGCTCGGTGCCGAAGATGGAGGCGAGGAAGTTGGCCATGGTGGGTGATTGCTCGGTCGGGTCCGGCCGTGTTCGAACGTTCGTGTATCGGAGATGTCGCTGGGGAAACAGACGATTAAATGAGGCTGACCAGGAAATCGAGGGTGAGTGCGGTCGAGGTGCGTTGCAAGATGGACGATTCGCCGGTGATACTTGAGCAGTGACCGCGACTGAGATTTGGCGTCGAAAGCTGCCAAGACATAGGCATGGATCCGTTATTTTGCCACATGTGGCTGATGAATTACACCCAATATGGATGGAATGTGGCTGAAGCTTCCAGAACCCCGTTTTCGGCTGGGAACCGCAACTCGTCAGCCCTGAGCATTTCACAACGGCTCATTCCGTTCTGTGAAAGACAAGTTTCTGGGGCTCACCTTATCAGGCCAGGCCTAGGCGAGCCCGGTGGGGGAACTGCGCTAACTCCCGCATTTGGTCCACGGCTAACCAATGAAGAATGGTTCCTGGAAGCGAGCCAGGCGAAGTTCCAAGGAGCTGCATTCAGAGTTCCAAGACATGCGGCTGTCACAGAATCAGGCACAGGTTTAGCCTATCATAACAATGGACGACTCCTCCGAATTGCGTTGTCAAGACCTAAATGTGAGACACGCAACTGTGGCCGGAATGAGTTACGTTGAGGTCTTGCCGGACAGTGGAGGTAGTTATCTAGCGTCTTCAAAGGCCCAATGTGCGGCACTTTAAGGACTCGTCGGAGCATCGCACCTGCGGGCACTGTCGTTGCGAACCCGCCTCAGTGGATTGTCGCTGTAACCGGTGGTCATATCACGATCGGAGGTCGCCCGCTTGTGCAGGGGCCGATCCGCAAATTGCGACGAGCGCCGAGGAAGAGATTCCAGGCCGATCTTGCGTGAGGTAAATGTCGCCAATACCCCGCGGTGAGCGTAGGTAATCCGACGGTAATCGATGATGAGGCACCAAAAGAAACGAATACACTACTTCGTACCCATTATGATCACATCAATTGATGATGGAATCCTTGGTTCACTTCGCTTCAGTAGCCGGAGGCCGCCATGGACGAGACCGTCAAACCGGTGGGTTGCAGTCTGGTTTTCTGGAAGAGCTTTTGGCCTGCCGGGATTTACTACTGGGATCTCAACTCCACACCCCATGGCCAGCCCCATTTTGATGCCATGTGGCATTTGCTTTTTTGGTCGTGCCCTCACGACCCTTATTCGGTTGAGGAAACAATGATGAGGACTCTCTTCGCACATGGGCAGGAAGAAGGGAACACCCGCGAAAACTTTGACGCCTGCACCTAGCCGTCTCTACTGCATTTCCAACGGACAATCCTCCAAGTTTCCTGCGGACGCCAAGGTTGCGCAATTATCGGCTGCGTCTTGGTGTGCCGAGGGGTGCGGGCATTGCCAGCTGTCCTAGGATGCCCCAGTGATCCCGAGAGGGGTTCCATGTTCTGGTCCTGCACCGTTCAGCTGCTTGTGAAATTTCAGCCACCTTGCACCTCCGGAATCCTGGTTTTCATCGCCGATGCCCGCCAAACAGCGCAGCTGCAACGCAAACCCGCGCCCCGCTCTAGGCCCATCTGACGTAGCACTTCGATCTGTGCTGATCTCCATCCCTGCTGGACCTTGTTCGCAACTGGGTCCACGCCAAGAAAGTCCACATTCTTGAACTCAGCGCTTCCTTTCCATCTCCTTTTGCACGGCCTATCTCTGGTGCTCTCCGCGCCCCTCCATTCCCCTTCCTTTTCTTACCGTAGGAGGAACCTCCCTATGGTTCACCGGATTGTTTTCTGTGTTCCCTCGAACGCATCCCCCGCTTGACTGTTGGCCTTCTCGGTTCTTCCTTTGCTTGTCTCGGGTTGAGCAACCGCATCTGGGCGTCGTAGTGGCGTTGGTCCTCTTGCTGCTCCCGTCCAACACGCGGAGCTTCACGTCCAGTTTTGGCCGATGAACCTAAGCCGGCCCGGCCCAATTGACCTCGCCAACAATTCCTAACACATCACCGACCGATATCGTTCACCACATTGACCGAGAAACAACCGTATAGCAACGTACGCTGCCGAAGTAACTGCTCAGAATGGCGACGGTCCAGGCTGCCAATGAGCTGAAGCAGCAGGGGGCCATCGAAGCATCCCAGGATCCCAACAGCAGCGTTACCGCCGCTGATGCGGAGCGCAAGATCGTTGAAGCTAGCCGGGAAGCAGGCGTGACAGCCTTCACGTTCAACCCCGATGCTAGCCCCGAAGAAAAACGAGCACAGGCGAGAGCTGTACGTGATCGTTCCCTTCCCTTTTCTCTCCCTTACATGCCCCACCACGGCGCCCAATTGCTCACCTTTACACCACCCCTCCGAATAGGCTGTCCCCGAAGGATTCCACCGCCGACCCAAAGGCGTTGCAATTGTGACCGACATCGACGACGGTACGAAGGCAGATGTTGACCTGCCTTCTCCCTCCAAGGCCGGCGTTATCGAGACTGCGAAGGGCGCTGATGGAAAGGCTCTTGTAAACGGACAACTTGAAGAGGAGGATGACTGGAGCAAGACAGGCTGGGCCCCGCAGTTCGGCTGGCCCACGGAGCTCGCAGACGAAGGCGACGACTTGCTGGACCATTCAACCTGGGTCGAGTCCCAGTTGTCTGAGAAGTTCTTTGGTGGTGCGTCCCATACCCCTTTGATGGCGCATAATGCGATATTGTCCAAGTGAGACTAACAACTATACTGTGCAGATTGGTATCACAACACAGCCGTCATTGTGTTTGCGTGTCTCTCCTCTTGGCTGGTGGCGGTACTTGGCGGCGGCCTTGCCTGGGTGTTTATCGTCATGGCTATCTGCTCAACTTACTACCGCACCTCGCTCCGTCGAGTTCGCCGCAACTTTCGCGACGACATAACGCGCGAGATGGCACTCAAGAAACTGGAGACAGACAACGAGTCTGTTGAGTGGATCAACTCGTTCTTGGTCAAGTTTTGGCCTATCTACCAACCTGTCCTCGCCCAAACAGTCATCAACTCGGTTGACCAGGTCTTGAGTGGCGCCACCCCGGCCTTCCTAGATAGTCTCAAGCTGAAGACTTTCACTCTAGGCTCGAAACCCCCCAGGATGGAACACGTGAAGACTTACCCCAAGGCTGAGGACGACGTTGTCATCATGGATTGGATGTTCAGCTTCAGTCCCAACGATACTGCAGACATGACGTCTCGCCAACTCAAGAACAAGATAAACCCCAAGGTTATCCTTGAAATCAGGGTTGGTAAAGCGATGGTGAGCAAAGGTCTGGATGTGATTGTCGAAGACATGGCTTTCACCGGCTTGATGCGCCTTAAAATCAAGCTACAACTTCAATTTCCCCACGTCGAAAAGATCGAAATGTCGTTTTTGGAACGGCCAACTATCGACTACGTCTGCAAGCCGCTCGGCGGTGAGACGTTTGGTTTCGACATCAATTTCATTCCAGGTCTTGAGTCATTCATCATGGAACAAATTCACGGCACCCTAGCTCCGATGATGTACGCTCCGAACGTCTTCCCTATCGAAGTTGCCAAGATGCTGGCCGGCACCCCCGTTGACCAGGCTATTGGTGTCATTGCTATCACACTACACGGCGCCCAAGGCCTCAAGAATACCGACAAGTTCGCCGGCACGCCCGACCCGTATGCGGTTGTTTCCCTCAATGGGAGGCAACCTCTTGCGCAAACCAAGGTCGTCAAGGAAAACGCCAACCCTCGCTGGAACGAAACACATTACGTCATTATCACATCCTTCAACGACTCCTTGGATGTCGACATCTTCGATTACAACGATATTCGCAAAGACAAAAAGCTTGGCACTGCCTCCTTTCTGCTGGAAAATGTTGAGGAGGTTTATGAGCACGAAAATGAAAGGCTTGAGCTGAAGCACGATGGCAAGGCCAGAGGCGTCGTTCTTTCCGATATCCGTTTCTTCCCTGTCTTGGAACCAAGGAAGCTCGAGGATGGAAGTGTCGAGCTGGCGCCTGAGTCTAACCAGGGTATCTTGCGGTTCACCGTTGAGCAAGCCAAGGAACTGGATGGCTCCAAGAGCATGGTTGGCCTGCTTAACCCCTACGCAATGCTTCTACTGAACGGTAAAGAGGTGCACACAAGCAAGAAGCTGAAGAGAACCAATAACCCAATTTGGGACAACGGCTCTAAGGAGATTTTGATCACGGACAAGAGAAATGCCAAGCTGGGTGTCGCCATCAAGGACGACCGTGATTTGGCCGGCGACCAGACCATCGGAACGTACCAAATCAAACTAGAGGACATGCTTGAGCTGATGGCTAAAGGACAAGATTGGTACAACCTTGCAGCGGCCAAGACTGGCCGTGTGAAGATGATGGCTCAGTGGCGCCCGGTGGCTATCTCCGGCATCGCGGCGGGCACTGGTGGTTATAAAACGCCCATTGGTGTTCTGCGAATCCACTTCAAGAACGCAAGAGGCCTGCGGAATGTGGAAGCACTGGGCAAGTCCGATCCATATGTGAGGGTCGTCAGTGCCGGTGTCGAGCGAGGGCGGACTGTGACCTTCAAGAACAATCTGGACCCCGACTGGGACGAGGTTCTCTACATCCCGCTCCAGAGCGCCAAGGGCCGCATGCAGCTGGAAGTTATGGATGCCGAAAACGTCGGCAAAGACCGCAGCCTGGGTCTCACCGAGATCGATAAGGCCGATTATGTGGCGCAGGACCAAACCGGCGAATGGTTGGTACACGAGGAGAAGGTTGAGCACCGCGACGGGCTGCGTATGCACGGCAAGGGCACAGCCAAGGGAGTTCTAACCTACACTGTCGCCTTCTACCCGACTCTCAACATTGCCGATCCGGAGGAGGAGGAAGAGAAGGAGAAGGAAAAGGAGGAAAGGGAAAAGAAGGAGCAGGAAAAGAAGGAGCAGGAAGGGGAAAAGGAAGCTGACAGCGACAAGGACAAGTCTTTGAGCCGACCATCTGTTGATGCCAAATTGTCCGTGAGACAGTCACTAGACGTGAGGTCGAACGACGGCAAGGAGCCGGGTTCCCCTTTGACGCCAACGAGCCCAACTTCCGTCATTTCGCCCCGGAAGTCGGGGGACAGCAAGGAAGCGCCCAAGATTTACCTCACTCCTCAGGAGCTGCTTCAGCACGAGTCTGGCGTGGTCATTTTCCGGCTTATGGAGGCAGACCTCCCCAAAACCCAGAGCCGTATCGAGGTTTTCGTGGATGACATGGCCTTTCCGTCCTATGTCTCCTCCACGGCTAAGTCGCGACATAACAATTTTGATGAAATGGGCGATTGCTTTATTCGCGAGCTGGAGTTCTCCAAGTTAACCATAGTGGTCTCGGAGAGGACCGACAAGCAGGATGACGACCACAAGCAGCACACCCTGGCCCGTCTCTCCGGCAACACGCTAGACACCTTAAAGCAATGCTTGGTGCGTATTCCATTCCGATTCCTACCTTCAGTTTAATTATATGCTAACACGGAATAGAACAACCCCACGGTTCTCAAGCTGAAAGGCGAGGATGGCGAGGCTTACTCAATCAAAGTTAGCCTCAAGTATGTTCCCGTCAGGATGATTCTTGATCCAAGCGAGAGCATTAACAACATGGGCAACCTCCGTGTTGATCTCATCGATGGTCAAAACCTCCCCGCTGCGGACTCTAACGGCAAGAGTGATCCTTACGTCAAATTTGAGCTCAATGGCCAGGAAATCTTCAAGTCCAAAGTTCAGAAGAAGACTTTGAACCCGGCCTGGAACGAATTCTTCAATGTTTCCGTTCCTTCCAGGACTGCTGCCAAATTCAAGGCTGCCGTTTGGGATTACGACTTTGCGGACAAGCCCGATTTCCTCGGTGGTGCAGAGATCGGTCTGGGTGCGCTCGAGCCTTTCAGGGCCCAGGAAATCAAGTACAACCTCGACGGGAAGTCTGGCTCGATCCGTCTGCGGCTGCTCTTCACGCCTGACTATGTTACTCGAACGAGGCAAGGGACATCAGCTCTGGCTGGCACTTTTGCCGTACCGGGCAAGATTGTCACCGGAGTCGCCGGCGCTCCCATCAAAGGCGGCGTTGCCGTGGCTGGAGCGGTGGGGCATGGTGTCGGCAAAGGGGCCACATTCCTCTTGCGCGGGTTCCGCAAGAAGGACGATGAGAGTAGCAGCGATGCCGACAGGAGCTCTGTCGAGGTTCCTCAGATTACCACCGAAGGGCCCGCGGAAGTTCCAAATGGCAGCTCCTCGTCGCTCCATCACAGCCGCACGAAGAGTGTTGGCGCTTCGTCGGTCCACAGCGCCATCAGCCCGGGCGCCTCGTCGGGCACAGCCTCCTTCACCGTCATTTCGGCTTCCGGCTTCCCGGCTTCCACCGACGTTTATATTACGGTCACACAGCTACGCGAAGGCAAGTCCAAGCAGGTGGGCAAAACCAAGCACCACAAATCCTCAAGCGGCACAGTCAAATTCGACGAGACCTTCCGCATCCAGTGTACCCCCGACTCCCAATTCAAGATCGAAGCAAAGGAGCACCACACCTTTGGCAGCGACCACCCGCTTGGCGAGATGCTCTACTTTGTGGACGAGACGAACTCGGGCGCAGAAAAGACGCTGCCCGTTGGCAGCGGGACCGTCGTTGTCAAGAGCTCGTTTGTTCCCTCAACGGATGACAGCAGCGACGGCAAACCTGTGCCAGACAGCCCCAAGTCAACCAAGTCGAGCGCTGGAGTCAGGCGGAGCTTCTTGAATAAGCGGGATCTGAAGGTGCCAGGTTCGTCTTCTTAGTGGGAGGCCACCGGCCGCGGGCGGAGGGTAGTGAGCGAGGGAAGAGTAGTGCGAGGCTGAAGGGAAAATTGTGTTTTTTTCTTATCTCATATAGTCTGATATCGCAGGATATTAGTCCGTTCAGCGTTGATACCTTTTTTCTGGGGCTGGTTCGGGGAGTCTTTCCTAAATTTCGTGCGTCTTGTGACAAAGGACGAGTTTGTTTTCCCGGAACAAGTCGGACGGGATATCTTGGTTAGATGGAGGGTTGGGCTGGCCTACAATGGGATCGCGATGCCAGAGTCTGTTGCCGGCTAGTCATTGAACTTTCTGGGTGGGTAGTGAAGAGAAATGAGAAGTCTTGCATATCACCGTTATATTCATGTTCTACAGATACTCCGTCGCATTCTAGCACCCGTCAGACACCTTTAACTATCGGTCAATCGTCGCTCACTGGAACCCGACACGACGGTCGGGATACAGATCATACTACTTGACTACGGAAGAGCCATTCTCCAGGAATGCGAAGATTAGACATGCCATGGAACATTTTTCACAAAGTCTGATATTCAAGCACGTGGACGGTTAAAGTTTCAATAAGCTGAAGGCCGAGAACGAGATCATCATTGGCCAATCGAAGACGAGACGCACCTGAAATCTAGCTCCACCCCAACGCGCCCCTGAAAGCAACCCCCACATTCCACATCCTGGCGCGTTTATCTCAAGAGCGGGTACCCAGCCGGCCCGGCCCTCACAGGAGTCGTGGCCAGGCCACCCGACTTCGAATGTTCCATAACAAGTGGGATTTTAATATTTCACCAAAACCCCGCCACGCACGTTACACATTCGTTTTGACCGATAACAATTCGTCCTTCCGTCCGACCGACCGACTGATTGAGGACATAATCGATCAGATCTGGCCTACCCAGTCTGCACTAAAGGCGTCGCACCCTCGAGTGTCCCGGCACAATAAGCATCCCGGGTCTTCGAGTCCCACCACCATCTTTGAGTAAAACGAGCGAAACAGAACGAAGAAACGAATACCGTTAGCGGCACGGCCTACCCGTCGTAGCCAACTTCCCGCCGATGGATCAAGCCGACATCCCCGCGCTCCTGGCGCGCCTCGCGTCCGACGAGGATGCTGCGCGCAAGATGGCTGTATTCAAACTGCAGTCTTCCATAAACGACCCAGCTTTCGCCGATGTTTTTATATCCTCCGGGGGTCTCGTGATTCTACGTCGTCTAATCATGACGGCCGGCGGCAACACCCTCGCCTACTCGCTACAAAGCTTGACCCGGTTGCTGGAAGTCGACATGGGCTGGGATATATTCGAAGGCCCCTCCGCGGGGGACTTGGTGGAGAGGATAGTTGAGTTGATTGTGACCAATCCGCTGGTGAATATTTTGCGCGGCGCCATGTCCATCTTGGTTGCTCTGGTTAGCAGGTCGCCAACTTCCTCCTCCAGCGGCTTGACCGGCGCACCCCACGAGCTCAACGGAACTGCTGGCAGTTTGTCGCCACGGACTCCGACCGCAGCTCGCGTGCCAGGCACATTTGGATCTCGCGCCCTCAAACCCGCCGTCGCCGTGTACCCCCAGTTCTTCGAATTGGTCATTCAGCAGCTCCAGAGCGCAGACCACGCATTGTGCGCCAATGCGCTGATGCTGATCAATGCGCTGATCCGAGACGCCGTCTCCGGCGAAGGGAGCGGCAGCGGAAGCAGCGGTGGTGTCGGCGGCCCCAATGGCGCGCCGCCTAAAAGCCCTGGAGCCGTCCCGGGCGAGGAATGGAGCAAGTTCATAAAGCGCCTGCAGGATCTCGGCCTGATTCGCGCGGTGTACAACCTACTACAGAGCTCGGCGCTGCAGGACCTGGCGCACCCGCTTTTGGAGTTCCAATCGCTGACTAAGGTGTTATTGAGGAAGTGGAGGGAGGTGAGAGTCGACCTCGAGCGGCCGGAGCACAGGAGAGCGTTGAAGGGGTTACATCTTGCGAGTGCGCCGGATAGGCGGCACGCGAATGGGGCGGTGACGACAGTGCCTGGGACTGCAACGTCCGAAGATGGAGAAGTGTCACGGAAAGGAAGTCGAAGACACAACCCAGAAAAATGGAGGAGATTGGGCTTCGAAACCGAATCACCAGCCGTCGAGTTTGAAACGGCGGGCTTCCTCGGTATGATGGATCTGACCGATTATGTGAGGAAGAATGAGGACGGTTTCCAGAAGCTACTCCTTGAACAGTCAACACGGCCGCTAAGCCAGAGATGCCCGGTGGCAAGGGCAAGCTTGACTGTCACCATGATCCTTTACGAACACTTCCAGGTGGATAGGTCAGATATGGAGGAATCCAAGATTTATATGGCCTTAAATGACGCCTCGACGCACGACAAGTTATTCCGCCCATTGTTACTCCAATGGTCGCGGCTTCATACCGCGGGGCTCCATGCCTTTTTCCGCCTCTGGAAGTCAACCGGTGCGCAACGCAACGACTTTGACAAGGTGGCCGAGCTCGTCCGTGTGCTTATTGAACAAGTGGTGGGCCAGTCAAGCCGGACCAAGGATGTTCTCGAGGTGGAGGATGAGCTTCAAGAGTACGATGCGGCGCGGCTGCGGGAGCTGCAGATGGATTTGTTGGAGCTTGCTTTTGAGGACCACTGGGGGCCGCATCTCTTCCAGGTCCGCGATGAGCTCAAGCATGAGGCGCTCCAATTTGTCAAGGAACAACGGATCAGGTGCCTGCTGCAGGGCAGTTGGTTTATTAAGCCGATGCCTCACACCAGGCAAGAAAGTTATACTAAACACCGGCTATATCAACCGTGGCGATACGCCAAGCTCTCGCACAACCGCCGGTACTTGCACTACGGCGACTTTCCGGAGAAGCTACCTTACGATCCCGGGCTAGAAACCCTCACCGAAAAGATAGATCTTGGGACTATCAGCTCCGTTGTGTCCAACGTGTCTGCAAATCCAGAGGCCGAGACCAGTGAAGCAGAAGGCGAACAGACCCCTAATTCCAGCACGCCCACACTCCGCCATAACGGTGCCGCCATCACGAAGCCTACCACTAAGATCACCATCTATTCCTTCTCTGACGACGCAGCAGGTTCCAGCATCACCCCTGCAACCCCCGATACCACCGTCATTTCCACTCTCGGCGGCGGCAGCAGCACAGAAACCAAAGAACAACCAGTGCTGACACTCTACCCGCCCACTCACAGCCTAGCATCAGAGTGGTTGGACGGGCTACTCATGCTGCTAAACCAGGCGCCCATCACAGCCGAAACAAACAAGCTTGTTACGCTGGTCAGCGAGTATGGGTTGAAGATTAGGCTGTTGAACGTTCGCCTGGAGCAGATGTACGCCGGACCTGAGGGGAGAGGGAAGGGCGTCGGGGTTGTCCCTAGTCGGGAAGGGCTCGATGAGGACTACTTTTATGAAATCTAGCATGCTAGGTTTGATCTAGGTCCCTGCCGCTATTCCTTTGTTTCACTTTTTTTATCCTCTTTTTTTTCCCTTTCCTTCCACGGTTTCCCTTATATCGTGTTTCTCCATCATGTCCTCCCGCCATTTGAGACTTTGATTTTACCTTTCTTCTCTGGATCATTGGCAAGTTTTTACAAGCATTCAATTGATCACCTATACCCCTGTGCCTCATTGTTAAACCATCTGTCTTCACTTCGTTACTTTTTTCACTGCTGTAATTACATGGCTTGGATTCTCTTGTGGTGTCTGTTGATCCGGTTATGAAGTGCCTGTATTGTAGTAAAACCACCGACCCGTATATATGAAACTACACTACCTGATTTCCGTGCATGTCTTCGTGAGTGAGGAGTCTTGTTAGCTTTGATTTTAAGTCCCTTTAATCAACCACTTTAAACAAGCCCTCCTGTCTTTGAACGTGGCCCTCCTGTTTCTTGTTTAATATCCGGCCTCACTGCGCCGAACCGCCTCTTAACCTGGTGGCTCAAAGGTGGCTTTGTCTCGACCCGGAGTTTGTAAGGGGGGAGGTCATCACACTGTACTGATATGTGCCCCACATAATAGCTAGCCGGGGTTGGTCACTCCAACTAGGTACCTTTCATCGCATCTCGCACCTTCCCGGTGCTGCTTCATGACGGCCGCACCCTTCCCGCATAAATGGGTTCAAGTTTCCCAATTTTTCTGCACACCGAGGTTTCCTTTTGCCGATGCAAACCGTCGCATCTTTGGAGCTTCGTCACAACTCAACCTCCGATATCGGCGTTCTTAATTGAATGTCGCTGTATTACACCCCAATCAAGTATATAAGTCAAGCCACAAGGTCACTTTGGGTCTGTGGCCATGGGTGACCGCAGCACCCCGTTCAAGAAGAAGCCGAAATCCCGCCGGGGTATCCAAATTGATGGCGAATGGCATTGTAAGTTTATCCTACCATCTCCCTTACTGTATCTCAATATTCTAACGGACCGACCTCTAAAGGCGCTTGCGATCCTCGCAAACCGGCGATTGTTCAGGTTGTAACAAAAAACGGCTCAAACTACGGTCGTCGGTTCTACTCATGCCTGAACGCCTACAAGCCGAACGATTGCCGCTTTTTTTGGTGGAAAGACGAACCCAAACAGCCAGGTGGAATTGTGGGAGAAAACGCCGGACACAATACAACCCTAGGCCAGGGGAGCAGCAATAATCCTCCTCAGTACCCGAACAACAACAACATGCCGAGCGAGGGAAGCGATATGCCGGCTCCTGTTGGCCCTCAGCCCGACGTGGGCCGTGGTTCGAGCACACCCCGAGCCACTAGAACCGGCACTGTCTTACACCCCCCCGACGGGCTCGGCGACATCAACACAAACTTGGCTTCGAGCCGCGATGGGACGCCTCCCGCCGAGTTCCAACCCACCCTCGGGGGCCACATTCATTCACCCACGAGTACCGTGTTCCCCGGTGCAACAACTCCTACCCGGACGCTTTTTCCCAACAACCGTCGGCAGGGCCTGCTATCGGGTTTGGATGGCGACGATAGTGATGCGTCGTCCAACGCTGACAAGCAACCAGCCGTGGGGGCGATGCATCCGCCGAAGCGTAAATTAACCAGCGCCGGCGATGGATCGCCGGAGCAGAGAGCCGAGCATATTCACGCGGGCGGGCAAACAACAACTGAGCGGTCTGAAGCGTTTGATTTCGAGCCGACCGGAGGACTCGGCCAAGCGACTAACGTTATCGGGCGCTCGAACCAGCCCGAGAAGACCCCGGCCTCAGCATTTACCACTCCGAGCAAGCACCGGCCCGGCCTCGGATCCGGGACTGGCACGGGCTCGTTGGGTCCGTCGGCCGCCAAGCGCCAGAAAACGGCGCAGTCGGCAACTCACGGCACTACCCCGACTTCGGCGCGCTCCCGGAAATCCCCCATGTTTCCCCTGGCTGACAGCCCGGTGAAGGACTTGCCGATGACAACCGAGATCATGACCTTGCTCGAAGGCGACAACATCTCCCAACGCACAGAGAGGGCTGTGCGTTCGCAGCTTAACACATTCGCGCGCCAAGCTGCTGGCATTGAACTCGCCCGGAACCTGTTACGTGAGAAGAACCAGGCGAAGGACATTAAGATTGCCCGCCTGAAAGCACAGGTGGCAGAGTTCCGGGATATAGCTGTGCGCCAGCAGGCTGAGGATGAATCCCGTCAACAACAGCTGTAGACGCCACGCATCCCAGAGAGAGCACGGGTGGTCGGCATTGACGCCACGGCGATGAGTTTGGAGGATGGGAGGAAGGTGGACGGGTGAATCTGTGGCGGGTTTGGTGGGGCTAGGAGTTTTCGGGACCATTCGCGTCATATACCACGGGTTTCAACGGGGCGTTGCGTTTTCAGATACTTTGCTAGGTCGTTAGTCTCCAACACGTTTCAACTCCTCTCATCGTTTTCAAACTTCATTTAGGTGTAGGCGCGGCTCCATTAGCGTCGGATGCGGCATGGCGGATTTACCGACCCGATATTTTGACGCGGGATATGTAAACGTCCAACGCGCATTGAGGTAGGTCCCTTTCATGCCATGTCAGCGCCGGAGGTGCATTCCCCACTGGGGTGGCTGCTCGGAGAAATATAAGGCACACTGTATTTTAATTTTCTTCTTCCTTTTTCGTCTCCTAAATTTTAAGCGTGGCCCGGGGCTGGAGACATGCAAAACAAACCTAAGCACTGAACATCGGGCCGGGTCTCTCCTTCCTGCTTCGTTCAACTACGCGAAACGGAAAGAGGGAGCGGACAAAGTCGCGAGAAAATGGAGGGGCTTGGCGGCCGGCGGTTTGGCTTGTTCCCTGGACGCTGTGTTGACTTGATTTCCTAATTGGGAGAGCTCCCACGCCCATGATTGGCCAAGGGCGACGCGGCTGGGCGCGAAGCTTGCACACAACGTGGGTCTTGAATTGATTGTGCCTAGGTGGGCTCCTACCCTGTTGTAACTCCTCCGCTTTGCCTGTGCCCTAGCACGCGCGCGTGTTCTGCAAGCGAGTGCGGGTACTCGCCCACTCAACACGCTTTCTCGGAGCATTCTGGGACAACCCTCTTTCTCGCGCGCTCTCCCTCTGGTCTCCTTCTTATCTTTACGTTGACACATCTTCTTGGAATTGAGTAGCAGGCGTCGCCGTCTCCCCCCCGCGGCCGCGTCTTGCTCCCATTTCAGCATCCTTCCCCGTGTCCCGCATCGTTCCAGCTACACTGCGAGCTCTCAACGCGTAACGGCAAAACAGCAACAACCCCAGCCCGCCCTCCAAGATCCGCCGTCGATAACTTCCCTCCTACCCACCATGGCGTCTCAGGCGTCTTCTCTTGACTCGCCACCCTCCCCGCCGACCGCATCCCCCACCGGTTCTATGCAGAGCGGCAATACGACACCATCTGCCTCTCAAGGATCCCCGCAACCCAATGTGGATTCCTCGTCACCCACGGTCCTGAGGGAGAGTCGCCCAGCGGGTCAACACCCCAAGGGCAAGAGGAATAGGACATCGTACGCCCGGCCACAAATCCACACTGCCAGCAATGGCTGCCAATACTAACCAATATGTGTGGTAGACCTGCGGACAAGGCCATACTCGTGAAGGCCTATAGCGAGAACCCACAACCAAACCAGGAGGAGATTGCTGATATCACATCGCGGGTCTCCATGAACAAGCAGGCTGTGCGCGTAAGTTAGCCAGGAACCCCAATGGCCTAGATTTATCTCTCAATGTCAGGCATTGACATCACACTCTTGGCAGATTTGGTTTCAAAACAGACGGCAAAATGATCGGCGTAAAGCACGCCCATTGTCGCCCCAGCTGATCGAAAGCATCATCCAAGGCCGTATCTCTCTGTCACGTTTCAATGAGCTGCCTGAAAACGCGACGTTTTCCGAGATGGCCCCGCCTGCATCCCAGGACATGTCGCCGTCAGAGCAACGCGAATATTCTTCTATCCGCTCTGATTTCACTCCTGGGGACCAGCGGGAGGTCGCCCGGGAGCGAGCCTCTCTATCGTTTGAAGGCGTAGGTACCTCGCCAATGGCAGAGACACCGGCTCCGGCTTCTTCGTGGGCAGCATCTGGCCAGCCTGGGTATCTTTCCAATCGCCGGAACACTGCCGGGGTCCCTTCATTGCCTTCTTTTTCTAGCCAGCATGATTCGTTTAGGTTTGTAGTTGCGACCCCCTTTCACATGTTCCTCTACTCACCATGTTGGTCATTAGATCCGAGCATTTCTCTCCTGCATCTCTACCGCCGCCGAGCTCTTCCGGCACAGATCACGATGCTTGGGGGCAGAAGCCGAGTTCCCAATTGTCACAGTTCCGTCTGTCGATGTCAGCGACAGGCCAAGCTGAAATCACGACAGAATCGCCCCCTCGCCCAATCCTTCCGCAAACGCCCTTGGCCGCTGTTCCTTGGCCGGAGCTTTCTCGACCTTCTGATCTCCGCCGGTCCATCAGCTCGGTTGGCTCCGCGAGTAGCAGCCGGCGTGTTTCCAGCCTCAAGCGCAGCCGATCGAGCAATGTGCAAGTCTGGGAAAATTGTGCTACCTCGGAGAACCGGGAAGACCCTCTTATCGCCCAGGCAAAGCACGAAAGCAGCGGCTCGGCCATCGCAGAAATCAGCCTGCTGAGATCCCTCAGTTCGGCCAGCAGCAGCCCCCTTGACCACAGGATTAACGGGAGCGCTAGCCAGGGGAAACGCCGCGATCTAAACGTGGCTAACGGTACGGAAGCTAGATCGTCTAGCTCCAAGAGACGCAAGCTGGAAAGGTCGTGGAGTACCCAAGCAAGGATTGAAACAAGCTCAATTCTTCGCCCACGACAAAACATTCAAAGCAAGTCGGCCGCTCCCACTCACTCTGGCGATAAATCCAAGCCCGTTGTGGCGGGCATTGACGAGGTCTCAGTACTGGCGTATGAGTCTGATAAGGAGAACGTAAGCCCGGACGAGGACGGCAATCCGCGCCCGTTCCGCCGCACTTTCTCCTCGGTCTCTGGCCGTCGCCGTCTCCCATCAGGCCCCTCAACCACCGACAAGGCCAGCCAAAATCCACGTCGTACCTCGGTCCAGGATGTCCAACGCCGAACATCGCTTGCCCGTAGTGCAACTTCGCCTTCATCTTGGTCCGAATATCCCAAGCAGTATCAAATGACGGGTAGTCGCCAGCACGGCCGTGTCAGTGGGATTTACTCCCCGAAAAAGGCCCGGTCGTCCGTCTTGATGATCTATGAAGACGTGGATGAGGGAGATCGTTTAGCGAACTCAGATCATGATGTCAAGGATAGCAGTGACAGTGAGAATAAAGGCAGCGATACCGGAGGTCGGCGCGGCTTCTTCGACAGTGACGACGTCCACCGCTTCATGACGGGTGATGTGAGTCCCAGCAAGAAGAAAGAGGTGGATGCCGCGGCGAACTTAATCGCACTCAAGTTCGCACGATAACCCCTGGCCTTTGGTCATTTCCTTCTTTTTTTCTGCTTTTCTTTTTCTCGTTTTCTTTTGTCTTGGGAGGAAGGCCCTGGTCCGGCAAAGTTATCGGACTTGAGTGTGAAACAAAAGCGCGACATGAGGTGCGTGTTTGGGAGATACCTGTGGGAGGGTGGCCAGCTTGTACGCGAAAAGCATGCTGTCGCTGGCCGCCACGGGCTTCACACCATGGGCTGCGCCTTATTGAAGGACTAGGTGTGGGTTAACAGGGCCATTATCTATATCCAGACTCTTTGTCAACAGTGTGGTGAATGAGCCCCGTGCTGGTTACTACTCCTGCGGCAAGGGGCGCTGATTCTTGAAAATGTTGGTGATATACCAAACGCAAGCGGGCGGGGCTCCTGTTTCCAGAATAGCCTGGGCCAAGTTTGGCGTGATGGGTAAAAAAAGGGGATGGGACGGCGGGTTGACTGGTGGCTACATTCTATGATATCATTCGCTAGCTTTCACGGCGATTAGCGACGGCGTTGGGGGTTGGACAGGGTGGCTTTGGCAGTTCTTTGAATGGTTGTAAATTTGCTGGCAGGCTAGTGGTCTTGATGTGAGCCTGGGTCACGGTCAATTAGTCCAGCATTCATGTATGTTGACATGTCATGTTGTCATAATAAATATATCATGACCAAATGCAGTCGGTGCCTCCATGTCCCCTTTTCAAAGAGCTAATGGGAGCAAGATGGTGGGGTATACAAGGTAGGTCGGGTGTGGGAGAGTGAGTGATGCTCTGATGTCCAGAGCTAAAAATCCTGTCTGGCAGCGATGACATCAAAGATGTACTTTGACTAGCACTAGGTACATGCGCTACAAATATCTTCCCAGCGTCATGTTAGGGCATTGAGTGTGGATAAAAGGCAAGGAACAAAAAGCTTATGTATGTCGTATCATTGGGGATTTATTCCCATGGCCTCTTTTATATCCCATCATGTCTTACTTAAACACGCGAAACAAAAAACAAAGTATGGAAACCAATAAACGCCTTGCAACGCCCCCGAATGTCATGATGGTAATGTCCAAGGAAAGGTAGAAGGGAAACATAAGAAATAAAAGAGAAATAAAATGCCCTGTCGCACTGTGTAGTAAGCAGGCCCAACATAGCATGTGAATGCCGTGTGCCGCGTGTGTCAAGTCAATGTCGGCTTCTCGTCTCGCCCCCGCAAACGCTACCACATAACTCTCTTTATCACATGCTTTGCACCGATTTAAGAACCCAAAACGGCTGATGAATCGATGAACAGAACCAAATCAATCCCAGAAACGACGAGGAAAACAGGAGAGCAAAACAAGTGTGTCAAGGATGAAACCAACCACACGGGCAATCTATAGAGGGGTTTCAAATTTGAAAAGCGGCGTGGCGCTAAAGCCCCGTGCTCATCTGTCTCCTGAGCGGACTAGCAGCCACACTGTTCTCTTCGCTCGCATAAAACCCCGAATCGGCATCGATATCCCAGCCTTCGTCTTCACTATTCGAGGCCGAGCCGGCACCGGCCGGGCCATCGCCCGAGTCAAACCCCTTCTGCGTGGCGGCACGCACGTTCCACTTGAGGGTCCGCGAGACGCTGTCGAACCACTCGTTGTCGGTGCGGACGACGGTGGGGAAGGGGAACTGCGAGGCGGTGATGGTGACGTGGTCGCCTTGCCTGAGCTCGACGCGGTTCTTGCCGTCGAAGGCGCAGTAGGCGGTGGCGCGGCTGTTGCGCGGGACGGATACGCGCAGGAGCATCGAGTCGGAGAGGATCACGGGGCGGAAGGAGAGCGTGTGTGGGCAGATTGGGGTGACGAGGATGCCGGGGATGTCGGGGTGGACGAGAGAGCCGCCGGCGGAGAGGGAGTATGCTGTGGAGCCTGGGAGGGTGTTAACAATTATCACGGATCTCTTTTCTCTTACCCTCTCTCTTCCCCCCCCCCAAAAAACAAAGAAAAGTGAGTGAAAGTGGAAGAGAATGCAGGCTTACCAGTTGGTGTTGAGAAAATACAGCCGTCGGCTTGAACGACAGTCAAGAGCTCATCATCCCCGTACAGCTCCAAGTTAGAAACATACGGTGACGGCCCGCGGTCAATGACCAGCTCGTTCAGGACTTCGAATTGCTCAGCCTCCTCCATTTCCTGGCCCGCGACGCCAGCCCGGTACACGGTACAGGTGAAACGCATCCGCATATTCGAACGCATGCCATCATCACCCATCACGCGGTTCAGGTGGTCCTTGTACTTTTCAAACTCAAAGGTTGTCAGGAAGCCAAGGCTTCCGAGGCTGAAAGACAGGACCGGCGGGACAACGCGTTGGAAGAGCCACGAGGTGAACAAGACGGTGCCGTCACCACCAAGAGTCAGGACAAGGTCGAATTTATCGGGCTGGCCCAGGCAAAGCTCCGGCGTCCAGTATTTGAGCATGTCCGAGAAACGCGGATCGAGATCGGTGATGCCCCTGGCATCAAACCGCTTCGAGTGTCGCAGCTTGGCGTCCACGAAGACGTTGACGCCAACTTCGGACCCGTATCGTGGCGTTTGCAGCAGAAACAGGGCTAGCTCACGGGTCAGCAGGACCAGCTGGTTGTCGCGCGCCTTGGTCACCACCATGACGTTCCTGACGGCGCGCTTGACGGGCCGGCGCTGGATTTGCCGAGCGATCTCGCGGACCATGGTAGTGGTCTGCGCGATGCGTGAATGGGGCATGTATTGGTCATGCTTGATTTCCTCGAGCAGCTTGGTGATGTCGACGGCGTCGTCGAAGCGGTTATGGTAGAAGCAGGGGGATTGCAAAGCGGGAAACGCGGCGGTCGGGGTCGCGGTGGTGTTGTTGGAGCGGGTGTTTTGGGCGAGGGCGAGGTCTTGGAGGGCGTCGCAGAGCTGTTGCGACGAGGACGAGTTGGGCTGGTTCTCGGCGCCCTTTGGGGGCGCGCTGTGTGCGGACAGCATGCCTGTCAGTGACAGGGGCTCGGGCTTGTTGTTGCGTGCGACCGAGGCCAGCGCCTTCATAATCGTCTGGCGCGGGACGGAGTCGATCGACGGGGCGTTCTTCCTGTGGCTGTGGTGATGGCGGCTGCTGCCGCTCGGGCGGTGCAAGAGGAGGTTGTCAGAATCCAACGGGGCCACGGGGCCTATTGGAGGCAGAGCGAGGTGCGGTCCAGCAACGGTATCATCGTTTCCGGATCTTGTGGCGGGTGGGATTGTGGCTGCGGGCGCGGGCGCAAGCGCAGGCGCACAGGGAGTAGCGATGGAAGTAGATGCGGACTCGAACGCCGTGGTCGTGGGGGGTGTTGTCCCGGCGGTGGTCGTCGTCGTCGCAGGGGTAGTAGTAGTAGTAGTAGTAGTAGTAGCGCCGAAGCCCGCGGGCGAGGAGAGCTGCAAGGTCGCGGAGTCGATGTCCCCGTTGTCGGGCGGCGACAACTTTAGGGAAAGGACTGCATTTGGGTTGTGCGAGCGGTCGGAGACGGCGGCAACGGGTGAGGAGGGCGTATTATGATTATGGTGCTTATTAGCCTCCTCGTGCCGCAGAGGGAGCGGGAGACCAGCGGGGTGGCTCAGGACGGGGTCGACTTCCACTTCCAGGTGGTCAGAGTGGACGGGTTGGACGGGTTGGACGGGGTAAATTGATGAATCGGACATGGTCGGATTAGTGTTCCCAGGGGGGGTGCGGAATTGGGCCCTTGGGGGTTGGGGGACGGCTGGTGGGCTTGTGGGGTGTTCTTTTCGGGCCTCCACGCTGAGCGCAATCCCGGCAAGCTGTCAGAATCGAGAAAAAGGGCCAGTGACCTTGGCCTCTGGGCGTCACGTCACGGCGGTCGGGTCCCGCAGCACGTTAGCGTCCACTTCCGACAGTGTTCCCACGCTCACTTTTCGGGGTTCCGATTGGAAACGGCCGGATCTCGCGGAGATCACAGACACTGTGCTCGACACGACAGGTTGCAGCTGCCCCGCGATGCAACTTTCCCGCTTTCTCAACCCCGACACCTGCAGGAAAATGGAGATAATGCACGGAGAATCCGATGGGCTGTTCCCCGACGTCACACTGCGGACAGTGTCCGGCTGCTCGGAAAACCAATAACTATCGGCTGTTGGCTCGCGGTTCCTCTCGATTGTGAGACGGAAGACAGAAAATAGAGGCTAATAAGATCTGGCACCTAGGTACACATAGACAGCTCAGTGCTCGCTGTTAGTCTTGTAAAAAATGCCTTTTTAGACCATTTGTAACGGCTACAACGGTCTGGAACGTTCAATGGAAGGACAGATGAGGAAAACAATGGTGCCCGTGGGAATGGGCGGGGCCGTTGAGTTCCATGCTTGGAACCGAGCCCTCACCAACCCCGGCCGTCACTCCCAGAACTTTAATCCACAAAGCGGCCCGAAAGGAACCAAGGTGGAAGCAAAGACACGGCATTGAAGGGGGTCTTACTCACCAGCAAGTGGTCCAAATACTAGTGGCAACTAGATTTTTCAGATATCCTTCCGTCAAAAAAGGAACGAAAATTCAATCGTCCTTTGTTGTACCTACGCACCCAACGAGGTCGTCTTCAAAACGCAAAGATGGGCTTCTGCTGAAGGGCCTGAGATGCGGGTGGCGGGCTGATGTGGTGGGGTGATTCGGAAACACAGGGCCCGGGTGTCTGGGGTTCGAGTTGGGCCGGCACACTGCGGCGTTGGCCTTGTAAGTCGGCCGATTGGTGCTGGGCGACCTGTGATATTGGTCGAGCCTGCAGTTGTTCCTGCACACGTGGGGTGATCAACCTTGGAATTGATGAGATCGTTGGCTGCTTGACGGCTTCGGTACCGAACAGAAGAGAACGTGATGAACTGATATAACTAGCGGCTTTGAGAAGACTGCCGACGGCCAAGAGGAAATATTAAATAATTAAAAAAGAAATATATCAGTTGAAGCGGCACCGAAGCAGCTAAGATGAGGGTTGTATCGAGAGAGCTGCCAGAGCTCAACGTGCTGCCGGAGCGGAAGAATGAAAGGAGGAAGGCGGACAAAGGCGAACGGGGCTGGCCATCAAGACAAGACGGGGCGGCGGAAAAACTGTAAACGCACGTCTCTTGGAGTTTTTAACATCTCTGGAGTGTCGGTGGAAGGCGAACATGGTCCGACAGACAGGGGAATGCTGAGTTCAGGGGGTGGGTGCTTTGGAGCTGTTGCAAGGGGTATTGAGCGGTTGTTGAAGAGGTGATACACCACCCTTGAACCCCTCGAACTGCTTGTCTCCTTCTTTTTGGTGAAGCCAGGCACCTCTATCCGTAGATGGTTCGCTTTCCGCCTGTCCAAACCGCCCGTGCCGCTCTGCGCGGTAAGCGGGCCGTCCGTCAAACTCCACTCCGGCCCCAATGCGCCGGCTCTCTGTGCCGACTTGGTGTAGTTACGGATCTGTGCTGTTACGCGAGTCAGGGGCATTGAGCCTGTACTGTACCAGTTAGCGCTACAGGGCAGTACTTAGCAGCCGGCGGAGGAAAACGTTCACCAGGAGGACGTGCGATGGCCACTCGCCGGTGTCAACTCCACGGAGGTTGCTTTCCATGTGCGTCGCAGGTTGTTCTCACCTCCCCGGCTCGCATCATTAACACACGTAATCAAAATCCCTGGTGCAATCCTCCCAGCAAAAGTACGGATCCGTCCATAGCAACAGCAGGAATCCGTCTGAACGGCGGTTGGGTAATTGGGTCTCATTCACGTCTCCTGAAAGCCAGGGTCTGGAGGCGAGGCGAGGAATTGGGGGTTGGGCCGAAGGGGGGGAAAAGCTGTGGCACCCTTTTGAGACCGCCCTCGGTTCCTTTGTTGCATCAGCGGGAACGCATGTAAATCTGCCGCTCAGGCCAGTTCCGCTGGGGATCATTCTCGCAACGGCACCCTAGCCTGTCGACCTCTGGGCAGCCGCATAAACTGTCCCAGAACAACCCCCACCACGATCCGACGGTGCCTCAAAACAATTGGAAACTTACCATCTGTTCGTGCTGTTAAGCGCTCCCTGCAGCCTTGATGGAACAACATGCTCGCGAAAAGGTGACGGTGCGAATCAAGCAGGGGCTTCGGTCACGCATCGAATCAATGAAGCCCCGGCGAGTCTTAGTGCCTCGAGAATACGGGGTGACTTCCACTGGTGATGTTCGAGGGTGGGCGGCTACTGAAGGGATGCTCCGTCTTTTGACACCTCGACTCAACACCTGGGACATTGGGGTCATCGACAGGCGCCCGACTTGAACAACCACCACCAGGATACCGTTCATTGATTTGGCTTGTCGGTTTACGTTAAACCCGAATCTGAACATAACACCGTTCGAGACCTGGGTGCGGCGTATGAAGCGAAAGCTCAGATGAAACAGGGCCTGGACCTGCTATGGGGCAATCCCAAACATGGCCCGGCAGGCTGGCCCACCAACGTTTGAGACGGCGACATTTTGGCTCCAGAGTCAACACAACATTCCTGGGGAAAACACCGCGGTGGAGAGTTTTGGGGTCGGCATTAATCTCGATTTTTGGTGATGGGTTCGTGGCTCGTCTCCGCGTAGCAGTAGTTAACTTCCGGTTAGTAACCAATCCAGATGTGCTTGCGTCGCTGTGGAATGCGTTCAGAGCCCCTCTCTATAGTATTCGAAGCTTCATATCCTTTGCTTCGTATTGCCCGTTGTCGGTCCGGTCATGTCCCCCTATCTTCCACAACAACGCTGTCACGGGCATGTGAAACTGAAGTCGGGATGTGGGCGGCAAATCGTACAGTTTTGGCGTCGAAGACCTGCTCTCGGTGCAGCCCTCGCGACGGGCCGAGCTTTCGATCTCGGGTTCACTCGAGATGTTTCAGTCCGCCAAATTGAGCCGAGTTGAGTTCCTCAGAGGCTGCCGCCTCACTTCCAATGCAGATCCTTCGCTACCTTTGCCTCCATTGTCGACTGGAGAAACTGCCGCATATCCGGGCCTCTTGTTGCCTCTTCATCTAGCACCATCTCCATTCCTTCCTTTGTTGGCGCAGACCGGCAGCATATCTCCCTTGCAGTGTCATACACACTATCCCACTCTTTGACTGTGAAATCTCCCTCGCTCTCCGCTAAAAGCAGCCCACCATGGGAGGTAAAGGCCAACACATGGGCTGACTGTGCCGTTTCAATCGCCCTCGTTGAAGGGTCTACCACCAGCGTCGGGGCGCCTTCTTCTTGCCGCATAACTGCGATCGCCGTGGCGGTTGCCGTCGCTCGCATTGGTACACCGGCTGAGAGGAGCGCAAGAACAGCCGTTTGCATCAACGCCGGCATAATAGCAAAATTCTATCCTCATTAGCGGCGGCACATTCTTCCCGTTTGTCTCAACGATTTTACCCACCAAACTCGCTTGGACAAGCTTCGTATTCACATAGTCGTTCTCAGGCGAGTCTTCGACCTGAAGCACGATCTGGACAAGGCAACGCGGAAAATTCTTGACCAGGATAAGCTGGGTGAGCGAGGACTGGAGAATAGATTCAAGATGCCGCTCCCGGGTCCCTATGTATTTGACGTCCAATGGTAAGAATCCGCTCGTTATTGACACTTGTTACCGAAGGCGTTCTTACCTCCTACACCTGCTGCTGGTCGTATCACGACATCCACATGTGCTTCATATGCGTGCTCGTCCCTCCGTTGGGCTTCGATCGGGCCATTAACAGACCCTGTTACTGTGTAGCCGGCATGAGAGTAATTTGCAGACCCATCCGCCCGCGGGAGAACCCCAAGCGCTGCTTCTGGCGCTGCTGCCGTTGTTGTCATGTTAGAATTTTTTTTTCGGTTGAAGTTGTGTGGTATGAAGACATAGGTGGATTTGTAGTTTGTCAAAGACGCTGAAAATCCAATGAGACCCGCCCGTTTGGCGGGCTGAACTTGCAGGCGGCCTGCCCCGCAATTTAGCGTTGTTTGGCCCACTGCAGCTTGCAGGCACGGGTTAGCGCGTCAGCCAAGCTTTGAGGTCGCGGGGCATCAACCCACTTCATCACCTTTTCCTCCATCAAAGCTCCCGGGACATATCACAGAGGGACTTGGTTTTCTCAGTTTTATAACGTCTAATAATAACATAGAAACACCGAGACATGGCGTCTTTATCACCGACCGTTCCCAGAGCAGGAACCAATCCTCCCGCGCCAGGAGCTGCCCCTCATCGGTTAGGTGGAGATATCCCCAACCTAAAGGACCGCATCCCGAAACTCGAACCCCGGAGGAGGAAGGCCGAGCAGGCAAATCCAGTTCCAGCCCCGGAAACACCATCAGCACCTCCCCGGCCGGATCCGGCAACTCTCAACTTCAGCACCCCTTCTCGGAGGATCCTCTCCCCAAAGGATCACCAGCTCTTCCTATCCTCGCCAGCTTACTCTCTCATCCTCTCCTTCGTGTTTGGGCTCTCCGAATCGGTAGTCGACAGGCCGATATCGTCCGTCAAGGAGACCGAGCTCTCCCCGGCCGTAAAGTCCATCCTCGCCATCCTCGACGAAATCGATTCTCTCTGTGTGGAGTCCCCCCCCGACGACCAAGGCGGCTCCCGCTTCGGCAACAAGACCTTCCGTGTATTCCTCGACAAAGTCAAGCAGCGCTCCCCCACATGGCACACCGCCCTCATCCCCGCCGACACCATCCCCAACGGCCCATCCGCCGCCGCCGGATCCGAACTCTCCGCCTACCTCTGCCAGTCCTTCGGCAACCGCAGCCGCATCGACTACGGATCCGGCCACGAGCTCAATTTCGTCATGTGGCTACTCTGCCTGTACCAACTCGGCCGGGTCGAACGGACCGATTTCCCCGCCCTCGTCCTCCGCGTCTTCACCCGCTACCTCTCCGTCATGCGCCGCGTGCAAAGCACCTACTACCTCGAGCCCGCCGGATCGCATGGTGTATGGGGGCTAGACGACTACCAATTCCTGCCGTTCCTGTTCGGTGCCAGCCAGCTGCTGCACCACCCCTTCATCACGCCGCGTGCCATTCACCAGGAGCTGACGCTGGAGGAGTTTGGCGATGAATTCCTCTATCTCGGCCAGGTGGCGTTTGTAAACAGCACCAAGACGGTTAAGGGCCTGCGCTGGCACAGTCCGATGCTGGATGACATCAGTAGCGCCAAGAGCTGGAACAAGATCGAGGGCGGTATGCGGAGGATGTTTGTGAATGAGGTGCTGGGGAAGCTGCCTGTTATGCAGCATTTTCTATTTGGGTCGTTGATCCCTGCTGCCGAAGGGATGAGCGAGCCTCAGAATATGGGGGTTAAAGAGGAGGAGGATGAGGAAGAGGGTGGTGAGGTGGAGGTGTTTGACGACAAGGAGGGGGTCAGGCATGTGCATCAGCCGAGTGGCTGGGGGGATTGTTGCGGGATCAAGGTGCCAAGTAGTATTGCGGCGGCCGAGGAGATGAAGAAAAGAGGAGGCGTCGAGCAGTTGCGAAGGATACCGTTTGACTAACACTTCAAAAGGCACTTGGAAGAGAAAAGGGGGGAAGGGGCTGAAAGGCAGTCAATGTTTGTCAGCAAATATAGTTCCAGGCTGTTATAATGCTCCGTTAAATACATCAAACATGCTCACAAAACGTGTGCTAACAAAAACACCCCAAACCCAAAGCTCCAATGTAAAATACAGTCCGGTATCGTGGTGGCCGACCGCAAGGCCCCTGATGAATGCTGATATGACGGGAGAAGGGTATCAAAGCAAACCTAGCCCACCGCTAAACGCCTACCAATGTTGGCAATCTTGTGCCCGTAATGCAGAATGGATAAAAAGGGAAAGAAAAAGCCGGAAAGAAAAAGGCCAAGACATCAACTCCAATCTGGTCGACGCTTTCCCACGGAAATAAAATAGGCTTGGTGCTGACAACTTTGCTGCCCACATCAGGAAGCGCATGACGCCCTCTAGGCCGGCGCCGGGCCGATAAGCCATGCGGCGTACTGAATGTGGAGGGCATCAGTCTTCCCAAATTGTCTCCAGGTCGAGATCCTGTCTTCTCTCGGCGCCACATACGCTCCACCGCTTCCTCTTGTCACGAGATCCGAACCCACTCAGAGTTCGGCCGCGCGAGGGCACATCCAAGCTACTCTTGCCTTTGGTATCCCCGCCCGCGGCAGCGTCCACGGCGGCTTTCAGTTGAGCAATTCTTTCGGCCTCCAAAGCGGCCTCCTCGGCGTCCGGCGAATCAGGAATGGTTTCGAGACTGGAAATGCTGGGGCTTCTGGATCTCGTAGAAGTCGGGGTTGAAGGCACAGAAGACGATGGGTAGTATCCATAGCTGCTGGACGGGGTATCGTATGATCGATATGGTGGTAGGGCTGCAATCGCAGATGGTGTGACCGGCGCGGAAGTTGCGCCGAGGGTCACAGGCTGACAAAGGGGCGAGGAGGGCCGGCGCAGCTTCGGTACCGATGTCATTGGGGTGATTCCGAGGGCTAAGTTCGGTAGGCTCGATCCCTCCGGTGTCTTTTTATCGTGATCGAGGACGGAAACTCGGGTCGGCGAGGGCGGGAATGCTTCATCGACTGGTTTTCGTGGAAGCCGCATCCGGCTGGGCGACCCAGAGGGGCTCTGCGGCCGAATATGAGGAGAGTATAGGAGGTGACCAGTGACACCTGTGCTCGGCATCGACTGAGTGCGTGCCATGGGCGGCGCCAAGCTTGCTGCCGACCGAGACCTCACATGGTTGCTAGACAGTGGTGAAGATGCTCGGGGTCGGTAGGGCAGAGTGGGAGGCAACCACGCCGGTGAGATGGGGGATGTCGGCGACGGGTCGGTGGATCGGCGGACGGTAGGAGGCTTTCGGGGCAAGTCGGACTCGGGGGCGCCGGTAGTCGTCGCAATGGCAGACAGTCTCAAACTCGGAAGGGGTGAAGATCGAAACTCCTCCATTCGCTCTGTTTCGGGAACCGGCTCCATGGTGACCGAGGTATGAGCTGCGCTCGGGAAACCGGGGTTGTTATGGGAGGAGAGGGTGCATGTGCGGCCGGTGAGTGGTGCGGTGTGAGATTTGCGGTTATTATGATAAAGACCGAAGGGACGGAAACAACCGCAACTGAGCGAAGAATGCGGTGGGACAATGGGCTGTTTGCCGGTTTCCGTTTGCGGCTCGATGTCGATGTCGTTGTTTGAAATGAAAGGGCCGAAGCCGTATTCGGCGCCGCAGGAAATCCCCGGTAGGAAATGGCGGGATCCCAACAGGATGTTTCTCCTATTAATGGAAAAACTGCAGCAGAGCCGGCGAGAAATGCGTCAAAGATGTTGCCTAGCTTTTTTTGAACCTTCAAGCTCGGTCAAAAGTCGCAAGCCGGCGACCAGCGATGGGAGTAGGCTTGCAGCGCAGGCAGGCAGGTGTTCCTGCCGGGTGACCAAAGACCTAGGTTCAGGAGGAGGGCGGTTCGCCGCGGTTCGTTGGTCGGCTGGCTTGCAAGGCTTCAGTCCTAAAATGCAGGGGGTTGTCGAGGCGGGGTCTTTAACCGGCACTCCTTCACAGGCGCTCAATGGGGGAAGTGGCAAAGGGTGCTGCGACGGGACAGGGTGTGTGGGGGGTAGGGGCATTGATTGGAAGCGCCCCTGGGTAATCACGCGCCACAATGTGTGCGGGCGTCCCCGGTCAGGGACATGCGAACCTATGGGCGCTTCAACACTTCTTTTTCTGCAAACTCAAAGCGGATGACTATTCTTCGGGGGAACATACAAGAAAGATGTTTCCACCTACACTACTATATAGTGTCGAGTATATTCAGACATGGGACTCCACCTGTCCGGAGGAGCCCGTGTAGCCGCCCGACTCGAAACCCCTCGCCGGGCAAGATATGCCGCTTCGCCTAATGCCTCCCGTCGGCAGACCGGCTCCTCGGATCGCTCTCGTCCGCACCCTTTGGGAAGAGGAAAATGGGGACCTTCCCTTTTGGCACATCGTGCTGGGAATACTAAGCGACCGTGGATACCAAGTATTCATACACTAGAATAGGCATCCCTTTTCTTCCGCCCCTTCATCTTCCTGGACCTTTAAAATCTAGAATGGAGCATTTTGAAATACGTACTGTGTAGGTGATTACAGAGTCCATGGGATCTCCTCAACTCCGCAGAAAATACCTCTAGGGATCCCTCCACCGGCCGGGCGCCCTTCGATACAAAAGCTTGGAAGCTGGCTGTGGACGAAGACATTGAAAGAGTTGACGCTGTTGTTCAAATTGTTGTTGAGGGAGGGGGTTGACGATTTATACTCCGTACATGTCAGCCAATTATGGACAGGCTCCAAGTCAAGGGTCTGCTGTCCTCGAGAAACCCGGAATGTTTTTGTTTGAAGCTACCCTCGGGCATCGGGCTTACCTAACTACTTGCCGACTTACCTAAGTATGGGCGGCCGAAATAAAGAAACACGTGAAGCCTTCTCCCGAAATTCCGGGTGTGTTTCAAGGTACCGACTTTACGGATACACGTGGAGGTATGTACAACGTTGCTTTCTTGGGCTCATGTCGAAGTTGGTCCAGTCGGTTTTCTGGCCCCCAACTCCCCTTGAAGCCTCGGCAGATCCTGGCGAAAATTGACACCTTTTTTTGGCTGGTCAAGCGGTGTTCAGTGCCTTAACTCCGTTCAACACCCGCGTTTCCGTCGCAAGGAACGGCGAAGCAGACCACCCGCACAGCTCACCACAACAAAATGCCTGCTAGATCAGTGGATCAGCGCTCGCCAGCCTGACTGCGATGCGTTTCGCGCCCAATGATGGGCCGCACTCGCTGCCACCCTGGCAGACCCAGCCCTTCGGTCGCTCCGATCACCGTGGTTTTCGTGCAGAAGTGACCAAAAAATATGGGTTGTGGAACATGAAGATTCCCTTTTCCCCCCAGCCTTCCCAACACATGCGCAACCCGCCGATACATAGATGGTATGGACAGGTCGATCCCGACATTTGTGTTCAACTCTCACCCACTCGCCGACCGGCGCCCGATCCTCTCCGCCTGAGTAACCAGACACCACATCCAATCTGATCCAATCCGGCCGAGATGCCGGCGTTCACCGGCCGGATCGCCGTCCCGCTAGGGCCGTTAACGACAACATGGACGATGCCAGAGTTTTGCAGCATCCATGTGCTCGGCTGCACGACATGTAGTAAAGGCTACCGGGGGCAGCAATGCTTGGTGGAAAATGGAACTACTGCTCCCCAAGACCATACCACCTGCTGGCCGCCTATGACCGCGAGGGCTGGGTCGCCAACCCACCCCTTTGTTGGGTTGGGCTTGTACTCCCCGGGGCTTGTGTGTCCCATGGGGTATACCACAGCCTGCACGGCAGAGTATGGCGGGAGGTCTGGTTGGGAGATGCAGTTTAGTCTGATTCCCGGGGAGACTGCGGTTGGGTGTTGCCCTGAGTAAGTTCCCGTCTGCCGCCCCCCCAAGCGCGACAATATTGGAAACGCTGACTGAAATGTTGACCTTCAACAGGGGCTTTAAGTGTTCGAATATCTTTGGCAACACCTGCATCGCTGTGGAGACGAACCTAGTTGCCACCACGGCGCTGTGCTCCGGCACGCAAATGGTCGACATAAACCAGGTTACCATCCCTCTTTCCGTTGATGTCACGACGACCATTATCGATACTGCCGCCGAGAACACGATGGTGACAAATAGCCTGAGCCGTGTCTCGATGATGGCCCCCATGTTCCAGCTGAACTACAAGGCCTCCGATGTACAAACCGCGCCAACCTCGACGGCATCTTCCCAGCCGACACGCCCGACAACGGGAACGGGACCTCGGCCAACCCATACCGAGGGCGGGGGTTCGGTCGGGGGCTCGGGCGGGCTTTCCGCGGGCGCGATTGCCGGTATCGCCGTGGGAGCGGTACTTGGTGGGATTCTCCTAGGCGCACTAGCGATTCTGTTCTTCATACGACACAGAAAACAAGCGGGACAGGCGCAGGCAGAACAGCAACAAGGAACCCAAAACACAGGCGAGCCACCATCCGGATATTACTATGGCGCTTCCGTCCCTGGCCACGCAACCGGCCACAAGTTCGGCGAGATGGATGCAGGGTTTGCTGCGAGCGAGATGTCTGGGGGGTACGTCAAGCTAGATCATTATCACGGCGGTTCCCATCCGGACGGGACTCCGTGGACAGAGCTGTCGTCGCTCCGTGAACCTGGCGAGCTCCCTGGGGAGACCGGTCAAGCAGGCCACGAATGGAGCAGTAATCCACACTTCACGAGGCCTCGTTAACGCACAACACCCCCCGATACCATACCTTTTCAGCCTCGTGATGTCACAACCCCTAATCTCGGTGCCTAGGCCGGTGTAATTGATAATAAGCTGGCCTTACGAGCGGAGGAGGGAAGCTCTTGAACATTATATTGTAAATAGTTAAAGCGTCCACGGCCACCTTTGACAGCCGACCTTTCTGAGAGTTCTAGTTTAGACAGGTGGGCACCGTTAACCAGCACAAGAACCAGCAGAAGCCCACCAAATCCAACCGAAGCGACTGGCCGAGGATGAGCTCAGGGGACGGGAGGGGTTTTAATGGCAGCTAGAAGTCTTTCTCGATACTTTGTTCATATTTTCAAAACCAAGCACATATAACTTGGAGCAGCTTCTGCTAGTGCCTGATTCCGCCCAAGGGATGCTAGCGCGGCAGACCAAGTCCCTGGATGCCCTATATTTCTACAAAAGTGAAAAAGATAAAAAGGAGTAAATTAAAAACGTGAAAGAAGACAGAAAAGAATAAATCAAGACACAGCGATGGTAGGTACCTAGATACCCCGAGCCTCGAGGAAGGCGCAAGTTCGGGGCTTTCTAGGCTGAGGATTGTCGCCCATCACCGTTTGAATGCGCCCCTTTTTATTTACATTAGACTAGACGTCCGGCCAAAGCTATATTTGAACATATGGATTTAATATCTTTTTAAGGTCCACGCTCGTTGCACAGGTTGACAGGGCTGTGGACAACCATATCTCGATTCCCCGAGACAAGATGGGTCGAAATACAGTGCTAATGACTAAAAGCACGGTATTACTCATCCGGCGGCGAAATGTGCCGCTGTTTCCATCTTGGGATGGAATCTAGCCGTGTCAAAGCGTTTGGTGTACAATTTTGCCTTCTGGGGATTTAAGGTCTTGCAGTACAGCCTATTTCTTCAAGGAAAAAAAAAATAACACAACTTATTTTATCACTTTCCTTTTCCTTGCCTCTCTTTTCCCTTTCATTTTCTTTAAGCACGATTTCCGAAGTCGCTGTATTTCAAAAAGCGCACAAGCCTGCTGGTGCCCCGGGACACGGTACTTCTCAAGTGCTCACAACTCTAGTGTGTTTCAACGTCTCACTTAGTCGATTTTCCCCATAACGGCGTCCAGAATGACCGAAATAGCACAAACGGACTCCCCAGCCAGAGGCTCGCATAGAGGAAGAGGGAGTCGGCCGGGTCGGTATAGAAGGGGCCGTCGTCAAGGACCACGGCCATCTGTCCAGTCACATGGCAACGAAGGGGACCAACCCTCAGAACCAGAGCTACCCAGGGACGTTGCTCAGCCAGCCGCTACTACTAGTGAGCCCCAGAATGAGGATTCTACTCGTGGCGGCCGCCCCGGGAGGGGCCGAGGCGGGAGGGGAAGGTCGGGCGGTCGAGGGCGTGGTGGGACTGCTCAACGTTCTGTCGTGGTTTCACATCGCGGCGGACGGGGACCGCCACAGGCGCCGGGGCGTGGTGGCATTCATACATCCGGGCAATCTTTAAGTGCGGCTGCCGACGAATTTGTCCCGGGTCAACCTGTCTCGTTTCCAAGGTCGGTTATCCCGGTCTAATCGACGCTTTTCCAACGTGATACTAATAGGCACTGTAGCTCAGGGCAGTTGGCACAAGCAGCAAGGGCAGCACCAGCGGGACAACTATCAGGGCCGGCCTCGCAAAACAAGCCCCCAGCACCGGTGGCTTTGCCAAAGTCTACGGCTGCAGATCTTCCTACCCGGATTCATGAGGATATCGATCGTCGCCAGTACGAATGTGTAATATGCACCAACGAGGTCCTACGCAACTCCAAGGTGTGGTCTTGTCCTGTTTGCTGGACGGTTACCCATCTTCATTGTGTGAAGAAGTGGCACACAAACCAAATGAAGGAGAAGGAGGAGAACCAGAGGCCGAATCAACCTGAGGGCTGGAGATGCCCAGGTTGCAACTCTAGCCTGGTCGAGCAACCAGGCCCTCACCGCTGCTGGTGCGGCAAAGATACTGACCCCAAACCCATAGCTGGTCTCCCCCCTCATACCTGTGGGCAGTCATGTTCGAAAACGAAGGCGACGTGCCCACATCAGTGCTCGCTGATGTGCCATGCGGGTCCCTGCCCGCCCTGCACGCTGATGGGCCCGGCCCAACCTTGCTTCTGCGGCAAGCATACTTCGACAAAGCGGTGCGCCGAGACCGATTACGGAAAAGGATGGAGCTGCCAGGAGCTTTGCGGCGACTTACTACCCTGCGGGGAACATTCTTGCGACCAGCCTTGTCACGCTGGGCTCTGCGGCTCTTGCGAGATACCTATGCTCTCGAGTTGTTACTGTGGAAAGGAAAAGGGAGAGATAGCCTGCAACAAGCGTGACGACATTCTAGAGTCATTTAACCACAGGCAGCTCAAGCCGTCTCTGGCACCTGACGACGACGAAGTTCTGGAAGCGGACGATCAGTGGTTCGAGGGCTCATTTCGGTGCGACAATATCTGTGGACGGCCATTCGACTGCGGAACCCACACCTGTCAAAAGCCCTGCCACGCGCAGGATGAAGAGGCAGCACACTGTCCTCTCTCCCCTGATGTGGTCACCCATTGCCCATGCGGCAAAACCTTGCTCACATCCATGTCCGCGGCATCGAGGAAGTCATGCGAGGACCCCATCCCACACTGCGACAAGCCTTGCAATAAGGTTCTGGCTTGTGGGCATCTGTGTCTGGACGAATGCCACACCGGTCCTTGCGCCCCCTGTCCCCAGTATGCCGATATACCATGTCGATGTGGTAGAACGACAAACAGGTCCGCTTGCCACCAAGGAAACATCGCTCACCCTCACTGCTTCCGAGTCTGCAAGGCACAGCTTAACTGCGGACGTCATGAGTGCGGGGAGCGTTGTTGCTCTGGCGAAAAGGTGGCCGCCGAGCGGCGAAAGCACAAGCGGAACGTCAACGTGAAATACGAGCCCGAACACATATGCCTGCAAGTGTGCGGCCGCCAGCTCAAGTGCGGTAACCACGCTTGTCAGCAGCTATGTCACAAGGGACCATGTGCTTCATGTCCCGAAGCTATCTTTGACGAAATCAACTGTGCCTGCGGTAGGACGGTTCTTCAACCACCTCAACCTTGTGGGACTCGGCCACCCGAATGCCGGTTTCCTTGCCGAAGGGCTAGCCCGTGTGGCCACCCGTCTATTGAGCACCAATGCCACCCGGAGGACACGCCGTGCCCAAAGTGCCCTTACCTGATGGAGAAACCCTGCGTGTGTGGGAAGAAGACACTGAAGAATCAGCCTTGCTGGTTTGGGGGGGCCCAGTGTGGCTTGCCATGTGGGGAGGCCCTCAAGTGTGGGAATCACAAGTGCAGAAAGGCATGCCATAAACCAGGAGAGTGTGAGGATGCAGGCATTCCCGGTACGCACTGCTCCCAACTCTGCGGCAAGGCTAGGAAGTCGTGCGGGCATCCCTGTGCCGAAGAATGCCACGCCCCTGATTCTTGCAGGGAGACCAAGCCGTGTCAGTTTAAAACGTTCATCACCTGTCCTTGCCAGCGCCGAAAGCAGGAAGTTCGGTGTCAGGCCACCATTCTCAACCCATCGGTGGCTCGGGAGTCGGCGCTCAGGTGTGACGATGAATGCGATCGACTTCAACGGAACCGAAAGCTCGCCGAGGCGTTGCACATCGATCCTAACACCCATACCGACGACCATATTCCGTACTCGGACACCACGCTTAAGAAGTTCCGGGAAAATGTCAACTGGGCACAGGAACAAGAGCGGGAGCTTCGTGTTTTTGCTAACGCCCCTGAGGTGAAGCGCATTCGATTCAAACCGATGCCGTCTCACCGACGCGCATTCCTCCATGCCCTTGCCGAGGACTTTGGCCTCGACTCGGAGAGTCAGGACCCAGAACCGCACCGGCATGTGTGCATTTTCAAGACTCCCCGGTTTGTGTCCGCCCCGCATAAGACGTTAGCCCAGTGTCTGCGCATCGCGAACACCGCCGCTAGGCTCGGAGCGGTCGCGTCGTCCCTCAAGCCCGCACCGCCTCCTGCTTCTCAGCAACAGACGGAGTTCTTCAACGCCCTCTTGCTCAAGGACCTTCGCTTCGCTCTCACGCTTGATGAACTCAACGATGCCATTGCCACAGAGCTGGCGTCTGCTTCCCGCTCTGGGCCCGCTCTCAGCTTCTCCACAACTTTCCTCCCATCCGAAGAGATCCTTATCAAAGCCACACCGAACATGACGGCCGCCGCCATCGCAACGTCTCTCACGCCTACGCCGCAGGCTGTTGAAAAGACCCTATCTAGTCTCAAGAGCTCGGTATCCAAGATAACTTCGCGAGAAGGGCTCGCTGGCGGAGTAGTGCTCTGCCACGCCGACGCTGCGGGGCAAATCACCCGACGGGAGGGCGATACGTCGGCCAAGAATGGCGGGTGGAATGCCGTGGCTGGCCGCGGGTCATGGCGCAAACTAGGTGGGAAGATATCTATAACTGAGGCTAAGGCTGTGGCCAGCGAGCAGCGACCGCGGAGCACATTCGTAGCGCTGAGGAAATCGGAGCCGAAGGCCAAGCCAGTTGTTCTTGACGACAAAGTTGTAGGGGATTGGGCCGCTGCTGTTGAGGAGGAGGAGGAGGAGGGAGGAGATGGTGTAGAGACTGACGGAGAAGACGGCGTGGAGAAAGCGAAAGATGACCACGATGCCAGTGATGACGCCAATGTTGATAGGGATCAGGGACAGGAAGTCGTGGTTGAGGGTCTTGATAACGGCCTCATCAAGGAGGACGGCGCGGATTTGGTTGGAATCGAGCAAGCCGAAAGCAAGCAAGAGGAAGAGGCACCAGCGCTGCTTGAGGCTGCTTCTCCTCAAGATGTAGTGGCCGTTTAGGGTAAAGAGATCACGCACTTTGTTAGGGACACCGTGCCTGACGAGAAGCAGGTGTTGGTGTAAGTATGGAAGAAATAGAAAATCAGCGTTGACGGGTAGATAGCTTAGATACAAGGACTCCCAAGCTAGACAACTTCCTGGGGGATATTCCTTCACCTTCCTTAGAATTACCCCCAATAATTGCTCTGCTCGTTTTCTTAGTAGTTTGTTCAAGTCACAGATCCGATCATGTGGAAGAAATCATCATTGGATACACCTACCCCTATAACCCCACATCAAAAAGGTAATATGCAAGGTACCCGTGGAGTGCCGTGTGAGCCGTGCTCGTGTCAAGCGAATGTCCTTAAGTGTGGATTTTAGCACAAGCGTCCATGTTAGTGACCAGGCAGATGATATATTTGCACGTGTGAGCAGGCTAAAATCAACACAAGTTGGGCAGCCACAAGTCATTATTACAGGCTGGATCTCGCAACTGCATTCTCGGGAATGTTTGAGACAAGCAAATAGTAGAAGTGCAGTATCGAGAGCACCTGCGGGGTTCCACACGCAGGTTGGGGTATCAAATGCGCATAGCGAGATACACACAGGAGAGAAAACCAAAGTGACTACCGGGTAAGTACCCAAAAACCACCCATTCACCCGTACCCTTCCCTCTGTCTCTGCCGCTGCCGTTACTTGGCGGAATTGTGGCGAGCCTGTCCCGCAATCAACCTCAAATAACTAATGTCTCATCACCCGTCAAGCCGTGACGCCACCTCGGGTGCGGGACACAATGCTAGGTCGGACCATGAATTACGCTTTATCCGGCACAATGCGATTCAGAAAATCGACAATGGCCTCAAAGTAGCCCTCCTCCACCACACTCGAGTTATGATCGCCACCGGGGAGAGGTTTCCAGATCTTGATGGGCGCCTTGGAGAGGTCGTGGAGCCGCTTCATGTGGATGGGACTGGAGCATGCGATAGTGGTTAGCATAGGAGGTATCATAAGAGACTATGTTAAAGAGAGTGGTACCCACGGGATTATTTCGTCCTGGAGACCGCTCAGGAAGAGAGTCGGGACTTTGATATTAGGAATTAAGCTGTCGCTCGGCCAGACCTGGTGGCACAGATACGCCAGGTACTTGGCGGGCGGCATGATGGACGGGATCAGTTTACGCATGCTGAGGAAGGTATTCTCTAGGATGAGACCGGAGATGTTGGCAGCCTGGTTCTTTGCCACGAGACGAATGCCGACGGCACCACCCAAGCTCTGGCCGTACACAACAATCCTGTGATCGCGCGTCTCGGCGCGGTCGCGGAGATAGTCGAGGGCTGTTTGGGCGTCAATGTTCAGGCCAGATTCGTCGGGTTGGCCGGTGGAGATGCCGTAGCCGCGGTACTCTAGCATGAAGACGTTGCAGCCGGAGGCGGCGATCAACATACGTGCGATGGGCAGACGGTGGCCGATGTTGCCGGCGTTGCCGTGGAACATGAGGATCGTTAGATTTGCGTTGGGCCCGCCGCGCGGGCCACGGATGTAGAAGGCGGATAGCTTCACGCCATCGTTGGTCGGGATGATGAGCTCCTCGTAGTCCTTGAAGTTGAACTGGCTGGGGCGGGGGACCTCGGTACGGGCATTGGCGGGGACTTCGGAGGGATAAATTAATGCTCTGGGGATAAAGAGGTGATGTTAGCGGTGGAATACATCAAACACGGCTGGGGACTCTGCGACGTTAAGTCAGATGAAGAAGGAATGATTGACATACTTTTGTTTAAAGTAGAGAAGAGCTGTTAGAACCGCGGCGACCCCCTAAATAGTGCAACAAAGACCAGTTAGCGAACCCAGCTCGATCATTGTGTCGACAGCGCTTGGCCGACGAGGAGAAATATCTGGAACTTGCCCCCTGAACCAGTCGGCGCGGTTGACGGCGCAGCCATTCAGGCACTGGGCGGGATGCGCAGAGGTGTCGGGGCATACAGTTGAAGCTATCGCAGGCAAGCGCATGTAGCTTGCTGCACTGCTCATGAGAGAGACAGTCTGCTCCAGAAAAGAAGGGTTCGCCGTCGGGTTGTGCATGGCGAAGCGGCGCGAAGGAAAGAGTTGGAAGTGGAAAGGGCGGTATACGGAATATAGTGGCCGGGATGTGGAGGACCAACGGCGCCGTTCAGGGATTGCGGATGGGGATGGGAGGAACGAAACCAAAAGCTCGGAAGCAGGGGGACGTTCAGTGTTGGTGTCGCTTTTTTGATGGCCGAAATGTGGAGTTCAGGCGCCAGGGCACGGGTACCTTACATAGTAGTTTTTCTCATTTTCGGGGAACTTTTCACTTCTCTTTAATTTATTAACATCTCACGTGAAAATAAGAAAATCCTCCCTTTTACACTACTTCGTATCGAATCACTCTAAGGAAACCAGTCGCTGCAGCTGTACAAGTCGAGAAATGCTAAACTTGGGCCAACCTGGAATCGGAAGGTTCCTGCGTGCTAGGTACATGAAGATTTTGGGATTGGCGGGGAGAGGGTGGAAATTTAGGTGCCGCTCCAAATGTCCGCAGCGTCGAGCAGCAACATGATGTAATGTCAATTGGCGGATCTTCCCCAGCGGATCGCTGCTCGATCTTGTCTCCCCATCCAGGAGCGCCTCGGCCCCGAACTGAAAGGGCCGCTTGGCCGAGGAAGCGGGCCCGCGCGGCCTGGGATCGACGGGAAGGATCATTGACTTGGGAATGGTCGTTGCGCTCACTTGAGAGGTTGAGAAAGGCCTTTGTCAAAGAATTCGAAACCCATTCCCCACCAAGCGCACGCAGCTCCGGATTTCCCCCAAGCCTTGGCTGGATCCGTAACGTTATCTCCAGGTTTCCAAATTGCAGCAGGTCTACCCCATACGGAAGCGGCAGTTTGTTTGGCCATTGCTGATGCCTGCTAGGCTGGGGGGAAATGGGGAGCACACAGCAATTGGCGCGCGCAACGATGGGCTCTTCCACATTGGCTCGTGCCGCATTCATGCACACCCTGCCGTCGACTCGGTTCGCATCAGATCCCATCACAGATGGGCATTCACCTCGCGACAGGTTCTCCGGATTTACAGTCCATGAGGTCCTCGATGCGCTAGGCCGAAACAGGAACGTCAACTCGTCGGCGGGAAACGAGAAACGGTTGCGCCAGCTTTGAAACAGGAGACGGAGGTGGGGACGACGCAAAGGGTGACCTCCATCGCTCATCAGGGCGCATGGAGGGGGAAGGATGAAGAGTTGGATGGTTTGAAAAGGCCCTCAGGAGACCCGCGAATCGCACGGCGGCAAAGCGGTCGCAGGACGTCGCAAACAACGGAGCTGCCGCTGAAACGCTCTAGAAGCCCCCAAGAGGGACGATTCGTTATGCATATGCATTGCCTGCTTGGTTCCTGAGCTAGCGCCGGGAGGAGCAAAGGGCCATCGCTTGTTTGGTCAATATCACCTCAATGTCAGGGCAAAAATGGAGTCGTTGTCCCGCAGTACGTGGACGTGTTAGGCACGATTCTTTTGCTCAAGCTCTCCGTCGAGAAACCCCGCTTGATGTCTTGTCGTCCGGCCCTCCACCAGTCTCGCAGGGCTTGCCCAGGAACGACGGCGGGGGACCGAGAGCCGATGTCGATCCAGCTTACCGGCATTGGCTTCTTTTTATAACTAACCCAGAAGAGGACGGCGCGCTCGCTTGTCTCCTGACCAACCAAGCACGCGCCTCAGCTCTGTTTTGTGTCCAGGGTTGCGAGTTTGTTGTGCCACATTGCCCCACAATTTTGGGCAATCCAAACCCCCCCACTGGTTGCCCGGCCGCCCGACTGTACCAATCCGGCCGTCTGATGCACGAATCGGGGCGACGGGCGACTCCCGCTTCTCATCCCACCTTGGCGGGGCGCGAGAGGAACAGGGTCTGGGAGAAGGCTCGAGCTCGTCGAGCCAGGGCAACAACCGATGGAGGGGCTGCTGAGTGGCAACACGGGCCCGGCAACTGGGCAAGCAGTGGAGCTCTTACCTGCATCAGCGCCCAAAATCTCCAACCAAACAACATCGTCGACTTTTGACTTTTTTTTTTTCCACGCCTGCGCCCATCGAAAAAAAACTAGAAGACGAAAAAAAACCGCTCGTCACCAAACACCCTCCCACACAGGAAACGCCCAACCTGTGGCCCCACCGGGAGCAGATCACAACAAACTGAGTTTAGCGGGCCCTTTACGCGCCGCTAACGAGCTTCCCCGCGGTTGCTCGCCGTCTGCTCGTCAGCTCCTCCGGATCTCATTCGTGCCCAAAGGCGCAGCAGCAGCCCACTTCCAGCTTCTCCAAAAAGAAAAAGCCCATTCTCTGCCGCCCTGCCGCCGACGGAGCACACACAGCCCCGGATTCGACATTCCGCCCAAACACTGTGCCGCTCATCACCAACTGGTCCTGCTTCCTTGCTGGGCGACCAAGCGCTCAACTCTAACTATCATTCCTCTCGTATACGGTTGGGATTTTCTCTCCCAAGCCCACGGCCCGAAGCCCTCCTCATTCATTTACTGTGTATCTGCAAGTCAAGGCAGGACAGACGACAGGCCAACTGTTGGCAACGAGTGGTTGATTTTGCAACCCGCCTCACTTGTTGCGGGCCTCAACTTCAAAAATTAGACTGTGCGCCAATTGGGACGAACCGGGACTTTGGACGAACCGCTCTTTCGCCACCATGGTTTCGTTTTCGTGCGAGGTGTGTAGTTCCTTTATTGCATTATGCCTTTCAGCGACACCTTTCTGTCTCTGGAAAAGATGGCTTTCGTCCGTTTTATTATCAGACACAAACGCGGTTTCTCGGGTGTCCGCGCCTCAATTCCAGCACTAAGACGGCTTACATGCTCTCTCAATCTGCCCCCTCCCTTCGTTTCTCACCCCTCCTCGCCCCTCCGCGCCCAGTTGGTTGGGTGGGCTGCTGCCCGCACCTCCTCCCATGACTCCCCCAGTCCCGGAGGGCAATCTTAACTGACATCACACAACCACACCTTTCCTCCTACCCACCACACACACGGGTCACGGCCAACAGGTCACACCCCAACATACCACCCCCCCTCTCCTCCGTCCCGCACACACCCTTCCCGTCTGATCAAGCTGATCCTCCCTTCTTCTGAATCTCTTGTCACCCTCCTTGTTTCTTCCCCAATCTTGGCCACAAGACACACTCGCGCCATATCTTCTGCCCACCCCCACGAAGGCCAATCCTATTCCGCCCACCATCGACTAACCACTATTGTTACATTCTTGTATATAGGCGTGCGGCGACGTCTTGACCAAGAAGAAGCTCGACCCACATCGCAGCCGCTGTCACGGCGCTACATTCACTTGCATCGATTGCATGGTCTACTTCCCAGGCGCCGAGTATCGCTCGCACACGGTAATACAAATACGTTTGCTTGTGTCTTTATGTGCGTGGCTGTTCCACTAACCGTCAGCCAGAGTTGCATGACCGAAGCCCAGAAATATCAGGGCGCTCTCTACCGCGAGAAGAAGGGCAAGGGGCAACATCCGCCAGCAACCCCAACCCCGCAAGTCGCAAAGAACGACACAAATCCCAAGATGGTCCAGCCTGCTTACGTCGAGGACGCCGCGGATGAGTTCGGCTCATGGCGCGACTACGAGCAACGCACCGACGATGACAACCAATCTATCGACGACCCTCTGCCCGAAGCACCGACCCCTCCCTCAGCCAACGACGCCGACGCGGATGTGAACGTTTTTGACTTCCTTGTCGCCAACCCCACACCAACCGCGTCCCATGTCTCGCTTCCAGCCACGGCGCCTCTTCCCCCGAGTGAAGAGAAGCAACTAGTCCGGTTTGATCCCGAGGCCAACGGCATCACCGACACTCCCAAGGAAGCGATCACTGCCATGGTCCAGTATGACAACGACCAGGTACCAAGCCACTTCGAGACGCCCGCACCAAGGTTCCAGCGAAGGAAAGTGAAGGAGACCGAGAAAGATGCCAAAAAGGACAAGAAGCGGAAAAGGTTGCACATCGAAACGGACCACATTATGACCGATGCACCGCCCATGCTACACACTGGGCTGACGGGCGGGATCAACCGGATGATGTCCCGTCCGACCGTCTTCCCGCCCTCGCCGGATTATTCTGGGGGAGACGTCGCCGAGACACCGGCTAGCCCTCTCAAAAAGTCCAAGTCGAAGCATACCCGATCCAGCAAGCCGGCCGAATCGTTGGGCAACAGCTTGATGGCCATGATCGCCGCCACTGCCAAGCCTAATAAGTCTACTTCCACCACCAAGAAGCGCTCCAAGACCAAGTCCACCTCGTCGCCATCCAAGCCGAAGAAGAAGAAGCGCTCCGGCAGCACCACCACCAAGGCCATCGAGGCGCCCAAGGAACAAAAACTGATCGAGTTCCGACCAGCTTCCAAAGACGGCAAGGATGAGAGTGGTACCATGGTGGTGTACAAACCCCGCGCCGAACATTTCCTGAGCTTTGTCAACAAAGGCCCCGAGAGCGAGCGCGGGTGCAGCGTCAACAAGGCGCTGAAGCGGTATCACCGTGAGAGGGTCGCGGCGGGCGTGCCGGTCAGCAAGTTGATGGAGGAAAAGGAGCTGTGGCGCTCGCTACGGATGAGGAAGAATGAACGTGGGGAGATTGTGTTGTTCTGCATTGATGACGACGAAAAGGAGAATTCATGAGTGACATGATCAAAACCAAACTCGAAGAAAAAAAAACCAAACCCAAAAAAACAAAACGGTGGTTGATGGGGGTTGGGCTGGTTGCATAATGAGGTTGGGGCAAGCATGAGGGGCATTGGTCACGGATACGGGGGGTAACTTGGGGGGGTATGGCTGGTGGGCGAACATACATTGGGCGGGAGTTAATGATGGCTCGTGGCTTGTCTTTTTTCTCCCTTTTCTTTTTTCTTTGCCCCCGATCTCATGATACCTTTTTATTTCTGTCTATTTTCCGTGGCTCAAAGCCTCAGGTTAACCGCGGAGTACAAGGCAATCTTTCCTTTGTTGGCAAACCGTTTCTTTCTTTCTCCTCTGGAGTGCAAAGTCGCAGACTCGCTCTAGTCATGTTCTTGCGTGGCTGAGCCTGCGTTTGATCACAACGGTTTTCTTTTGTCGATTTCCCTTCTCTTGTCTCTTGGGTCCCGTCCCTGAATATGGGATAGGGGCTCCTGGAGAATGTTGTTGACCTGGAACAATTTTTCCTTTCTCTGTTCTCTGTGCTCTGTTCGAATGTAGGATTTGAAAGGGGGGTAATGTTCGCTGTAACTGACTGACTAACGGCCTGGCTGGTGTGTATGGCCTTGATGGCTCACACCGGACGCGGCTGGTTTCGTTTCCTTGGGTCATTTCAAGCAACAACGGCTCGGGGACTTGCTGTGTTTTGTTCAATTGTATTATTGTACACTACGAGCTATCTCGAGGCAGGATTGGGTGTGGCAGGTTTCATGCAATTTTTGAAGTTTGATATTTTTTGCAATATGTAACAAATTTGTTGGAACAAGTTTATCGAATATTCAAGTCCTTTGATTATTATTCAGCGGCTGTCATCACAAGAGCTTCGATGTCCACAATATTTATCTATTGCGTTTGTGTTAACAAGCGGCCAACCCATTTCTTCTAACCCATCCGACGCCCGCTTGCCTACGCAACACGCAGAGGCAGAATATGTTGCACCATCGCTTCCCTTCGACATAACGGACACTCCGGCTTCTCCCTCACCCAATCTCCAATGCACGCCCAGCAAAAGACATGCCCGCACTGCGTCGCAGCCGGATCCTTGAGTTCCTCCAAACACAGGGTGCACTTCCTCTGTTGGTCACCCTTGATCCATCCCATTACATCCTCGCTCGTCCCCAAGTCATACCTGGCCCGTCCGGCCTTGGGCACAGGTGTATGCGCCATGCTACCGATCTGCGCTAGACTCCTCTGCGATGAGCCCCCTAGTCCCGCAGCACCACCCCCGAGGAGCTCATTATTACTCGAATACGCGTTGTCGTCCATCGACACGTCCACATTCATCCCCGACCCAAACACTGCCCTCTCTCGGAACCCCTCATCGTCCTCTTCGCCAGCACCCGTTGACCTCGCGACAGCCAATTGCTCTTGGATATGCATCCACCCCTTCACCAACATCTGCACAACCAACAACACCCCCAACACCTCATACCCCGCCCTCGCACTCGCACTCCCACCTCCTCCTGCTCCTCCTTGCTGCTCCACCTGACGCGTAAACACATACCTCAACCCCCACAACCTCTTCGACAGCGAGTAATACGCCCCCGTAAAATAAAACACCGCCAGCACAACAGCCTGAAAATGCGCACCACTGGTCAGCGGTGTGAGGTGAGCGAGCAGATACCGCAGCACGCGGTACTCGGTCGAGGGCCGGCCGGACTTATCGCAGGTTTCGTCGCGCCCCTGCCGGGTGAGTGTGGCGAGGCGGGCGCGGATGCGCGTGCGGAGGGTGCTGCGGACGGAGGGGAGCGTGCGTGAGGCGAGGTAGGGGAGAATTATGGAGGTTGCGATGTAGCCGGCGCGGCGGGAGATGGAGGGGAGGAGGGGGCCGGTGGTGTTGCTGTTGGAGGGATAGTCGGGGGTGGATGGTTGTGGTGGGGGGCCATCGCGGCTTGGCGCGGATGGGGCTTCGACTTGGACGAGATCGCAGTATTCTTCGCCGAGGGTGCGGTTGCCGATGAGGGTGGTCAGGCAGAGGTAGAGCGCGTCGGAAAAGGTGCGGGTTTCGGTGGCCCAGGCGTGGGCGGAGCGCGCGCCGCGCAGACGGCGGTGGAGGTCGCTGAGCTGGTTGTTAAGGACGCCTTGGAAGTAGGCGTCCTTTTGGTGGGCGCGGATGATGTCAGGTGCGGCGGCGAATGGATATGGTGATGAGGTGAGTGGTGGAGGAGGTCGCGAGCGTGGTGGTTGTGAGGACGCCATATTTGTTGGACTTGTGGGTTAGAATAGGTCACGCTGTTGTCGTAATGGTATTCAAGTTGAAATCCCCACAAGCATGCGTAACGCTGGCAATGCGCGCGCCTGATAGTTTTGGGTTGTTGTTCTTGTTGTCGTTGTCGTTGTCGTTGTTGTTGTTGTTGGAATAGGCGCGAGGAAGTTGAAGCTCCCGCGGCTTGTGAAGACGCTCGGCACTGCAAGCGGGTGCAAGCATGCTGGACCTCGGATCATTCAATGCAGGGGTTCTCTCCTGTGCTGTGGAAAGACAACTGCGACAGACAGGGGTGCGGCCCGCTTTGGGCGACGCTTCCATTGCCGGGGATCTGACGTCGGTCGACCCCCCAATCTGTTCGACAGGGGACAAATTACAGGGGGGTTGCTACGCGAAGTTGGAGGCGAGCTCGATTTGTTGGAAACTTTGAACACGTTGATCTAGGATTTTGGAATATTTTTTCCAGGTTGCCCCCCTTTCTTCGTTCTCGCAGCGCAACGGCGTTCCGACACCTTCGTTTCTAACAATCTAGATCCCGCCAACAGCGTTTTCGATGACGCTGGCGGCCCCATCGCAAAGGCACAATGGACGGTGACCCTGCCGTCGAGCCACAGCTCGACTCGTTTAGCTTGACCTTCCCGTTGCCTTACCGGATCGCCTTTATCGTCATATTGGGTATGGTTTTCTCGCGCGTCCCTCAGGGTCTATGTTTGGTTGAGAGTCGGAAAAATATGGTATCTAACAAACTGTAGCCGTCTGGGGATGGGGCCTCAACCTGCACTTCCTCCATCGCCGACGCATCGACGTGCCCGCCCTCATCCGCTATCCCGGTCGCTCGAGCTCGTCGCAAATCACCCACCACCAGTCGACCTACCGTCTCGCTACATTCCTCTCCCTTGCTTCGGGATCCTCCATCCTCCTGTTCTGGGCCCTGACACGCGGCGACCCACGGCGCGTTATCGACTATGACTGGCTTCCCATGATCAACCTCCTCGTGCTCGCCGCGCTCTTCCTCGTTCCCCTCCGCCGCCTCTCTGTCTCCCACACCGGCCGCAGCCGCCTCCTATGGACCCTACGTCGCGTCAGTATCGGCGGCCTGGCAGAAGCCAAGGACGGCAAATTCGGCGATATTCTCCTGGCCGATGTGCTCACGAGCTACGCTAAGATCCTCGCCGACTTGTTCGTCTGCCTCTGCATGTCCCTCTTTGACGGCAGTGATGGATCCGCTACTGCCCGGCCTGACCGAGGCTGCGGCGGTGCCGTGTTGGTGCCGCTTATCATGGCGGTCCCCAGCGTGATCCGACTGCGTCAGTGTCTGATCGAGTTTGTGCGCGTGCGCAGTGTACCGTACAAGGAGGCTACGGGATGGGGTGGACAGCATCTGGCCAACGCGGCCAAGTACTCGACCGCCTTTCCCGTCATTGTGCTAGGTGCGATGTTGAGAGGCCAGAAGGACGGGTCGCCGGGCCTGTTCAGGGCTTGGGTCGCTGCTTGTCTGCTCAACTCTCTCTACAGTTTCTACTGGGACGTGGCAAAGGATTGGGACTTGACTCTCTTTTCCAAAGATCGGGCTTCACCGGGACATCCCTTTGGCTTGCGGAGGGCGCTGCTGGTGCATAAACCGGCGGTCTACTACGCCGTCATCGCCCTGGATCTGACCCTGCGGTGCACATGGATGATCAAGTTGAGTTCGAACATGGATCGCATCGGTGATTTCGAAAGCTCCATCTTCCTCCTTCAGTTCCTTGAGGTATTCCGACGCTGGGTATGGATCTTTTTCCGAGTCGAAACTGAATGGATCCGGAATTCGGCCGTGAACCTGGGGATGGACGATATGGTCTTGCTCGGCGATTACCCGGGCAACAAGTACGAAGACGACGATTAGAGAACCGTTGTTTCCAGGCGTTTCAAGATGGATCAGATGATGGGTGGTACTTTCGGAGAGAAACGGCTGGGTTTTGTTGCATTCATACTTTGAGGGGCATGAAGACGGCGTTAAACCTTACAAATTGGGCCGGTAGGGGAAATTAGACTTCTTTTCGGCATCGGCACACTATGCATTCACAAAACCGCAAACTCGAGATTCGTTCCCGCGTGCCCAAAGGCAGTTTGGCTCTTTCGTTCCAGCCCGACCGTCAGCTCTAACAATGGCCCGTTGTCCAACCTTTTGGGTGCTTTGTTCAGCCCTAGCTCGGACAAAGGCGCATACCGCCCCCTAATCGCAAGGGATTGCTGAGACAGGACAACACAAAGCGAAGGAACCTTTTTCGAGGCACTGCTCCAAAATCCGCCTTTGTTTTGTACCGATTCCACCAAATGAGCTGAAGCCCTGCGGCCAACAAACATGGTTGGCTATTTCGCAACAAACCTTCCCGTTGGCAATCATTCGGCTAGGGGTTCACAGGCGATGGCTTCAAGGGAGAACTGGCGATGCACAAACATTCTTTGGAGTCCATGGCAACCGACTCAAATATGACCCGACCGCGGGGCCTCGAGACTTCGAACCCTGTGACTCCGCGACCAAGGACTAATAATACCATTCACCTTGAGCAACTGCCGCCCCCGTCGTTGGCCGAGGTCGAGATGTACAGGAAGAAACCGTTGCCTCCACTGCCACTACCGCTACCACCACGCCCACCTCCACCACCACTGCCACGAGAGCTACCACTTAGGCGGTATTCCGCCCTGTCCACTGTCAGTTTCTCCGCAAGTCTCTCGGCCTTCAAGAAAGATATCGACGCTGCCTTTGCCACGCCGGTACCACTGATCGGCCCCGAGGAGTACATCACTTGCATATTTCTCGCCGAGGACATTCTGTCGGACCGATCGCCCGGAGCCGCCAATATAGCAGGCTCTAAGACGGATCAACAGCGAGAGACTCCGAATGTGAATACGGCGGATGTTTTGGGGACCGTGCCTACTATACTCGACTCGCCTCGACCACAGCTAAAATCGTCAATATCGAAGATCCGGCGAATGGTGGGAATCACCCCTCCAGTTATCACTGAGAAAACCCTTTCAGCAAACGCCGGGTGTGAAGGCGAGGATCAAGGGTCCACCGGTTTTAGCCCCCTCGAAGCCGACCAGCGAGAGAATCGAGCTTGGGGTGAATGTGGTAAACAACGTCTAACTGGAGATGTATCGCCCCTGAGTAGCTGTGGAAATGATGGCATTTCACCTTCCGGGATCCAGTCTCCTGTTTCCGAGACGGACGGTGGTCCGGAGCAAGGGCAGCAACTGGATAGCCATGGAGTTGACGATTCACTCGATATGGGGACGGTCAGCGCTCCAGACCCTCTCCGTATCGTCAAGCGGCCTCTGCGTCCCAGGCACATTGCTGAGTGCACTCCTAAAACAAACCCGTTGGGGTTGAGCTCATACGGTGTGCGCCGCACTCAACCATCCCGTTCTCAAGTTCAAAGTGCAGAACTTAACCTCGGAGCCCATACGACCAAGAAGGAATGCGCCTCGGGACTTTACCATGAGACAACGCAGCAGATAGCGCGGGGTCTTTCACCTAGAGCAACCCCGACTCAAGGAATCGACGGAATGGGGCCAGTGGCGGCTCCGCAACAACCGCTCGACGGCCGCGATAACATGAAGGATGGCCAAATTTGTCAGTCGTCACTTCAACATTTCCCCGGCTGGCACCTGGGACACTCCCAACCGACACCCCCCTCTAATGGTTCAGAAGGGGTTACCCAAACATGGCGACCCTCCCAAGCCACTAATTCCGCGACCGAGCGCTCTGTCCACAACAAACACTGGGCCACAATCTTCCCCTCTCCCGACGAACCCCTTAAGAGCTATTTCTCCGATAGCGATTCTGACGACGGCGAGACTCCCATGGTAGCCAAGTCCACCCATGTCTCTCATACCTCTCACACCCCCCATATCCCCTTGAACCTACGACACAAACGTCATAGGAAGAGTATCAAGCCCCGCAGGAGCCCTCGACGATTTCACTACCATCATGACACCTGGATGCCCAAATTCTGTCGTTCCCCGGCAGCTGTCCCGACTCCTCCACCCACACCACCGCTCCCACCCCCTCTCGACCTGACGGACTTGTTTACACAAACCTCCATTCCCCATCAAGCACTCAGCCACGACCCCGGACCGAACGACAACCATGACCCCGCGCTCACCCCGTCGTTTCTCAGTCCAAGACCAACACCACAACCAACACCAGCCGCAACGCCCAACCACAGCCTAAGCCGAACCCCCCCTTCCCCTCCAACACCGCCACAGTCGCTGTTATCACCACCAGCACCTTCAACAGCGGAAACCCCCCCTCAGCCTTCTTCATTTTCACCGTCCCCGCCACCGCCGCCTACAAAACGTCTCCTCAAATCCAAATCCTCCCTCTCCTCCCTCGCGTCCAGCTTCCTCCACCAGCGCACCCACACCCCGGAACACGCCCATCACACCGCCGACAACCATGCAAGACCGCGGACCCCAATGGCACATCTCAAACAGCAGATTGGACAACTTGCGCCGCGGTTTGTGCCAGCGCCGATTCGACATCTGGGGTGCATTGGGTTGGGCAGATTGGGTTTGGAGAGTGGGGGGGAAGGGTATGAGAGTAGAGGCAGAGGTGATGGGGAGGGTATGGGTGAGGGTGGAAGGGAGGGTCGAGGTCGTTTGGAGGGTAAAGAAGAGGAGGATAGGAGGGCGAAGTTGAAGGGGAGGATTAGGGTGTTGAAGGAGGGGAGCGAGGACAATAAGCGGGTTGACCGTGTGGGGGACGAGAAGAAGAAGAGTGGTGGCAGGGCGACGAAGGTGGTGGGGTTTGGGGAATGTGAGGTCGTTGCGGAGGATGATATTGGAGGTGGTGACAGTAATGATGATGATGTCGGTGGTCGGTCACGAAGGCGGGTGAGGGTTGTATCGCCACCGGCTGCTTGGAGCGCGGTTGTTCAGTCATCGCCATTTTCAGCGGCAGAGGAAACTCCCAAGCCACGGGCCGGAAGGGAATCCCCGCGGAATACCAACAAATATACACCGCCGAGCTCAGGAAATGGGAGCCCCGAGCCTACCCACGGGGTAACTCCGAGTGCGGTAGGGAAAAGGAGCCCTGGGAGAGGGGTCCGCAGCGGAAGCCAGTCCCGGGCTCGAGCACCGTCGAGTTCGCCTCTCCGTCGTGGGGTTAGTCCGCTCGCAAGTCCTGCGCTTCAACAGGCGCGGTGTACGCATCAGAGCCCGCTTGGAAGTGTTTGATCTATGGGTAAATTAGGGGCCCATCGCTGAGGGTATTGACGGGATTCGGTTGATTCTAAGCAGGGGCGGATTCAGAGAGCAGGCCCGGGTGTTAGAGTCATAGTGAGAATATTGAATTAATTGTTAAATAAAAGCCGTGAGGGCGTCTTAAGCTACCTCTTATTTCCTTCGAGGAGGGCGGAGCTCCACATGTCTGTGAACCCCGTTTTTGTCAACAGTAGCAGTGAAGAAACGGAACGACGCTTAGAATACAATGATACAAAGAGTGTCCTGGGGAAAACGGACATCATACAGTTGTAGGCAAGGACGCTTCATGATACGTAATGCATCAAGTATCAGGGGCTTGTTTACTTTTGACTGGCTGTCCGAGGAACCGGATGCTGTAGCCCGAAGATTTGCCTGACGTCACCCTAAATGCCCCGAAACTTCGCCCCGACAAACCCTGCAGCCCTGCCGAGGCCCAGCCGGAAAGCCCCCGATCGACCCCGCATCGGCCCCCAATCGCGCGGCTGCCCTCGGGAATCGGGAGTCCGGTGCCGCAGGGGCGGTCATGCACTAGCCAGCAAGGACATCCACCACCTGTTCTGCAAACCAGCCCGGAAGCAGCGGTGGTTGGAAGTTGCGACCCGACTTGCAGCCCGGTCCCTTCCTCTCATCTCCCGAGAAAGATGAGCACACACCTCACCGCCGAAGAGCAGCAGCAGCAGCAGCAGGAGGAGCAAGTACCAATACACGTCGGCTCGCCCGAACACCAAGAAGAACTGCAGACGGTCATCCAAAGCGTCCAGGACGCGGCATCACCCCACACCGCTCTTGTTGCTCCGACCTCGATCTCGGAGGAAGAAGTCGCCGGCACACAGGAAGTTGGAGAGAAGGGCTACGAGGAAGTGAAAGAGGGAGCAGGAAAAGAAACAGAAAAGGAGATAGCAAGTTACTGGGATGCCTCGGCCATGGCGCCCCTAAATGCAGCTTCCGCGGTCAGTAGTAGCACACCTTATCCTGACTTCTTCTCCCTTGCCTTTCCCGTCCCTCAAGGAAAGCAAACTCCTTTGCTAATGCGCACCTCAAGGCCGCCATCGCCCGCTTGAAGGCCTACAAGCCACCACCGTTTCCGCTATGGGACCGCCTCCCGCTGAGCCGCCGTTCTGCGGTGCTCCTGCTCTTATACGCCGACCGCCGTGGGGACCTCCGTGTTGTCATCACGATGCGCGCGGCGAGCTTACGGAGTTTCTCGGGTACGTTTATTTCACTGCGCTACCGAAACCCTCGCTCTTGTTGGCTTTTATGTTAATCCGATCTGTGGACAGGACACGCCGCCCTCCCAGGAGGTAAAGCCGACACCCTCGAGGAATCCCCCTGTACGTCTTCTCCTCCCCTTCCCCCTTTTCTTTCTATCCACCTCCCTAACAATGCCCAACAGACCAAATCGCCCGCCGCGAAGCCTGGGAAGAAATCGGCCTGCCGCTCGACGACCGCAAACTACCCCCGCCCTTCCGCATCGAACACCTCTGCTACCTACCCATGAACCTCGCCCGTACCGAGCTTGTCGTCCGCCCGTGCGTGGCTCTTCTACACACCAACGACCCGCCCGTCCCTGTCGGTGACCCGTCCACCAAGACTCCTTCCTCCGCCGTTGCGCCAACCCCCGCGACCTCGCCCACCGTCGAGGAATCGCTCATCCCGCGGCTTGACGCGAAGGAGGTCGCCGCCGTGTTCTCGGCGCCGTTTCATAATTTCCTCAAGGAGACGGACGAAGTGGTTGCGGTTGATAATGGGGAGGAAGTTGACTCCTCGCATCCTGGGAGCGGGAAACGAGGGCGGCAGCAGCGCCCGCTACCCCCTGGCAGCTGGTACGAGGGCACGTGGACGAATTGGAACGAGTCACGCTGGCGCATGCACTTCTTTTATGTGCCCGTCACGGATCAGACTGTGGTGAAGCCACGACCGGCCTCGATCCAAAAAGACCGGCCAGCCGCCGGTGCGTTGTCGGAGCATGATGCGAACAGCAAAAGCCAGGCTGAAGGGGATACGAGTAAAGCTGTGACGACGGCGACGGCGACGACGACAACGAATGGGGAAGGGGAGCGAAAGCTGGAAGAGCAGGCGAAGGCGGTGGTGGAGACCGAGGCGGAGGAGCCCGGGCGGTACAAAGTATGGGGCATGACGGCAAGGATACTTGTCGATGCGGCCACGGTTGCGTACGGGGAGAAACCCGAGTTCGAACACAACCGGCATTTTGGTGATGAGAGGATGATCGAGATGCTGGCCAAGATGGGCCGGATGGGGGAGAAGAAGCCTGGGAGTATGTTGACAGGCGACGATCTGCAAAAGGCGTGGGATGCGGCGAGGGAAGTGGATGGGAAGACGGAGAAGGGAGAGCCAAGTAAGATGTGATGATGGATGAATATTGAAGGTACATTGGAGTCAGGGCCCTTAGACGGTGATGGAAGGGGCAGGTAGATGCGCATTGAAGATACATCGTAATATGTGTAATAAATGTGAGCGAGATTCTCTGCCGTCTGCTTTATTTATAGCAGTAAGATTGTACTGTTTATTTCGCTGAGTTTTATCACAATACATAAGCTAGTACAGGATAGCTCTAGGGAGATAATAAGTATTAGATAGGATATACTAGATAATATTAGCGACTTCCCTTAAATACATCTACTGTCTACCAAAGAACGAGACCCGAACCGCCTAACCGAAGAGGTTCTCACCAAAAACTGTACCTTCCCTCCCACCCCAACCATACACCCCTATATAACCCCCCTTCCCACTGCTCCAGTCACCAGCTCCTCCCAATACGCCAAACAACGATGTTTGGCGCAGCGGCATTGGGAAGAGCATTCGCCGGTGCCGTCGTAAATAGAAGTGGCCCTGGGTTCGATTCCCGGGGCCAGCGAAGTAAAATCTTTCACCAGAAAGATTTTCGTAGCCACCAACCGCTATCCCTCCGGATGGGGATAGGCGCTTGGTGATGAGCTTTTTGGGTTTTTTTTCTTCGTTAATTTAATTATCTTGATCTTGTTTTTGTGTTATAACAGAGGTGGGTTAAATTGACTTATTAGTGGCTCACTACACTTTTTTTCATGATGGAGGATGGATTGTCAATGGTTTGCAATTGAGGCGTTTGGTGAGTGATGTTCTGGTATGATAGGTAGTTGCACACTTTACTTTTAAGCAAGATGGACTCATAACCATCGTCCAACCATCGCCTGCCCTGCTGTGTTTACCCCCGCTCACAGCTTTTCGCCCATAATTTCTCAATGGCAAGCAGTCTCCTTGGTGACGGGGGTACTACCCCCAAACACCAAGTACCCAAGCCCAGCACCCACCGACACCGCAATCATGACCCATCCGTTGTAGGTCATGAAAATCAGCCTGTGCTGTTAATAAGCCGGGGTCGCACTTCATATTGGAGAGGGCATGGACCGAGTGACTGCGGACTTACATGATCATGAATGCGTAGAAGTTTTGGACCCCATAGAGCGCTGCCTTGATGATATGGGCCCTGCGAGTAATCTGCTCCCGGTTCTGGCCTATATCCCGTGCGAGGAGAGGAAATGTCTCAGTAGCTGATTCTACTGAGTATCTTGGTGGCAATGGGGATGGGGGGGATCGAGGGGCTCGAGTCGGAAAGGAACAAGAGACTTTAGCCTCGGGAGTTGGACAGGGAGGGGAGTGGTGATAGTATGGGGAGATTCTCAACAAGTAAAGTCATGAAGGAAAAATAAGCACTTACGGGGCGCCGTTTCGACCCTCTGCGACAGCACCGCCTCATACCGTCGGGTAGCCTCGCGCAGGGCCTCGTACCCAGCACAAATGCCTACGATCGCTACCAACGAGACGGCGAGGCTCAGGGTGGAGGTGATGTGCCACTGACGGAAGACTACACATAGATCGGTGGCATCCCAGGTGAAGAGCATCTGGAGGGAGGTAGGAGGTGTGTGTGAGTGAGTGATGATAGGCAAAATTGCTTTGGGTACAGAGGGTGGGTGAGCTTTCTAACGTTCATGTTGCACATCGGACCGCTACCCATGTCACCGTGGCCGGCGTGGGAGGAGTGGTCCATCATGTGGTGATCATGGGATGAATGGTCCATGTCCATGGTGGTGTTTTTGTCTCTGAACGGATTCGTCAAAAATTAGGTCGAAACAGCGAGATAGTTAAGAAAACGAAACTGGGTTGAATATCTTGAAAAAATGAAGTATAAATTTCCAAAGGAACAAACACAAGCCTTTTCGCCGACGCAGCAAATAATATAATGGAGGAGTTGCTGATGATCGTGATACGTTGATGGTTTGAGATCAAGAGGTGTTCAGAAGCACCCCTGCTGCAGGGTATTCGCCTGGGAGTGGGCTAACCGTTCTGGGAAAGCTTACAAGCGACCTTTTATGTCAGGAACAAAAGTGAACAACTTCTCGGCAGCGGCGTTGCCAGGCCCCGCCGGCTCGGGAACGGCGGGGCTTGTTGGCGGGGCATGAAACGGCCCAGGGTTGCTGGAAGAACGTTGATGATGGTGGAAGGAGGGATCAGGGCACAGTTGTGACTAATATGCCTTTGAAACCTCTCATCTCAAGATCCGAGCCTTCCAAAGACAACTTTACACTCTCCTGGTCCTATTTCATCATCACTCTGTTCCGCCCACACCGACGATAGCCGGGCCTTCTCATCACCCACCTAAAGGGGAACATTTCCCGGCGCCGAAACAAGTCTCTGAAACAAAAGAGCACTCAAAATTGAACTAAGTGTTCCGAGGCTCTCTTTTCTTTAAAGTTTCAACATCAAGAAATTCTTAACCCTTAATTACAACTTCTTGGACTACCTCCCCTCTATACTTTTCCCACCATGCTTACGACACCTGTGAACCTGCCTAAGTGGTATGTCTCGTAACACAAACTCAGCACCGGTCCTCTCCTTCTAGCGCCCCGTTCAAAACGACTAATCCGTGATGACGACAGGCTTCAAGAAAACTCCCACCTCTTAAAGCCACCTGTTAACAACTACTGCGTTTATAATGGCGATTTTACTGTTATGGTAAGTCCCGCAACCTCGCTTTTTTCTTTCTGGTAAAATTACCCCAAGCTCTCACCTCTTCTCATATATCCCCATCTTCCAATGCTATTTCCCAGCCCAACTCATTTCAAGGTGACCAACCCGTTGTAGATTGTAGGAGGCCCCAACGCCCGCACCGACTACCACATCAACGAGACGGCCGAATGGTTCTACCAGCACAAGGGCGCCATGATGCTCAAGGTTGTCGACGACGGCGTCTTTCGTGACATCATCATCCGCGAAGGGGATATGTTCCTGCTGCCGCCCAACACGCCACACAACCCAGTGCGCTTCGCCGACACCGTCGGAATTGTGCTTGAGCAGAAGCGGCCAGCCAACTCGCTCGATCGCATGCGTTGGTACTGCCAAAGCGAAGGGTGCGCGGGGCAGATCGTGCATGAGGCAGCGTTCCATTGCACCGATCTGGGAACACAGATTAAGGCGGCCGTGGAGGCATTTAAGGGGGATGAGGAGAAAAGGAGGTGTGAGAAGTGCGGGCAGTTGGCCGATTGGTGTCCGAAGCCTGGATCGATTCAGGACCCGAACTTGGAGTGATTTTCCCGGGTATGAGTGGGTGTGGCTAACATGTCGCCTACCTTACTTTATGGTAATCTATGACTGAAATACAAGAGCCTTTCTTGACGGTGGCCGTGTGAATGCGGCGGGAGGTTGTCAGAGAATGGTGGCTACAAAAGTCGTGGCGGTCCCGAAGACAGTGTGAGTCATACGTGAAGAGTGTAAGGTGAGATGGAATATGGAGATAATTGCTTGCTTGGCCACATGAATCGCGTAGAGCAAAATCTAACCCAACAGTGACTATCCATCATGTCTCAGCGTACTCGTATGAGCTGGTTGACTCCTCAACCGCAACTTCCAGCTTGGCGTCTTCCAACTCCTTGCCATCAACCCGAATACCAGCACGCATCACATCGCCAGGCACGACGGGCCCAACACCCTTGGGCGTTCCCGTCAGAACAATGTCGCCTGCTTCGAGCGTCATGACCTTGGAGATGTCGCTCAGAATCCGCGGGATCCGGAACAGCATCAGTTCGGTCGAGTCGTTCTGCTGCACCTTGTCGTTGACGCTCAGGTACAGCTCAATTTTGTGCGGGTCTGGAATGGCCGACTTGCTGATGACCTTGCTCACGGGTAGGAAGGTGTCGAAACCCTTGCTGATGTCCCACGGCAGACCCTTCTTCTTGGCCTCATTCTGGACGTTGCGAGCGGTCATGTCAATGCTCAGGGCGTAGCCTGTTTCCGAAAGTCAGCTTTGGGGAAGTCGGCCTGGAAAGAAATGTATTGTCTCACTCTCGATGGCATCCAAAGCTGCCTGCTCATCCTGAGCATTGAAGTCTCTGACCCGTTTGCCCAGAATGAGAGCGAGTTCAACCTCGTAGTGCAGGCTGACACCCTTCGGTCGTATCACGGGGCCTTCTCCGGGAAGTAAAATGGATGAGGTTGGCTTCTGGAAGAAGAACGGCTGCTTTGGCCGGGCACTATTGAGCTCCGTAATATGGTCCCTGGATGCCAGTTAGCCAACTGACTATCGTGCGAAACTAAAGAAGCAGTCGGACAAGCCAAGTCTAAGGCACCTAAGCAAAGACAAGTGCCAAAACAAAGATATAGGGGCCGCTCACGCGTAGTTGCGGCCAATGCAAACAATTTTTGAGGCTCTTTTGACAGACGCCATCGTTGCTATGCCTCTCCTGAAGAGCATCATGTTGAAAGATTTCCCCGCGCTGGCCGGCGGCGTTTATATCACAGAGCGGGAGAGTCTGTAATTGTTTCTTGGGTGACCAATCCTATCGGCAGACGACGGAGATGCGACTTCGGCACGGGTGTTCGGTTCGGCGACACTTTGGGCCACCGATTCGGGGCCGGCCCACCGTGGGGTTTGTGAGGGGGATTTATTTCCCCGAACCCACGAATATCGCTAAGTCACGGCTTTGAACTTACCGGGCGGATGGTTGCGAAGTGGAGCAGCCGTACATGGTAGACTTTGAGCCGCTGTCAATTGACAACACTTGTTAGAGCAAGTTACTGTCTGGTGAAGAACTATTTTGCGGCGCTACGTTGTCCCTTCATGGCTTCATGGGGGAAGGGAGCCGGAACAGAACTCATTGCTACTCCTGAGCTCAACTGGTTTCTCAACTCCTAGGGTAGGGAGGCAGAGAGGCTCTGGCTAGGACGGTAGGTACCTAGGTAGTTGAGGACGAAATATATTGAAGGTCGTGGCCAGTTAGTCGCGCCCTGTCGCCCTTCCTTCCACCGGCCGGCGGCACGGAGTTTTGTAGTGTATGTCAGCGGCAATCTCACTGTGTCTGCTTTTTTGAACGTAAATCCGCCGGGTCTCAACAGAAGTGAAATGTGTTGCAGAGGTCCAGAACGAGCTGCACTGGAACTGCCCTGGATGACCTGGGAATTGATCAGCTGACCTCCTGCCACAGCTCCGAGAGCCGCAAATGGCAACAGAGCGGCATTCCCCCAGGAAGAATGCGGGGTTCCACGCGGCCATGCACGACCTGGCACGCCTTGATCGCGCTTGACAACGCCACGGTCCCCTGTAAGTCCCAACAAGATCCACTGAACAAAGCTGGCCTGCCCAAGGTCATCAGCCCTGCCAGTCCATAAGGTTTCCGATGCGCAGCATCGCATGCACAGGTATGCGCTTTCCTTCCTATTGGGTTTCTTTTGACATGTTTGATGCAGAAGAAATCTGCAAACTGCTGTTCACTCCCTCGAGAAATTCTTCCAAGGTTCTCTTTGGCTTTCGCCGACCGGGAAGTTTAAATACTGACCACCCGGCGTGCAATTGGAGCACAGTCTCCCAATTCCACCACCCATCACCAATTAGTGGCAACCTCAACCTCTATCCCAACATCCAATATTGAATGCGCCTGAGAAGGACAAACCCGACACACCACCACTTTAACAAATAGCCATCATGACGATGGAGAGCATTCAGCTCGCACAGATGCTCGCTGATTTAAACGAGCTATCTACAGCGGTTCGTCCGCCCTCCCAACCGAAATGTCGAACAAAAACACTAAAACACTGGTCGCTGCTAGGAATCCCAGGCCGCCGTCAAGGTGGTCACTGTGAACAAGGCCAACTCGTCCCCAGCCCCGGTCGATGCCGACAAACCCGCCGAGCAATTGCAACGACCCGCGCTCCGCGGGTCCGGAGGCTCGGGGGCTTCCGGCGGGTCGTCGTTTATTTCGAGAACCGCTTCGCCAGCCAAGTTCGACAAGTATGGCCGGCGCATCCTGACACCTCCCAACACCCGGTCAAACTCGACTTACGGTTCGATTCCTGGAACCCCGAAGCCAGAGGTTAGTAGAGGAATAACCCCATTTTACATTAATCCGATTACATCCTCCCAAACGTTCCTAGCACAGGATTTATTGCTTTCGCCCCCGAACATGCCAATGAACATGCACTAATTAGATTTTCATATCCACAGGCCGATGACGATGTTAACCAAGCCAGCTCTCTCATGGCGCTCTACGAGATTCGAGCCAAGTTGAAAGACCACGACACCAACAGGAACCTCAGCAAGCTCCGTGAGAAGATCGATGCTTTGCACGCAAAGCAACTTCAAACCGATAAAAAGGACGGCGATGCAAGCAAGATGAAGATTCCATACCCAAAGAAATCCTGAGTGAACTGGCTTGCTTTGTTTGAACACCAGAATGTTCAACCTGCGGCCTGCTCTTTGGACTTTGGCGCTGTTTTCGCCGGTCTTGCTTTGGGGGAGGGGTTTCTCTTATCATGACACTACGGTGTCTTTTACGTGTGTGGGATCATTTTCAGGGAGTTTGTGGCGTTACAAGGCTACAAGGCGCTTACACGGGCTTCGGGACACCGGCTTCTCTGGCAGGAAGAGAAATGAGTGTATGAATATTGGGAATACGCACAGCAACGAAGAGTTGTCATGCCCACGCTTTCAGTTCCTTGTCGGATGGGCCAGAGAGCGCCTACCTATGTACTCGTGTATAGATACCACGTTAAAGTCTAATGATTACCTGTCTTGAATTTCTTGAGGAGGTGCTAGATGATGTGTGTCATACATTCTGCATAGGTATTGGGAACCTGTACGTGGGCCTTTCCTTGCGCCGGGGAACTTTTTCCAGTTGATTTTGGTTTGACGTCGAGTACGACTCCCGCTACAGTGGTTGGACGCTCACGTTAAGCACCCGTGACCATGGAATATTTTCTTGTCACACACCTTTCCTATTTCCCATCCAAGGAGCACCCTGACGGGGATGCACGCGACACACCAACTCGGCCCCTCGAGGTCCCCCCACCATCTGAGCCCCCCAAGCCCCCGCAGCTGAATCCCTGTCACCGCTTTGGCGGAATGGAGTCGGAACCCGCGTGCCGAGACCGCCAAGACCGTGGTCCAGACAAACCACTTTCGTTTGTGCCTTGTCAGCAGGCGTCTCGCTTCCCTGGTCCACAATTGACAAACCGTCATCGGTCGACGGCTTTTGATTTCCTGGCGCACCAACCGAGCGTTTGCTTCGCAAACGACGGCAAACGGCTACGAGAAGGATTGAATTTAACGACACCACTTTAAGAATACCAAATCACGACAGACACGCCACCCGTTGTTTCGAGGATAGAGCTGAAGCCAGAAAAGAGAGAGGGGAAAAAAAGTGTTGGCCATGGCGACCGGCGTCGACGCGAAGCTCTTGAAGAGCACCAAGTTCCCGCCCGAGTTCAATCAAAAGGTGGACATGCAAAAGGTTAATGTCCAGGTCATGAAGAAGTAAGGCAACCGACAGGCAATGGTCATGGGAGGGGAAACGGAGCTTCACTACTAACGGGTGGTTGATAGATGGATTGCGAACCGAGTTACGGAAATCCTAGGGAGCGAAGATGACGTTGTGATTGAGCTGGTTTTCGACTTGGTTGAGGGTGTCCGAAATGTCAGTATTTTGTTTACCACTCCGTTCTGTTCTCAACCTCGTTTGCTAACTTGGACCTAAACTCTTCCAGCCCGATATCAAATCCATGCAGATCCAGCTGACTGGTTTCCTCGATAAAGACACGCCGATTTTCTGCAAGGACCTTTGGAAACTATTGCTCAGCGCGCAAGCGAGTCCACAGGGCGTGCCGAAAGAGTTGTTGGAGGCGAAGAAATTGGAGCTCATGCAAGAGAAGGTGAGGAGGTAGAGAATCATCATCTACACACGCGCAGACGCTGACCCTAGGGCATAGATCGAGGCGGACAAAGCTGCTGAAGAAGCCCGCCAGCGACGAAACGAGTTCGAGCGCCGCGACCGTGGTAGGGGTGGTGGCCGAGGGGGCGGCCGTGGAGACTCGTGGCGAGGGGGACGTGACGATAGGGACCGGGGCGGTTTTGGACGTGGGCGATCCCGATCACCCCCTCGTTTTCGTGATCGCGGCGACCGCGCAGACCGTGGAGGACGTGGTGGTCCCCGCGGTGGCGGTGGTGGATGGACGCGCGATATTTATGTTCCTCGGGGAAACTCGCCGCGGCGTGGCGGCGGTGGATGGCGCGATAACCGACGTCGCCCATCCCGATCTCGATCCCGGTCGCGCACCCGATCTCGGACACGCTCTCCGGCCGCCAGATCGACATCTTCCCGGTCCCTTTCGCGCACTCCTAGCGTCGAAGGAGGCAGACGGTCTGTCACTCGGTCACCCAGCCCCCCTCGCCGGCGTCGTGGGCGAACACGGTCACGCACTCCGGCAACTCGGCGGGAGGCGCCCAAACGACACCGATCGTCTCGCGCCCGTACGCGCTCCGTGTCATCGGACCGCAGCTCGCCCTCACCGAAACGCCGTCGCTACTCCAGATCAAGAAGCCGGGGCCGCGGTAGGAGCGCGAGCCGTAGTGAAAGCCGCAGCATCTCCAGGTCACCAGCTCGACGATACAACAGATCGGCATCTACGTCCTCATCTCGGTACTCGCGCTCACCTAGCCGTACTCCGCCGAGGCGATCAAGTCGAGATAGCCGGGGCGAGTCTCGGAGTGGCAATACTCGCCGCGACAAGACCCGGGCCCGCAGTGCGAGCCGCAGCGCTAGCGTAGCTAGCTCATATGATAGCCGCCGTCGCTCGTCCAAACGGCGGTCACGGAGCAGAAGTGTCTCCCGTCGCGGCAGCGCCAGCCCGGGCGGGAAATACAGGGGACGGAGGGGATCTTCTGCGTCTTCACACTCTTCTTCACGGAACAGATCGGCTGATGGTTCGGACGCTGAAAACAGAACACGCTCTCCCCGTGACAAACCGACGGCCTCGAGCTCGAAACAGGTACGTCCTTATGATACAATCGGAGGCTTTTAACTGGAAATAATGGCAGGTAACTGATCAGTTGTTTTGAGATAGGGCGACCATAAAATAGCCAACGAACTCCGCGAGCGGGAACTCAAAGAGAAAATTAAGAAGATGAGATCCTCAAACAGCGGGGACGATCACGTCGAGGCTAACGATGCTTGAAGCTGTTTCCTACCATCATTCATGGACCTCCGCACCGTCAATCCCACACCATCCATCGGGAGGATGGCTTCCGGTAGTGGGCGTTGGGGCCGACTTGGAATCTGAAGATTATGAGACCAGCACTGTCCGACATCCCATAGTTGTCGAAGTTTGATCGCATAATTTCATCCTCTCCCGTAGCCACGACTTTTCAGCGATCTTAGGACTGTGTGTATAATTGTAAAACAACATTTCGCAGTTCTTTTAATTTTTACCGTTGAACACCCTCGTAGACCTCAAGCTCGCAATGCTACAGTCTGAGAGGGCCACTCAGCAGGCAACTTCTCATGTCCATGTTGATGGTCGCCCCACACGTATTGACTTGTTTGAGTACCTTTCGCTCTCTCGTACGGCCAGAAGAATCGCCGCTGAAATGGATCCCGCGCCACCGTATACAAGCTCATCGACCTGTTTGTTCTCTTTTCTTTCTCCGAGTTTCACCTCTTTCTCAGCATGCTTAGTGGACGCCGAGGTAAGTGGGAGCCGGACAGTGCGAAGTGAGTGCTGTCTGTGCGCTGATTGGTGGGCATGGGGCGGAAGCTTGCGCAGTGGAATCGTTCGCGGCGCGTCTCCCTATCACGGCTCAATTGATTATCTTGAAAGAGCACCTAGTTATCACCACTAATACCCTGAATCCCGACCGCGGGAGGTTTTTATCACGAATATTTCAGCATGGCGGACAATAACGGTGCTGGCAGCAGTAACAATGCCAAACTGGGGGTCACAAACGACACGACTTCGTCTTCGGCAGCGGGCATCCCGTATTACGAGAAGCAGCGAGTTCGGCTCAAGGATCTTATTGCAAAGCGAAGGGCGCTAGAAAAGAAACTGGTGCGTTTCTTTTCTTCGCCATTGCCTTGCCCGCGGCATAATCGAGTACAATCGGAGCTCGAGAAAAGGCGTTGCTAACTAACCCGCTGAACACAGGCCAACGCCGAAGAACTCATCGTCGAGAAAGAATCCGAATATCTCGAAGCCACACCGAGTGGGAACATTGTCATCGGGTTCGACAATTACGTCAAAGGCGCCAGCGCAGCGGCCGCACAGAAGCGCAAGGCTGGCCAGGCGGATCAAAATCGCGTCTTCTCGCGCAGTTCAATATCCTACAACCCGGCCGCGGCGGCTGGGACGGTATGCTTTCTCCCCCATTCTGGCTCTACAAGACATATGTACACGATTGATATGTTCGGTTGTTAACCTGGTTTGTTTACCCATAACTAGGACGCACAAACCCCAGGTTCGACACCAGCGCCAACACCCATGTCCAGCACCTTTGGTGGGCGAGACGGACCCTCAGGCGCCCCCACACCAACTAGCGCGACAGGCGGCGGTGGTGGCGGTGGGAGGTCTAACGCTCACAAGAAAAAGAAGAGCACGGCTGCTGCTGCTGCCGCTGCCGCGGCCGCAGCAGGGAACGAGGATAGTGAGACCGACGGGAGAGATACGAAGAGGGCGAGGACGAGTTTTGGGGCTAGGAAATGAGGGGATGAAGGATATTGTTATAGTATGGTTGGATGTGCCATAGTATGTGCTGAGGTCACTGGTTTTGGTAAACGGCGTCCGGGAAGCCTTTTGATTTGGGATATAGGGGCCGGTTCATACCCTTGGCGTTTATACGGTGGGAAAAGAGCGGACATGGAGATGGCGTACTACGTCGAGATATTCCATTTCCTGTTTCAGCGGCAACGCTCTCATGGGAAGTTAAATGCAGTGGTACAGTACCATAACGAAGAACGATATTTATCTTGAGAAAGAAACAACAGCGGGCTTTGGTGTCTATTCTGAACCTTCCTGGCGGGGTACTTCAGGACTTAACCTGGAAGCATTGCAGTGGCGAATAACCATCAAGGTCCTCGCGTGCCCCGACAAACTGGCTCGCAATTGATTGAAGCATTGGCGCGAAGCTTACCACATACACCACGCGGCCATTCAACATTCGCCTGCCTATTCTGGCGCTCGACCCGGGCGGCGTTTCTCGTGCGGGGCCCGCAGCGTGGTTCCGCGACCCCTCTATCCCCTCATGGTTTGTCTAGCCCGCAAGGACCCTTCTAGATGGACCATAGCTCTTATGGGTAGGTGGTAATAAATCAACTCCCCTCTCTCTCTTGTCCCGAAAGTTTTCCTTCTGGCTTTGTCTTACTCTTCTTGCAAAGCTGTGACTTGGTTATTGTGGGTTTACGGAGTATAGAAGTTGAAATGACACTCATGGCTGCCAAGTTCACGCCCGAGGTATTGCTCTCGGCCCCTCGCCGGTCTCCAGGACTACCCAATCCCTCCGGCAAGCTTGCATTGTATACGGTATGTGTTTGGTAGGGCTACTGAGCTCATACCACGGCTTGGCTTTACGGGCTCCTTCTCTGCATTTGTGGTGCATCTTATCAATTTTTATTTCATTTTATTTTCCCTGCTTAGCAAGTCCCTGTCTCAATTCCTCTACTAACACGCCGCAGGTCTCTTCTTACTCCTTTGAGGACCACAAGAAGACTTCGCAAATCCGTGTTCTTGATGTTAGCTCTGGTGAATCATCCCCGCTCATCGAAGAGCCGGGGGCTAGCGAACCAGTTTGGATTGGGGAGGATGAGGTCCTCTATCTCAAGGCCGGCGAACATGGCAACACTTCTCTAGTTGTCCGCCAGCTCGGGTCCGCCGAAGCCTCATCGTATGTTTTATTCGGGCCTGAAAAGGGGATTGTGCTTGGAATTTGCGACTAAGTTCGTATGATAGGTCGTATGAGGCTGGCTCAGTCAAGGCCCCTATTTCCGAGGTCATTGTCAAGGCACTGCCCAACGGCACGGTGGCTTTTGCCTGCTCGGCAACGACGAATCCCCATGGAGAGCTCCATAATCCCGAGGTAGAAAAGGAGCCGCACTCGTCCGCCAAGGTTTATACCAGCCTCTTTGTCCGGCACTGGGACACTTGGGGTAGTAAGAACTCGAGCTCCATCTTTTACGGCGCTCTTGAGAAGAAGGACGGCAAGTACTCGCTCAAAGACAACAAGTTGACCAATGCTCTTGCGGGAACTGGCCTCTCCTCGCCAGTGCCACCGTTCGGCGGCTCTGGCGACTTTGATATCAGTTCATCAGGACTGGTGTTTGTGGCTAAGGACCCCAAACTCGACGCTGCGATCTACACCAAAACGGACCTCTACTTCATCCCCCTCGAGACCTTCACCGAGACTAACCCACCCTCACCACGAATCGTCAAGACGCCCGGCCTTGAAGGATACTCCAACAGCCCCGTTTTCTCTAACTCCGGGCGCAAGGTTGCATTCACACGCATGCGCAGCAACCAGTACGAGTCGGACAAGCCGCGTCTCCTCATCGTCCCCGACATCGCCGACCCAGAAACTACGGAGGAGTTCTACGCGACCAAGGATGGTGACGGTGGCTGGGACACCCGCCCAGAGTCGGTTCTGTGGAGCCATGACGATGCCACGCTCTATGTTACCGCTGAAGATCGCGGCCGCACGCTGATCTTTGAACTCCCTTCCACACCATCCAAGGCTACCTCCATCCCCACTCCCATCAAGACCCCCGAAGGCAGCGTCAATTCCTTCCACCTCATCGCCAACCCTTCCACAACCAGCCAAGCAAAAGACCACCTCTTCGTCACGTCCACATCCCTGATCGACAACTCCAACTACGCCATCACCCACCCCGCCTCCGGAACCTACAGCGTCGTTTCGTCCGCCTCCAAGCAAGGCAAATCCTTCGGTCTCTCCCGCGGCTCCATCGACTCCATCACCTTCCGCGGCGCCGGCGGCGACTACGACGTGCACGCGCTCGTGGTACGCCCGTCGTCGTACTCGCCCGAAAAGAGATACCCGCTCTGTATGCTCATCCACGGCGGGCCGCAAGGCGCCTGGCAGGACTCGTGGTCCACGCGATGGAACCCGGCTGTGTTTGCTGAGCAAGGATATGTGGTCGTGTGTCCCAACCCGACGGGCAGTACGGGCTATGGTATGGCGTTGGAGGACGGGATCAAGGGTGACTGGGGTGGACGGCCGTATAATGATCTGGTGAAGTGTTTTGAATACGTGGCGGAGAATTTGCCCGAGGTGGACGTCAACCGCGCTGTGGCGTTGGGCGCGAGTTATGGCGGGTACATGATTAGTAGGTCTTCCCTATGCTGCTACCTTTTGACCCTATCGTCAATGCAATTATCCCTTTGTGGGTTGAAGCTAACGGACTAGGGAAACAGACTGGATCCAGGGCCACCCACTCGGGCGCAAGTTCAAGGCACTGGTCTGCCACGACGGTGTGTTCAGTACGCTAAACCAATGGTCCACGGAGGAGCTTTTCTTCCCGATCCATGACTTCGAGGGAACTATCTACGACAACCGGGCGGGCTACGAGAAGTGGGATCCGGCACGGTTTGTGAATGAGTGGGCAACGCCCCAGCTGGTACGTTTACACCTCGCCCTTGTCTTCCTAGATGATGACGACCCCACAACAAGGTAATCCATACTAACGGTGAATAACCCTCCCACGGCTATAGATCATTCACAGCGAGCTGGACTACCGTCTCCCCGTCACCGAGGGCCTGGCGGCATTCAACGTCTTGCAGGCTAAGAAGGTGCCTAGCAAACTGCTGATGTTCCCGGATGAGAACCACGTAAGGCCCATTTCTTCCTCCGGCTGGATGCCATCTGGTATAATGGAAGCTAACGTGGGTATGTTTCATAGTGGGTACTGAAGCATGAGAACTCGCTCGTTTGGCATCGTGAGGTGCTGGCTTGGATCAACAAATACTCGGGGATCGAAGAGGAACAACAAAAGGGGTTGACGGACGGGGTTGGTCAGTTGAAGGTGTAATTTGGAAACGTCCTTGGACTTGGAAAGATCTGTGTGTGAGGGAGGTACTTCGTACATGTTTGTACAATCAGTACCACGTGTTACTGGGGCCTTTACAACCAAACTCGCACCGACACTTTTGGATATTCTCATCATTAACTTGAACTGGTTTGATTCAACCCTATCTAAATAAACTTGGCCTGCTATACCTATCCCACAGCGGGCAAACCCGCTTCTTCATTTCCGACTACCCTTAAACCCATCAACCCAAAAACCCTGCTAGTTATTCTCTGCCAATAACCGTGCCATTCCTCCCAAGGCCCACGCCAAAACCTCTCTCTGCCTCTGCCCATGCAAAACCACGATCACAAACAGCCAAAGGACCCTCCCCAAAAGCTCTCCCAATCATTCAACGGGACTTTCCTATCATTTACAGAATTTTGATTCCAACCCGATCGGGTTGTCCAACAGTGGTATCTCCGAGTCTTCCGGAGCGCCTAAAACGCCCTTCGGTCGTTGTAGGCGACCAACAACACAGCCAAAGGAAAAAAAGACGAGAAGAGCAAGTAAACAAATCGCCCTTGCCAGACAGACAGACCCCCAACGCGCCGCCAAACCAAGACAGGTGTTAAGAAATATGCTTTACAAAGAACCAAGCACGGATCCAGGAAGCAAGGCCACAAAGATCGCGCGCTGTGCCGTCACGCATCAGTCGTCAGAAAGGTGCTCCTACGCCTCAACAGCAACCGCCGCAGATGATTGAACGGCGGATTCCGGCTGATTCTGCTGTTGTTGCTCACGAGCGGCCTCGCCGCCCGCCTCGCGCTCGGCCCAGTCGCCCCAGAGACCACGCTTCCCGCGGACGCGGATGGCACCGCCAAGCGATCCCTCGGGCTGCTCAACCTTGATGGCGTCCTTGGTGGCGAGGACGAGACACTCGAAAAACATCTTGGTGGCGTCCGCCTTGGAGGTCTTCTTCTCGGGCAGTAGCTCTTGGAAGACAACGGCTGTCTTCTTGCGTTTGTCGGCATTGGTAGCGGCGTCGGCGCCGAAAAGGTCGCGGAGGATGTGCACAGCGTGCTTCGTGCCGATAGACACGGGGCCGCTGTCCGCAGGGTGCACAATCGGGATGGTGGTGTCGTCGAAGTTGGGCATGGGGCTGGCGGGCGCGCCGTCCCTGGAGCGCGGTCGCTCGTCCTCGTCATCGCCCTGGAAGACAACGGTTTCGTCGGCGGGGATCTCAAGTACTGTGCCGTCGGCCGCAATGCTTTGGTTTCCGGCAATGGACCTGTCGAGGCCAATAATCGTCTCGTCATCCGGAAGCTCGAGACGCGGGGATTTCGATGCGCCTTGCTCGTCTTCGCTATCGAGGTCGGCGACTCCGCTATCCCGCTTCCTCTTCAGCTCGTTGGGTCGGATGGAGCCCAAAGACAAGAGACCCTTGAGCTCGGGGGCCCAGCCAGCACTGCGACCCTCGAACAGGATGTTGTTAACAAACCCGCCGTTCTTGTGCAAGTCTAGTAGCCCGACAATGTACGGGTCGTGGGTAACGAAGGATTGCGGCTTCAGGATGTTGTCGCGCTTCGCCTGTTGTTCCTTGATCTGGGCGTTCGACAGCATGGTCTGGTCATCCGGCTGGAGCAGCTTCTTCTTCTTCTGGCGTTGGGGGGCCCGGACCATAGAAGCCGTCGGGTCGTCTCCCGGCTCATACATGTCGGTGTTCATGTGCCGGCTGTACTCGAGTTCAACTTCCTTGGCAAAGTTTTCGTCGATGTCGGACAAGGGCGACTCGGAGATACGAGCACGCGCCATGTCCGGGCGGCTGGCCCCGGGCATTCCAGATTCGTCACCCACGTTGAACTGGAGGTCGTCGTCGCCCATCTGAATGTCACCCTCCTCATCTGCGATTTGCACACCCTCGCCAAAATCGAGATCAAGACCCAGTGATGGCTCACGAACTTGGCGATCCTTGCTAGGACCGCCCACATCCAACTCGCTGAACATATCCTCCTCGACCGGCCGGGCAGCAGGCGCATCTCTGCCCATTTCCACGCTCCTGTCCATTAACTTCGTCGGGCGATCATCAATGTCCATACCGAAGTCGAGCTCCAGGTCAAGGTCGTCCATGTTTGCCAGAGCCAGTTCGTCGTCGTCACCCGTTGTATCTTGCAGAAATTGGCTGTTGTTGAAGTCTTCCTGGAGGTTGATATCACGGTTGCTGGGACGGACGGCAGCCTTTCGGCTGCTTATCGGGGTCGCCGTCACCTCCTCAAGCTGGGAGGCAAGGAAATCGGAGCTCGGGGGAGGAAGGAGATCGAGGTTGTCGTATGGGGTAATCGTATCCGGGAGCATGAGCGACTCTTTTGTCGTCGCGTGCAAGTTGGTGGGAATGTCGTGATTGCCAGTCGACCGGAACGCCTAGGTATGTCAGTCATTTGAGGCCCCAACATGTTTAAAGGGGAGGTAGGGCAGGAAAAAGGTGAGTACATACCATTTTGATCTTGATCAGAGCCTCATTGCAGTCGTCAAGAAGGTAACGTGCTTTGCGACTATAAATACGGACAACGCCGAGGAGAAGCTGCCCGCTAAGGCGGAGGGCGAGGGGCGCGTCATTGGGAGCGATGATGGCGTCGACGCTGTCTTGCAAGTTGTGCTGCAGAATCTGGACCTTGGAGATCTTGCGTTCTTGGTTGGCGGAGAGCCACGCCTTGGCCAAGGGGCCGGTGGCACTCAGTAGTGTCCCGGACCAGAACATGGCGACGACGGGAGCAAGCGAAGCAAGATGCGCGAGTTACTGCTGGGCTGAAAGAAAGAAACGCAATTATCGAAAATCGATATCGATGCGATTGACTGGCGTGCGACGGAAGGAACGCGACAGCGGGGCAAGGACCGTCGCCGGGTGAGCCGCCAGGTGGTGGAGATACGTAAACAAGACAAAGCGCGTTGCGTTGTTTGGACAATGGCGCGCCACAGCGAGGCCGGTCAGGTCGGCGCAAAACGCGCGCAACCAAGAAAAGTGGTCGAGGTAGTCGAATATGGTCGGTTGGGTCGCGTAATCAAATGCAACATCTAGCAAAAAAGCGATGGTTGAGATGGACCAAAATCGAATCGCAGGTGAAGGAGGGAGGGGATAATGGGTCGGTTCGGAGGTGGGCGGGAATGAATGTGCAACGAACTCTGCAGAAAATCGAGCCCCCTGCGAAATATGAGAGGCTGGGGCCCCACTGACCGCCCTCGTTGGACAGGCAGCAAGATCACGTGATAAAGTACCTGGCCGCAATGTCCGTCCCGCTGCATGTCACATTCTGCGAGTTCGCGTAATTGTACGGTAATTACAGAGCTGAGAAGCTGCATGGAATGGCCAGGGAGGTCTCAGAACGAATTCAAGGTACCGAATTGCGGAAAGGCACCTCGGTACGAATACTAGCTCGGAATGGGAAGCATGAGTCGACACTCCCATTTGTGTTTCCGACCACCACAAACCTCGAAAGCCAAAAGGTTTCCCAATTGATTCCGAGTCAACGGTGCTGGACGGAATGCAAAGCCCCGAAGAGCCCGCTTCGGTTTGGTGCAGAGTTAATGCCATTGGCTAGAAACCCATAGGGGCGGACCGTCTGTTCCTCTCACGTTAGTATTTTTTAAGAAAACAATTGATATCACTTGTTTATGAACTAATACTGTAAGGCTCATTGAACGTACCCGTTCCCGGCACCCGCCTGCACGACGGGAACCCAGAGTCTTGAAATCATCTGTTGAAATGCCAAGCCGCAGGGCGCATGGTACCTGACCAGTGCCTCTTCACTGCTGCAAATATCCCTGTCTGTGGGTCTAACAGCCAGACGGGGATGTCAAAGCTTGGAATAAAACACGTTCCACAAGCAACAGGTCTCGGCGTGGTCCAGAGCCCGCAAAGGTCCACCAAACCTCCAAACCTCACCTCAACATAACGATTGGAACGACAACAAGACTCCTGCGTCTGCGGTGGTGCTTCTTCCTTTTTGGGGGGGTTTCCTAATGCGTTAACATTGAGCCCGTGCCACTGTTCTGTCTTTCCGTCTTCTCTCCCATTAGGCCTCGGCGATCACACACACCCTGGCCGTTGCCGTTGTCGCTGCCGTAGGCGTTGATGACGTTCAGCTAGTCCGTCGACTCCTATTCGGGGTCCTTTGCGCCCACCCCCGCGGGATCACCTACACACTCTCTCGATTGCGCAATGGATCGACTCACGCGCAAAGACGATGGCGACGCTCTTCCGTTGTACCAAAACTCCCAGGAGCCAGGGTCAGCCGGGCTTCCTGGGAACGAGCGTCCTTGGTCTGCTCCCCCAAGGGCGATGAGCCCTCGGACGACGTCGGCACAGTCAAGAGTACGGTTACTGGCGTTGGTTTTTTGTTTCTTTTTTGGAGAACGTCTAGGGCTAATGTTCCTCCACTAGACCGTGGCCGACGAGTATTCTTCCCTTACTCCAATCGAGATAGCCTCACGCCTGAAGACCTCTCTGACCCATGGTCTCACACCCGCCGAAGCCCTCTCAAGGTTACGCGATTACGGCCCAAACGAAATACCCCATGACGAGCCCGAGCCAATATGGCTACGTTTCATCAAGCAGTTCCAGGAGCCGCTGATCCTGCTGCTCCTCGCCTCTGCTGGCGCCTCGATTTTAGTCGGAAACATGGATGACGCTGTGAGCATTACAGTTGCCGTGACCATTGTGGTCAGCGTGGGATTTATTCAGGAATACCGTTCCGAGAAATCGATCGAGGCTCTCAACCATCTTGTTCCGAACCACGCCCATCTGGTCCGGAAACAAATGTCGAATGCAACGCCCGCACGCTCTCCGAACTGGCCGGGCGAGAAAACCCCGGATCTTCCGACCTCTGGTTCCGTCACTCCCGAGGAGGAGGTGTTGGAGGCCACATCGTCCAAAGTGATGGCAGCACAACTTGTGCCGGGGGACCTCGTGCTCTTCACCACGGGGGATCGCATCCCCGCCGACATCCGGGTGACCAAAGCGGCCGACTTGACGATAGACGTCTCGAACCTCACGGGAGAAAACGAGCCCGTTCGAGTGACCGCGAACACCCGCCCGCGCCGTGCGATCGGGGTCCCTACCTATGGCAACGCCACATTACAGCTGCCTCAACCATCCTTTGCGGGGGCCAGTGATGCACAATCAGGAGGGCAGGCGAAGGCGGATCATGATGGGCTGCACAACATCGCTTATATGGGCACGTTGGTCAAATCTGGGCACGGGCAAGGCGTTGTCTTTGCGACTGGCGGCGACACACACTTTGGCACTATCGCAACTAGCGTGTCCGGAACGGAAAGCCCTCGCTCGCCGCTGCAGGTTTCCATGGATGAGTTGGGATCCCAATTGAGCAAGGCATCGTTCGTTATTATCGGCCTTATCTCGCTCATTGGCTGGTTTCAGGGGAAGAAGCTGCTTGAGATTTTTACCATATCTATCTCGCTGGCTGTAGCAGCAATTCCGGAGGGCCTACCTATCATTGTGACCGTGACTCTCGCCCTGGGCGTCCATAGGATGGCCAAACATAATGCGATTGTGCGGAGGATGCCTAAAGTTGAGACGCTAGGGTCCGTAAATGTGGTTTGTACCGACAAAACAGGCACACTGACGACAAACCACATGACTACGGCAAAAATGTGGTATTTTGGGACGAAAGAAGTCATGGACGTCGAGTCTGAAGACGAGGAAGCCGAGGCGAAGCTGGATGCTGCGGGACTCAGAATTATGCGCATTGGAAATATTGCCAATAATGCACGACTCGCCCGGCAATACACCGAGAACGGGGCGGCCGCCAGAGCGGTGCTCTCTTCGACACAGAACAAGCGCCACACGTCGACATACACGCGCTGGGTCGGCCAGCCTACTGACGTTGCAATGCTTGACTTGCTCGACCGCTTCAAAGAACACGACGTTCGCGACTCGATTGGGCCCCGAGTGACGGAGACGCCGTTTAGCTCGGAGCGGAAGTGGATGGGCGTGACAATCGGTACCGAGGGAGGCAAGCACGATAAGGAGTTTGCCTACATGAAAGGCGCCATCGATAAGGTCCTTGAGGCTTGCGATACCTATGTCACCAAGGACGGCCGGGAAATCGTGCTTGACTCGGCACGGCGGCAGGAGGCTCTGGACGCTGCTGAACGGATGGCCGCCACCGGGCTGCGGGTATTGGCTTTCGCCAGCGGCCCCGTCGCAAAGTCTCGAAGTAAGTCGGTTGCCCGGGCACCTGGGCCCGATGGAGCCGATAGCCCGATCCACCATGGTGTCGAGGAGCAGTACAAGGGGCTCACTTTTGCGGGGCTTGTTGGTATGAGTGACCCTCCGCGGCCTGGTGTCGGGCGATCCATCAGGAGGTTGATGCGAGGCCGAGTGAAGGTCATCATGATCACTGGTGACGCCGAAACCACAGCGCTTGCTATTGGCAAGCAGTTGGGTATGGCTATCGCCCCTGAGTCTACACATACGTCAAATCAAGTTACCGTCAAGCCAGTCCTTCGCGGCGATGAACTCGACGCCATGTCCGATGAGGACCTCGCAAGGGCCATGGATCACACCACCATTTTTGCACGGACAAACCCCGACCACAAGCTGAAGATCGTCAGGGCGCTCCAATCCCGCGGCGATATTGTCGCTATGACGGGTGATGGCGTCAATGATGCGCCAGCTCTGAAAAAGGCAGATATCGGCATTGCCATGGGCATGCATGGCACCGACGTTGCTAAGGAGGCTGCCGATATGATTCTAACGGACGATGATTTCTCCACTATCCTCCACGCCATCGAAGAGGGGAAAGCCATCTTCAACAATATCCAAAACTTCCTTACCTTCCAGCTCTCCACCAGTGCTGCCGGTCTCTCTCTTGTCTTGCTTTGCACTGCGTTGGGATTCAAGTCCCCGCTCAATGCGATGCAAATTCTTTGGATCAGTACGTCGGGATTTTCTCGCTGTTCTCCCACCCCTCCCCGCGTTGATACTAATATTTCTCACCTCAGATATTATCATGGATGGCCCACCTGCCCAATCCCTCGGCGTCGAAGCTGTCGACAAGGACGTCATGAACCGCCCGCCTCGCCGGCGTGGCGATGCAGTCCTCACCCGCCGCCTGCTCACCCGCGTCCTCACGCAAGCGGCAATTATCATGGCTGGCACCATGCTTGTCTACACCCATGAAATGCTCGAAGACGGCCAGGTAACCCGCCGCGACACTACCATGACATTCACATGCTTTGTGTTGTTCGACATGTTCAACGCTCTGAGCTGCCGCTCCGAGAGCAAGAGTGTGCTGCGCGGCGAGGTTGGCTTGTTCAGCAACCTTCTGTTCAACTGGGCTGTGGCGGGGAGTTTGTTGGGTCAGTTGGCGGTCGTGTATTTTCCTTGGCTGCAGGAGGTTTTCCAGACGGAGGCGCTTGGATTCCGGGATCTTGTAGGGCTGGTGGTTCTTTGCAGTACCGTGTTTTGGGCGGATGAGGTGCGGAAATGGTTACAGTACGGAAGGGGACGGAGGGTGTTTGCGGGTGGAAGTTATAGTCAAGCGGTTTAGCATGCATTGAGGGGGGTTGGGGGGGCTTTTTCTATATGATGATGTGGATGAATACAGGTAATGTTACAACATGATAATAGAATTGGTCTGGGCTAGAATTGTTAACTTGGTCGGTGTGTGAAAGGTTGGCATAGTGCAACGGCTGCCGGGGCGTGTGGAATTCAGACATGAACTCCGGAGCCTGGAAGAGATGACGGGTTTCTTTTTCTGCTTTGGGGGCAAGGCAGCGGCCATGTTCATTCACCCAATGTACACAAGCCTTGCGATGCCGGTTGGTCGTATGGGCCGTGAGGCAGACTTGCACTCTGCCAGGCTGCCGGGCGCTTGAGGCCGCCATTCCTTTGAATCTGCCCGTTCCATGTTCACAGTCAAGGGCTAGGCCGAACTAAGCGCTTCGGCCCGCGGGATGAACGGGCCGCGAGTCACTTTGCTGTGGCTGTGGAAGGCAGTGATGGAAGGCTGGATACATACACTGTGTACTTTCACAGCGGCGCTTCCGTTCCCCCGATTTAGCAAGCAAGGGCCCAAAAATCAACCGCTGGGAAAGCAGAAGTCTTGCGAAACAAACATGAGACCAAGCTTTCCCAGAATCGTCACCTTGGGAAAATTGTAGGATTTCGATCCAGGCCGAAGATCGAGGTCGGCCGACTTGTATCGCGGCCCGTGAGGTGCCAATCATCATGGAAGGCAGTGATTGCCCCCCGTTTCCCTTCTCGTTGCAGCGGCAAGGCAAGGCTGCGGCACCACGGGCACCAACCGCATGCAGCCGGGGGCTACGGAAGGTCACCAACCAACTGAGGCCTACTGCAGTATGCATCAATTTGACGACATCACACTAACATGCGGGCGGCCGCTCCTACCAACGCGGGGAGGTTCGGCGCTTAGAGGCCAACAATGTCAACCCCATGGAGGTGCGGGGGGACGAATTGGGCGCTTGTTGTTGGACGTCGAAACGTTGCAAGGGAGGTGCTGCGCCCTGCCCCTCCTCGAGCCTTTTCAAGTATCTATCACTCTGCCTTGTGTGTTGGATGACGAGAGGGGTCAATTGAGCGTGGTTGGTGGCGGGGAGATACTTACATCTTTTTATGCTACCTAGGTGTGCAGCATTGACGGGGGAGGAGGGGGGCGGGTGGTGTATAAGAGTAGAGCTGTCCGTCAGTCCGTGAAAAGTAGTTTTTTGTTGGCCATCCCAAGTACTGATAAGTATTATTGATACCTTGTTTGATCATCGACTCCTTATATCATTTGCTCCGCAATGCCCTCATCTCTAGACCCCCAACAGCAGCCTCAGGACCTGCTCGTCAGTGCTTCTCTCCTGCGGAAGATTGACAAACTTCGGGAGAGAAACATCGGCACGCATGTAGCTTTGCCTCAGGTATGTGCATACCCAACCCCGTTTTTATCGCTTGCCTGTGGTCGGCCCCTCGCTCACTTAAGAATCCAACAAGCTCGTTGTTGTGGGCGACCAAAGCTCTGGCAAGTCCTCGCTCCTCGAGAGTTTGACAGGCATTCCCTTTCCGCGGGACGTTGAGCTTTGCACCCGCTACGCAACCCAGATTACCCAGAGGCGTGATGATGTCTCGCGCGTCGAGGTCCGCATCATCCCGGGACCGAATGCCTCAGAAGCACACAAGAAGCACGTGGAGGGGTACCGGGTCGAAGGCCTCACGCCCAGTGCTTTCCGGGACAGCTTTCCAGCCATCTTGAAAAAGGTACGTACTGCAGCTACAGCTAGGTGGCTGGTATTAGTTTGGTAGGTTTGTGGGAGAGTACTAATGAAACGCCCGTTAGGTTAACGCTAGGATGGGTATTCGAACGAATCCCGACTCTCCTCCGGAACCCGAGAATTCGTCGGACGATGCCAACTCTGACGCTGACACGCCGGACGAGGACTCTGGTCACAGGTCCAGGGCCACTGCCAAGCAAAAGCCGTCGCGGGGAGGCAGCGTGTTCAGCGAGGATGTGCTCAAGATCGAAATTTGCGGCCCGTCGGTCGACTATCTAACCGTCATCGACGTGCCGGGCATCTTCCGTACCCCGACTGAGGGCGTCACGACCAAAGATGACATCAGCATGATCCGGAACATGGTGCGATGGTACATCCAGGACAGCCGCACCGTTATCCTGGCCGTGCTTGCCAGCAATATCGACATCTCCAACCAGGAGATCTTGACGATGGCAGAGGAGTACGACCCGGAGGGTGAGCGTACACTCGGGATTCTCACCAAACCTGACCTGGTACCGGAGCTGAGCTCGAAAATGGCGGTTTGCAACATCGTCAACGGAAAGAAGAAACAGCTCAAGCTAGGCTACTACGTCGTCAGGAGCCGCGGTGCCGACCAAGGCGATGCTGATTTTGGGCGTCGGGAAGACATGTTCAAGGAGGCGCCGTGGAACAGCCTGCCAGCAGATCGAGTTGGTGTTAGGGCACTCAAGGCGCGGCTGGCGGAACTTCTGGGACATATGGCTCGGCGGGAGTTCCCAAAGTTGCGCAAAGAGATCAACGTCAAGCTCCAGAATGCTGAGCGGGAACGAGCCACGCTCGGCCCTTCGCGGAAGGATGAGCACGAACAGCGCCGCTTCTTGAGTGCGATCGCTGGCAGGTTTCAGGGGTTGGTGAGGCAGGCACTCGAAGCCCAGTACGCTGGCAACAGCGCATTCGATAACTCGATAGAGCTTCGGCTCGTGACGCAGGTCGTCAACCTCGCAGATGATTTCAGCGAGGAGTTTGCGGCCATGTCAGCCCGGCGCAAATTCAAGACCGTGGAGGACGCCGCTGTTGTTCCGACGGCAGCGTTCTACGGGTTGACCGAAAGTGTACTCGAGAGCGAAAACGAAGTATTGGACTTCGCCGATACTTTCGATCCGGAAGATTACCCCGAACTAGAGGGTCTCATTAGCGACGAAGCGGTGGAGGCACCCGAAGATGGCATTATGGAATGGATGAAGGAATTGTACACGAGGTCTCGCGGAATGGACATCAGCAACATCAACGGCACGGTTTGGGCAACCGCATGGAAAGAGCAGTCAAGCAAGTGGCCGTCTATGAGCAAGACCTTCATGGGCAAGGTCATCATGGCCATCCACCGATTCGTCCTCGCCGCGCTCGACGACGTATGCGTTGACGACAACGTGCGCGGTGAGCTTTGGACCGCCATCCTCGATGAGCTTCTCCACCGGTACGAGGTCGGGCTCCAGGCGGCCGAGTTCCTGGTCGCTGCAGAGCGGGATACCAAACCGTACACACTGGATCACCGGTTCAACGAAATCCGGCAGCAGTCGCGGGGCCTGCGCATCGGTAACCTCCTAAAACAGAAAATATTTGGCAGTATAAACAGCCCATTGGTCAGCATCGGCGACGTTCAAAGCGCCACCGAGAAGAAGTCCAACATTGAGGACGTGGTTGAGAAGCTGCACGATGATCTTAACGCGTACTACGACATCGCTCAAAAGCGATTCGTCGATAACGTGCTCAATCAAGCAATCAACTACCGTCTCTTGTTCGGGCCGTCCACGCCGCTGGGTGTGCTGAGCCAAGAATGGGTTATTGGGTTGAGGGCCGATCAACTAGAAGCCATCGCGGGGGAGTCGCCGAGCGTCAAGGAGTATCGCGACACCTTGGACAAGAAGATCACTGACTTGAGTGCAGCTCGGGACATTTTGCGGCAGTCTTAATAGGTGGGAGGGCGTACGGCGGTGTGTTTGAAATTAGTTTGGTTTGTTTTCGTTCAAAGTTAAGGTGTTTTGTATTGAATTGACCGCTTCATTTTCGAATTGTTGTCCGCTTCGAGGCTCATGACCACTGTGGGAAGGTGTGCAGTAAAAAGGGACGTAAATTACACACATACGTCACACAGACCCACCACAACACTCCGTCACCGTGTAACAAACGGTACCGTTACGATGTGCTTTCGAACCTCGACCATTGAACACATTCCCACGCTGCACTTCAAGCTTCAAGAGCGGCCTCAGCGGGGTACATACCACCGCACTTCCCACAATCCGGCTCACAGCAGCAATGCGCCGTTCTCACGACGGAAGCACCAATGTCAGCCCTCCCTAATGGCGCCGTCACCGCTTCGAAAACCAAGCTGCCCACAACCAAGAGCAGCGACACCCCGTCCCGTGCCCGCTCTGCCACCATGACCTCCACAAGTATGGCCACCACCACCACCTCGAAACAAATCCCCAGAAAAGAACTCGACCCTTCCGCCTCCCTACGAACCGCCACGACCGCTTCCGATATCCGCACAGCCCTCGCCGCCCTCCACGCCCGCGAATCCTCCCTCACAGCCAACCTCGACACGCTGGTAGACAACCATGCGAACCTCGGCCGCTCCCTGTCCCGCCTGGATAACCTCCGGGCGGGGCTCGGCGCACAGGTGATCGCAGCGCGCGGCGTGTCCAATAATATGCTCGCGTCCGCAGCAGATACAGCGGCCAGGCTTTCAGGCCGGGTGCGCGCGCTCGACCTGGAGAAGCAGCGCGTGGAGGACACGCTGCACGTGGTTGAGCAGGTGGCGGAGCTGAAGGCTTGCGTGGCCGGTGTTGTGGGTAGCATGGGAGCGCCGCAGGACTGGGAAGCTGCTGCTGGGTACATCAACCGCGCTGCGCGCGTGCCGGACGAGATTGTACGTGGCGGGTTTGCGGCTGCTGTTGTTCCAACGGTTGAAGTGCCCGATCCGCCGTGGGTTACTCTGGAGCAAGCTAGGGAGAGCTTGTGTAGCTTATTTTTGAGGGGGTTCAAGAAAGCTGCTGAGGACGGCGATGCTGCCAAGGTCACGCGGTTCTTCAAGTTGTTCCCGCTGATTGGGAGGGGGGATGTCGGGTTGGATGTGTATGGGCAGCACGTTTGCCAGGGCGTAGCGGGTGAAGCAAGGGCGTCGCTAAAAGAAGGGACGGCCCCCGGCGGCGGGCAAGGGAGAAAAGACGGGGTGTTCTTCGCGAACGCCCTCACGAAGCTATTTGACCATATCGCGCGTATCGTGGAGGCGCACGGCGGGTTGGTGGAGCGGCATTACGGGACGGGTAAGATGGTCAGAGTCATTGAGCGGCTACAAATGGAAGCCGACGTGCAGGGAGGCATCGTCTTGGATTCGTGGAGCGACGAGCGGGCAGTGGACCGGCGTTTGACCGACGTCAAGAGCTACCCTTTTTCCTTCTTAGTACAAAGCTTTTTGCCGCAGCAGCGTGGCTTGGGGGGGACACCACGGGTGAACTCGCCTGCCGGCGGCGGCGGCACCAACGACGCGCGCAATAGCGAAGATGAAGGTGTTAATATGAGAGAGGTGGACGCGTTACTGGTTGAGATTGCGGTGATGCTTGAGAAGTGGTCGGTCTACTCCCGCTTTCTTGCTGGGAAGTGCAAGGTACGTTCTTCAGGTTGATGATGAGTCCGTCACGGAGCTAACCGACCACCTCAGGATCCTTCCTCGTCCGACGAAGCACCCCTCATTGTGCCCGAACTCCTTCAAAAGTCTAATCTACACCGAAAGGTGTCCGGGAAGCTTGTGGGCCCATATAACGCGTTGACGACCTTCTATTTCCGCCGGTCCGTTGAGAAAGCGTTCCAGCTCGACGAATCGCCCCCAGGCCTGTCTCTTAACATGAGCAGGTCGATTGAGAGCAACCCCCCCTTCATTATCTCCGCTGTCGACGTTGTCATGTACATCGTCAACACCGTCATCCGACGCTCCATTTCAACGTCCCAACGAAGCGTTGTCGATGCCGTGCTCCCAACAATAGCCAGCCTTCTCGGGTCTGACTTCGTTGGGATGATCCAACGCAAAATGCGCGACGACTACTACCCAAAACCAGTAGTTCAGGGTAACCTGCCGCCCGAGAACATCATCATCGCCTTCATAGTACACATCAACAGTCTCGATATGGCCAACGACTACCTCGCCCGTATCGTTTCCAACTTCCTCAGGTCTACGGACCCTCAACAACACCCCAATGGGGCTTCGCACGAGAAGTCGCTCCGAGATTCCTTCCCCTTTGATAATGACGCAGGCGATGTCGCCACACGCCTCAATAATCTCAACACCTCTTTCTCTGCTAAAGCCACGGAACTGCTCACCGAGGGCGTCAAAGTGCTCTTCAACCAGGTCATCAAACTGCGTCTACGGCCTGTCCTTAGTGATACCTTCCGCGACGCCGATTACACCCTCACCGAGGACGAGTTGGCCGAGCTCGCGGCTCAAAACGACCGGACCGAGGACGAGCTCCTTGACCAGGTCCCGCGTGTGTTTGAGCACGGCTGGGACGCGTTGATGCGGCCCGTTGCGCGCCTCATGACGGCCCGTACATACACTATGCTCCTTGAGTTGACGTCTGACTACCTAGCGAGGGTCTTAGAGAAACGGGTATGGAGCTACACGGGCGGGCGAACGAGCCCGTATGGGGCGATCCGACTGGAGCGGGACTTTGGTGGGATTATTGGGACGATCAGTAAGGGGAACTATGCGGTGCGGGAGGCATTTGGGCGCACGGCGCAGGTCCTGATGGTGGCGAATATGGATGAGGAGGAGTGGGAGGAGATGCTGGGCGAGGAGGGCCAGGAAGGGGAGATGGAGTGGGTATTGAGTGAGGATGAAAGGAGGAGAGCTAGAAGCATCGTCCGGGGTTGACGGCGGCGCCCGGGACCTAGTAAATGTAGAAACTCATCGGCGTGCATCAAGCGAACATCCATTGCCAGTCTCCCAGTGCTAGACGAAGCACCGTGTCCCGAGAGGAACGCCTCGCTCATATCGGGGATCTCGGTAAATCAGACGTGCACAGTGGAGATAAACTTTGTAATTGCTTCTGTTCGCTCAGAGGATAGACGATCACCCCGAACTAACTGGAGGGATAATCGCAACCTCGTCGCCTTCTTTTATCACGATCTGGTCTCCATCCTCGCTTGCCTCATCATCCGTCACGTCGACATACGTCAGGTTTATCGTGACCAAACTGTGATCAAGTACACTCGCCCGGATGCCCTGGTAACGCTCCTCGAGCGTTCCAAATAGCTTCTTCAGCGGCAACGGTGCTGGCAGTGCCTCCACATTCTTAGCCGTGTACGACCCGGCGGTGGCAAAGTACAGAATATTGAAGTGGCCCGGTGGCGGTTTGGATGCCATGGTTTAATTGTCCTATCTTTCGCAAATTGTTAGCCATGTTGTTGCAACAACTGCTATGGGTTATACAACGGCAGGATAAGAAATTGGCTGTCAGAGATCTTGGTGATTTGAGAATACATCACAAAATGTTTTCAGGTAATACATGCTATTGAATGCATCATTCAACCAGGGTGAAATGAAGAACGGTATGACCGGAGCGGCCGGTTGGACTTACAGTACTCGTGATGTTGAAGTGTTGGGTTGAGAGGGGAAAACGCCCCTCGGCGGATCCCGAAAGCTTCAACTAGGGTTCCAGTCGGCGCGCCATCACGTGCGGTGCCCAGCGACGGAAGTCGCGATTGGCCGTCAGCTACCTCGCTATTGACGAGGCCACTAGCTGGAGGTTGTGAACCATCATCTGCTACCATTCATTGACGAAGGGCACGCAAATGAATTGTTTTGCGACCCTGCATCTTCTGGCTGCACGAAACAGAGGAAGCAAATGGGGAGAAAAGCTTTGCTCGAGCTCGGGTTGGAATGGAAAATTTATGTCGACAGTGGGGGAGGAACCCGGATCCATTTGATTGGCCAATTGGGCCGCGCTCCGTACAAATGGGGCCGTGTGTTATCCACAGCGGTGCGCCGAACCCATGTTCTGTACAAGAGCACCAGAACACAACGCTGTGGTCTCAAGAGTTGGCGATGCGGTCCTCGAGTTCTTTAACCGGAAAATATGGCTTGGTCGCCAAACGCCTCATGCTTTGTACTGGTCCAATCCACCAACAGGTGTCACATTTTGGGTATCATTACTTCCACAGTTTCTCTCTAAGACAGCTTTGACATCTTCTCCTCAAGATCCTTCACCCAACCCGAAATAACATCCACATTCTTCGTCATCGTCGTACTCCCCTCCCTAACAGCATTCTCCACCTTTTCTAACCCATCTCGCCACTCCTTGATCTCCCCGGCCATCTCTGCCTGCCTTTGTTCAAGTCGAGCCAATGTATCGGCAGCCGCAGCAGCATCGGCATGTATCATTCGTAGTGAACGGAGCCGGTCAAGCAAAGGAGGAAGCAACGGAGCCAGATTCTCAATGGTTGGCAGTGTGCCGTACAGTGCGTTGATCCTCGCCGTCTGCTCTGAATCCTCGACCGTGGCGGTCTCAGCTGTTTGCGCTGCTCCTGCGGAAGCAAGCGCGTCCTGGGCTGTCTTTGCGTTTCGGCGGGCCTTTTCCAGATCCTCAGCCTCCTGTGTCAATGCCCGTACTCTCCGACTGATACTGTCGAGAGAGGGGACTGACGCTTCGGACAAGGTGGTAATTTGCCTGTGTAGGTTCTCGAGTAGAGGAACAACGGCGCGCGGCAGGCCGTTCGATCCGAATTCCGGCATCGCGGCCGATCCAATCCCAAGTGCTTTTTCGAGGACAACAAGACGGGCGTCAAAATCCGCCGCTTTGGCCAACGCATGCGTTTGTTCGTAGTTTGGCGCGTAAGTTATCGTGTAACTAATGCCCTTGGGAGTGATTTGGGGCTGCGACCTCCCGAGATCACCCGCCGGATCAGCGGGAATCGCACGAGAAACCAGCGACTGGTCGGCGATCGACAGCTCATCCAGTACCTTGCTGAGGGCCTCAATCTCACCCTCTTGGGCTTCGCCCTCGTCTCCCCCCTTGTCTTCGACCGATACTGCCCGCTCTTTCCCATACTCCTCTTTAACTTCTTCGATTTCACGCTTCAACCGGGCGATTTTCCGTGCAAGTCCCTCCGCATCGTCCTCATCGCTGAAATCACCGAGCTCCTCTGTACCGTCTTCAAGGATCCGATGGCGTCGGGTTGACGTTTTGTACGACTTCCGTTTGGCGTCAAGGCGATCGGAGAAGTCCACATCTGTCGCGTCTACCGCAGCTGGCATAAATCTCGACCGAGCCTGGTTTATACGAAGGCGGGATCGCGAAATCCCCGTCGTATCGTCTCCATTGTCCTCTCCATCATCGAATTCGTCGTCGGAGGGTGATCGTAACGTGGTTGGCTAGGTCAAGATATTAACTTCCGATAAATCAACGTAGCGAGGGAGAACTGACTGGAACTGTCGAATGCTCGTCGGTAAGTTCTGGTGTTTCATATATGTCTGGCGCCGAGTCCTAAACACATCGACGTCAATACACTATTCGTTTGTGGGTGTTGTTTGAGGGGGCAGTATACCAGGTCTGGGAGCGCGGCATACTTCCGGTGAGATGCCATGGTAATGATGCAGGGCACCTCTGACTCTACAAGCCGCTTACAAGTCGGGCAGGCAACAAAAGAGTTGACCGTGATTCAGATGTTGTGAGCAAGAAGCGGACGACAGAAAGTCGTGAATCCTCCGAAGCTTGATCCAATCGTCGCGGACAACCCTTGCTGCGACTGCAGGCAGGGAGCTCCAGAGTGGGTCGACTAACCAGGGGTAGCCCCACTTTAACCGGCAGACGCGTCGCGGCTTCCACCCCGACTTTAACTGTCATACATACCAGCACACAACCAAGGCTGGCACAAGGTGACGAGATGGTGATTTTCGGTTTTGTGCGTCGAAGTCTTCTGGGCCCTGGGACTGTCGCTTTACATTGTACCTCAAAGCTCCCCCGCCCACAATCGAGAAGATCCTAACCGTGGACCTTAGGTGTGCATTCCACAGTATCACCCCGCCACCCCACAACACCTTAGCCCGCTCAATTCGTGTCACTTTGTGAGCCAAAGAGAACGAAGCAATTCAATTTCCCGACCCCGTTGGTTGATTCTGTCTCAGTCTGAGATCCTGGTCTTCCCTCTCGCACGGCAGACAAGTCTTAGTTCAACTTCTATAAGCCGGCCTCACCTCGGAGATCTCACATCTCAGCCCCTTCGCAACCGACAATTACTCTTACGAAGCCAGTTGCGCTTCATTATGTCGCGTATCCTTGGCCTCAGCCGCAACGCATGCGTTGAACCACTTCACAGCAATATCAAGAGCTCATCAACCGCCAAACCAAAGGAGGTGGACATCGATGCACCTCCTATGAGTAGCTCCGATTCTGAGGACGGTGCCGGGTTATCGTCACGGGGAGACATCCGGCCCAGTCGCTTCGACCCGGTTCCAAGGGACTCCCGGGTTCGGAAGCAAGACAAAGACACCAGTGCTAATGTGAAGACTACGCGTTTCGGCGAACGTTCTAAACGGCGCAGGGAACCAACCCGGCCAGCCGCGAAGTCAGAGAACTCAGAACCAAACCTGCGCGCTAAACGCCAGGCCAGAAAGTCCGAGACGGTCGACAGTGATGATCCGACGGACCCTCCCATCTCGAAAAAGTCCAAGCAGAGCCGATTACCGGACAGCAGCGTTGGCTCCCAATTTGAAGAAGAACTGTTGAAACGGAGGAAAGCGGCCGCCTCTCAGACATACGGTCATTCCAAACATTCACTCCGTCTGCCGAAGCAGGCCACGTCGTCAACGAAATCTTCCAAGCCATCCGTAAAAACAGCCATAACGGAACCGGAGAGCCCGAGCAGTCCTAGGGAATACAAACTCGCCCAGCTGCCTCCTTTGCCGGAGCCCAACCTCAAGGATGCCTCCTCACGTCTCACCTCGCCCGCTCGGTCATCACGAGTGCCAAATAAGAAATTGAAGCAGCCGCGTAAGGGCGAGCTGATTCTTTCGGCGGATGAAAGGGACTTCAAAATGCCGGTGTTCAAAATGCCGCCGCCAATCCCGGACGAGACGTCCCCCACGGTCGACGACACCGCGGACTTCGCCCGTTCTCCTACCCCGAGCGCACACAGCCCACCCATTTCGCTACATAGCACACCTTCTCCCTCGCCGGGCCCTGGACTTGCCGCCAACCCCCCATGTTGCCCACTCTGCAGCACAGAGGTCGTTCAAGCAGACCTAGATGCATTCACAAAACTACACCCGCGGATGAGCTTCGCCAACATGCGGAGATTTTGCGAGCAGCACAAGTTGCGGTCCGCACGGAGAACCTGGGCTGAGAAGGGCTATCCCGAGATTGACTGGCCGGGACTAGACCAGCGCATCGAGCAGCATCATGACTTCCTACGCGGTATTCTCGAGGGGGAGACACCGTCATACTACAGTGATCTATTTCAAGAGGCGGTCCGCTCCGGCCAGAACCGGACACTCCTGCGATCCGACGTGAACCTGACGCCGGGCTACTATGGAATGCGCGGGCTAAACCACATGACAGAGAATCTGATCCACAAGCTTGCCCCCGTCCTGCGGCGGCGGGCTGTGGAGGAGAGACTTGTTAGTGCTCGGGGACACATGACCTACCTACAAACAGTGCTAGTGGCTGAGCTCGCTGTGCGACTGATTATGGAGGATATGGGAGTGGGCGAGAGGAAGGCTAGGGATATTTTGAAGGAGAGCGTTGAGATTGGGGAACTGGTGAACGACGAGATTCCTGACGTGGTGACACATAGTGATGACGAGTCCAGTTAAATCACATGAAGCAAGCTCTAGAGTGGGATATGGTTTGCATTCTCGACGTCCAATTCGTATTTGCTTAACAACACAAGAACCTGCTTGCTTTACATGTATGAATGTACCTTAGCTTTGCATTGGTGGCTTGTGCTTTCGGTACCATCAGGTCTTAGACCTGAAACCCGGAGATTGATCTCCCTTTGTTTATGTTGAGGACCTGGAAGAACCCGAGAAACAAAAAAAGTGCCAACAAAGACTTGGGAGATGCCGACCAATGGTGGCCTGCCTTTCAGACGGATCGGTTTCGGGCGGGTGAGAGGGTGAGAATCCGTTCTCAAATGTCAGAGAGGTCCCGTAGCAAAACACAGCTGTCAACAAGAGGGTTCGTTCAAAAGCAGAAAGGAAAAAGCTAATTTGTGGCATCATGCATCATTGTGCCCAACAGTTCAGTCAATTGAGCTGAAATCAGACCCTAACTTCATGTTCACTGACGTGTTCTGAACGGGTCAGGGATGGTCTCAACCTGCTTGACAAAAACCACTTTGCTTTTGGACTTTGAGCATACGGTCTCCTGATTGAGGTCAACCCCAGCATCGGTGACACCAAAATCCGGCGCTTGGGCTGACTTGCGGCCAGCGTTGCGCAGGACGAAACCCGCTCTGCACAGCGCAAGATAAAATGTCCGAGCCCGGTGGGTTGGTCTCCTGAAACTTGATCTCTTGAGCCCTTTGTAGTGGGCGTTCCCGGCCTTGAGCATCGTGATGCGTTGTTCGGAACTTCGGAAGATATCCGGGGCTCGGAGTATTTTGCTTGACAGCAGGCAAAGATAGTCCTCTCCCGTCGTTTGGATTTCCCCCCTGTGCCAACATTCAAACTTGCCCAAGCTTTTTTATTTTCGCAATGCTCTTTTTTTGTCCAGGCAAGGGAGATTGTTGGGTCCCTCGCAATGCTGGCTGAGTCCTTGTCTCAGGACGTTGTCCGAATGAGGAAATCACTAACCTAGCAAAAGTTAAAAGTCCCTAAAAGTTCCCAGTGTGGCGCTTGCTTAGGGAGCGTCACCTGAGGAAACCTGCATCCATAAGAGAATGCCCGTCTTGACAAATTATGGCCGCAAAAAGATAAAAAAGAGGAAAAGCCAAGTCAGAGGGCCGTTTGGACACATTTTGAATGAGGATAATTTGAGTCGATCCAAGACATTGACGCTCCCTTATTGATGGGGGGTTTCAGAGTTCGGGTTCAATATGCGGCAATGACAGAGTCCTCCCCAACGAGACGTCATGCAGACCACCGTTTTGATCCGCTGCGTATGCACGGGCCACACGTGGCCTGGGGTGCAGAGGCACGATTCAAGAGAGGAGAGAAGACGGGAGCAGCACCCATCTTACGGAAAGAATTGCAGACACTGAGCTATCATGTCACTAAGCTACCGCGACCGTCGCGACATTTCTGCTACGAATTAGACAACTACAACCTTTACGACGGGAAGGGTCCCCGCTCTATTTGTCGCTAGAACAACAGAGACCTCGTGGGCGGGACCGTAGCTTGTCAGGTCTAGCACAGAACGGGGACATTCCCTGGCCGGAAGGGAGGGGAGTTTCGTGTGGTCTTTTTGTGGAGGGTGTCGGTGGCTATATCCGGGAATGCAGGGAAGAGTATGGCCACTTCACGCTGTGGGATTTCGACGTGATTATACCTGGACTTTAGTGAAACCTCAGCTACCTGATTGTAGAAATATCAACATCTGAGACTGACAGGAAATTGAACGTTCCGACCTTCACTGCGGGACCCTCCCTCCGCATTTTTGGCAGTAATCAAGCATTGAGGGGTTTTGCTCGTCCGGCTGGGGCTGGCTTGGAAGCGGAGGTAGATGTACATCGCCTAGCTGGGCAGAACAGAACCACCGACTGGCATATCCCCGAGTCGGCCCGGCTTGCGAGTCCGGCTAAGAGTAACTAAGGTAGTCTAACAGGCGCACTTCCTGCTAGGAGAGGGAAGATCGCTCATTGAAAGATGTCCTATTTCACGATATGAAGGCGTTCGTACCATCGGTTGCATGCCCGCTGCTGTGATTGAGGTACTCCTATGTAGCAGCCGTGAGGTTCATGGTGACGGAGGGTTCAACCTGAACGCCAGGGCGTACGTAGCGCCCATGGTGAGTTGCTCGGCGGGGGCGGGGCGCTCGTTTCGTACAGCGGCACTCAGCATCTCGGCACACGGGCGGTACCTCTCGGGTTGCTGAACCCCTGTCACCCCCCCATCCATGGAGAGACCCTGCGTGGGTGATCTGCTCTGCGAGTGTTGATGAGCACACTCTCAGCCCACCCTGAACAGCAAGCCCCCACCGGCCCACAAACTCGCCAGCCCATTGCGCTGTTGAGGGCTCAATGGAAGAGGTACGTAGGTAATCGGCAGTCTCGCCTCCATCGACCTCACCTCATTTCTCCGGGCCTGACCTGTCTATCGACTTGCCGACTTCAGGTATCACACATACCATCGTAGACTTCTCCCACGAATACTCGCCAGCTTGAAACAGAACGACTGCGACGACCAGGCGACCATCTGCTGAAAGGACCTCAACGCCGAGCAATCGGCAATGACCTGAGTTACCCGACCCAGCGCCACCAGCCGTCTAGACGAAAAGCGTGGAATGGCCCCCGCCTAGGCCAACCCTTTGTGACCGCGCGGTTGCTGCTTCGCAGCTTCGCAGCTTTGCAGCTTCGTAGCTTTGCTCTCCAGCAAGCAGTGACAATGTCCCGGCCCGACGACACAGCCCGCTTCAGCTCCATGACGGGCTCCAGCACCGACAGTGGCAGGTCCAGCATCACGGTGAAGCCGCTCCCTGGGACGCCTGTATCCCCATCACTCACATCGCCTACGGGTACAGGCGCCGGGACGGGGAACAATGCCTCCCGGTTCGCCCCGCATGGATCGCGACGAGCGGCCCCGTCGCGCCTGAAGACGGACGAGAATGGCAATCTCACTCGGTGAGTGCAATTTGGGCATGACCAACCCCTGCACTGTGGATGCGCCCCAGCGATTTGTGTTTTTTGCGTCATCCTTGTCTTGAACGCTGGAAACTGATGGATTGCCCACGTTGGCGCCGCCGCCACTCCCAGCTCCGTGAAGGATTCAGACGGACAGGTCTCGCCCACGTCCAACGGAGCGCGCACCGCGTTGTCTCCTTCTTCGATGAACACCAATCCCGCAACAGGGCGCGAACATTCGATGAGCGACCTCTTTGATTACCGTCGCGATCTCGCGATCCTCGACCCCGCTGGCGGCCGGTCGTCCCGCCATCAACACTCCAATCCGTCCACTGGCTCGCTCGGCCAAATCGCGCCCTGGATGGCCAACAACACTGGGGGCACACCAGGCGCCCCGACCGACCCTGCCCCTTCGAGTTTCTACAACGATTCGACCGATAGCCTATCTATGGGCTCCCAGCTGTCCCCGGGGGTCCGCGCTTCGATCAGCCGCGCGACCCCGGGTACTAGCACCGAGTCGCCCGACGCGGCATACTTCACCGATGAGAGGCGCCCATCCATCGCCAGTGTCACTACAACGGCGAGTAGTCAGGGCTCTAGGACGAGCGGTGCAAGAGGAGGAATACGAAAGTTGCAGGGCTTTTTTGGAGAGGAGTTTCCAGGGCGGGACTCGTCTGAAACGAGCCTCGCACATACGACAGGAAGGGAACACCGGTCACATTCGTACAGCTACAACCGGCCGCACAGAGATCGGAATTACTCCAACGCTACCGATCAGGGCCGGGACGGTTCGCCGGTCTCGCGGCCCCGAACCCCCGTCCCGGCTCCCGAAGTCGTCCCGTTTTTGTACCAGGAAGCCGATGTATGTGATGCGACCCCACCCTCGTTTCTTAGCTTTGACACCATATCCTCTCCTTTTCTGCTTTCGGCATTTTACCCTGCCAATCACCCAAATGCTACCTTTATGCGGCCTGCCGCCGCCCGGTCCTCCTTTCTTTTCACACTCCATGCAACCATCATGCACCGTCTGACCGTAAATGCGACAATCTAGGACATTGCGCGATACGGGGAAGCCCCCGTCCGAGATATCCTCAGTGGCCCGGACCGCGACCGTTACATCACCGACGGCGCCGCGCAGAACCCGCCGAAAACCTCGGGCTCCGGACGATCCGGCCACTCAATTGTGCATATGCCCGCCCATCACAGACACAACAAGAGTAACGACGACCCGAGGGCGCTGCGCCCGTCGATCAGCCGGGAAGACTCTACCGCGACGGCGCCGAAGGAGCGCAGCGGCTCAAATACCATGTATACCGCTAGGTCCCGCGCTCAGAGTCCGGCCCCGAGCGCAAACAGCAGCGGTTACTGGAATCCTAAAGCCAGCGTCAGCGGCGACGGACAAACTTCTCCTGGGCACCATCACAAGCGCCGATTCCTCGGTCGGTTCCGCGGGAAGCGGGACAACAACAACAACAGCAACAACAGCAAGGATGACCTGGCGGATTTGAGAAAGCTTCCCACATCTTCTCAATCTCTCCAACCACGGTTGAGCAAACCGGATTTCCCGTTCGGCGAGGGCCAGCAGCAGCAACAACAGCAGCAGCAGGGCCCTCCAGGAGCCGACTGGCCAGGCTCGCCCGATGCCCGCGACGCCTACGGGTTGCGCCCCGGTTATGTACGCGGCGCAACCTTTAACAACAAGTTTCCTTTCTCATCGAAGAAGACTCGCACCATTAGACCACAAGATGATGCCGACGAAAACATTGGGCCAACCGATCGGCAGGACGGTGGTAGTGGGGGGACCATGTTCCACCTTGACACCAATCTCAGCGATATGGAGGGCATTCTCAGCCGGCCGCTGCCTTTGACTCCCATGGATCCAGACTTCTTGAACGACATCGATATTGATAAGTTACCCATCAGGCCCACGGACCCGAATGGTGCTTGGAACGCGCCCGACAGCTGGGCTGTTCGCCGCGGGGATGAGGCGTCAACCCAGGTCCCGGAAGCCGACGACATCGGGAGCCCTCCCCGGCCGGAGGAAAAGCTGACCAACTACTGCATCCGCGTGTTCAGGGCAGACGGGACCTTTGCCACGCTCCAGATGGCCCTCGATGCTACAGTTGCGGATCTCGTGTCGCAGATTGTCAAGAAGTCGTATGTGATAGATGGCCTCGAGAACTACAACATTGTCCTCAAGAAGCACGACTTGATCCGAGTGTTGAGCTCTGTCGAGCGCCCGCTGTTGATGCAAAAGCGCCTTCTCCAGCAGGTCGGATATGAGGAGCGCGACAGGATAGAGGACGTCGGGCGGGAGGACAACAGCTATTTGTGCCGCTTTATGTTCCTCTCGGCGCGAGAAAGCGATTTCCACGCCATCACGCACGACGTCGGCTTCAGTCGTATGGCCAAGTACAGCCATATCGACATGTCTGGTCGCAATCTGAGCACCATTCCGGTCATCCTCTACTCTCGAGCCTCCGAAATTATCTCCCTCAACATGTCGAGGAACCTTTCGCTCGACGTGCCTCGGGACTTCATCCAGTCATGCACTAGTTTACGTGACATCAAGTACACCAACAACGAAGCCCGCAAACTACCACCAAGCTTGAGTTGGGCGAACAAGCTGACGTATCTGGACGTATCCAACAACCGCCTAGATCAACTCGAACACGCCGAACTAGGGAATATCAAAGGCATCCTCAAACTCAACCTGGCCAACAACCGCCTCAAGCAACTTCCGTCCTACTTCGGCGCCTATTCTGTACTGCGGACCCTGAACATCTCATCAAATTATCTGGAGAAATTCCCGCCCTTCCTCTGCCAGCTGGAGAGTTTGGTCGACTTGGACCTCAGCTTCAATCTTATCGGTGACCTGCCAGAAGCAATCGGCAAGCTGAGGAGTCTGGAAAAGTTTGTCGTCACTAACAACCGACTGACGGGGACTTTCCCTGAAACCTTCAAGAATCTGAGCAGCCTGCGTGAACTCGACATCAAGTACAACACAATAGCAAACATCGACGTGATCGCGCAGCTCCCGAAGCTGGAAATCTTGACGGCCGATCACAACTCGGTATCTCAGTTCGTCGGATCATTCGATAGGTTGCGCAGCCTGAAGCTGAACTCGAACCCTGTCACGAAGTTTGAACTCAGGGGCCCGGTTCCGACGCTCAAGCTCCTGAATCTGTCCAATGCTCAGCTCGCAAGCATCGATGAGTCTTTCAACAACATGCCCGGCCTCGAGCGGTTGGTCCTCGACAGGAATTACTTCGTCTCGCTCCCTACACAAATCGGCAATCTCCGGAAACTCGAACACTTCAGTATTGCCCATAATTCGGTTCGGCAACTGCCTCAGGAGATTGGGTGTCTCACAGAGTTGCGAATCTTGGATGTCCGTGGCAACAACATCCGCAAACTCCCCATGGAGCTCTGGTGGGCAAATAAACTGGAGACGCTCAATGCATCTTCCAATATTTTGGACCATTTCCCGAAACCCGCCTCTCGCGCGCCCCAGCCCCCGGAGGACGCAGGCAGCGCCAACAGCTCCATGAGTAGCAAAATATCCGGGACCTCGCGCAACCTCTCGCCGATGCCGAGTGTCGAGGAATTGAACAGTGATCCGTCCAGGCGCCCAAGTCAAGCTTCGAGCGCGACCCTGCTGAGTGTTGGCCCCTCGCCCGTCCCCACAGCCGACAATAGGAAGGGTTCCATGGTTTCACTGTATGGAAAAGGGGGTCGAAAAACGTCGGTCGTGTCTCGAAGCACACAGAGCAGCACCCCCACGATGGGCCCCGGCTACAGGAAGGACTCCGGCCTCACAGCAATCTTGACCAATACCTTCGCCGGTTCTCTCCGGAATTTGTACATCGCCGACAACCAGCTTGACGATGACGTTTTCGACCAAATCACGCTGCTCTCCGAACTTCGCATCCTCAATCTTTCGTACAATGAGTTGAGTGACATGCCGCAGCGCTCCATCAAGAACTGGCCACAGTTGACTGAGCTGTACCTCTCGGGCAATGAACTCACGAGCCTTCCCGCCGACGATCTGGAAGATTACTCGCTTTTGCAGACACTCCATATCAACGGCAACAAGTTCACAAATCTCCCCGCTGATATCTCTCGGGCGAAGCGGTTGGCTGTGTTAGATTGCGGAAGCAACTCGTTGAAATACAACATTGCGAACGTCCCCTACGATTGGAATTGGAACTTCAACCCCAACTTAAGATACCTCAACTTGTCCGGTAACCGGCGCTTGGAGATCAAGGAGAGCCACTCGGGCGTGGTGACGCAGAACCGTGAACAGTTGACCGACTTCAGCCGGCTTGCCAACCTCCGCGTCCTTGGCTTGATCGACGTGACGCTCATCCAGCCCAGCATCCCGGACCAAAGCGAAGACAGACGTGTCCGGACATCCAGCTCGTTGGCTGGGTTTCTGCCGTATGGGATGGCCGACACTCTCGGGAAAAATGAGCACCTTTCGACCATCGATCTTGTGGTGCCCCGTTTCAACTCGTCCGACGGCCAGACACTGTTGGGCCTATTTGATGGCCAGTCATCGAGCAGCGGCGGTTCCAAAATTGCCAAGTATCTCCAAGAGAACTTTGGTAAAATATTTGCCCACGAATTGCACGACGCCAAGCAGCGAGAAGACGAGACCCCTGAAGATGCCCTGCGGCGCGCCTTTTTGTCGCTCAACAAGGACTTGGTCACGGCTGCGATTCAGCACACCGAAGACCGGCCGATCACCACACACCGCGGGTCTCAAGCCCACCTCGTCCTTAGCCAGGAAGATCTCAACTCGGGTGGTGTTGCCACCGTGGTGTATCTCGAAGAACAAGAGCTCTACGTCGCCAATGTTGGCGATGTTCAGGCCATGCTGATCCAAACAGACGGCCAAGCGAAGATGCTGACCAGGAAGCATGACCCGGCGGACCCCCCCGAACGGTCTCGGATCCGTGACGCCGGCGGTTGGGTCTCGCGTCAGGGACGCCTAAACGAACTGCTACCCGTATCCCGTGCGTTCGGTTACGTGGATCTGATGCCACCGATGCAGGCGGCGCCACACATCAAACGCCATACGATTGGGGACCAAGACGAGACGATTCTACTGGCCACCAAGGAGGTGTGGGAGTATTTGACTCCCGAGCTCATTGTCGATGTTGCCCGCTCTGTGCGGGGGGATCTGATGCGGGCGGCGCAGAAAATCCGCGATCTTGCCATGGCTTATGGTTCTAAGGAAAAGATCATGGTGATGATGTTGAGCGTATCAGATCTCAAGAGGCGCCGGGAACGTTCGCGGACGTATCGCGGTCAAAGCATGTCCTGGTTCAACTTCCCACAGGACGAAGGCGGGCTTCCTGTTGCCACCCGCAGGATTAAGAAAGCCAAGGGAGAGGGCCCGCTTGATTCGACTCTGCAGCGTCTTGAGGCCGAAGTGCCTGCTCCGACGGGCATGATCGCCATCGTCTTTACGGATATCAAGAGCTCGACGCAACTATGGGAGATCTACCCGGAGGCCATGCGCTCAGCCATCAAGCTGCATAACGAGGTCATGCGCAGACAGCTCAGACGTATCGGTGGGTTCGAGGTCAAGACGGAAGGGGATGCGTTTATGGTGTCGTTCCCGACCGCTACATCGGCGCTGTTGTGGTGTTTCGCCGTCCAGACGCAACTTTTGACGGTTAACTGGCCGAACGAGATTCTCAACTCGATCAACTGCCAGCCCACATTTGACAGGGATGACAAACTCATCTTCAGGGGTATCTCGGTACGAATGGGGATTCACTGGGGCGAGCCGCTGGCTGAGCCTGATCCGGTGACCCGTCGTATGGACTACTACGGCCCGATGGTAAACAAGGCAAGTCGTATCTCGGCTTGTGCTGATGGCGGTCAAATCACGGCGTCGTCGGATTTTATCATGGAGATTCAGCGCTGTCTCATGACCTACGAAGATTCAAACGCCCCACCAGAGGACACTTTCGACGACGACGTCTTTGCCCGAGCCATCCGCAATGAGCTTCGCCAGTTAAGCAGCCAAGGTTTCGAGATCAAGGAGATTGGCGAGAAGAAGCTCAAGGGTCTCGAAAACCCCGAGTTCATCTACTCGCTGTATCCACACGCGCTCACGGGCAGGTTCGACCAGCACAATCTTCACGAGCGGGCGCAGTCCACAAACGAGAAACCGGCCATGCTGAGCCCCGACAGCCAACTGGCCCTCAACCCGGATGACATTTGGGGCATGTGGCACGTAGCGTTGAGACTCGAGATGTTATGCAGCACGCTCGAAGACGTGAACCGGCGGACTCTTGCGCCACCTGAGACAGAGCTTATGGAGCGCATGAAACAGCGTGGCGGTGAGGTGACGGAGCGGTTCTTGATCAACTTTATGGAGCATCAAGTCAGCCGGATTGAGGTATGTATCTCCTTCACCAACATGGTAACTGGTTAACTTGGACCGAAATAACTAATAACGCATCACAGACCTGCATCTCGACCCTCGCCGTCCGTCACCTCGTCCTTGCGGATGATCCAGCCAAAAAGGTCAACGATTTACGCGGCCCCATGTCCGAAGTTATTGGGACGCTTACCGAAAAATTGGCCCTTCTCCAGAAGTACGAGGCTCGTTTCGGTCCACTTGACAACGACGACGCGGACAACCACTCCGGTGCCTCAAAGACAGCCGGACAAATACTTGCACCAACTCCTATCGCCGCTCCACAGAGCGCGCTCCAGCTGTCATTTCCACAAACCGGCGCTTCCGCATCTCCCCCGGTGTCTGGGGGATCTGGTACGGACACGCCAGCATCCTCACCGTTCTGAGCTACGGTCATATTCCCCCAACGAGTCAACCGCTGCAGTCTCAGCATTATCTTAGTCGGCGCCGCGATCGAATAATCCGTAACACCCTTGACGTTCCATCATACGATATATGTCTACCAGCTATTACTCATTTTACCTGTCATCTATCTTATCTATTTTCTACTTTATTTTTTTTGGTTTGAATATCTTGGTCAGAACAGAAAAGCATGTTGGGCTTGGCGACCCGTAATTACTTGTTGCTGCGTGTGATCTTGCTTGAATATACTGTATTCTTTGGTGTTTCAGGGGTGTAGGTGGGGTTCTTTACGGAATAACCTGGCCGTTGAAAATGGAGCTCTTTGCCGGCATGTATTCCACACGGATATGGATGGGGTGGTATATAGGATTTGATTCGGCTTGGTGGGACTTGGAAATTTGGATATTGGATATTGGATATTGGATACGGGTTGGTATTGGGATAGGTTTGGATGTAACAACCGTTTGAGAAGTTCAAGGTGGACCTGCCAATCTATTCCGGCCGGCTTTGGCATAGGGTAGAAGGTTCTCATTATGCCTAATGTTCATTTTACGTGCTGGTAGAGAAATGGTTGAATGGAGAGTTGCATCTAATCGAGCTATCCCCCCAAGTCCGTCACCATGGTCGTCATCAGCTCATCCGTTACATGACCAACTGCAGTTTGAAGGGGTCCATGCTGGAATGCATGGGGGTATGCATCCTTCTTGCATGAGTTATGACATCGTTAGTCCGTATATCACAGCTTCCGGTAGTCCCCGGGGGAATAGGGGCTGTTAGTATCGTCGCCAGTGTGACATCGTAATGCGTTATGTATAGAGAAGGAGCGACTTCGACCCATGCTTGCCCACAGAAATGATGGAAGGCGCGGTACCCCCTTCACGGCCCATTACGCCTTTTTGACTCAGAACCGCCTACAAAGTATCTCCTTGTGCAGGAACCCTGAAATATGAATCATATTCTGCATACGGACCGCCCCGAGCGGCTGCACGCTACACGGCAAGATGCCCGATGGCTAAGGCAAAACATGTCATCTACGTAATTCAACCACCTTTGCTAATTAATTTATTTGTTCACATTTATCTCATGAGTCCTGTTATCGCTCTGGTATGCTTGGCTTCCTCGGTGGCTTAAAAGCCCAACCATCCCATCTCCCACTCCCACGATAGGTTCCCGCTCGCGTGTAGGTGCAGTTTTGTCACTTTAACTACTATCATCCTCACCACTAACTGACGATTCTCAAGCCTTTCTCTCGTTTCCTCGAGAAAATCCGCCATTGAACACAACGCCGTGTTAAGACCAAGAACAGGAACACCTATATAAGTTTCCAACAAGCACAATGGCCAAGGGATGCACCGAATTCTTTTACGACGACGCCGTTTGCGAACGCCTCGCCTATTTCAACGAGCCCTCCGAGTTCCTCCTCCTAGGTCTATCCGAAGCTGGCCACGAAACGTTGTTGAGAAACCTCCGGGTCGCTGCTGATGCCGCTGTTTCGGTGGTTTCCCAGAGCGAGGAGCTATTTTTAACACCCCCTTGGTCCGTCCCAGCGTCAGCCGTGAGTGAGACCGACGAGGACGGCGATTGGAAATATGACCCCCAGCCCACCACCCAGATCCATGAACTCACCGTGAACAAGGCGCGTCTGTCTTGTTTTGACTTGGGCGGCCGAAACCCACTTAGACGCTGGGCCCAGCGACAGATCGTGGGGGGGTATATCGACGGCAACTCAGACATGACAACATCATTACCATTATACCAATATCGACGAAGCGGAGTGGTGTTTGTGGTGGACTGGGGAGACTTGCCATCAATCAGCGAGACGAAAGACGAGCTGCTGGCATTGATGGAGAAAGACCTGTTCGGTGATATCCCGATCGCTGTTCTGTTGAATAATTTTGACGAGAGCCCGGACGATGATCTGCACATGAAGTACCTGGAAATAGCCAAGCAGTGGTACGAATCCTTCTCTAACGCATATTGGTACGTGAAGCTGTTTATCGCGTCAGTAGAAGATCGGCGGGGTTACTTGGAGGCTTTCACATGGCTGTTGAGCCGGGAACGGGAGCTATGAGGGTTTGCATACCGTTTCTTGCTACTAGATGGATATGTGCTATGTGAGTATTGATTACTTGCACATACTATGTAATCAAGATTCGAGAATTCCTCGTTACTTTCTGATTCACCAAAATCAATTACAGTTGACGGGCCTATAACTTATCATGTATTAAATCGGTGTGGTGTTTGAGCCGTCACGGAACTTGATCAAGTGAATCCGAAAACAAGACAATATGCTCTGTCGTGGTCGCCCCGTACCTGCCTTGCTTTAGACGAGAATGCTCTAAAGAAACTTTGGTTTATTTCTTTATATTTCCCTAGGATCGATATTCACCTGCCGAAGGGGCTAATAATGGCCACCGTCGGTTCTGTTGGAGATGGTAGAGACCTAGCAATCCCGGACATACAAAACGCAGAAGGGGGCTAGACGTTAAAGTTTGCTGCCAACGTCATCATAGAGACGGGCCATCAGGGTACCCTAATACACAAAACGCTGTAACGTTATATAAATGTACAACCACCCAAACCAGTGCACGATGCATCCCGTTATGCCAGGGGTCCCCCTACCCAAAACATGAACAAACTTATACAATGACCCCTGAACCTTCTCCGCCGCTGCTCTTCCCCTCGCCACTTTCCTGCGTAGGCATCGTGCCCACCTCCGTCTCCGTTTCCGTCTCCTCGTCCATCTCTTCTTGGGCTTCCTCGTAGTCCGCCTCGGTTTCCGTTTCTTGATGATCGGTCGTAGTCCCAGAAGCAGGTTCCTCCACCTCCGCTTCCTCCATCTGCTCGTGCTGCTCTTCCGCCGCCACAACCTCCACATCACCTCCATCCTGAACACCAGCCCCGACGACTTGGGCATCCTCCACAACCGACTCCCCAAGCGGGGATTCGCCGCCCTCCACCCACACCTTGCCGAGCTCGCGCTCGATCTCGGCGTGGCGGGCCTTCCACTGGTCGACTTGCGCCAACTTCTCGCGGAGTTCCTCCAGCTCGCGCCTAGCGTGCATTTTCTCCGACTCGGTGCCGATACGCTGGAGTTCCCAGCGTTCGTCATTGCGGTCGCCCTGGATAACGAGGTTGAAGGTGTGGTATTTCTTGAGCGAAGCACGGGTAGAGATGGTAATTAGTGCTGTGGGGAGCGGTTAGTTTGGGAAATTAAACTCGAATAGAGTAATGGGAACTGAGGGGTGACACTTACTGATGCCCTTCTCCTTGCAGGTTTCGTACAGCAGCCCTTCGACATCACTAGAGACGGCACTCGTACCCTCGTCGATGAACGCGTATTTCGGCTCGTGGTAGAGCAGCCTGGCAATTGCCAAGCGCTGCTTTTCACCTCCGCTCAACACGTCCTTCCACTCCTTCCGAGTATCCCATCCGCCCTCGCGGTCGGGAAGGTAGCCGAGGCGGGCCAGATCTAAGACATACTTGAGGAACGAGTCGTTCTTCCGCTTTAGGCGCATGTCAGCCTCGCCGTCAGGGTAGATGACCTGGTCGCGGAGAGTGCCGATACTAAGGTAAGGCCGCTGAGGCAGGAACATGATGCCATCCTCGCCGTTGGCCTTGGGCCGGCTGACCAACCCACGGTAGACGGGCCAGAGGCCGGCGATAACTCGGGCAATGGCGGTCTTGCCAACACCGTTGGGGCCGGAGATGAGCAGATGATCCCCACTGCGAATAACCATGGATAGTGAATCGATGAGCTCCTCGCCGCCCTGGGGCCACACTTGCGGGGCAACGATCGGGACGTTTTCAAGCCTGACGCCGTCAAATCCCAATTGTGTTGTTCCTTGAACGTCCGACATGGAGAACAACTCGCCATCCCCGCCCTTAACTTGGTAGGCGGCCGCGTGGACCCGGTGCAGCGTCGAGATGAGTGTGTACACCCGGCTGGTGTAACCTGCTAACTCCGAGAGGTCCTTGATTGAGTACATCATGCGGCCACCGGCGTCTGCCAGTGACAACATGAGTCGCTTGTTGGTGATGAAGTCCTTCATTCGTGACCGCTCGCGACCGGTTCCAGCAGCGTGCTCGAGCTGCTCCAGCTTGCCACCGACGCCGGCCCAGGCGGGGAGGAAGACGGGGACCGACGACAAAAGGTAGCCGTAGGCGCTCCAGCTGTACTTGAGGATGAAATCCTCGAGCATATTGTACCTAATCTTGACCAAGTAGATTCCATTCATCCACTTGGAGAGCGACTTAAACTCTTTATCCAAGAATGTCTTTTCCGTCTCGGCACCACCATAGAAGGCGATCTCCTCGGCGTTCGCAATCAAGCGCGCATGGAGACTGCGGAAGGTGCCTTCCTTTCTGCCCTCAACGGCCTTTAACTTGGCGAATGGCGGGGACAGTTTGCGAAGCATGCTTGCGGTGATGGAGTAGTTGCTCGCTAGGCCGATGAGAGCGAGCGGGCCGAGAGAATGGTAGAGCTGGTAATTGAAAACACAGATATCCACGAACGGTTTCCCGAGTGACGAATAGAGGTTCGCAGCTGCATTACAGAACTGTGTCAGGTCTTGGGTGATGAATTGGTCGGCCCCTGATCCCAAGCCGCCGTCCAAGTTTTGAATCTTGTAATAATTTAGATTGTCGTTGAGGTACAGGTCGTGAATGTACCGAGTAAGCCGGCTGCGGAACGCAATCGAGACCTTGGATTCGAGGAATTTGATCATGGCATTCGTGTACGAAGCAATACTGCCAAGCCCGCACCACTTGATCAAACCCCATATGAACGACTTGCCGTTCCCTGCGACGAGGTCGCGCACAATCTCTCCGTCGAGACGGGCCACAACTAACGACATGTAGGTACGCATCATCAGGAAGATGGCGTGACTCAAGAGCAGGCCAGACTCCTTGCTGTTCCATCGGGGAATCATGATGCTCATGAGGCTGAGGAATTGGTGTAGGAAGGCCAGGTTAAGGCCGGGCTTAGTCTGAGTCGAGGGGACCACGCCGTCGCCCAAACCAGACACTTTAGGTGGGTTTAAGAACAGACGACGATGGGCTTGGAAGGTAAGGGGCTTGGTGGTATGGATAACCACCTTCGCCGGGCCGTCACGCTCTTGGTACGGGACGTAGATGGTGCGGGAGCCGTCTTTGTTGTGCAGCCAAGAGTTGGTGCGCACCAGTTTCCTCCCCTGTTCTCGCTCCTCGCGTCTGCGCTTCCATCGTTGGCGAGCGCCCGCGCCCCCCAGAATGATTGTTGTCGCGAGAGCAAGTGTGGCGAGAAGACGAGTGATTCGGGATGTGTTGCGCAATTTTGAGCGGATGAGTTCGGTGTATTTGTCGATGAAGGCAGCGATGGCCTCCTCGGCGGCCGAATGCCGCAGCGTCGACTGCGCGGCCATCTCGGCCGATTTGCGAGCTCGTGCTTGGTGTGCAGGACCCGAATGTTCGGGATCAATTCCTCTAGTCCATCAGCGCAATCGCTGCAGCTCAAGAACAAGATCGTGCGTATCCAATAAGGTCGTTTGGGAGCGAATATCGGTTGCGTCGGTGTGGTTGTGCAATGCCTCGGCGAAAAGTGGCGACCCGGAAGTTTACAAACAACTGAGTCGATTCCGCCAAAAACAACACGGATGTATGTATTAGCGAGTAAGCCCGTCGTCGGCTGTGGCAGAAACTTGAAATCCGGATAAACAAAATCAAGAAAATAAATACAGACGCGGCGAATGATAAGTGTCTCCGTCGTCGTGAGGAAAAGTCGACGGGGAAGTTGGTCCGAGTCTCTCTGAGTTGTCGAAGGTTTCATTGCCCGTCGTCGCCGATGGCATGTGAAGGTCCCGCAGCCACACTCACGTCATTGGCCACAGCCCCGGACGCCGGGAACTGCCACAGTCCCTGGAGATGCCCCTGGGCATTCGACAACGTTTCCCCGCACATCCATGCTGCCCCAAGGGCTTGGCATATATACATATTTGGGGTTGTTGACGGCCCGGCTCCGCCAACGTTCACAGCAGTGTCCACAAAAACACGACCAGGCAGTAACTTTCTTCGGAGGAAGCGTAATGTGCGGTGCGGAGTCTGGGGACTGGCTGTGCCGTAGACCTAGGAGAGAACGCGATCGCTGTATTTTTCTAGGAAGCGAGTAACATGACGGCTGGTTCGGCATGAAAAAAAATCCACATTTGGGGGATTGAGGGGGGTTCGAGAAGCTTTGGTGTTGAGATCAAACCAGCGCGAGCGCGCCGAGCTGTTTGGTTCTTCAGTGGCTCCTTTTGAACGTCCCAATCCACCATTTATTCACCGACTGGCTGATCCCTGGACCTGCAACAGTCTGGACGGATTCTCTTACCTCGCTGTCCCCGCCGTTTACCTGCGAGATACACGTAGATGCAAGGGCAAGCGAGCGAAAGTGGAAGCGGGATGGGATGCCGGCTCGCAGGAGACCGCAGGACGGATGCATCGAGAGTGAGGTGCCTATTGGGTGGGGGAAGTCGCCCGCAAGCCCGGTTCGAGCAGGAGGGGCTCTCAAATGGAATCACAACAGCGCAGAACTGGGAACCAAAACGACCCAGATGCATCGGGCCCGGGGGAGAAGTCTCTCTGCTTCTCGTGTCCGTTCCGTTCCGGTTGGTTTGTCTCGTTCCCAAAGCATTGACTGGCGACAAAATGGTCACGGCGAATGGTCGGAGCGTGAGCGTCTTGGGGCTGCTGGTCACTGTCCCGGGCGGTAACATGGCCAATCAGAGGACCACCTGCAGTCCTCCAACATCCCCTGTCGAGATACTCGAATGCGAGCGGATGCCGTGCTCTGGGCCATGGGGCTGCTATCCACTTCGGCCCTCCAGTCAACCTGTGAATGGGGCTCTGGAGAAGAAGAATGGAATTGAATGTTTCGTGATGCTTTGCGACCGGTTTTGGCTTTCTGGCAGCTAGTTATTTGCATATTCTGCCGGCGCGAATGTTCAATACCTGGGTGGGACCACTGTTTCCGCTTTGCTGTTGGTCTCGTCGCTGTTAATGGTTTTTGTATTGTGCAAGTACACAGAATATGGGGTGTATAACTGAATGCTGGGGAGCGGCAATAATCGAGCATGGAATTCACTGCGAAATCGTTTCCGTCAAATATCTAGGTAGACCCATTCCCAGCAAATGGGAGATTGTCAAGATAATCACTAAGCCTGCCGTCGATAGATACCTGAGGACGCGCTGGATGGGCTCAACGGCGCGGCTGTCAATAACTAGCAACAACATGGAAGGGGATGGCCCCCAACGCTCGACCTCGGTCATGAATCGATTCTCTACCTGGACAGCTGATGCGAGTGAAGGCAGCGCACAGCAAACAGCCACCCCCAACAAGCGCGAAACAACTGTCCAGACCCCATTCACCCTCCAGCGATTTCTCCAGCGGCAATGGCTACGCGTGGGCTGGAATGGGTGGATTGAGCTGGTGGATGGATGTTTGGTACCTATGCCAAAGCTGGGCCGCGATGGCCCCTGTTAAGGCGAGATTGCCTCTCTCAGTGATTGGCGTCCAAAATTCAAGTTGCAGCGGGAGGCGCCGGGCTTGACCTAACTTTCCTCATCGCAGCTGCAATCCCACAGTGTGCCTCCTCCAAGCGTGGCCCGAGCCTGGTTAATCTCTGCAAAGCAACCCGCTATTCCACTCTTGGCGCCTGGTCCTCTTGAGCAATCCATCCCAGTACCTTTCCGGCCCCATCACCTTTTAAGTCAATCATCTCGCTTGCGCTCTCACGACTTCCTCAGCCGTTGTCGAAACGTCCTTTCCCCTTCTCCTCCGCTCGGCCATCGGGTGCTTATCGGCTCGCGATTCTTCAACCGGCCCGCTGCCGTTTTTCTCTTCTTTTTTGGGCCCCTCTCCTCCATCCGTTTCCCGCGTCGCCCGAGGCAGACACCGACGAGTTGTGCGTGCTTGGTCCCCTTCCCGATCCCCTTGCGCGCCAATTTCCCACCTTGCACCGACCACCACCTCCTCCACAGTCAGCAAAAGAGAACCAGCGTTTTTTTTTGTTCCTGCAACAACCCATCCCCTTTTGAACCAAACCGCCGAATTCGATATTTCGACGACGGACAATTCGACCGCGACCGCGCGACCGCGAGCCGGGGTGAGATATTGAGCGGCTGTACACCGCTGAGATAGGGGTTGGGCCGTGCTGGGAACCTCGAGTCTCGTGAAGGTGGGTTGCCCGCTCCCTCAGCCTCCATTGAACCCGCAGCCACGCCGAGCAAGCGCGTTTGCGATACTTGCCGCGACCGTGACGACCACTCCGACTGTGCATTGATGAGATGCGAAATGTTTGGAATTGGTACACAGGTGTCTTGAGACAGAAGCTCTTTGAATGATCGCTCGCATTCCACGACGCGCGACGGGCACTCTTGGGTCGATCGAAGCAATGGCCGCATTGATTCGCGATGAGTCTCAGAACTAACCTGATCTTCCGAATAGGTCTCAATCGGCGCTCGCTCGGTTTACTCCTGCCGCATTTTCGAGATGGCACGAAGCACGGATGAGAGGTCGCATGGGGCTTCGGAAAGCTCGAGAGACAAGGACACCCTCGCGCCCGAGGTCGGAACCAGCTCTAAGAGGAACCGCGGGCTTCTCCCCGTGCCGTCCAGGTCATCCTCCCAAAAAGTCCAGCCTTCGCCGACCGCAACGGGACTGAGCGGCGCAACAGCCGGCGACCCAAGGGACAGCATCGGTGGGCGCTCTAAGGAATCCAGAGGCAGTATGTTGCGGCCACACCACAATGGAAGCGCGTCTAGTAACCGTTTAGGTGCCGGAACAGGACCAACAGCAACACCGGGAAACTCGGAGCCAAACTCACCCGCCGCTACGTCGCATAGGAAGAAGAAAGGCGGCCTCCTCGCTCTTTTCGGGTGCTGTGGTGTGCCAGATAGCGCAAATGGTCTCGACACGGAACCGCCCGTCCCAAATCATAAGCTCGACAAGATCCCCGCCCGGCCTGCTACCGCCAGCCGCCGGACCGCAACACCTTCGGAACAGCCATCAGTTAGCAAAACCCATCTTTCCGAAAAGGACGCCAACAATCAGAGCTCGACTTCCCAAGGGCCATTGAGGGGCGGAAAGCGGATCTCGGGTGTCAGCACTCAGGATCAATCTACCGTTGGGGGTGAGCGGGACAATGAGTCGAAGCAGACGACGCTGGTCGGACAGAGCGGGAGCAGCCCCGTGATCTCAATTGACCCGTCCTACGCCACAACCGCGGATACTGAGCGGATTGATGAGGCACCTCTAGACAGGGATGCGGAGGGTGACGTGCAGATGCCAGATGCTGAACATCTGCGGCAGCCGGGGACCCAGGGGGCCGCAGGAGCTGCCGAAGAAACGGCTCCGAGAGTTCCCCCGCCTCCTCCGGGTCCCGTACCGAACGCCCCAAACCACACGCCAGCTGAAAGCACACCAATGTTCGCTCCAGACCAGCCTCAACGGTTCCTGCTCCCTCCCCAAGCCCCTGAACACAAAGGGCGGAAATGCCTCGTTCTCGACCTGGACGAAACCTTAGTCCACAGCTCATTCAAGGTAAGCCAAAATACTTGACTCATACTGCTATTCGAATCCCTTGGTTGTTCCGTGCTGACCTGTCCTCAGATCCTCCACCAAGCCGACTTCACAATACCCGTCGAAATCGAGGGTAACTACCATAATGTTTATGTCATCAAACGGCCAGGTGTGGACCAATTCATGAAGAGGGTCGGTGAGCTGTATGAGGTTGTGGTGTTCACCGCATCGGTGTCGAAGGTAAGCCGCCAACCCCCCCTACATCTTGACCAAACATTGCTAATACCGTTGACAGTACGGCGACCCCCTCCTGGATCAGTTGGATATCCACAACGTTGTCCATCACCGACTGTTCCGGGAAAGCTGCTACAATCATCACGGTAACTACGTGAAGGATCTATCGCAGGTGGGCCGCGACTTAAAGGACACCATCATTATCGACAACTCACCAACTTCCTACATCTTCCACCCCCAACATGCCGTCCCCATCAGCAGTTGGTTCTCTGATGCCCACGATAATGAGCTCCTAGACCTCATTCCCGTTCTCGAAGACCTAGCGGGCCCTACCGTCCAGGATGTCAGCCTGGTTCTCGATGTCACGCTCTAAGACTCGCTGTTTCATTTCTCGTCCGCTTTTACGCCCTTGGGCGATCACATTTGGCATCATGCCACAACTGACTCGCCCGGAGCGGCGCACGAGGTTTGGGCCTGTGTCTACAATGAGATATACCCGGTGCCGGCTTATTTAATACCCTGGAGACTGGCGTCGGGAACGTTTTCACCAGCACCCAGCAGTCGGCTCTCGTCATCCCCACGAATAATGTGTCGGGCGGTGCCATAGAGTCTCGACGCCGTTTCAAGAAACGCGGCCGTTCTTCCCTAGCCCAGTGGGAATTTGGAAGGATATCAGCACACAGCAGGCCATAAAAAGAGGTTACGGGCTTGGTTCAAAACTTGAAAAAAATCTTCAACTGGGAGCGGATTTTTGGGAGTTTGGTATATGTCTGGGCGACAGGGTTCCGTTGGTTTTTCGTTTCCTCTCTTGTCTTTTTGCTCTATTCTCCTTTTTTTCCACTTTCCTTTTCTTCTCCTTTCTCCCTTATATCGGCGGAGCTTCGAACAACAGGCAGGCAGGGATGGGGTATCCAGCATTGTCACATATCAGTCTTTTTGGTCTCTTGTCTTCCTTATGTAACAAACCTGGAGAGAACTTTAGCCACGACTCGACTGAGTTCTGCGCTCACTGGTGCAGGTTGAGTCTGCATCCCGCTCACCCGAAACCCCTGGATGGGCATCGCCTATATCCCCTTTCGTGTCGTTTTTTCCTATGTTTTCACCCATACCCCTTCCTGCACGCTTTACATCAGTCCTTGTGTTTCTTCCCACCAATTGCCCTTTCCCCTATATTTTTTGGTTACACACGCCCGGTATAACATTCGCCAATGTTTGTTGTTTAGCACTTGACAAAACCACTGTTTTTTTTCCTGTATACTGAACCCTCCCCTTCTCTTCTTCTTTGCGAGTAGCATGTTTGTTGTTGCGGAAGACAGCGGCAAGGGGGCATACGGTAGCGCGGTCTAGGGACTTGGAAGGGCTATCGCTCCGGATCAGATGGTTGGAGATGAGTTGCGGCAGTATTGGGCTGAGTGTTGTAGACGGTAACTACTATGTAAGGAAGTCACCTCGTAGATAGGCGAGTGAAACGATTTTTGAAGATGTGGACTGGCGGCATGTATTGCTGCCAAATATGTGCGTGCGGCGTGAGAGCGGCATGATGATTAAGGGGAGGTAGTCGTACCCCCGAGTCTAGTATGCATTGTCTCCGTAAAACGAACCTATACACACTTCCGAGATCTCTGAACTGGCGGGAAGTCTCGCCTTGAGAAAGTGCGGGAGGCTTCAAGTTGGATATTGTCAACTACGTGCTGAATGTCACCCCTCTTGAAACTCTGGAACTAGAATCTTCCTGGATGAAGATTTCCACCTGTTTGTTTTCACATAAACATTGCATGCACGCTTGGGACAAAGACCGTTGATCCGCGAGCGGAAGCCAAGGGCATCCTGGAAACCACGGAGCACTTGGCAGAACGTGCACGTGCCAACCCGAGCCTTGGATTTCCCCAGCTAAACAAAAATGCGGGCACCTGACTCTGAGGGCGAATCAACCGCGAGGAGCAAGCGTGGCAGGGAGCTGTGACTTCGTGGCCTTAATGAGGAAGCACGGACACCAAGGATAATTTAGGGGCGCGACTCTGGATTAATCTCCAGCTCAACTGATCATCACCAAAATCACCACCACGCGACCAGCACGAACGATTGATTTCAACCACCCCGACGCCGGATCCATTCCTTTTCCTGCTTCGTCAACACCAACTTTTTCAACTTCACATACCCAGTTTTTAATCTTACACAATGGTAAGTTGCCACCCCAAACAACCCCTTTGTTGTACCAGACAGGCATCGAGCGACCCGTCAAACGACTACCTATTCACTCCAGCCCTCCATTCATTCTCTCTTGCGCCCAAGAAATGATTGGATTCTCCCTTCTCAGCAAGCATGGATAGATCTTGGACCCCCAGCTAACCCAATGCGCGATGTTCCCAACAAAACAGTCATCTCCACGCGCCGCCTCTCCCCCAACCGTCGCAGGCTCTGCGACGGGCGCCTCAGCCGGCCCTTCGGCGCCCCCTCCGCCCGGTGGTGCGCGGACGGCCATCCGCCGGCGTGCGGCGGCCGACCAGAAGGAGAAGATTGCCAACGCGCGGCCCAACAGCACACGGTCGGCAGGCGCTGGCGGCTCCAGCAGCACCATGCTGCGCCTGTACACGGACGAGAGCCCCGGGCTCAAGGTCGACCCTGTTGTTGTGCTGGTGTTGAGCTTGGTTTTCATCTTCAGCGTTGTAGCGCTGCACAGTGAGTCCCTTGCTTTCTTGCGTCCCTTGCCGTGGGTGGACCTCGAAAGGGGCAGTAAATTGTGGACTAGGGGCGAGGTTGGGAACACCTATAGCTTGGATGGGCAGCCAAGGCTAACAGTGCTCGCGTGTAATAGTTATCGCCAAGATTACCCGCAAGTTCTCGAGTTAAGCAACCCAAACCGCCACTACATATTACCTATGGGCAGAGTGAAGAGAACAATGTTTCACGGCTTGACGGCAGGGGAGGCGATCATGCAGGCTTTGTCGATAAGGCGGGAAACCCAGCAATAATAGCCGGACGTGGTGCAAGATCAATCGTTTTTTTTTTCGGCATTTACGATGTGTTGGGAGGTGTGATGGGTTTAGAGATACCTGTGCAAAATAAACTAGGGATGGGGCGAATGCCACACTGGCGATTCTGCCCTGGCTGATATTTGATATCGCCTTGCATCGCTCAGCCGTGGTGGTCCCTTTGGATTGTTGTATAATATCACATAATGGCGTGGTTAGGGAATGCGATATTCTTTGTCTAGCGGACCATGTGTGACTGGGTGGATAGCCCAACCTGGGTTCGGCCCCCGCGGTGGCATGTTGAGGACATACAGCGGTGAATGAGTGCATGACCATATCTCCCTCTGTATCTAGACGGAATGGCCCGACCTCGGTGGGCAAAATGCAGTGGCAGGGAGCGCGTTTGTCGGACGATAACCCACATTAGAACCATTTGCTAAACCAGGACCTTCAGAAGACAGGAAAAAACGTCGGCTCGCTCGAGATAAAAGGCCAGCTCCTCCCCCAGGGGCCGAAAAAAATGAATACCTTAGTAAAAAGTGATAATCAATCACTGGTGTGCGACATTTTGTTTGTGGGCGGAAACAGGGAAGATATGATCTACTGGTGGAAGAAAAACATATTTCGTCTGGCCCCGCTCCTTCTTTCTCTCTGCTCACCGAGACCTTGTTTCGGATGTCTCCTCTGTGTTAGTTGCTAGTCCTAACATTGTACAACAGGCTTGTAAATGTACTTGATTCGCTGGGTCATCTGGAAGTCGTCAGAGTTTGTTTTTCAAAATTTGGATTGGCGTTGTCCGCCCCTCGTTCTCGAGTATCTTGGATGTCGACTCAGGCAGGGCTGCAGTAGACATTCACCACGCACCAGAGGAACCTCCATGACTTCTAGTATCCCGGGACGCCTAGGGCGTCTCAGGGTTAGCCTGGGCAACCTTAAAGGCCGTCATGTGACAAAGGTAAGGGCGGGTGCAGCGGAGGGATCGGTTGAAGCAACATAAGAGTCTCCGGTGTGACCTTACACGAGGCCCTATGAGGCCCCAACAGCCGGCTACCGGCGATTCTCTCGGCGTCTGGTGCCACCTTGAAAATGCAGGTTGGTTGTAAAACAACGCAGTGGCGAGACCGATCCCTCCTTATCCACAGCATGGATATTGACCGTGATTATGACGGCGTGCCTCCGCGGCGAATTTCTGATATTTCTTTCTCTGGGGGAACTGCCGATCCGGGGTGGGATGAGAGTTGTGTCTCGGGTATTTTGAGCCGTTACCGTAGCTGCAGCCCGAATCTCTGGCAAGCCGTATGAACGGGGACGAATGGGAGGGCCGGATGGCGGTCTTCAGGTGGCCTTTAAACCACCAGTCAAAACCAGTCCATCGCCTACCTCGGGCAGACCGCTCCTTGAGTCTGAACTTCACCCTCGAAGAACGGCAGAGCGGTAAGTCAAACAACGCCGGCGAGTGGCTCCTTGTCCTTGTTGTGCTGCAGTGTATTATCTAAGGTCGATTTGTCGGCTCTGGTTGCCACATTTAGAACTCACAGCGTGTCATTTGACAACTGAGCTAGAGGGCGTGGCCCAGTAGTGGTTTGCGGACTAGAAGGAGGGTGCTGCATGTTCCACTCGCACGTTTCTCGACCCCTGCTGGTTGGCGAAAGGTGCCGTGAGAAGGCATCGGTCCCAGAGGCGGCGGGGGAAGTGCTGTGGGTGGTCTCAGCGGCGCATGGCTTTCCTGGCCAACCTTTTGCTGCGCAAGGCATTCCTTCGGCAAACACGGCCCTGCACCGCGATGGCGCTTGTGCAGTTGGACGGATGGATGGATGGGCTTCTTCGTGACGCTGTCGCCCCCCTTTTTTTCTTTCGAAGGGAGGAGGTTGTGCGAGCCGAAACGCCAACGCGGGCAAGCCAGCCTGGAGCGTCATGGTACTTTCGGCGGAGCTGAGGTTATTACGGCAGGCTCACAACACCAGCAGTTCTGCCAAGACTTTTGCTCTTCTGCAACAGATCATCAGCCCGGACACCCAGGATCCCTGACCGACAGCGGGGTGCGGGTCAATCCAAGTTCCCACGTTTCGCTGCGGAAGCGAAGTGCCCAAATTGTCTCTGATTTTACCCCACACTCCCGCGCTCGTGGCGTTGTCAGCGTGGCATCCATTGCGCACCCACCACTTGGACCTTTGGGCGAATTGTAGGCTCGAGCTTGAGCTGCTGGAAGATCCGTCTGGCTGGTGCGGCGCTGGGATGTGGAAACCCCGATATTGCAACCAAACGGCTGGGCATGTAACCCTTCTTCAAAGACGACGAGTCCGACGGCGTCAAGAGAAGATAAGATCTCCGGCTTGACTGCTGCGGGTCGCCACAAAGCTTAGTTGATGAAAGGGCAGTCTTGAGGACATACACTACTCGCAGTGGGTGGTGGGTGGTCGGAGCCCAAGAGCAAAGCACGAGGAATAAGACTTTCCGGCAGGCCGCTGCTCGGACGGACGGGCCCATCGAGGTGGTACGACATCGCTTCCCATGCAGTTGGGCCAACGACGACGGAATATAGATCACGCTGTTCAACCTCGAACTGGCGGTTGTCTCGGCAAGGAAAGACAATCGGCCCTTGTTCTTCGTGTTCCGTTTGGCTCGGTACATACCAGTGCTCAGCTCGCCTAGATCCTTCCGTTCGAGGAACGGAAAATATAGCAATCATGCGTTTCGTCCGTGGGATAGCGATGCTGAGTCTTGCTCTTTACTTCCAGGCTGCCCTAGAGCGAAAATCAAGCCGAAAGGTTGCATAACGGTCGAAGTGGCGATGGGCGAATTGCCGATTCTAACCCATCCCTCAAAAATGACAGGAGCAAAGAGAAGAGAGAGGGGTCGGGAGAGAGTCGATCTGCCGTAGCCCGGCTTTGTGAGGGGGAGGGGCAAAGGGGTCCTTGGAATGTCTAGGGAAATGGAGAATGGGAAGAAAGCGTTGCGTCTAACCCAACAAATCGAGACGCGCAGCGCTACGTGGAGGTGAGCGAAGGTTCGGTGGGGTTCTTCCCTCGAGGTAGCCCCACACCCCGCCAGGAACTTGAACGATTCTGGAAAGTGACCGGTTTTCCAATGGGGTTGGTTCGCTGCTGCAGCCGGGGTACTTGGCAATTGTCACCATGTCAAGTATGGAACCGACCCTGACCTCCCAAGCCCGACCTGCATGCCTCCTGGCGCATGCTGTCTGCAAACCTCCTTTGCTCGCCTGCGTGTCTGCTTCCTTCTCAGAGCTGCAGTGACTCTGCAGCCCGAACTCTTCTGCGTTGTAGATTATTTCCCCCCAAACCTTGTGTTCAAGCCAACAAAAATTTGCCCCTTTGTTCCGGGATTCCATCCTCGACTCTGAGATCATTTGACCCGAGCGGTGCTTTGGACAAGACGAGCAACCCGCCAACCATCTAGTTACGTATATTACCCTCGCCGCACGCACCGCCGCACCGAATATTCATCCGATCTGAATCGCGCGACTTAATTGTTCCACCACGAGTGCCCGCGCAGCTTTTATTGTTGATACACACGCTCTCCGATCGATTCTCCGAACGTTACGCGCAACATTTAGCATTTTATCCCAAGGTTCCGGATGATTGGCCCCGCGCTACTCGACCTACCTATCGTCGACAACCTGGCATTTCACGCGCATCACCTTCGCGATCCGGCCGCCGAACGCCGTCACTGCCCCCGCCTATAGGGGAACGCGCCGAGTGACCCGTCTTCTCGGTGCTTGCCATGGCGGGGTTCTTCCAGAAGTTGAAAGGGGCCGGACCCGTAAGTTCGGACTCGCTGCTGTGTCTTAGAATACCATCGCCGTGGAACGTCGCAGCATCAGGCTGTGTTAACTTCCGCTTCCCGATTATTATCACCTGCGCTTTCTTGTCTCCTAAGAGCATAGGCTACCGCATAGCTTGGACTAACGATGTTTTGGGCACAGGGTGCCTCCAAAGCCGACAATACCGCGTCGACAAAGAATAAGAAAGACGAGCCTCAGCGAGACCAAACGCCGCTCGAAAAACTGTTGCACAATGCCGGCCCTGTCCGTGAAGACGGCAGTGATAAGTTCTTCGGGTTAGAAAATGTGAGGGGTGTCTGCGTAATACTGAACTGCTGTACTTTTGGACTAACAACTGCTCCTTAAATTAGTTTGGGAACACATGGTATGCAGCATTGTCCACATCTGGCCTCTCCGGGTGCATTGGCGTGAAATACTGACTTCGGGATAACAGTTATTGCAATTCTATCGTTCAGGCGCTATACCACTCAGAGCAATTTCGACAACATGTTGTCAATTACCCTCCATCTCCCCCGGGAGAGGAGTTGAATGGGAGCCAGCACACCGTCAACTTTACGATACGGCCTCCACCACAGCCGGACGCGAACGGAACTGCTTCCGGGCTAAATAAACACCGACCATCATTTGGTGCCGGGACATTAGCACCCCCGATGCCACCATTACGCCCCGAAGACAAGCCCGATTCGCCCGAGTACAAAAAGAAGCAGGCTATGCTCAAGGGCCCGATCTTTGATCTAGCGCAAGAAAACGCGGGTCCTTATGGCATGGAAGAATGCACCTTTACCGGCCTCCGGGACATCTTCACGACTTTCATCCACAGCCCTTCGAGGACAGGAGTGTTGAGCCCTCAGAGATTCTTAGATATTTTCAAACGAAACAACGAAATGTTCCGCAACTCAATGCACCAAGATGCTCACGAGTTCTACGGCATTGTTCTCAACGACGTTATTGCGACCGTGGAAGCCAACGCTAGGCGGACGCAAGAGGCAGCAGACAGCCAAAGGAAGGACGGCACGCTGCAAACTGCTGACCTTGCCTCATCAAATCCCGGGGCTGCTTTAGCAGCACGGACGGCAGGGGCGGGCTGGGTCCACGACATTTTCGAGGGTGTGCTGACCTCGGAGACTAGGTGCTTGACTTGTGAAACCGCATCACAACGGGACGAGACATTTCTGGATCTCTCCATTGATCTGGAGGAACATTCGTCTGTGACGTCGTGCTTGCAGAGTTTCTCGGCCGAGGAAATGCTGTGTGAGCGGAACAAGTTCCACTGCGACCATTGTGGAGGATTGCAGGAAGCCGAAAAGCGAATGAAGGTCAAGAAACTGCCAAAGGTCCTTGCGCTACACCTGAAACGGTTCAAGTACACCGAGGACTACAGCAGGCTGCAAAAGCTATTTCACCGAGTTGTTTACCCTTACCACCTCCGAATGTTCAACACGACCGACGATGCCGAGGATCCCGACAGGATGTATGAGCTGTACGCAGTGGTTGTGCACATTGGGGGTAATGCCTACCATGGGCACTATATCGCTGTTATCAAGACAAAGGACCGAGGGTGGTTGCTTTTCGACGACGAGATGGTGGAGCCGGTGGACAAGAATTTCGTGCGGAACTTCTTTGGCGACAAACCGGGAATGGCGTGCGCCTATGTGTTATTCTACCAGGAGACGACGTTTGAGAAGGTGCGGGAAGAGATGGACGCAGAGGGTATGGACCAAGTGAAGCAGGCCGCACAAACAGCAGACCTCGCCTCTACTACCGAGACCAACGGAACCAGCTCGGCTATCCTCTCGAAATACAACTCCCAACCCTTGCCCCCACTCGATGAGAACGAAACCCTTGCGGCCCTTGACCAAACGAAGTCAACTCCGATTGAGGTTGAAGCAGCTGCTCCCAGCAGCTTGAATGGCCATCTACCTGGGCCGCTCTCACCGTCGGAGGCTCACCAATTAGTCGTGGCACCGTCCCCCGGCTCTGCGGTTATAACTGAGGCGGACAAGGCTGCCACAGCACCGCCGAAGTCTGAGAAGCAAATTGCGAAGGAGAAGAAGGAGCTGAAGGCGAGGGAGAAAGCGGAAGAGAAGGCACGAAAAGCGGCAGAAAAGGAACAAGCGCGTATCGCGGCAAAGGAACGGTTTGAAACGAATCAAAAAAACCGCGAGGCGCTCCGTCTCGAACGCGAGCAATTACACAAGGCGATTCAAGAAAGCAAGGAATTAGCTGCAGAAGAGGAAAAGCGGCAAAAGAGAGAAGCCGCTACCGCGACCGATACTGCTACCTCCTCTGATGCGGGCGGTGGTGATGACAACAACTGGAATGGCTTCCTGAACCGCGCTCACCGGTCAAGCAAATCAATGCCTCGGAAGTCCATGACCCGCAGGAGCTTCGCCTTCCTCCACATCGGCCAGAACAAAGACGACGGCAAAAACGGGGAGGCCAAAGGCGACAAGGTCGACCACAGCGAAGAGAACGGAAACCAAAGCGATTTGGGCGAGACCAATGCGGCCACCAATGGCGCAGTAAACGGCGCCCCCCACAGCCATCAGAACGGAAGCAATGCTACCAGTCAGGTACTTCTTAGCGGACAAGGTAGTGAGGAGGCAATACGGGAAGTGTCTCGCCCTGGGACCTCGGTTGATGCTGATGTTATTGGCCCACTGCGGAGCGAGGATCCCAAGCGGGTCAAGAAAGAAAAGGAAAAGGAGAACCAGAAACCGCCACTCAAGGACAGGTTCAGTTTTGGGTTGGGGAAAAAGAAAAGCAGCAAGTTCTTGTCTTCGTCTTAGAAGGGCGTGAGATGTCTGCTCTGCTCAGCCAATTCAGAGCCGGAGCCGGAGTTAGAGTCGGCAAGAATTCATGTTAACCCAGGCGAACATCGATGAGGGGTGGGTCAGATAAATTCTGATTTGTAGAGACAATGGTTTGGTTGTTCTTCGGGCTCAGGTTATGGATATACCCCAGGATAGGACGTTCTATTGGCGCACATGATTACGCTTGTTTGGCGACATGGCTTAGTGGCCTGGTCTCACACCTCATTGCCTAGGCAAGGCGCTTGGATTGTGGGCCCCTGGAAAACGCACAAAGCCAGCTCTGGAGAATTGGGAGGCGATTTGTATGGATTCGTGTGACAAGGTTGGGGTGTGCTGTGTACTTCCACAAGACACGGTTCTTGTTGTGTATGATCAAAGTTAGCTGCGAAGAATAATCTTGGGCAGATCTGGCGCTGGGTCCGGGTGGTGCTGGGTCCGGGTGGTGCTTGGGGATTTTTATCATGACGAAAACAAAAAGAAAATTCAAAGTTATCTTAAAGTGAATGCCGGATCATAACGTTGGCTACAAACATGAAGGGTAAAAATAGGAGTCGCTCGTGCCCAGCCCCGTCAGCGCTCCAGCTCCGGGTACAGGGCCACTGATACTGATGGTGGACGATGCCACAGACATATCTAGCTAATATAGCGACTGCAACACGACTGCGAGATGCTAGCAGTATTACCACGGGCCGCTTATTACATGACGACTGAAACTGCGGCGCGAGCGTGGCCCCAGTCTGGGGCGAAACATGTCATTGAGCTGGGTAAGTGTGCTGGAGGCGTTATGAATCTCTCACAGAAGGGACGAGGCAGGGATCGGTTGTCAGTATCGAGTTGGCCTCGAGCAAATTCCCACGGCTGAGGAAAAGGTGTCTGTAAATTCCTTGTTGAACACAGGGAGCAAGTGCAGAACCGGGGAGTCGCAGGAGATATAAAGCGCAAGGTGTCGATGGCATCTTGGGTGTAACGTGTCCTTTCGGCGAATCTTTCTATTCCATTCCTCTACCACCTCAACGATTCGCGGCTCGAGTCGCTGTATACAAGCCGAGTTCGGGCCCAGAAATAGGCTAATCGTATTGTCGCCCAAAACGCCTTTTATTACAACCTTCCCTTCTCAGCGTACATCTTGCTGGACCCGGCCAGCATGGCGTCCATTCGCCTCTTGTTGTTTGTATTTCCACGATCGTGATCGATTGATGGCCCTGGGCACGGTTCGTTGGCACCTGCCCAACCAGATATCTTTCCCCGGCTGACCGGTAACTTTAACCAAGTATGAGCTCGTACACTATAATCAATGTGTTGATTATAATCAGGGGTACTGAATCCGGGAGAGCAATCATGTCAGTAACGACAGTCCTCGCGAACCGGGGGGGGGGGCTACAGAGCAACACATTACGCTGTAGATGAGCGAGAACCTACCTCTCATTACTGTCCGCACGCTTGCGATTAATTGTATCACCTTGTACTTGACGCTGCTGTCGGCATCTTGACCAAAGCCACGCTGGTACGTCGCCGGGGCAAGACCGACTACGTGGGAGAATGGTGTCAGCTCAGGAATGTGTGCTCCTCCAACCAAGATGGAACGCTCGATAGCATCGGCAACTGGCATAGGGATGATTTCTCGGCTCTCGGGTATAACTGCGGTTCGGTTCGGGGGAGGGACGCAAACGTACCACGCGCGAGGAAACGGTCTTCGGAGGGGATGCAGATGGCGTTAAGGAGGAGGATCGTGACTAGGAACCGGAGAGTCAGAGCGCGCAGCCATGGGAAGGTGGGTTGGTAAGATCTTACCGTAAAGGAACTTCCCAAGGAGGGACATTTTGGCGGGTTTGTTCGGCCAGCAAGATGGCGTCGTTGGTTGAAGAACCCTGTTGACTTGTTTCGCTGTCACGATGCTGTGAATGCTGTGACTTGATGTTGAAAGCTGGCAGGCAAGGTACATGGGCTAGGACGAAAAGGGAAAGGTAGCCTGAATGCCAAGACTGATGCGGCAGTGCGATCCCACTGTGAGTGGCTGTCAAGAGCCAAGGGGAAGCCAATTCCCTTTCTTTCCACAATATGAAGGTAGTGAGTTGAGTTACACTTGACTTCTGCTCACCAACTTGAGTCTCAATAACTTGTGTTTTGGGAGGTTTCTGCTTCCATCTCTTCGCGCGTTTTAGTCACTACCATTTCTCTCCGATGCCGAAGTTGGTTCAATTGAGAACCACTTCCAAATAAGTACCTGGTATTGACGACAGCTTCGAGAAGATTGCTGTTGCGACTTTGGCTCTTTCATAGCTAGCTTCCTCGTTGTCTCTGGATGCGTGTTCCCGATTTGGTTGGTGGTAGGTTGCGTACCTAAGTTACGAGGTGTTTTTGACGGGACATCGTCACGTCCTTAGATTCTCACGACCTGCGAGCCTCGGAACCCGAAACTTCCTGCTCCTTGGAACGTCATGTTGGACGTCATGGCGCTCTACAACCGGTTGTCTATCAAGGTTCGCGGCACACCCCTTTACCCTAGCAAACTGGAAGTACTGGCCTCCAGTTATGGCGGCAGCGGTCGAATAACATATTTCCTTCTCAGAGGCCGGGGAGCAACGGGTGAACGGCTTTGGCCCGGTCTTGGTCTCTACCAGGTCGGGGACCGAATTCCTCTCATGAATACCGATTCAATGTTCGTTGAACCACGCAATTTGTCAACATCACACATTACCATTATCTTTCTCAGTCCCTTCTTCAAACCAAATTGCGGCACATGATACCTCAGGTCCTGTCCCGAAGAATACCCGGTAGTTGTCTTCGGAAATGGTTAAAATCGAAATGTCTCTCATTACACTACTCACCCTCGCCGTCTTTTCAACAGCAAGGGGCGCTTCTCACCGTCGGTGAACACCAAACGAGGAGCACCTGGGCAGGCTGGGCACCCTAAGGGCCCGCCTGGAGAGACTCCGGCGGAATGGAAACCCACTGTGGGGAGCACTCCTCTCCAGCTCGCGTTTAGCCGACCGCTCTGGTTGGTGCGGTTTCTCAATAGGCTAAATACAGCTGGGATGGTCGGATACCGGGTCAAGTCGAAACGTTCGACCTCAGAGTGGCGTCCTGCAAGCGCGATATCTCTCATCCGGAGAAAAGAGCCTCCATGTCGTCGGCGTCGGTCGGCGTAACCAGGTGACCAACGAGGTCTTTTACAGGCGCGGTTTAGCGGCCGACTCTTACCCCTCAACCGAGCAACGCCCGTCTAGCCCCGACTGCGGGCCGCCGGTGCATTTGGTGGTTGAAGAACAAAACTCACGGCCTGATTTGATACCATGGGAAGGCTGAACGCCAAGACTGGTTCTGCCGCCGTATCACAGGAGGAGGTACCCGACTCGTGAATGACCCCGGGCCCCACGGCCAGCCCACCTTCGTGGAGAGCTCGAACAAGTGGGGAGTATCTCTGGGGAGGGTCCACGGCCTTGGGCATGTTGGGGATTTCCATTATCCAGGCGAATCCGTTCTTACATCCGAGAAAACACCGCATTGAAGATCCTTGAGATCGCAAGCCCTGTCTCGACATGGTGGAACCAGTTGTTTTTCCACACATCAGCCGTGGCTACGATCAAGGAGGTTGCCATGGCGCCATGGAACCTTGACGTGTCACTGGCGCCGGGAAGGAAACAAGGGACTGGCGCCTATGTACTATGTATGACGATGGGGCGGGTCCGGAAAGGGGCATTGGAGGGCGTGAATGGTCCCGGACGGGAGTTGCTGGAGAGACCGTGGTCGGCAGGATGGTTTGACCCTGCTCGGCAACACATCATGTACTGTACAGAGTACCTAGAATAGGCGTGCTCGCCGACCGAGCGCGGCATGAGCGACATACCCGCGCGGGCTGGTGCCACCCCCTTCCGCTCCAGTCCCGTCTCGAACGCCCAGAAGGAGGGGGAGGTAGTATAAGTAGCGCAGTCGCTCATCTGGCCGCTTGACCTACCCTTCCTGGTTGACTTCCTTTTTGATTTTCATCCAACTCCCTCCTCGAGAAACCCCGCGGTCGACTTAGTTTCTTGTGAGTCCCTCTCGTCTCGAATTCTGCCTCCTTTGGTTTCTACATCGCACCTCTAACCCCAGCTCCCCAATAGTCACAAAATCGTGTTCCGTTCTAGGCAAAGAAACCCTGGAAATTCGACACAATGCCTTCCCCCGTCATCAAGCTCAACAGCGGCTATGACATGCCCCAGGTTGGCTTCGGCCTCTGGAAGGTCGACAACGCCGTCGCTTCTGATGTCGTCTACGAGGCCATCAAGGCCGGCTACCGTCTCTTTGACGGCGCTGCCGGTACGTTCCCACTTACCCCTCCTTGCCTACTGTTTTCCCTTTGCCACCCTTGTATTTCTGGAGAGAATTGGCCACAGAAATCATCGTTCCGCTACGGGCCCAAACGCGCCGTCACTCTCCGCGCGCACGGAGGGACGGTAAAAATGATGGGGGGTCGAAATCTACCCCGCCCTCTTTGCGTGGTCTTAACCCCACCTCGGGCGGGTTGGAGGGGTTGAATTCTGCCGGACCCCTGTCGAGAGCTCCTTCTGAGGTTGAATGGAAGGGGAGAGGTGGGCCACTGTGGAACTGTCCAGGCCGGTGCCAAGCGGCATGATGGAGGGGCACATGGAGGGGCACATGGATGGAAGACACGATCGTGAACAAGAGGCAATGGACTGACGCGAGTGATCAACAGACTACGGCAACGAGGTTGAGTGTGGCCAGGGCGTTGCGCGCGCCATCAAGGACGGTCTGGTGAAGCGTGAGGAGCTCTTCATCGTCTCCAAGCTCTGGAACACCTTCCACGATGCCGAGCGCGTCGAGCCCATCGTCAAGAAGCAGCTTGCCGACTGGGGCATCGACTACTTCGACCTCTACCTCATTCACTTCCCCGTCGCCCTCGAGTGGGTGGACCCTGCGGTCCGCTACCCTCCCGGCTGGCACTTCGATGGCAAGTCTGAGATTCGCCCCAGCAAGGCCACCATCCAGGAGACCTGGACCGCCCTCGAGTCCCTCGTCGGCAACGGCCTCGCCAAGAGCATCGGTATCTCCAACTTCCAGGCCCAGCTGGTCTACGACCTCCTTCGCTACGCCAAGATCCGCCCTGCTACCCTCCAAATCGAGCACCACCCTTACCTCGTCCAGCAGGAGCTGATCAACCTCGCCAAGCACGAGGGCATCGCCGTCACCGCCTACAGCTCGTTCGGCCCCGCCAGCTTCAAGGAGTTCAACATGCAGCACGCTTCCAAGCTCACCCCCCTCATCGAGGACGAGACCATCAACAAGATCGCCGCCAAGTACAACCGCCCTGCTTCGCAGGTCCTCCTCCGTTGGGCCACCCAGCGCGGCCTGGCCATCATCCCCAAGAGCACCCGTCCCGCCATCATCGCCGAGAACTTCCAGAGCGTCGAGTTCGACCTCTCGGAGGAGGATATTGCCGCCATCTCTGCCTTTGACCGCGGCATCCGTTTCAACCAGCCCTCCAACGTGAGTCCCTCGCGCCCGCCCTGTTCAACCCCAAACCATGCATGTGTAAATCCCTAACTAACCGGCGTCGTGGCTATAGTACTTCCCCACCGAGCTCCTCTGGATCTTTGGCTAAATGCCTTTTCGGACCAAAAAGTCTAAGAAGTGGGCGGAACTCCGCTCTGGCCTTAACCGGCCACAATTTGAAGCGGGCTAGACTCCATTTCCCCACCCTCTCCTAGCCCGCTTTCCCTCCACCATCACAACCATCATCACCACGACAATTAGCCCCGTGACCATGGGTAAAAAGCGGAAGCTCTGTAAAAAAAAACATGTCTTCCTTTTCTATCCCGCTGGTCTCGTCGCGGCTAAACAACGGCCACTCCCCTAGCCTGCCTGCTCTTAGTTTCGTCTGAGGCGAAGGTAGATGAGGTTAGGGGGCTTTCTTGTTGTTTCTCGCAGTATCTACAACCATATATCCCCGGGAGGAACAGATCTCGTCTTTGTGTATTGCATGGCCTTGGGCATGCTGGCATGGTGGAATCTATGAATAGAATATACCAAATTCACCGTCATATTTCTACACTTATCCTCTCCTAAAGTGCCAAATGAACTGACCGGCCGTGTCCGACGTTATTGCTACAATGTATGTCATGCGCAAGTCAAAGTGTATTCGTTTTACCCCTGGCTCGTAGTCGAGTGAGGGAAAGCAACATAGCGGTTTAACATCGCAGTGACCGTGCCAATCTCGACTCAGCAAACAGGGTATCCATTCAGGGGAAACAGCACCAACAACAGCATCAAACCTCAATTATAGAGAGCATGATTGATATATTCCTCTCTCGTCCCTTCATATGGAGCAATCAAAGAGAAGGATTTTAAAAAAGCAAATACACCCGCCCGCTTTCAAATTCCGCACTGCTGCCGGCCGGTTCTTTGAATACTGGCCTTGAACTCCCAAAAAACGCCGCCAAATGCTAATCGGCCGAGGGGATGACCTTTCGACCAGAACAAATACACCATGAAGAGCTAGTACCCGGGACCACACGCTGCAACAATAGGCCGGCCGAACCCTCGTAATAGAATAATCCCTTGGAGCTTAAACAGGAAAAGGAGGGGCAGACGGAGTTTCTTCAAGTGCGCACAAATGCTAGGTATATAGGTTAGTACACGCTGAAAACCACACCAGTCGAAAAGAATAGAGGGGAAAACAAATAAATCTTGTGACTTACTCGCATCAATCTGCCTGACCTGCGGCAAGGCGAGACGGACCTTATTCTTATACAAGGCAGGTCCACGCAACTGCAGCGGATTTCCCTCAAAATAAACCGTACTCAGAGAACTCTTGTCAGCCAGCACGCGCTCGACTTCTCCAAAATCAGCGACCTGATTGTAACTAGCCCAGAACTCCTCCAGTTCAGCCAGCGGCTCGAGCCCCGCCAACGACGTGACTTGATTGCTTGTCACATCGAGAACTCGCAATTTCGTGTTGTGTTCCAACCCCGCGAGTGACTCGAGCGCGTTGTGGGAGACGTACAGCTCCTCAAGCTGGGGTACCTCGCGCAGCGTGGAAAGATCGCGGATGCGGTTCGACTGAGCGGACAGGAGACGGAGCTTGGGCAAGCCGGAGAGGCCGGCGAGAGAGGTGATCTTGTTTTTGGCAACCCAGAGCTCCTCGAGCGCGGTGAGGGAGTCGAGGTTCTGGAGTTCGCGGATACGGTTGGAGCCGAGCTCGAGGTTGCGGAGTTTTGTGAGGCCGTCAAGGCCATCGATGGTAGAAATCTTGTTTGCAACGAAGAATAGGTCGGTGAGATTGGCAAGGTGGGAGATGTGTTTGATGTGCTTGATTTTGTTGAAAGAGAGATCAAGGGATGTAAGGTTGACGAGGTCGTCCAAACCGCGGATGTGGGAGATAAGGTTGTCGTAAAGGTCGAGATCAACGAGGGTGGCGGCAAGGCTCGAGAACCCCTCAATGTGCTGGATCAGATTCTGGCGCAGGCAGATGCGGGCCACTTTCTTGAAACGTTCGAGGCGGAGGGCGGGGATCGATCGAATTCGAGAGTGAGTTGAAATGATTTCATCAGTGTCGGGGTCTTCGCCGTCGAGAAGGTCTGGGAGTGCAGGTTAGCTTTCCCTCTCGCTGCCGCAAATATATCCCAGTTACCCTACCCTCGTCCGCCGCTACTTCATCCCCAGGCACGACATTGTCATCATCCGAGTACTCCGGGTCCGACAGCGCCTCAGGGTTGGCTAGCACAGCGCTTTTCGGCACACGCAGCTTCCCATCCCAACCCTTGCTGTCCCTCAGGCCAGGGCTTGTTTCTCCGTCGTGCCGTGAACTATTGCCGTCGACAAGCTCGATGTGGTTCGCCGGCGAGCGGGACTCGCCTTCGGGAGATGTTGCCATGACGCCTAGTGCGTTTCTCCGCGCGAATTATGGGCTGTGTTGTTTATTGTGGAGCGAGCTCCGGTTGTTATCGTCAGGTTGTTAACGCCAGGGCGACATCTGCGTCGGCCGTCCTAAGTTGTTGATTGATTTAATCAAGGAAGAGCACCGAAACACGCAGGTCACAGTGTGCAGGAAGTGTTCACTGGCGGCTGGGCCGGGGTTATTAATTATGGCCGGTGTTTCGGTGTTGAAGTGGGGTGGTGCCTGGTCATTTGCAGCGGCCGCCCAATGTTCGTCATTGTCTAGGCCCCCCTGCAGGTCACGCTCCCAAACCCCCGGATGATGGCTTTTCATGGGCCCGATCGTCGGTTTTATAAAGTAAACACTTTACTAAATAAAAATAATAACTTCACGTCTAAAACCTGTGCAATAGACTCTTCTCTCTAACCGTTCTCAAAGGTATCAGAGTTTATTTTCCTTATCCCTTCGACGTCCCCTCAACAAAGCATACCACTTTCCGGGAGTCGAAACATTATTTGCTCTTCGAGAACCCCCTTGTTACCTTCATCCGGCTGGACAAAGCGCCTCTTGACGGAGACCATACCCGAGCTCGAGTTCTGGAATTTCCGCTAACCTGGGCAGCCCGATCCAACAACCCCAGATTCAGTTCTCTGGCCTGACGAGTCGAACCCTGGTGCAGGAACAATCCAAGCCTCCAGCGAGTCACGAGTGAACACATGATCCGATGGCTTGAGCAAGCGCACGCCGTCCTTCTTCTGCATTGCCCCGGCCAGATCTCGGCCTTCAGCTCAACAGGAAGAAACTGGTATTACCAGATGCTGATTCTTTGCCGATGATAACAACGAATGGCGAGCTTCCTTCCCAGGATTGCCCCTAGCTGGACACGCAGGCTAGGGGCCACATCGCGGCTAAGGGATCTGTTGTCTGCCTGCCAAAGCACCCGCCTCACTTCAACACGGTCCTGGCCACCCCCAGCGCGGCCGCAACCACTAGAAGTACGTCATGGGAAGCTCCTCACACTATCTGGGGCAGGCTATAGGGCGGGCTACCGTAACATTCATATACCGACGGTCCTCCTGCCACCAGTGCTTTTCACGGGGCTATTGGTGGGGCTATGGATTTGGTGCGTTGTGAGGATACAATATTGTAAAGATCATCTTGGCTGATAATGTCCGCGCCAGGAAATGTATCATGATGGTGGTCTTCCAGAACAAGATTATTTACATGCCTAGCTTACCACCTACATCTCGCAGGGAACAGATCAGCAACTGGGCGAGTATGTGTGGAGGTGTTGAGTGGGCCGAAGAGACGACGGTTGCCGCAGATGGAACGAAGCTTACCATGGCCATGACAACCGTCCCGTTGCCGAGAGGAAGACGCCCGGCCGCTAGAGCCCCGGAGAAGCCTCCAACTGAGCATGCCTATGTCCTTTATTTTCAGGGTTGGCCGCTTCGATAACCACCCACTATTGACCGGGAACTAACGGGACCGACGCAGGGAACGCCTCATCAATACCACCACGGTTGCCGGACCTGTCTTGGGTGCTTCGGGCTGTCAGCGATAGCAAAGCCTATGACCTAGCGCCAATGAGGTTGACATTTGTTTGCTTGAGCTACCGGGGCTACTGGACTTCACGGGGCCGGCCCTCAGAGCCCGGTCTTCGACTTGATGCGGAAGCCGGAATACAGTGGATCGCCGAAAAGCACGAGCAAGTCTTCGGAAAGGACGGGACTATTCGCCCCATTTTACTTCTTTGGGGCCAGAGTATCGGGTCAGGGGTTGCAACGAACCTTGCAGCTACTGGCCGAATCTCTTCCAGAATGCCGATCAGCGGCCTCCTGTTAGAAACTCCGTTTGTGTCTATCCGGGAGATGCTCGAGACGCTGTATCCTCAGAAGTGGTTGCCGTATAAGTACCTTTGGCCGTTCCTCCGAAATCACTTAGATAGTTGGGGCAACCTGGGTATCATAGCCCAGGCATACCGGGACAGCGGACGGACAGCACCAATGGTTCATATTTTAGAGGCGGGAAGAGATGAGCTTGTTCCCAAGGAGCAGGGCGAAGAACTCTATAAAAGGTGTGTGGAGCTCGGTTTACCCTTTGAAAAGGAAGCTGTGCCTACGGCATACCACCAGCAGGCAATCGCGAGAGGGGATGGGAAGAAATTGGCAGCCCATGCGATCCTCAAATTGATCAAAAAGGCAAGAGACAACAATTGAACCCTAATAGCAGCCCTTTTCTTTTTAGCAGATTTTATTTTTTGGTTTGACGTCGTGTTTCTTCTGTGGAAATTTCAAACGTGGAAAGGCCAATTTTAGTTTGGGTGGGATGCCACCACCCTTGTCGGCTTCCCGCTGGTGGTCCGACCACTTATAGAAACGGTGCAGAAACGTTCACACTCGTGCTTCCGCCCACCGCTGGTTGATTGCCCCAAATTGTTGGTCGAATCATCATTGGGTACCGGGTCCGGCGGCCGTTTGCTTCCTCCTCTGTCGTGTAACTTGTCTCCTTGCTTCTGCAAGGGCGACCCCCCAACTTTGCGTGATCGGGTGAACGAGTGCAAAGCCCCAGACACCGGACAAACCGTTCAGGTACTTCGTAAGCCATTTCATCCGAGCGGACCGTCCACCCACATTACCCAAGCTTCCTCCACCTCGACGATCTCCGCTTGACCAGGCACAATGCACATATTTGCGGCCTGGGCTTCTTCAGGTTTGGCCGCGGGCAGTCTATTGAGTCCAGGTTGCGATGCCTTTTCGAGGCAATGTCATATCAGGCTGGAGACCTATGTCCCCTTTCTCTTGCCCCTGACCACGTCATGGGCTCAGGGCGCCTGGGAAGAGCCGAGTAGCAAAAGTTCACGGCCTGGTGAAGGCGTCCCTCGATGGTGTCCATAGCCTTGCAGCGCCACATCCAAAGTTCTCAGCCTTTTCCAGAAAATCTGAACCCCTGGACAGTTCCGTCTTGGACAGTCCCATCCGGACTCGCCTGGCATGTTGTCCCCACCTTGTTGCGCACATGGGAGACATGGAAAAAAAATACAATGTGCCCATTTGTCCATTCACCCCTGTCTCACACCATCCCTTTCTCATCCGGTTTGCTTTTCCGCCCCTCTTGATCCGTTGTTGGCACAAGCGATGACTCAAGGCCCAGCCGTTTTGCTCGAAATTCCGTCCAGCTTGCCCAAGAAAGGCAATGAAATCAGGTGACAGCGTGTTGCTTCAGCTTCCCCGGACCCACTAGCTCGCGTCAAATCACGCTCGATACCTAGCTCCCTGCTGCCTCTTCCGGCCGCCGAGACACCAGGCGTCCAGGCATCGCTGCATCCATGTCATCCCCCCAACTTTAAATATGAGACTGGCCGTCCTTCACCGGAAATGAGATGGGAAAATTTTTCGACCATCCTCGCCCGAGACCACCCGAAGTACGGCTGCTTTTATTTAAGTTGAGGTCTTCGCTCACCAGGCAACCAGCGGACTGTCAACATTGGATCCTTCCATTCCTGATTTTTGTCTTTTCTTGTCTTGGTCGTTTTGAATTGTGCATTTGGTTTATTTCACCGTCCCCCTACAACCCTAACCCCGCTTCAGCCTAGACCACGAACCCGAAAATACCCGCCCTGTAATCCCAGTCTAAAAGTCAACGATTCTGGGGTTCCGACCCGAGTTGGAGCAGAGATAGCAGGCGAAAAGACAGACCTGACCAAGTTTGCGGTGTTCAAGTTCACGAATCAACATGTTCTCCCGCCGTTTTGAGCCGCCCCAGACGAAGAGTGTTTCGTCTAAGTCTGGGAGGTCCCGCAGGGCAAGCTCGTCGTTCAAGGAGGCCGGCATTTCCAAGCGGCCCTCCGAATCCGTCCGCCGGCGTGCCGGTACGATCTCGAACGCCGGGGCCTCTGAGTCCAACATTGGGTAGGCTGCCTTGTCGTCAGCGGTGGTCTCGCTAGCATGGGCATAAATAATATTAACCCGTTCTTTCGTAGCGGTGCTGTTTCAGCCATTGTCACTCTCATCGTCGGCCAAGAGCAGAGAATCTTCGCCGCTCATGAGAACATTCTTGGAGCCTCGCCTTTCTTTCAGAGCGTCCTGAAAAACCAATTGATGGACTCGCAAACCAAGAAGATCTCACTCCCCGACGAAGAACCCGAGGTTTTCTCCTCTATTCTCGAGTTTCTCTACAAGGGTGACTACTACCCCCGCCTGGTACACAACAAGAAGAGGAACTCGTGGGAATTGGAGCAAGCTGGTGAGGATGGCCGCTCCGAGGCTACCATCTACCACCACAGCGTCGAAGGCGAGCTGCTCAAGGATACCGCCATCTACTGTGCGGCCGAGAAATATGGTCTGGAGGAACTGAAGCGGATTTCGTTGCGCAAGCAAGGTCTTCGTAAGTCATCCCTGGCCCTGATTGTGCCAGGCGATAGAGACTAATTAGGTGTGACAGAGTCTGGAATTCAAGCCAGCACCATCCTGGCCTCCGCTCGCTACGCCTACGCCAACACGCCTGACACCGATTCCAAGCTCCGGGCTCACTACCTCGCTCTCATCATCCGATCCCGCAGCACCTTCAAGCGCAGCGGTACTATGCAACTCGAGATGTTCAACGGCAATACCCAGCTCTTCTTCGACCTGTTTGTCGCCTTGTGCAATCACGTCGACGACATTTCGAGCGCTGCGTAGGTCTATCCAGGTCTTGAATGCCTCCCCCAGCATAGCTAACCATCCATTCGACAACAGAAGCACCCCTCGCACTCCTCGCAGCGGCCGGCCATTCTAGGTTCTCATCCACATTCGACACCTTTCCGTTTCACAACCATTGATACCCAACCCCCCTCAACAAATTGATACATCCTCTGGGCTTCTCAACTCTGCGATGGATGATGTCCATACCCCAGCCTCTTTCGATTCTACAACTCACAGCACACGGCACTTTAAATCATTAATTCGGTCTAATTTTTTCTTGTTCGGCTCGGGAGCATAGACATTTCTTCCATCATTGATTCATGATACCGGCGCATCTGGGTGGGCTTGTTCGGTTTGGCTTTTTGGTTTCCTTATGCCTCCTTTTGCATTGGAGTCGGTCTGGTTTCCGTCACTTGTTTTATTTCCTACGCTGCTTTCCTTGCTCTTTCGCAAAACTTCAGACTTGTACAACAGCATACTCTCATGACACGGCTTTGTTCGGACGGTGGAGGAGGAATTTTGGGATTTGGCAGTTTCTCATTGTTCATGAAATTTTGCGATGTGGGCAGGTTGATGATTTACCCCTGCTTAAGAGGCGCCGTTGTTTTGGTTTTCTGCAGACGGCCGCTTTCACGGGCATGGATGTTCTTTTCTTGGCGGAAATCTCATTCTACCAACTCTCTTTCCATCATGGTGGCAAGTTTTCCTTTCTTCAAGTCTGGCTAGCAGTGAAATGGTGGAGGGGTGGAAAAGGAGATTTGAGACAATCTTTGCTTCTCGCTCTCATTCATCACACGGTTCATGCCAGAACCTTTTTTTAGGGCGGTTGTCTTGAGAGAGACAATTGTCCATGGACGATAGTCCCATACACCACAATCCTGGTGCTTATTCAGTCACTTCAATACTACCAAGTAACCAGCACTGTTCTCTCTCTTGATGTGTGACCCTGTTCCTCCTCTCTGGGGAAACCCCGTCTTGCGAATCCCAACCCGTCTATCCATCTGCCCGTTCACGAACCAACGAGTGCCTGTTCTTGCCGTTCACGAACCAAAGCCGAAATCCCGAAGACAATCATTCATTCTCGACCCACTGACCCATCCTCCCGGATCTGGTGGATCACCGACTTCAACACTACGACAGGAAGAGCTAGCGCCGAACTTGAAAACCGCCGGACCGGGTCAGTCCGCGGACCCTGTCCTTTGCCACTCGCTTGTCCCAGTCAGGGATGGCCTCAGGGGTATGAGGTCTTGGCTTTTGGTTTCTTTTTTATTTTATCTATTTTTTACTTTTTTTTGGTTGCAATTGATTTCTGACGGAGGAAAACGGGACTTGTCCTTCCAAAACGCACCGCTCGAAAAAGGCTTTGGGGTTTTCGTATCCGGACTCCCCGTCAACAGGAAGCAAAAAAAGGGTGAGGACCAGAAAAACAATTCACTATCGTTTGCCAATTTCACACAGAACGGGGGCAGAACTTGAATGCACAGCATCCCTTGTTTCTTGGATGGCCCAGCATGCAAAGCCGTGCTGCATCACATCCACAAATGGATGGGCATCGCTGCGAATGCTGCAGGCCCGGCCTTTGTCGGACACCCTCACACACATGCAACCGTTACACTGCACCTGCGTGGGAAGGGTGTGTGCAAGTCGTGAGTCACTTTTTCACGCCAACACACGCAAAATCGCTGGTTCAGAGTTAACTTACAGTCAATCGATTTACTCTGCTTTTTTCAGATCCTGAGATGATCTCGATGAGCCGCTGACACTCCATTGCTTTAATGATTGGACACTTAGCACCGGTTCCTGAAATCTAATTGCTTTCAGCGAATGGTCTCCGTTGGATGGCGCTCCGAGATCCTAATGCAAGATCTAAAGAGGATGATTTTGTGCCTGGAGTGTCGGCATTAGGAACAGTTTCTCCTCTAATACTATATTGTCTGGGTCTCATGATAACTCTGCTTGCTAACTTCATTTTGGACAAAAAGAGCTCCGGGACCGGTTGTGGACTTTTCTGTCCAGCCATTTTAGCGAGTGACATACATGACTGTGTTGGAGACAAACAGGTTGCCCGGTTCATGATTCTTCCATGAACGGCGAAAAGCTAACTTGGCAAGTAAGCTCCCGCACCTTCTTGTGTTTAAGACCTGTCACACATCAGTGGAACCTGAGGGAAACGATGGAGCATGAGGAACAAGCCGAGGCCCATCGCCGCCCAGACGGAGGACCTCCTGCATCATGATAACACATTGTGATGACCCGAACGCACCGAGTTGTTGCCTCTTCAGGTAGATCTTGGAGGAAAATCGCAAGCGACTCGGAACCGAAAAATGCAAGAACCAAAAGACGCAAGAACCGGAAAACGCGAAAACGCGGTCTCACACAGCAGGAGGGGCTGCAGGGCGGGGCGAAAAGGGGGAAGGTGACCGAGACGGGAAGGGGTGCTTTACGCGAGGTGCACGCGTGGACACGTGCATGTTCATGACCCCACTGTGCCTCATTTAATTTCTTGGTTTGTGCTGTGGGTAACCATCCACATCCCTTCATAGGATCAGTGCACGGAGCAGGCAACCCAGATAAGGAAAAGAGCGCGGGGAACATTGAGCGATCGGACATGGGATGGCTTGGATGGTCACAAAATGCTAGGGTTGCGGGAACTTCAGGCAAGGCAGCCGAAGCCAAGGGAAGGGGGAAAAGGGGCGGTTGTTTGGATGCTGTTACCCGATTGGGCATCTCTGGAGCAACCCCGCCACGGTGAGCCTGACCTGCAAGCAACCACAAGGAACTCGCCATCGCGGGCTGAGGCAAGCTCGCAAGGTTGACAAACATCGATGAAAAAGGCAGGGAAGCCGCGGGCCAGTTTTGACGTTGGTGATGCATGAAAATGATGTGATTGGGTCTCCGACTCATTCCATCCCGCGTTCGCAAGGAGGGTACCGGCAACTGTCTGCAGTGGCGATACATCCATGGGCCCAAGCTAAGACTTGCCCCTGATGAAAACGGAGGAGCCATCAGGTACACTCCGTTGTATGTCATAATTCGGTACGGATTACACACCATCGCATTTGCCGGCCGACTTCGCTGTGCAGTCAGACTCTTGCCATTCTCGAAGGCGGGACCGCATAGCCCTCAATGTGTCACATACGATGAGTCCCAAGGGCCCGTATCTTCTCGCTTGCGGAGATGAATGCTGCATCGAAATCGGCCTGCGAATTGGCTCTGCTGGACTAACCCATATTCATTACATCATACACCCGTTCCAGGGAACGCCCCTGACTTGCTGAGCACAACGATGCCATGCTGGCGGGATATGTATCCCTTCATGTGGTTCTGAACAGCAGTCAGCAAAATGACCTATCATCCTCATGCATAATGGTTCGTGCGAAGCGGCTCGTGGGTAAAGGGGGTGGATTCCTGAGGCACGAAATGTATCTCCTGGGGCAGAAATGGGGACGGCCGAGCAACGTGAAACCTGCATCGTGTCGCTGTCTCTGAGATCATTGGACGAACTCGGAATGGGCCGCGTCATGAAAACGTGAAATAGGCCTTGACTCACCTTGTAAATCATGTTCGCCAGCAGGCATTCAACTTCGTCGTTATCAATCTTTTCCTGGCTGCCGAGGCTGATAGCAGCGGCAAACTCGGCAACTGGAACGCGGGTGCGGCGAGCCGGCTTTTCCCCTTCTTTAGCTTCCTCGAATCCTCGGGCAACGAAAACCTTCCGTAGTAAGTTGCGTAGGGCAATGTCACGCCCGCGTTCCAAGGTCAGGTAGATGCGGCGCTTGACAAACTCATCTTCGCCTTCCTGGAGCGCGAGATCGAATTTGTGAAGCTCTCCCCTTTTGATGCAACGACATAGTGGCAGGAAAAGTTTCTGTAGCCTCGGGAATGGTTCGAGCAGTTTCTTAGTCGGCAAAGTGTGACTTGTGATGAGATGGCATGGGATGAGGTAGGTCAAGATAAGCCTTGTTTGGTGTCAGCAACATGGCTAAAACAATTCATAACGGGCATACTTGCTCTTTGTTCTTCTTTGCATTCACATAGCAACTATTCCATGCCTCCGTCAAGCATTCCTCGGCCTAATCGCTATTAGCACATAAACAGATTTAGTGTTCTCAATCGACGTAATCATACCAGGACATAGTTCTCTTCCAAGAATGCTAGAACACCTTCGTGGTACTTAAAGGTTACTTGCTGGGATTTCGGGAAGGCCGAAAACTTTGGCATATCTCGAGTCCCAACTCGTAAGCTGTTCAATATGTTCTTTGACAACGATGCTGAGTTGAGTTTGAAATATGTCTTGAGCAAGAGGTTGGCAATGTAGTAACTGCCCCATTTGCGCGATTCCTCAAGAGATGCCCTATGGAACAGCAGTGAGCTTGCATACTTTGAGACAAGACTTATGAAATTAATGTCCTTACCTGTCGGTTTGGCAAAGCATAAAGACCCTGGACAACGCCCTCGCGCAGTCCTCCAACTTTTGGCGTTTGTTCGTCTCAGGGTCAAAGTCGTCTTGAAGGGCTGCGGCGGTATCATCAAAAGCACTGCTATGGTTACGCTCTTCATCTGCCTGCATGGCAAAGACACGGAGATGTTTGCACACCGTGTACAAACAGGGGATCGTCCAAGCTTCGAAGCCGCTGTTTTGGTACCCCCGAATCAAAACGTTGAGAAGTTCAGTCCAAGCCTCATACACTTTCGTCCATACCAATTCCGAAGTCTATTCAAAATGTTAGCCGAAGAGTCAATGTAGCGCCCAACGTTTGAGAAGTACTGCTCGACTGTCCCATCAACCACTTACTTTGCCGGTCCCACCGGTTGCCTCCCTCGCTGTAAGAAGAACACCCGTGGCGTTCCAGTATGAGGCGTATATATCTACCCAACCTTGTACCTCTTGGTGCTCAAGCCCGCCAACCAGGGCGGCATTCCCTTGCAGCCCTCGCTTCAGCGCATTCTTGACGTTGTGAGCATTTTGACTTCGGAAAATCCTCCTCAAACTCTCATTTGAGATGTCCGGAGAAAGTGTCCGCCCCAGGGCGTAACCATCCTGTTGGGAAATGATGTCCGCAAACTCGTTGAAGAAATGCGTGTCAAACTCCATGTTGGGAAGGCAATGCCGCTCAGTTGAGAGTCGCGGATGCGGATGAGATGCCCCGCTATGGAACCTCTACTGCAGACTTGACGACCCGCGGCGCGGCCCGAGTCGGCCGTTTTGGGGATTCTGGGTCGTATTGAGAAATCTGTGATGTATTAAGATTGGGGCTACAGCATCAACAGTGAGTAAGTCAAACCCGAAACGGAAAATGGACCCCAAGTTGTTTGTTTTGACCAAGTCTCGGAATTCGAGACTTCTCTGAAGGCAACTTTGAGCTCGTTGTTAGTTTCCTTGGCATGCGAAGCTTCGAAAACAGCCCCACATTTCCGTGGCTGAGAGATCGTGGCGCAAAGCCACACTTTGGGTAGGTATTGTGGCGTCCGTTCCACAATTGGCCCGAGCGCTTCGAGCCCTAACAAGCCCACCCAAATTTTTCCTGCTTTTGTGATCGCTAAATCACGACTCCGACAGCTCACCCAACGACTTCGTGATCCGCAGCGGGAAATAATCACAGTAAGGCCCTACTATTTCCAATTCATTTCCCTTGTAGCGCTAACAGTTCAACAGATGGGTAAGCAATTTTCTTTCGCATCGTCTCTGCACAATCCCATCGCTGGCAGCCACCAAAAACACCAGATCCGACCGATATTCGACTGGGCGCCACATTCTTCCCGACAGACGACATGAAATGGAAAACGGGCCAACGAACTGGACGTTGAAATACCGCCGTCATTTTTATGCCGGTTAAATGATCGTGAGGCTGGGGCGACCTACATTTGGTTTTTGATCGGCTAGTTGAGGAATGGGGGCATTGAAATGGGAGGCCAGCGACAACGACATTGCACAACAACCGACGATTCCGAACCTCCTGCCGGCGATGATTAGCCCCTCGACGCTTTCCGACCTTTTTTTGAGACCGAGACCGATATCGTTCTGGATTTGAATGTGCTGACATTTGGGCCAGGCCGTCTTCAGGAATACCAGGTGATTGGGCGCCATCTGCCCACAGAGGCCAACCCGACCCCCGCCCTCTACCGCATGCGCATCTTTGCGCCGAACCAGGTCGTTGCGAAGTCCCGCTTCTGGTACTTCCTTCGCGGTCTCCGCAAGGTCAAGAAGGCCACCGGTGAGATCGTCAGTGTGAACGTGGTATGTACTTCTGGACATGATATCAGCGGAAGATGGAAACAGGAGGCTGATATTTCCGCAGATCTCCGAGAAGCACCCCCTGAAGGTGAAGAACTTCGGCATCTGGATCCGCTATGACTCGCGGTCCGGCACCCACAACATGTACAAGGAGTACCGCGAGACCTCGAGGACCGCTGCCGTAGAGGCCCTCTACTCCGACATGGCTGCCCGCCACCGCGCCCGCTTCAGGTCGATTCACGTAGGAGCACCGTCCACCGAATATAGATGGGGCCCGAGAAAATTGAGTTTGCTAACACAACAACTAGATTCTCCGCGTTGTCGAGGTCGAGAAGGCTGAGGACGTCAAGCGCCCATACATCAAGCAACTCCTCACCAAGAACCTCTCTTTCCCTCTGCCCCACCGCGTCCCCAAAATCAGCAACAAGAAGGTTTTCAGTGCGACGCGCCCGTCCACTTTTGCTTGAGAGGTTTCATGGTTGCGGTTGGGGTGGGCAGTGTTTTCAGGTGTTCATCAAGGAAAATGGGATATCCTGCATTTGCTCCCTAGGACGAGCACGAAATGAATAAATGGTCAAGCACAGGTTCTGCATTGTTTGTGAATGAGGCTCTTTCTCCCACTTGGCTTTTGTGGCTTATTGCTAGAACTGGCCAGGTGTGTGGTGCCATCCAACTCTGAACGTTATATTTCTCCGGGACGGTACATCCGCCGGACACCTTTCCCGGCTGAGCAAAGGGGAAATGGCCCCCCCGTAGTTCCATTGAATGGCGTCTGATGGGCGACTTTGTACGAAGTACGCCGATACCATGTACTCCGGAGAGGCACCTGCTCTCGGCGCTATCGGGGACTCCGCCAGGACAGTCTCGGGGATGGTTCTGCTCGGATTCTAAACCGAGCTCACCACTGATTTCGGGGCCCGCATCAGGGTGTGCGTGGGACAGGCAGGACCCTGCATTGCATACCCTACTCCCAATGAGGAAGCTGGGTGAAGTTTGACGGCGCTGGCCTGCCATTCCGAAGGCGTTGCATGACTCATTCGGCTGATGCTTAACACGAACAATACGAAACTCGACTAAGTGTTGTCTATGTGAAATTACTACGTAGTAAATGAGGATTTTGGCGGTCGTGGACCTATATAAATCCAATCTGTTTCACAGCTTGCTGTTGCTGGCCTTGGCTTTTCGTACTACGCCCGAACCATTTACCCTCCAAAGCCCCTGACATCCAACAATTTTGGAAACATAAACCCGGAAACTGACCACCCCGCGCCATGGCGGCCACTGCTCCGGAGTCACAAACCCGCCCCGCCCCGGGGCCGGCCCCGGACCCGGTCTCCTTCATCCGCGTCCGCACCACCGTCCCGCGACGCCCGTTACCACCCAACGCGGTGCGCCAGCCCATCTACACAGAGCGCCTGGTCCTGCGCACGTTGACCATGGATGACCTGCCCGACGTGCGCATCCTTCGCACCCAACCCGAGGTCATGCATTGGACGGCGGCCGGTGTGCCGGACGGAGATTTAGAGCAGACCCGCTCCAGGTTAATGCCATTCCTGCCGCCCGGCGACGGGGTGACGTACAACTTTGGCATCTACGACCGCGCTACGGGCGAGTTTGTGGGCATGGGGGGCAGCCACCAGTTCCGGTCCAGCCTGGGGTGGCCGGAAATCGGGTATATGATCAAGAAGGAGTACTGGGGGAAAGGGTTGGGGACGGAGTTGGTGAAGGGTTGGCTCGGCGCGTGGGAAGCGCTGGAGAGGGAGGAGGTTGAACTTGAGGTGGATGCGAGGACGATCGATGAGGAAGAGAAAGCGGCTGTCGCTGCTAGCGGAGGGCTGGTTAGGGAGCGGCTCATTGCAATAACGGCAACGGGGAATGACAAGAGTCAGGGTGTGTTGCAGAAAGCTGGGTTTGAATGGTTTTTGACGTGGTTGGCTCTGGATTCAGTAAAAGGGTCCGGACCCGAAAGCTTGATCGAGCTGCCTTCGTTCAGGTACTTTACTCAAGGGAAGAAGAGCGAGTGATAGAAGTGCCACTTGGCAATCTGCGCTCTGGCTTATTTAACTGGATGGGAAACTGTTAGGATTTCCTTGTCTATTGAAGGAGAGTTTGTTTAATAAAATCAACGTTAAAAATCCGTCGAGCAAAAGAGAGCATGTGACCAATAATTATCTTGCGCTCAGTAAGATTGTGGGCGTCGTCATCGTCCTCCAACTTTGCTATTGGACTCTCTTCATTTTTATGCATTTTTATTCGGCCCGTCCTACTCTGGAGACATGCATACTCTACCGGAGGGTTATCTTCCACACATTGCGCAAAAGAGGATGCTTTGGGACATCATATTTAGAAAAAAAAGAAGGCAACCCTAACCCCCAGAGTTTAGAGGCCTCCAACCCCGCGGTGATGACATCACTGCCCAGGAACAATCGAGATCTCATTCATCGACATGGAGATGTGAGAACCCTCCCGGTCCACCGACACGGGCCGTTCCCTGGAAGGCATGATGTGGAGAGGGATGTCGCCGTGCCAGTTTGTAACCAAAAAAACAAATGTCTCTATTGAGGGGGCCAATTTTGCCTCAAAACGTAACCACGGCGGGCGCAGGGCTGCACAGCTGTCCCAACCGCCCGTGCCAACAACCTATTGTTTATCCGCTGGGCCCACCTCAAGCAAGCCTCGCGCGCATCACGCACGCCAGAATCTAACTTTGGGTGTAAAGTTGTATCAAAATGTTGGTTGGTTTCGAATTGGGGGCAGCGCCGCTCGCTGCCGCAGCAAGTGGGACTCTGCTTGGAAAAGGACGCCCAGCCCCAAGGCATTTCCGCCCGACCCAACCGCCGTCGGTTAAGTGACTCAAGGAGAAACGCTCAAGTCTGCCTGAAAACCGACCGATGCAGCAGTCACTCGTCGTCTTGACCTTCAACCCGACAAGGCCGCCTTGTGCATCGTTTGTCCTCAGTTCGCCCTGATTCACCCCGCGCCAAATCCCACGTTTTTTCCCACTTCGAAGCGGCAGCCTGGATTACACTGGTTCGACTGGCTCAAGCACATGCAAGCAAGCAACAAGCTGCAGCGGGTTTAAAAAGGTACGAATGAGCTGTCCGCCCGCAACCGCGAAACCCCTCCTTCGCTGGTGTCACCCCGCGACAGCCAACGAGTCGCAAGCCCGCCAAAAGATCATGGCTACCGGTCCCCCGAGAGTCCAACTTGTTCCTATCGCATAACTTCCACGGCGACTGGCTATGCCCCCCACCATTTCACGACCATGGCGACTACACCAGGCGAACCCAAGGACGGTAAAGCCTTCTATGGGTACTTATTTTCCAAGGCAAAACCGATCCCTGTCCCAACGCCGGTCTTCGATGCGTTCCTGAGAGCTGTTGCGCTACATATAGTGCGTCTTGAAACCCGAGATCCTTCAGATTGCACTCCTTTGGACTACGTGCTAATCTGCCAACCTAGATAAACGAACTCGGCGACAAAAATGAACCGCACTTGACGCCTGCTAAGTTAGCAACTTTCTACAAAACTGGTGGCCATGACTGGGACTGTAAGCTACCGTCTGCTCCGCTCGCCGAACCACCCACCCACGATCCTAACGGTATGTTGCGCAGCGTTTTTTGTCGACATGCCTCACTCCGGCCTCTCGGTTGTCTACCAAGGCCTAGGATGCCAGCACGCCCTTCTTCCCAGCCCAGATGACTTTGCCCCGCCGTCGATTCCGGCATTGACGGTCAAGGGATTTGTGCACTGGCAGGCGATTCAAACTCTGCTGGGCCCGCAGGAGCAGATGCCAGTGTTGCAGTATGCTGCCGCTCATTGGGCTCTGAAGCATCCGGACACCGGAACCCCTTTACCGGCAGATCTCCCGAAGGACGCGTTTCCATCCGAGGTTGATGCCGATACAGACCGGTGGTATCAAGAGTGCGCCCGCAAGTCTCGCGTTGAGGCCGATGCCGCAGAGGAACAACCAAAGGCGCCGAAGGAGACTCCGAAGCCCGAGGCTACCGACCGAAAGGTCCCTTATTCCCACGTGCGAGTTAAACCTCAGGCTACACCACCTCGGGACTATTTCACTTCTCGTCCGGTCAATGTCACTTACGTTCAAGTTCCATCTCCTCGCCCGACACCCGCCAGACTATCTCCGGAACGGGATCGAGTTCGGGAACATTTTGTCCGTCACCCGGCGACCGCGACAGAGCCAGCATCATCTCACCGCCGGCGAAGTTTCTCCGACTACCCGGAATCCCCGCAGAACTCACGTCCCATTAGAATACCCCGAGCTGTTCCTAATCGCAAGCCACACCCCCGCCGGCACAGCCATCCGCGAGACTACAGCAGCAGTTCCGAGTCAGACGATGGCTCGGTTAGCCCACGTAGCACGCCGCGACGTCTCAACCGGTCGAAAGAGCCGCCTCCTATTTCTATCCGTCGTGTCTATACCGGCAGCTCTGAAGACACGCCACGCGTGGTCCGGGCCACGATGGCTTCCCCGCCGATCCCACCGTCCCATATCCACACCCCTCGGCGTCCAGAAAGTGGCCGTAGCGCTACAGTTCATGCGGACAGCAAACGTCACAGCGCCCTATTCGATATCAAGGAGAAAATCAGCAACTTCATCAACCCAGTGAGCGTACCGAGTGCTCAGGGAAGGGCTCGCAGCGTAAGCGGGCCGCGCGGGCGCCGAGACGGTCCGGGGGGATTGCGGAGGGACTCACGAGACGACGTGCTGCCCAACTCGAGACTCAGCCGATCATGGTCTGAGATTGACACTGACGATACCGACCTAGAGGAGGAAAGGAGGCGGTCGAGCAGGAGGAATTCACGGGAGATTCGGTCCTCTCATCGTGAAAAGGAGCGAGAAAGGGACCGAGAAAGAGAGAGGGAGAGGGTTCGAGAGAGAGATAGGGCTCGGGCGGCTCGAGATCGGGATCGGGATCGGGACCGAGACCGTGAACACGAGCGAGACCGAGACAGCGATCGTCTCCGTGACCGTGACCATGACAAAATCCGCAGTGACCGGGCCGTCCTGCGCGAGCGCGAACGCCCCCATAGCGACAACGACCACCGCCGCGAGCGGCGCCGCGAGACCGACCGAGACAGAGAGCGTGGCCACGACCCCATCAGGGACCGTATTGTCCCGGAACCTAGCCCCGCCGCGTCCGCCGCCGCGTCCGCATTGCACCGAGAAGCCTCGGCGGCCACGGTCCCCACCACTGTCACCTCTCCTCCTAGCAGACGGCGCGGCAACTCCGAAGAGGACCTTTCCCCGAAGCGGCCCCAATGGAGCCGCGGTCCATACCTCAGCACCACTCTCGACGGTGGTCCTTACCGTCGGACGAGTAGCCATGCGGACTTGGACAGAATTGATGGTCGGCGACGGGAATGGGATCGAGCAGATCGGGATCGGGAGATTGCGGCTAGGGACCGGGAGAGGGAGAGAGACCGCGACTTACGGGAGCGTGAGCGCGATCGAGAACGGGACCGAGACCGGGATCGAGAGCGACTCCGTGATCGGGATCGGGATCGGGAACGTGAGAGAGACCGGGACAGGGACAGGGACAGGGACAGAGACAGGGAGAGAGATCGGGATCGGCTCCGAGATGATGGTTCGGAGCGGTGGAGGAGAGTAGTGGATGAACGTGTGCCGAGAGAACGAGATCGGGACCGGGACCGGGACCGTGAAAGGGATAGGGATCGTGAGAGGGTGCCCAGCCCGGCTATGTCCGGGGCCGGGTCATCCGTCACGGGTGTGACTGGGAGGAAATATCCCGAGGCTCTTCCGGCGTGGGCGGGAAGGGATTGAGAGCGCAGGGCCGTGATCATGGCCGGCTGTTCGGGGAAGTAGGCCTGAGGGAGAGGCTGGTTCTGGCGTAACGACGATACGAATTGGTTTCTTTCTTTTTTCTGAAGCGATCTGGGTGGGCTATCTATTGATACATAAAGGCCGCGTCTTACTTTTGTTCTATCGGTGTCGATTTGGTTTCAAGGGAGTCGTCATGGGGAATGGAGACGGATGTATGGCGTCCTAGGACTGTATGTACATCTTAGATGAAATTTATTCCTCTCGTTGATTGAGCTATACATCGAACCCTCAGCTCTAGAAGTCGTTGATTCATATATCAGTATTATTGAACATCCTAGGAACGAAATTGAGCCGGACTGGATTGCTTGCGATAGTCAATACTGTCCCGAAAAGACTAACACCCCGAAGTCACTAATACGTAGTTGGGCCGGTATGAAGCATAACTAACATTGTCTCTTTTACAAATGTCAGGTTGCTTTACTTTTGACTAAACTAGACAACCGGGCGAATCGCTTACTCTTACATTTACCAACTTAGTTACACAGGGACACAAACATACGCCCGCTCTAAGTTTGGACTACTCCATACAAGTGTTACCACTACTCAAGGGCCAACATCTCAAAACGTGCGCGGCTTGATAAGCTCGTTGTCCCTACATCACACACACAGAGACCTGAGAGAAAAAGGACTTGGGTTGAACTCCGTGGACCGGGACTCAAAACTGAACCTCGGTATTGCCCCCAGTGAAGATGGAGAACGTAGTGCAAACACACCACAAATCGAGAAAAAGAAAAAAACGCTCATGTTCAAGCTCGGAAATCCAGGACCTCTCCCCGCGCCCGATGTGCGGCGCAGAAGGAATCCGCCACCAAACAAATTAGGCAAGCAAGTTCCGGACTCGGCTTGTTCTCTTCTTCTCTTGTCCTCGTTCTGACTGTCCTATCCTGTCCCTTTGCCGTGCCCCTCCGTGCCGGCCGCCTACGTGAGGGCCCGGATGCGGCCGTCTTCAGCGGCCGGTTTGGGCGGCCCAAGGGAGAAGGGGGAAGAAGGTGGAAAAGAACCCCCGCCGCTTCCATCCCTTACCTTATGACGAGAACCCGGCTACCTTTGTGGGGTTAAGTTATCAGATGAGTCAGATGCATTTGACGATTTGAATTACTATGTAGGTACTGTGTAATCGATTTGCTCTCGTGGGCTTGTAGCGAGAGATTGGGGGAGGGGTAATCGGCCTGTTATTGAGGGCATCTCTCGGTTGACGTGGATCGCTTTGAAGGCGGTAATTGAGGGTGGCGGGGGTGCCGAGCGGACACGAAAAAAAATAAACGGCCCTTCGGCGGTCGTGGGTGTCCGGGCCCGGGAATCAGAACGCGCCTTGACCCGGGCTTGTGGTGTCTGGCCGGTCCAATCTCGCGACTCCGCGGGGGTCAGCAGAACACAAGGACACACTCAAATTCAAGATTCTGGCCGACCGCCATGACCCGAGGGACCGGGGCGACGCGGCTGTGGCGCATCTCACCAACCTCCAAACAATTACGCAAACTGATCCAGGTGTTAAGGCAGACAAGCAAACAGAGGGAAACGAAACGGCGGCGCAATCATGCGTTTCGCGGGCGCAGCTCTGCCAAAAAGTTCCTTCTGAAGGGCAGGGTTGTTGTTTCTTGGGCATGCTTCTGCTGTGGATGAGTGGTTGGTAGCAGGCAGAGGTTTGCACAAAGTTGCTCGGTTCTCTTCAACCTCACGCTGCAGGAGCAAAAACCCGTTTGTTTCCGCCTGCAATCAAATTCAGCGCCGCCTCGGCTACCTTTGTTGGAGGGCGGGCCGCGTTGCGTGCGGCCATGGCCAAGGGGGACCGATCCCACTATTTGTATGGAGTAGGCCTGCAAATAGCGGCTTCGGAGGCTGGAAGGGAACAAGCAAGAGCAGCAAAAAGCAGGCAGTGGCAAGCTGATTGGACGGCTATTCGGGGGTACGCGCCCGCCGCCGCCGCCCCAGCACGAGCACACTAAGGTAGCCAGAATTCGAGGCCCGTCGTCGATGCCCAGCTGCAGTCCGTTGTGATCGTTCGATAGGGCAATGACGAAGGATGAGAGGTGGTCGCAGAGACGGCCGACGTTGTCGTCTTCAACCGCCGTGATGGCATCCGAGCGACATTAGTGGACGGGAGAGGGCCGCACTCCCCCGCTTTCATGGAGCCCACCTCGGTCGTGTCAAAAGGTCAAGCGGACAAGTATCTCGGTCGTCGCCGTAGAGGGAACGCGGCAAACTGGAGCCTCATGCCGATCGCGCGAGATTCAGCCGACCGCCACTGGCTGTTGGTTTCTGTACACACCCAGTAAATGAGCGTTAGACTGGCCACCACTCACCGCCCGTCGTTGCGTTGTTGGGTGTTTCCGTGGCTTGTTGTTGCTTCAGTTTGATATCGAAAATACGGATGCGGAAACCCCGCCGGGAACGGAACGCGGGCGGTACTTCGTAGCAGTGGTTGGAAACAGGGTGATGCCATCGGGCCAGGGCCCGTATTGGAGACCGGCTGTCTATTGTCTCGTTGGTAGCTGTAGGGGGGTGGGTGATTGACGCGCAGAAGCGAGTGACGGCGGGGTCAAGCGGCGAGTCATTTGGTTAGTCTGCTCGAAACGGTGAGCCCAATGGCACATGGCTCAATCATCATTTCGCCTGCGGTGCGGCGAAGGAAAAAGAATTGTCAAGGTTCGTCGTCAAGGTATGTACATCAATCGAAGGCGGGTGTTTCGTACGGCGTCCTATTGTTACCTCGACAGGGACTTCCCGAAAGCGGCCGGTGATGCCTAGCTTTGAGCCCCCCAGAAGTTGGGGAATCAAACAGAATTATGGATTTCCACGAAAAGTCTGAGATGGGTGAAGAAAGTGTTGTGTTTCAGGGGTGGGCAGATAAAATCTTGGTGTCACCTGATGTTTATGGACAAGTTGATGCCAGACATTTGCTGAAGTCTCGGTCGAGAACGTGGGATGAGATGCAGCTTTCTCGAAGCGGGTCCCCCCACCCTAAGAAGCCAGCCATGGTGGACTTGCTCGGCAGCTGAGCAGACATGGATTCGAAGCGCTCATGATGAGGGCTTTGAGAACCACCCAATGAAATCATATAGCGACAGTCTGCTTTGCAACATTCCTGCGTTGGGCCAACGCCGACTTTTGACAACCAACACGTTCACGAGGGACATCCAGGTCGAAGAATTCTCGGCAACCATACACGAGAATAGGTAGGTAGTGGAGCCCACTTGGATCAGCGTTGCACAAGATGGGATGCCAGACCCCCAGTCCTAAGTTGTGCTGTCTCCACCGTGTCAGCCCCCAAGCTGAATGGTTCCAGCCATGTTAACAGCTGATTGTTTCGTGGCGGTACAAAGAGACGGATGACTTTCTTAGATAGGCAACATTACATAGTTCCCGTAAGACTCGTCCTCCAAGTGACCTACATGAATGTGATTTTCTTAAGGCCGTGTGGAATCCGTGCAACGTGTTTTGCGGAGTGAAGGGTGGCCATGATGCAGAAAAGATGGAATCGCGCTTGCCTCTCTGTTGCTTTTCTTGGGCCAGGAACGAATCCAGACCATCCACCATTAGCTAAGCGTTTTGGGGCGTACCTATCTGACAGTCGGGCCTGCATGGGTGCATGAGTGGGTAAAACAGCACAACAGCACTGTTCAGCCGAATTCGGCCTGCTGGCCGAATGTCATGCGTGGACAACCTCTTGTGAGCCAAGGCCGAGTTATTTGACCACTGGGTCGTACCGTCCGCACCGACAACATCTCCACAACCAGACACCTCATACTTGCTCTTTCGGGCCACAACGCTTCAGCCATTTTGACTGAGCGCGCCGCCTGTTCCTCGAGCTGCCTTTCGTTTCCACATGAAGCATCAGACCAGACCCGCTCTTTTTATTTTGGATCTCAACCCTTCTGGTTCTCGCTAGCCAGTCCATGCCACTTTTCCAGGGATCCCTTCTCACAATCCCGACCACTTGGTGACCCGGATTACCTAGACCAGACCCCCCCCTCCACGACCCGACAGCCGGCCCCCCAGCGACCCAACCCCAAGCCTGGAGCCCCGGCCCAAAGGGCATCCTGCTTTGAGGTCTCCCGTCTAGAAGACTTTAAGACCTCCGAGACCCGCCGGGTCCGTGGACCCCAACCTTCTCTCTCTTCTTTCGTCACTAGGTCACGTCGTGCCTTTCTTTCAACCCGATCACTGGACTGCATCCTACCTGCCCTGTTGTCCACACACCGCGCCGATCTGACAACTGGAACCGAAACGGACTGGAACCTCTGCCGCACATCTCCACCGCCTTCTCTTCGACGGCACACGGATAGAGATTCGTATTCGCAAATCGGCGCGAAAAGCAACTGACTACAAGCTAGCCCGTGTTTCTTCCCGATCGCGGTAACTTACTTGCGCACACCCGCAGACACACACACACACACACAAAACCCCGCCCACTCAAGGGATTCTGCGTTCTCTTCCACGTCCTCGGCGTTGCGCCGCAAGCCTCTGAGGAAAGGGTCGCCAAAATGAAACGCCAACCGGTCGAGTCGCTCGTTTACGAGTACATGTTTCCAAAGCCCCGACAGTCGGATCCACAAAACTTCCACGCCCTGCTTCAGCGATTTCTCATTCTTGAAGTTCGCCAAGAGACACATGCGTTTTACGGTCACCTCGACACACACGAAGCGAAATACCCCGGCTTCGACTACACGCATCGCATCCACCGCATTCGCCTGGGTAGATGGCCATGGCACCGTCGCCTCTTTCGGGCCTTTGACGGCCTCCGCCTAACAAACGCTGAGATCTCGGGGTTGACAAAGTGGGAAGGCACGAAGTGGGCCAAAGAGCGTTTCGAGCGAGACCAGGGCATTCAAATTCGGGATACTACGGCTGACGGGCTTCCAAACTACGCCGACCCCAACGATCCGTATTGCGCCCAGTCTCTGCGTGCTCAGTCTGAGGAGACAGAAGAACCGGTAGAAGCTGAAGAAGACGGTCTAGAAGAGAACGAAGTGGAGGAAGAGGAGGAAAGCGAGGACGAGTTGGAAAGTGTTGGTGTGGCTTTGAACGAGCGGCTTCGTCAACGCGTTGCGATGCGGACAGTATCAGGGGATAACTCGGTGCCCCTCGACGAGGAATGGGAGAACTGGCTAAAGCTTGCCATAGAATCCGGCGAGTTGCCTCGTGTGGCAGACCAAATTGCCAGGTTCCCGGGTCACCACACCACGCTCACTGCCGACGATATCTTCCCACCGCGCATGGTGGCTGCTGCGAGGGCGAACCGTTGGGACGAGATCCCCGATTTCTTACACGACATGATCCGGCAAGCCCTTAGATCCAGCCGAAGACCGGCCCAAACATCCACGACAGCCAGTGCTACTTCGCGCCCGTCAATCAGATACTCAAATGTTCTCAACACCTTTACAAGAGCAAACGTACACCCCGCCTACGGCGAGCCCCTACCTACCGCTAGCGGTACTACTCGCACTCCCAGCGCCAACATTAGCAGCAGCGCGAATAGTGGCAGCGCCACATCCAGCGGCCGGCATCGCCGACAAACAGCACCATCCGAGCCCCGGCCCCAGCAGACGGCTCAATCAAACGCGTGACCTGCTTCTTGGGGCAACTTGGAGGACGATTGAGTGCGGGCGATTGCAGACACGGGCGCTACAAAAGTTTTTTCTTTTTCTTATCACACCGTTGATTTTAATACTATTATGGACTGGATCCAATTCGCATTTTTGCGATGGCAGCGCCCCGTCCCTTCACCCGAGTTCCTCCTTCCTAGGAGGAAATGGGAGAAGACGGAGGCTAAGAGGCCTCAAGCCATGCATTTCGGCGCTGCATTTTACGTGGTATCTGATTGCGCCGGTTCCAGGGAATTGGTGAAAGGCGGGGGCTGGAAGCTATTTGGCATTTGGGAACCCCAACCTTCGCATATGGAGCGGGCGCACGCTTTTTGTGCTCTGCTCCCTTTTTATTCTTCTATGCTATGGATCTTTTTTTTATCCCGGGAAATGACAAGGGCACTGCGAATACCATGGGAACGGGGCTAAGAGGGCAGGTTTGGGAAATGGGAAAGTTAAACTTGGCCGGCACTTCGGCTTTGGGTTTGAGGATTCGGATTGCTTAACAGAACACAAGCAATTAAACAAAAATGTGAACAATTGACACATCTTCTCTTGATTAACCGCTTTTCCTTCTTTGTCATGCTTCTCTACTGCCCGTTTGGGATTTTCGGGTCTAAAGACGACCTTGTAATGGGGCCCTCAAATTGTGAGTAAAAATCTTGGAACTTCAGGATTTGATTGTTTCCCTAACCACCCCCCTCCCCCCTTTAAAGAGCGACGTTTAAACTCGGGGAACTTTCATTCATTCACTCCTCCCAAAAGTCAGATCCGAGACGGCGAGGTCCGAGTCCCGGGCATCCCGGGCATCAGCAACGCTACTCCGTCTTGAGGAACTAAGATTTATGTCATCCTCACAAAGAAAATAATAATCAAGAATCCTTTATCTTTTTTTTTCCTGCGCCACCTTACAGGCGCGGCAAGGCCCCCCAACCTACTTAGCCAAGTCCGCCTTGAAGTTTACTGGCCTGGGCGGGCGTCTGGCCTCAGAGAGAGCCTTGTCAAGTCTTCTTTTCACGGCATGTGTGGGCCGCGGACTACTCTCGACATTGTGGTTGGAATTAGGTTCTCTTTTAATTGGTGGCCTGGATGGGATTGAGGCCTTTGTGTGTGTCTACTTCTTGAGCAGTTGCGTATTAGTAAAAGGGCTGGTGGAAGGATGGTGAGGTTGGAGAGGGCTGGAAGGCCCCCCAGGACGAGGCATTTTACATCTGGTGGATCTGGCGTGGGCGTCTGAGACGCCTTCGAATCTATCAATTTTGTGACGGGATCCTAAAGACGGTTTTGAGGTATTGTAGACTAGGAGTCAACAACTCGGAGTCGATAATGGCGGCGGATCAGCCGGCAGGTTACTTCTCTACGTTCTCAATTCTCGATTCGAGCCGCGGCACGAATACCGATGACCACCAACACAACAAAGCGCAACGGCGGAACCGAAAAGTGTCTGTCTGTATACCATGCCATCGGCGGAAACTCAAGTGCGATAAGGGCCAGCCGTGCTCTCGTTGCTCTTTATCCGGATCTCCTGAGCAGTGTGTGTATCAGGAACAACCATCGACAGAACCTCGAGGAGATGTGGAGCGAAATTCGGGAAGCAATTATAGGCAGCATTTACGAACAAGATCCTCGAGCACGGCTACCCTAGTGAACGAGGGATCAGAACGGCGACTGCAGGGAGTGACACACTGGCGTACCATCGCTTCAGAAGTATGGATCTCGGAGAGGAAGAACAGTTGATCAATCACCTAGCTCCTATGATTGATGCTGTAAGATCTGGGAATCACATATCTACAGTGGCTAACAAGTGAATGTTTGACCAGTTTACCGAAGCCTGGCCCTACATATCTGGACGTGTCCCGGCGTGGGAGTCGACATATCGCCGAATACAAGGACATAAATACCTATTTGCCTCGCTTTCCGGCTTGAACTTCCCATTTGGGGGTTTATGTTCGTTCTTTCAGCATGGAGACGAAGTTATCCAATGCCTCCCAGCACGCCCGGCTGTGAATGTTCTCATCCAAAGCTATTTCCAAACACTCAATCCCATTTATCGCCTTCTCCACCACCAACAGTTCATGAAAGAGTTAGAAGAGTTCTGGAATAGCAACTCACAGTGCTCAGAAGAGTGGTTGGCCCAGCTCTTTCTGGTCTTGGCCTTGGGATGCGAAGCAACCCCTGAGCAGGCCTGGGATGTTGAAGGGCGACCTGACATGGGAGAAAGTTGGACTGAGCATTTTCTCGATGCCGCACAGTTCTTCTTTAGCAGATCGCCGTACCTATCAGCGCCCACGCTGGTATCGATGCGGGTCCTTTGTCTCGTCATCATTGCCCGCATGCTGGATCTCAAAGGAGCCGAGACCTCGCAGCTGCCGGTTCTTATGGGGTTTCTGAGCCGGAGTGCTGTGGCTATTCACCTCCACATGAGCCCAAGTATACACTCGACGCTTACACCGTTCGAGATCGAAGCGAGGAATCGAGTGTGGGTTACGATTCAACTGCTCGGTGTGCAGGTTGCCATGCGAACCGGCACCCTGTGCGATCGCGAGGACCAAGACGCAATTGTACCCCTGAATATCAACGACAGCCAGATCCGATACGTCAACCACGGGTGGTCTCTAGCCCAGCAAGAAGCTGGCACGGGCGAAACAACGGATGGTACCTTTCAGCTCAAGTTATGCGAGGTGCTCCCCACCGTGGCCGAGATCATCAATATAGTCAACTCCCCAACCAAGCCGCCGCCAATATGGGATATGATCCGATCGTTCGACAGTCGGCTCGGCCAACACCTACAGGATATCGAGCTTGTTCTGCCGTTAGCGTATCGGGCATCGGGCCAGGCACCATCTAAAACGAGGAAGATGCAACGCGACTTTCTTCGAACTCTTGTTCACCGCACGACTCTAGCCTTACATCACCACGCTATTGCCCTGTCTTTAGGTTCTCCACAACTAATAGCTTCTATACCGGTCCTGGATAAAAGCATCACAAATATTCTGAGCATCCAAAGGGACTGGTATAGCGAGTTCGACTCATCGCGACTGGTTGGCTGGCTGCTAGACATAACCGGGGACTCATTAATCGCTGCGTTTCTCTACCATCTCAACTTAGTCCGCAAACAACAGGAATCTACCCCAACACCGTCGTTCCACGAAAGGTCTATAAACCCGTCCCAGAATCCCACTATCCACGGAACCATCGAAATATTCCAGTCTCGCGCCGGAAACTCCGCGGCACACTACGAGGATTTCGTGACCGTTTCTATCGCTGCGGGGTGTCTGGAGGCGCTTACGGTGGGTGCTACTGGTGAGCAGTTCCTTGCTGTGTTGGAACGGGTCGCCGAGAAGGTCGAGGGGGTTGTACTTGGGAGTGGAGAAGGGCGTGACGGTGACGGTGATGAGGAAGGGGACGAGTATGCGATTAGTGGAGGAGGCTGAGAGCTTGTGTTGCTTTAGAGACTGCTGCTGTTGGTGGCCGACGGAGTGGATAAGTCGATCGAGGCGCGCCCTCTGAAAAAATGGAGCGAGGGGTCGGATAACTAATAAGTCATCAATCCGAAGGATAGGGAACAATACCTCGTACTCATGACCAAACTCGCGTCTAATTTAGTAATGTACACATGTACAGCCTTGACATGAGGGTAGATGGAAAAGAAAATCTCTATGCCGTGGTTGCCGACGTGTACGCAATAATACACCATGCCTGCCCAGTTGCACGGCGGTCCTCCCATGCTGCAATCCCCAATTGTGGAGGACCTGCCGCCCGATTTTGCCAACTCAGCGCATGTAACCTTCACCCCGTATCCTTCTATCATGTCTGGACATGGTTTCGTTGGCCATGCCCTTCCCACCACGTCCCGTTGCCTCTGCTTCCTACTTCGGCGACTCTGCTGGTTTTCGTTCAGTCGTCTTACCCTCGTTCCAACGCTAGATTAATCAGCCCCTCCCCCGGAGTGCTTCGCGGCTGAGATTTATTTTTGGTTCAAAAATCCTTCAAGAAGGGCCTCAAGGTCGAGGTTCGGTGAGTTGAGGTCTTGGTTCACTATGGCGAGTGGCGTTAGCGAGGTGAGCTCGGCCGCTGAGGAGATGAGAAAGAGGGGAAAACCCACGCCCAGAAGAGCTGCCGCTGGCGGAAGCTGCGGGCTGCTTTGACCTGGCATATGCCTCCTTGGCCTTGTTTATCAACTGTTGCTTGTGCTCATAGTCCCGCTGCGCCGCGGCTGCCTTTTGCGTAGAGGTGATGGTCCGTTGGTGATAGAAGCCGTAGACAACTCCCAGGCCGAGAACGGAATACCGTAGAATCTGCGCGAGCGCAAAGTCAGTCTGCGCTGCTTCATGAAATGCTGTAGCCGAGGTCGAGGCCTCGGGCGATTTGTCCCGCAACCCAATGCCCACCCAACCTTGCCCCAAGCCTGAAACCCCCACGATATCGATTCCAAGCTCTTAATACCGGAGGAGGTGCAAGCCGTATGCAGGCGTATACCATCCAAATAAAAACCGGGGCTTGAGGTGAGGCCGGATAGCGGAATAGGCTCGGCATGGGCTACGGTGGTGCTAGAGGCGTCGTCGCGGCACTTACGTTGACGGGTGTGGCCGACATTGCGACTGATCGGAACTGGATCCCGCGGCTGCTTGCGCTTCGGAGTTCGGGAGATGGGCTCGTCGGATGCAGGAGCCGTCAATTGAGGGTTCAATTGCGTCCCGTGGCTTGTCGTCGTCAATGGATCGGGTCCGGCTCGGTTAGTGGGTTGCGAGTTGCAAGTTTTGGGAGCTCGGAAATTCTCGCGGCCTGGACCCACTTGCAGTTGCTCCCGCACGGCTGAGTGCGTTTTCACTGCTCTGACACCTTCATACCTTGCCCCTGTTACGGTTCCGGGGAGCACGCGCCAAGGCGAGCTTTGTTTCGTTAGCTGATAATTACAATACATCCCCATGGTACCGACTTGAAATTACAGCGATCAATTACACTAGGTAAGTCGTCTCGTAGTGTAGTTACCCCTGTCGGTGATGGGCGCGACGCGCAAAGGCAAAAGTCAGAGTTCAATCCGCTCGATCCTCTTCTCGTCTTTGACCATTCCCGAGCGTATTGTACCATCGCATTCTACACATGGCGTATTAACGACCGGAGTCCCCTCTACCCATCGGTCAGCGCCACGCACCTCTGCCATCTAACCATCGCGGACAACCCCCCGAAACTGCGACTCTTGAACCTGCAGCCCCTGTTCCTACGATCCCCGCAACAAACCAACGATTTGCAGCCTCGGATGGGTGTGGGGAACAACAGGAAACATGCAACACCGCCGGGATGAAATTATCGCGAAAAGGGCGAAGCTTGCGGAGCTGAAGCGCCAAAGGGAGCTCAGGCAAAGCCAGGCGAGTCGCTCCAGCATCAGCTCAAGCGAGGTTGGTTACCCCCTCGATCAAAACCCTCAGTTTGGCCCCGCACTAACGACCGACTAACTAGGTTGCGTCGCCAGCGCCGGGCCGGATAGAAAGTCGACGGGACATAGAATCTCTCATCGACAGCCTGGTCCGCGACAGACCCCTTTCCGTCTCGACTGGCGTCCAATCCCCTGGGCGCTTCGGCAGTAGACCAAACAGCGTCCTCAGCGCCGGAGAGGCCAGCGAGAACATTTCCGAATTTGCTTCCCCGGCGAACGGCCAGGCAGTCACTTCACAGCCGCAAGTACTCTCTACGGTGCCGGCCAAGACCGCCTACGAATGCCCACCATCGCCAATCAAGGAGGTCTACTCCTACAGTAAGGGGGTTCAAACATCCGACGACTGGACAACCCCAAGAAAGTCGCGCGCGTATTCGGAGTCGGATACCGAAGAGCAGACTGTTACAGCGTCGCCAAGCAAACGCCTCAGCCGGAGGGAAAGGGATCGGGAGGAGGAGCTGCGGGAGAATCTGAGGAAGGAAATCGAGGAAGAACTTCGGGCGGCAAAGGAGCTTGTGACGGATGGCGTCCTCAAGCCATCGGCTGCGGCCAACTTCCCGGCCCGGGCCCTCACCAATGACGAGTTGAATGCGGTCACACAATCGGATGACTTTATGGATTTTATCGACAGGTCCACCAAGGTGATCGAAAAGGCACTGGACCAAGAATACGACATTCTCACGGACTACACCCTTCAGGTACACGACGTGGACGACAACGACGAACAGGGTGGCAATGTTGGAGGAAAGGGCCGACGGAAGATTAAGGAGATTGCCCAATTCTACGACGAGCGGTGGTCCAAGAAGCGAATGGTTAGCTCCATCGATTTCTCGCCCAAGTTCCCCGAACTCCTGCTCGCATCGTACACAAAGAACCCGACCGCGCCTCACGACCCAGACGGCATCGTTCAGGTCTGGAACCTTCACCTCCACGACCGACCTGAATTCGTATTCCATGCCCAATCCGACATCCTCACTGCCAAATTCTCACCATTCCACCCGAACCTCATCATCGGCGGTGCATACAGCGGGCAGGTCCTTCTCTGGGACACCCGCGCCCGTTCTGCTCCCGTCCAAAAGACCCCTCTTACCGGCTCCGGCCACACGCATCCGGTCTACTGTGTTGACATCGTCGGCACACAAAACGCCAACAACATCATCTCGTCCTCCACTGATGGCGCCGTGTGTGGCTGGAGCGTTGACATGTTGGCCCAGCCTCAGGAAGCCATGGCCCTCTCTACCCCGCTCCCTTCCAAGACCGAGGAGATCGCACCCACGTGTATGGCCTTCCCCCAAGCCGACCCCACATTCTTCCTCGTCGGCTCCGAAGATGGCACCATCTATCCCTGCCACAGGTACGACCGCGCCGGCGCCAAAGCCGGCGTCGACGCCCGCGTCAGCTACAAAGGCCACGCGGCCCCCGTCATGTCCGTCTCCTTCCACCCTGCTCGCGGGCCGGTCGATCTCGGCGACCTGGTCCTCTCTGCCAGTCTGGACTGGAGCGTCAAGCTTTGGAAAGTGCGTGCGCCCGCCGCCACGTCTGCCGTCAGTGGCGCTGCAGCGGCCGCTGGGCTGGCCGCGGGTCTCACGGGCACGGGTCTGCTCGAGACCGCTGTCGCGCCGCTGCTGGAGTTTGTGCGCGAAGACGTCGTCTACGACGCCGCTTGGTCGCCGGTCAAGCCGGGCGTGTTTGGCCTGGTCGATGGTGCCGGTTGGTTGGAGCTGTGGGACATTACCGCTGAGACGGAGGAGCCGGTGTCGCGCATCTCGCCTAGCCCGAGGAAGGATGGGCGCACGATGCTGAGCAAGAGTTTGAACAAGCTGGCGTGGGAGCCGAGCGAGGGTAAGAGGCTGGCTACGGGCGGTATTGACGGGGCTGTCACGGTGTTTGAGGTTGGGCCGGATCTGGGCGGCAAGGAAGGGTTGAAGAATGAGGAGTGGTCGAGCGTGAAGAAGCTGGTGAATAAGTTGGAGGCTGTGGGCGTCCCCGAGGGTGGCGCCGCTGCGTGAGGGTAAGGGGAGTGAATGATGAGAGATCTCTTGTAACGGGGTGTAATAATGGATATGATGAGGACGGTTGCTTGTTGGTTAAATCCAGGGGCTACCTTGTAGTTGTGCCTTGGAGATGCATGTGAAACCCTAACCCTTGAGACTGAACCCATTTCCTGATTATGTAATCTGACCACGGTCTTAAATTCCCTGAACCACAAAGCCTTGCAATTTTTCCGCCGATTTCTCTCTTCAAGCTCCAACTTCTGAACAGGGTCGCATAACGTTGATTGTTCAACAACGCCGACAGGAGGACCGGTTTCATGAGTAAGTGATATTTTAATTTCTCAATCTGCACTTTTGGCTTATGATGAATGATTCTTCCATGAATTCTGCAATACTTAAGCGCCTCTCTCGGGGGGTTCACTGTGGACCAAAATCACATTCACTTTTTCCTGATGGTCGAAGTTTCCAGGCGCTGCTTTAATCACCTCATATTTGCGGGAGGAGATGGAAGACTAATAAGCAACTCACAGACGTATAATTCCCTGACCCCCTACTTTTTCCAAGGCAGCGGGTACGCGTACCTTTTCCCCCTTGCCGTGAGATATTATCGATCGCAGACATCGCACTGCCGGCGAGCTTAAGGTGGTCGGAGGGGCCTTTGTGTTGAAGCGCGGGAACCTCACACAGAGGACCACAGGCAGGCTCCCGTGAGTTTTAATTGTTGCGCAAGACCTCTAGAAGCGGGAGAGGGGAAAGGGCGAGTGAGTGAAGTGGAATTACCTAGGTGAGTGATGACGAGAGAGCGAGGGATGGAGAGTAACCTACGTACCCCGGCCATTGTTTTCTGTGCTCATAATTACACCGTTTCGGTTCAATGCTTTTGACCCCATGCGATACGTTGCTTTGATCCACCACGCGAGCACCAGTGACGAGAAGCTCCCTTTGGCGATTTGCTATTTCTCACGCAAACTGTAAATAGGCGATGGTACTTCATCGATTGTGATCTCGAGTCCTCTGTGCTACCGGCACACTGTTGGTGCCGTATCACTCTAGCGGCCAACAATGAAATGTCAACTGTATCTGATGACGGTTAGATGACAAGAATGGGGATATATTGTACTTATGCCAACGTTAACACGACTTCGCCAACTACGAGTACTGTTCATCATCACCTCAGCTGCCTTACTAGTAGCCTTTTGGGGATCTGGATGGGACATCAAGGTTGTTGCTGGCTTCGCTCATACTGTGTGTAAAGACAGTGTGTCTGATTTTATTGTACGGCCTAGACCTCAGGGACCCCTGAACGGCAGCTAGCCTGCCGGGGGACAGGGGTTTGAATGCCAAGCGCGTCGAGGGCGACTCAGGAACAAAACTTCCAGAAAAAAAGATTTGGCTACACATTGATGATTACTGTTCAGCCTCGCTGGTTGAAGATGGTCAACCACGGTCAAACCCCATAACCGTGCGCGGCCTATGTGGCCGACGACGTCCTAATAATCAGCGTTTTCATTGGTGACGGAGCTCATTATATCTGCTTAATTGTTTTGACGTTTTCTATTGTGGATTTGCTTGAGCGGCCGAAAACCTGGATTCTGCTTTCCCCCTTCTCACTTACCCCCCTTCTATTGCTGCACTTTCTATTGTTTCCTGATTCATCCCAACATGGCTCAGAACAGTAGGAGTGTTCATACCAGCGCCGTCGGTCCTGCACGGCCGGCGGCTGCGAAGTTCAAAAAGCAGGCGGTACTTTCCTCCTCATCTTTTCCTTCCCAATCTATCCTCGAATTGCGTCGACGGGCTTTTCGAACTTCAACTTCCTCAGAGAAAGATCAAAATCTTTACAATCTGAACAGATTCCCTAATAATTACTCACGATCACGATATTTCTTACATCGTCGCCACGACTCTCTCACATCCCTCTCCCTTTATCACCCAAGCAAACCACCAAGCTACGCCAAGGTCAAAAGGTTTCGCCAACTCCAGCAAGACCGACAGCGTGCCCTTGCCCTTTTTTACCTTCGGCGACTACTGTGGAGGTGGTCGCGGAAACCTACTTTCGACATGGAGTTCATCGCCCACCTGCGACGTTTGCAGGCCGAGGAGTCAGATTCCGATGAGGAATCTGGTAGGATTCTCACCTCCTCTACCTTCCCGTCCGTCCGCCGCCGGTGTCCGGCTTCCAAGCCGGCTCCTATTGCTACCGTCACCATCACCAGCGAGACATGTGGGACCAAGGCTCCCACGATTAAGCCTTCCTCCCCCACTGCCGACGACAAACCCACGCCAGTGACCAATGGCACCAATGGCCTTAAGAAGAGAGCCCGGGACGACGATCCTGATACCGGGAGCCCCGAACGGGCGGCCAAAAAAGTCAAATCCTCAGCCATCCCAGGGCCGATGAAAGGAGGCACCTCCGCATCATCGTCGGCCCCAGTCCTGTCCGCACCCATCAAACACAGCAAGCCCATCGAGCAGATGGAATACTTTGAGCGTCGAGTGCACGACATGTTGACCAACCCGCTCGACTTTGATGACTGTGTCTACGACAGCACCAAACCCCCGTCTCGCAACACGGTGCGGAGCTTTGCCCGTTACCGTCGGCTCCAGTCGAAGTCCCCGCTCCCGTTGGTCATGTCTGGCGCGCTGGGCCCGACCCCCTTGGCGAAGCCAGCCCCCGCCGCTCCCATTACTAAGTCGAAGGGGTCGCCTGGAAGCACATTGGCCAAGAAGGCGCAGAGGAAGGCGCACAATCAGAAGGTCCAGAAGAGGGTGGAGGATATTAGGGCAATGGAAAAGGTCAAGGCCAACGGCACTCCAAAAGCCTATACCAATGGCAATACTGACGGCAAACTCACCGATAATGCCGTTCAGGATAATGGGAATGGACTTGGCAGAAAGGCAAAGAGTTCGGGTCACTCGATGGCGCACAAAAAAGGGAAGATGGCAGACGTGGACGGGGCCCAGAGCAAGTCATCGGGCGTGAAAAAGCGCAAGGAGAAACGGTGGTTGACCAACTCCCGGGGAGCGGGTGGTTATGGTGGTAGCCGTCCGTCGAACAGCACGAAGAAAGTGAACAAGAGGGTTTGATCCCATCTCCTTTTATCCTCTCGCCTCCCACAGGAAACATTGTGCCGTGTGACAAGCTGAGGGGTTCCGGCTATGACGCTGTTGGGACGGTTTTAAAGGAGGCCACCAGGGACCTAGGAATCGGACACTACGGTGCCTCGATACCCCTATACTGTCTGTACCCCCGTGGTGGGATTCCCCTAAGGTTGTAAACAAGGAGGGTTAGGGTTGATAACCGTTCACGCCGTTGAGCCGTTTTGGCTGTGGAAAACCACAGGCGAAGAGCGGGGCCGAGACAAGGGGCATGCAGGGGAAACTGGGGTCGCTCCCCACTCTGTGGACCTCGGCATCGGGGTCGGATGCTCCCCAAAAGCGTCGAATTCCGGGGGTAGGAACAATGAGGCGAACTGTACAGGACATGTATATAACTAATCATGCCACGACCCGGAAAGAGTGACTTTCATTTTTTCTCTCTTGCCTAAGTGTTGGTCGCATCGTCGATTAAAGCAACTTTGTCTTCCCACCACCACACTAAACGTCCGTAAACTCGCATCAAAATGTCCGGTCCCGGTGTTGGTTTCCAGTATCCTCCGCAAGAGGTCAGCTGGACGAAACGCGATGCGCTGCTCTTTGCCAACTCAATTGGCGCGACCGCCGACGAGCTTCACTTTCTCTATGTATGTTTTCCGTCGTCTTACGCAAATACTTAGTGGAGCATGTTTGATCCCAGATTCTAACCGTATATTAGGAGCTTGCACCCAACTTTTCCGTCTTTCCCACCTACCCAATTATTCTCAGTAAGGAAACCCACACTTGCCACATGGAGCTCGCGTGATCATCAACAAACCTACCTATGCTAACACCTCTGATGATAGGCTTCAAGGGCACCAACCAGGAAGTAATCGACTTCTACGCAGCCCAAAAGGCGACTCCCATCCGCGGCGTGCCCGAGCTCGACCCCACCCGGGTCGTCGACGGCCAGCGACTGATCCAGTCCTTCAAGCCCCTCCCCACGTCCTCTGCCGGGCGCAAGTTCGAGGTGCGCAGCACGGTGCAAGGCGTGTACGACAAAGGCCGCCCGGGCACCGTGGTGGAGACCCAGACCGACCTGGTCGAGGTGTCCACGGGTGAGGTCTTCAGCCGGGTCAGCTCGTCGTCCTTCTTCGTTGGCCAGGGCAACTGGGGCGGTCCCAAAGGCCCCGCGACCGTGAGCTACCCGCCGCCGAAGGACCGGAAGCCCGACGCCGTGTTTGAGACGCAGACCAGCCGGGAGACGGCGCTGTTGTACCGGCTTAATGGAGACTATAACCCGCTGCATGCGGACCCGGTGCCGGGGCAGAAGATGGGGTTTGGCGGGGTGATTATTCATGGGCTGTACTCGTGGAACTGGGCGGCGCATGGGCTGTTGCAGCATTTGGGGGGCAGTGACCCGGCCAATATGCGCGAGTACCAGGCGCGGTTTGCGAGCCCGGTGCGGCCGGGGGATAAGCTGGTTGGGTCGGCGTGGCGGACGGGAGAGAAGCAGGGGGAGTGGGAAGAGGTGCGGTTTGAGGTTCGCGTGGAGGGCGGTAAGGTGTGCTTGAGCAATGGGCGCGCGCTGATCAAGTGCGTTGCACCGGCTAAGGGGAAGTTGTAAATTACGAAGAGCGGTTGTTCATGGGGTTGTACAGATTTTTGTTGAAATTTTGATGTATCTTTTCCCTTTAACGTTGAGGGGTGTTGTGTTGTTTGGTTGTAGGTATTGAGTTCCGCCCCGCCTGCTGCCGCAATTGGACTGCAGCGCTCTGAGTGGAATATCACTTAAGCAGTTCTGCTGCCTGAACTTCTCCCTCTTCAACCACACACTCAAAAAGCCCGATAAAAATGTTATTTTAACTCACCTTGCAACCCGATACCTGCCTCTCTATTTTAGGGTCTAAAAAAGAATGACCGCTCCCGCGCAGATAGGGGAGCGCCGCTCGTACGACGGCGCGCTCTGCACTGTGAGATACGTGGGCGAGGTCGCGGGCACAACGGGTTCATGGCTGGGCGTCGAATGGGATGACCCCTCGCGGGGTAAACATGGCGGCCAGCATAAGGGGGTTCGGTATTTTTCGTGTAGGTATTTTCACTAGTTTCTTCAACTTTATATTCGGGTCTCTTGAAAATTATGAAAAAAAAAGAGAAACAAGAGAGCAAATGAAGAAACGGCATAGATCATAAATCTGACCGACTGACTGACACCTTTCCAGGCATCTCCAAATCCCCCACAGCAGCATCTTTTGTCCGCCCCACCCGATCACCAGATGCCCCCCAGAGCTTCCTCTCGGCGCTAAACCTCAAGTATGCCGGTGATCCGGAGCATGATAAGAAGAATCCGCCCCGGCAGATCAAGTTCTCGGGGAAAATTGCTGAGGAGGTCGGGTTCGAGAAGATCCGCCTGCAGCAGGCTCGTTTGGATGAGCTGCAGTTTGTGATACTTGATGGCGCGCAGCTGGCTGTGGCGACGGACGGTTCTGGGGAAGAGGGAGAAGGTCTGTCGATTGGGAGGGTTTGTCCTAAGGTGTTGGAGTTGGACTTGAGTCGGAACTTGTTTGAGGGCTTTGGGCCTGTGGTGAGGATTTGCTCGGAGCTGAGGCTGCTGCGGAGTTTGAGGGTTAAGTGCGTTTTTTTCTTTCCTGAGCCTGGCTGAGATTCCCTTTTTTGATGTTTTGATATTCTCTAGGGAAAAGCGTGCTAATGTGAATGAATATAGTGGGAATCGATTCAAGAATGTGCTCAACGACGAGGTGCTGGCTTCAGCCGGCGATGCGTTTGCGGGTGTGAAGGAGCTTGCCCTCGAGGATACCCTCCTATCCTGGGAGGAGATATGTCACATCGCATCCAAGTTCCCGTCACTCACCACGCTCCATGCCGGGTCCAACCAACTGGAGACCCTGGTGCCAATACCAGCTGATGCTCCGTTTACTGCTACGCTCACATCTCTGCATCTCGAATTCAACGACTTCACTTCCCTCTCCGATCTCGCCCCGCTTGCCTCGATCTCGACCCTTCGCAACTTGCTCCTGAAGGGCAACCGTGTTGTTACGATCAATGCTGCACCGTCCACCGAGCCGCCAGTTTTTGGTGATAGCCTGCACTATGTCGATCTCTCTTACAACTCCATCGCCACTTGGCCCTTCGTCGATACCCTCCCAGCCACCTTCCCCGCGTTGACCTCTCTGCGCCTAACCCACAACCCGTTGTACGCCAACCCGGATCTCGACGAGTTCACCCCGGCCATTACCACAACCACAACCACGGAAGATACCAACGGAGCGCAAGACGGACAAGAACAAGACTCCTTCCCCCGAACCCAGCGCATCACATCCGCCAGCAACACCACCACGGCTAAAAAATCCGAAGAAGCCTACATGCTAACCCTCGCCCGTCTCCCATCCCTCCGCGTCCTCAACTTTAGCACCGTGACCGCCGCCGACCGCGCCGACGCCGAAATGTTCTACCTCTCGCGGATCGCTCGGCAGCTGGCTGCTGTTCCTGCCGACCCGGCCGCCGAGGCGGACGTGCTGCGCCAGCACCGGCGCTGGGGGGAATTGTGTGAGATTTATGGGGAGCCGGTGGTTGTGAGGAAGAGTGGGGAGGTGGATGCGGGGTTTTTGGAGGCGAGGTTGATTCGGGCGGAGTTTACTAGTTATGATTTGGATGATGGTTTGGGTGATGAGAGCGGGGATGGGGAAAGGGAGAAGAAAACGGTGGTGATTCAAGTACCAATGTCGTTTGATATCTATGCGGTCAAGGGGATTGTGGGGCGGGCATTTGGGCTGAAGCCGTTGGGGTTGAGGCTGGTGTGGGAGACGGGAGAGTGGGATCCTGTGGGTGGGTTTGATGAAGGGGATGGGGAAAGTGAGGAGGAGGAAGAGGAAGAGGAAGAGGAAGAGGAAGAGGAAGCACCGGTGGTAGGGTGGAAACAAGGAGAGGGGGGGGTCGAAGCGGCAAACGGGGGAGCAGGGAGCGCTGGGAGAAAAGCCGGGAGATGGGTCAAGCGTGAGGTTGAGTTGAGGGACGGGCCGCGGCAGTTTGGATATTGTGTTGATGGTTTGGAGGCGAAGATCAGGGTGGAGAGAAGGTAAGCTGCGAATGCACCAAGCCTACATAGTAATGTTCAGGGAGTTGTTATAGTGTTTGGCGTCGAGGTGCTTGTTCGGGTAGTCACCTCGATTGTCCCCGTTTGAGCTGAGCAAAGCTGTTTGTAGGTAGAAACCACAAACTCAGCAACAATGATTGTTGCTCTCGGCGACACACGGCCTACATCAACTCTGGACTTTTAAGCAGGATCCCACTCCGTACATGTTCTTTCTTTATCGTTGTTGTCGTCACAGAACATACACCTCAACGGACCTCAACGGACCTCAACGGACCTCAACGCTAAAACACACCCACCACCCACCATGGACCCCCAACCTTTCCACTTTGTCATCAGGCCAGACACAAAACGTACCGCCCCAGATGGCCGGGTTTACACCGGCCCCGGCCCCATTGTGCCCCTCATCGCCGTCGACGAGCTCCCGGAATGGCTCGATGTCGCCGGCCTCCCCCGGGAGCTCTCGGTCGAACAAACGCAGGGACTCTACAACCTAGGCGTCGTCAACCGAAGTAAGAGACCCTACGCCGTCAAGATCATCCACCATGCCACTCCAGTCGCGCGCCAGCAACTCGCTGCGTCGAGGAACGAGGGGTTGTACAGCAAAGGGGGGAATGCTGTTGTTGTTGGTTCCGACTTTCGCCAACCATCTCCTCGCATCGTGGAGTCTACAACCACAGCGGAGAGAGGGGCAACCGGCCTCGAAACGAGTGACCCAGACACAGGAGAGGGGCATTCTCAAACTTCTGTGACGGAATGTCGGGTGAGTCACCGTGTCGGATCGCCCCGTCACACAGCCGGGTCAGAAGGCATCACCAGATCCATCCACAAGCCCCAGCGAAACCAGCCCGCTTCCTCTCCCAACTCGACACCCAGCTCACCCAACGCCGTCCCTACCAACAACCTCCCTTCGCCTACCACATCCACCATAGCCACCACCGACACCACCAGCACAACCGCAACAGAATACTGTCGCCACTGGTGCCACCACGGCACCTGCAAATGGGGCGTCAACTGCCGCTACCTACACACCATGCCCAATACCACAGCCGCCTTAGCCCCCATCGGTCTCGCTGACCTGCCGGCCTGGTGGCTTGCTGCGTCGGGTACAGGGGCGAATATGGCTGCGGGCGGTTCTCAGTATGCGGGTGTTTGCTATGGGCAGAGTGCCGGTGCCGGTGGTGGTGTTGGTAGTCAGCTGCTTGAGCCGGGACAAGCGCAGGCGCCCAGTCACGCTTCGACTCCCATCCAGAGCCCGGGTCAGACCACGGGCATCCAGAACGGTGACAGCACGGTTATCACTCCTCGAGGAATAGAGCCGGTCACCATAAACACCACAAACACCAACACGAACCCCGAAACCAGTATCCCCAACAACCCTAACACCATTCACCCACCACCACCAACCTCTACTCACCTCAATACCCCCGTCATTTCCCAAACCCTCCTCGGCCAACAACAGCACACCCCTCCCCCTCCACCACCTACCCCCTCCCATGGTATCGCCAGCGGCGGCACGCCCACGGGACCACCCAGCCGCAGCAAGCGGGCTATGAAAGCCCAGCTGCGAGAGGCTGTGGGGTTGCTCCGGGAGTTGGGGCTCAATGTACATGTGTATGGGCACGGGCACGGGCATGGGCAGAACAGACACGGGAACGGAAATGGGAATGGTAATGGAAACGGGAACGGAAATGGGAATAAGAATGGGAATGGAGGTGGTCGGTCGTTGAAGAAGAGGGCAGTGAATCCGCTGGATAAGGGGCCTGGGGTGACGGCGACGAGGACGGTGGTGGGGGACGTTAGAGGTTCTGGTCCTGTTGATGGTATGGTTGCAGCTGCTGTTGCTCCACTCACTGGTACGGGTGGCCAGACCCAGGCTGGGGTTGTTGCGCAGCCTGAACTTAACCATGAGAAGAAGCCTGCGGAAGGTCATGAACCCCAGCGAGGGGTGGAAGCCGTCGTCCAGGTTGAGAAGCTGGTCGATGTTTAGTGGCTGGGCTTGTATTGTATTGGGGAGAGTAAACTGAGGTCAGAGGCACCGATGTACTTGGAAAATCAGAGTGTATTGTGAAATAAACAATGTTGTTGTTTTCATATCGCTCGTTGTGGTCTCAATCTGATGTCATATGCTCAGTTCTGAGCTAGGCGCTAAATCCATCGCTATATCCTTCAAAACAGACTCTCGAATAGCAACGACAAAGGAAACAAGAGAATGACAACCTACGATCCCTACCCTTCTCACCATATCGGATCCTTCTTTAACTTTCTAGAAGGCCGACAACCCAGCCCAGGACGTCCATGGATCATGACTGGAAACGCCCCCTGACCTTATCACACTCTTCCAAAAATCGATAAATGCCCTCGAGGCCTTCAAACTCCCCCGAACAATGCTCTCCCGAGCTACCGGTAATCGGCGGTGACATGCTCTCGTATCCCTCTTCGAGTCCCGACCCGGACGAGAGACGCCACGGGTTGTCAGCAAACTCGTCCATGATGAAAGCTTCCTCGATATCAGACGACGATCCGGAGCGACGCGACCGAAGCGACCCGCCGGGAGAAGTGAGAGTATCCTCGCCGTTCCCCGCATCAGGCGCAAAGGGGAAACGCAGCGCCACCTCGACAGCGGGGTTGGTATGGAACTCCGGGTCTTCCCCAATCACGCCGCGCTTGACCCCGACATCGTCACATAACCGCTCGACTGCCTCGGCGTCCATGCCAGGGAAGCGCACTCGCAGTATGTTGTTTTTCTCCAAAAATATCGGTAAGTCCCCTAACCCGGAGAGATTCTTCAAATCCGTCATGACCGCGGCCAAGTCCTTGAGCGCACGGGCAAAGTCAACAGAGAGCACGTCGAGGAACCCCTCGGTGTTGAGCGTCGCGCCGGCCGCGGCCTTCTCCTCGGTGCTCATGAACGGCACCAGCACGCCGAGCGGGCTGAGCGCGGTAACGGTGGGGCTGATCTTGAAGTCGACAAACGCACCGGGCACGGGGAGGCGTGCCATCATCGCGCTGGCCATGCGTAGGCGAGCGTCCTCCTGCTCGGCGCTCACGGCACGGTATCGCTTCTCGCCCTTGGGGCCCACGCCGTCAAAGTGGGCACGCTGGCCAGAGAGCCAGAACGCCCGCATCGCTTGGCTGACGTTTTGCACGACCTGAGCCGGCGCCACGGGGGTGTGGCTGAAGTGTCGAGCACCGCCGATGCGGCCAGCGCCGGGGATGCCGTAGCCGCCGGCTGTGCGGCCGAGGGTGCCGCCGGTGAGGTTCGGGCGGAGGGTCGAGGCGAACGGGGCCCGTCCGGTGAGCTGGTTGACGGCCCGCGAGATGGTGGAAGTTGGGAGCTTGGAGCGGTCGAAGCGGAAGCCCGGCTTGGCACCGCTCGCCGTGCTGAGGAAACGGCGGACGGTAGCGTTGACGTGCGAAGACGAGAACCACTTTGCTCCGCCGGCACGCTTCTGCTGGCGGAGCCAGGCGGCGGGGTGGACGGGTTGGCGAGCATTTCCGGTGCGGACGGCGACGGGTTGAAGTTCGGAGTTGAGAGGCCGCGTGGCGGCGGAGAGCTTGGACCGCAGCATCTTAGTCGCCATGCGGGCATGACTGACCAAGTGCGTGCGTAGCATGCGCAGGGTCATAGGGGCCCATATGCCCCCTGCGGGAGACATGGTGATGGTGTTGGACGATCCGTTCAAGTTCAGAGCCTTGTCGGCGCTGAATGCGTTGGATGTAAGAAGGAGGAGGGAGTGAAGCGGGAGTCGGAACTCGGGGTCTTATTGAGTGCGCGCGCTTATCGATAAGAAGCCGCGAGGCCACCAAGGGCCACCACCCGACATTCGCCGGTTTGAGGGCTGGAGGTCGCTTCGTATGGGTCTAATGCATAATGTGTTTACATGCATGGAATTGGTCTTATCGACGGTGCGCAATTGATGCAGCTAGCGCGTCTTTGAACTCCACTTATCTAATCGCGCCCACTCCACATTCTCGACCTTTTTATGCTCCAAATTTTCCAAAGCTTTCCCACAGCTCTCCCCATTCCCGAACCACCGCAAATCTTTGGTCAACAAGGTAAGCAAACACCACTTTTTCTTGTTCACTGCGCAGCTCCGATGATGATTTACCTATAACAATCCAACGCCGACATAATCCATGGGGACATTTATTCGTTCTGAGAGCATCCATTGGAGCGACTTATCTGGGCCTCATTCTTCCCGCGGAACTCTGCTAACAAGCCCGCGTTCTCAGTGTTGCCCCAATTTTCACCTCGCCCATTCCAATTCTCGTCGCCTGTATCTCTCGCGCGCAATTTAAAAAGGTTAGTCGCGCCAATTCTCCTCGTTTTTGCACCCTCCCCCCTCCAGTGATGATCAAAGTACAATAATAGGGAATTCCTCATGCCGAATACACTATGTGGAACCACTTGTTTCAGCCTTGTCTGATTTGGAACCTTAATACTTCTGGTTGTTTTGAGCTCTCTGTCTTGCTCCAGTTCGCTAACAGGCAACCATAGGTATGCTCGAACGCTTTTCGCTCCCTCTCCTGTGGTACTATGACGAAAGTTTGAACGAACGGGCGGACATAAACGAAGCCTCTCCGTCTCTCCTCGTCAAAAGCAGGGCTGTACACCTTGCGAGGAGGGCGCGGAGAGAAATTCTTGTTGAGAACTCGTCACCTGATTGTGCCTTCGTCCACCGCATTGGTGTACGCTTTTGACGGAGGAAACGTCTTGACTAACATTTCCGGTTGCTAGGTAATATGCTCTTGCTTCGACATGTTCACAATCCATTTCCATATGATGATCCGTTATTCACACTGTTTGATCCGCCCTCTGGGTGGAAATGAACATTTTACAAAATCTGATTTAATGAGGTTTGTCTCCCTTCCATACCCCTTGACACGACACCAACCGCTTGCTAACACGCTTTGCAGACTGAACATGATCTCAAAGCCAAATATCTGTACCGCCGTGTTCTCGGACCCATGCTGACCGTTGTGATCGGCAGGTAATAGTATTGATCGTAGTGTTGGCGATACTTCTTGGTCATGCAAGAGTGAGTTGTTCCCTTTCCGCGCTGTTACACACCTCCCTGATGATTTCCTTTCTACCTGTTTTAATTAGACTCTGAGTTCATCGTGACGAGACATTTTCACCTTGGAGAACTGATGAGGCCTTTGTACAATTAATTTTGCAAGTCGAGGATCTGAACACACCATGCTGACTTGCAACGCACCAGATTGACTTCCCGTGCCGTCGTTGGCAAAGCCCGGTTCTAGAATTAGTCTATTTCTATTCCTATGGATAGCAATGGAAAGCTCTTGTTCCACTGAATTAATTAATAACAATAATTCTACCACTCCTCTTCCAAGCACAAATTCTGGTGACACCCTGCGCAAGAACAACCAGGCTTCCTACTGCCGCAGCTGTAACCTAGCGTTCCATCCCACAATGCACCGAACAAGGTCCCAATCGCCATGATGTCCAACCCAATCCGTCACCACAATGCCGGTGGCCGCATCCCCTATAATATCCAACTCGCCAGCACCCTTCTTCGGCACTCCATGCCCCATACACAAATACTCAATCATCGACGGGTTGATCCTCACCGCAATCCGATCCGGCCAACAGCTCGCATTAAAAAAATTGCTCGCACTGAAGAAATTAATATAAAGCGGCAGCATCTTAGACGACGGCCCGCCGTCCGGCAAATTACCCTTTGCCACACGCACATGTACCCCCTGCGCGGCCCTCTCCAGTCCCTCCTGTGCGAACCGCACCTTGTTGGGTATCTCCCTCCCGCTGCGGACCCCGTAGTAATCCTGGATGCGGATCGTGCCGCTGCCACATGTGCCGTCGGCGACGTTGTCGGGCCAGACTGAGCCGTCGATGCCGCCTGAGGTTGAGGGTACCGTGGGTGCTAGCACGAATCGCCGGACGAGGACTATGCGGCCGCGGCATTGGGCGAGCGTGGGGATTTTGGGGGAAGTGTACCATTTGGTGGTGGTGCCAGTGCTGGTGTCGGTGTTGGCATCGTGGGTGGTGGTGGTGGTGTAGTGGGCGTGTAGGATACGTGAGAGGTCGGCGTCGGTGCCGCGGCCGGTGCCCTCGCGTTTGAGAGAGAGGAGGATGGTCTCGCTGGGGTTGGCGGCGAGGAAGTCGTGTACGGTGGCGAGGAGGGTGGAGAGGTATTTGGGGCCTGTGAGGGAGATTGGGAAGGCGGAGTGGACGAGGGAGAGTTCCGGCTTGGCTGGGGAGGAGGCGGTGGCTTTGGTCTCGTTGTCTGTGTGCTTTGTCGTGGGTGATGGGGGGTTGTAAGGCGGGCAGGACACCCGCACGTCGAGGAAGCGCACGCCGTTGTTGAGTTGGTCGAGTACTGACACCGCTTGGCAGCGGACTGATGGTAGGGCGACGTAGCAGGTTGGAGAGTTATGGGTGCCTGGGATAGACAGCGAGGATAGGGGAAGGGACGGGTCTAGGGTGGACATCCATGAGGAGAGGTTGGCCGAGCTCATTAAGGCAAGGTAGGCATGTTGAGGAAGGTAGACAGCGGTGAATTCCTTCGTTTCTCCCTCTTCGTTCTCTGGGTCGGGTTTGAGGACTATACTCCGTTTCGATAGTGCTGGGATTTCGGCATGGTACCGATGTCCTGTGCTGGTATCTTCAAAAGTGAGGCGGAGTTGCTCATGATGGGCTGGATCTGGCGTGTAGACTGGAGAGTGGCATTCGGAGAACGGCGCGATCGTCACTCCAGTGAGCTCATGCTTTGCCGGAACATGCTCGTTGTCGCTCGGTGCGGACGGTAATGGGGCTTCTGGCTCGTGGGACTGTTCTTGGCGGTCGTCCGGCTGAGACGAAACCTTGACAAGAGACCTTGTCCCGTGTGGGTGGTGATGCGCATGGGGTTCCAAGCGCTCAACCAATTTTAGTTCCAACGGCGTGATGGTGAGATTGCGGATGATGAGCGTCGGGAGCGCGATGGGCAATGCGGCAGCCGCTGCGGGGCGAGAAAATACAAAGCCCATGATGAGTATCCTAACGATCTGGTGTGTCGGGTGCTCCAAAGCCAAAATCCCGATGGACCCAGGGTTGCAACGCCGCTGTCCGTTGACTCCGTCCCGATCTTTCGGGTTTGCAACTGCTACTCGTTGGGTCAGAAGGGTAACATCCCAATTGAGGCCGTCGGCTCAGCCGGTTTTCCAATTGGTGGTCGGGGACGTCGTATTTCGAAACGTGTTGGCGTGGATGCAAATCGCGTGAAACAGTGGCTGAATTGGGAAGTTTGATGTGTTGATGAGCAACCTGCTTGGAGCTCCCGAGGTCTCACGCTTACGTAATTAATTGCACAACATCATCCCACAATGTGCAGATGCCTAGGAACCACGGATTGTTTCTTTTTACAATAATTCTCACGATTGAGATTTGGCTTGGTTAGCGGTCGCTGGAAAGCGGATGAAATTTGCAATTAAAGCTTCAAAGTGGAAGTTGTGAGTGAGTTCATCACTGAGCTGCAACCGTATAATTGATCCACTCCCAATTTTGTAGATGATGGTAAGAACGAAGAGAATACACCAACAAACCCGTAATTTGCGTAGTAAAGCATTCTCTTTACCGCCATCCCCCTTTATCTCTGTTGCTGATATTGGAAGCTGTGCAGCCAAAGGGTGATGAAATTGTGGGTGATTGCAAGCGCAGAGGTGATGCTGGGCTTTACTATGACTCGAGCTGGACATCTGCCAAGGAAGGGGAACCTCTCTGGACGGTATGGGTATAAGTTTTGGGCCACTTACATTTAACCACGCACAAGTCCCTTTTACCTATGCCGTGTAACGCGCGGAAGTGACGAACCGACACGAGAATTGGTCTGATTGGGGCTATGGAAATTGGGACGGGTTACTTGACGAAACCCCGCATGCGTTTCTCAAGTTCAAAAGTTGCAGCGATGACAGAAACAACATAAATACCCCACCAGTGAGAGTAACCATCTTCCTTAACTGAAGGGGGGGCTCGACACAAAGAGCTTTATCAGTTTAAGTTTATCGTCCTTGATGGCTCCAATCGTCAACGTTAGCCTCATCTTGGCTTTGATTCTATGGCTCTATGTCCCTATCATTCAAGCAACCAACCCTGGCCAATTGGGAATTATGGATTACCCTCAACTCACGCCCGAGGAGTTTGCCCAGAAGAAGTTCGATTTCATCGTTATTGGTGGCGGAACCGCCGGCCTGGCTGTCGCTGCCAGGTTATCTGAGCACCTGGACTTTACGATTGGCGTTCTCGAAGCTGGGTCGCCGGCGGTTGATGACGACGATGTAGACATTCCTGGACTTGTTGGCCGGGCGCTTGGCACGCCCTTGGACTGGGGATTCGAGACGGTGCCACAAAAGTCTCTGGACGGGAGAATATTGGAATGGAACCGAGGGAAGGTTCTTGGGGGTTCCAGTGCACTGAATTATATGACCTGGAACCGACCCGCGCGGCAGGACTACGATGATTGGCGGGACCTCGGCAACGCGGGTTGGGGATGGGACGACCTTCTGTGAGATATCTTGACCGTTTCCCTCATGACCGTGCATCCTCTTGTGAACAGCAATCCTTGCGTGGAACACAAGCTCATGCAAACACAGACCGTTCTTGAAGAAGAGCGAACGTTTCCACGAGCCAAGTGAAGCCACACAGAAAGAAACCCCCGTGTCGCTCCACAGGGGAGTACTTGGACGCAGCGGCCCAGTCCAGGTATCTTATCCCCTTGAATATACCGCATCTCACAAGCTCTGGCACCGTACCATGAACTCGATTGGCGTCGAGACCAACAACAACCACCTCGCCGGCAGCAATATTGGATGCTGGACGAGTGTTACTTCCGTCGATTTTCGGAACGATACAAGATCATATGCCGCAGCAGCGTATTACAGACCGGTTTCGTCCCGGCCAAATCTGTTCGTCTTGACAGCGGCTGAGGTCCACGAAATATTGTTGGTCAAGGGTGAACACCGCCCCCGCTCCTGGAAAGCCGAGGGCGTCCGGTTTTCCTACGGCGGAGCGGAATTCACTGCTTTTGCTCACAGGGAAGTCGTCTTGTCAGCCGGCGCGGTACAGTCACCTCAGATTCTAGAGCTATCGGGCATCGGTGGCAGTGCCGTCCTCTCCGCTGCTGGGGTCACCGTGAAGGTAGACAACCCAAATGTTGGCGAAAATCTCCAAGATCACTTGAGCAAGTACCCTGTTTTATACTATTGCTGTACTGCATTAGAATCTAGCTGACTGTAAAAACATAGCCACCACATCAGTCTTCGAAGTCGACCCGAACTTGCCTAACCCGGATGATCTGCAAATTGACTCGATTCTTGCCGCAGCTCGGGAGGAATATGAAAAGACAAGGACTGGCCTATTAACTATCCTTCCTGTCTCCCTTGCATACGTACCGGCTGCCCAGTTTATCCAACCGGACACCCTGAATGCGCTTCTTTCTTCGACTGCTGCGAGCACTTCCCAAAGCCCGACGAGTCAACGCGACCACTTTCGTCGTCGCCGTTTCGGGGACCGGGCTAATGAGTTGGGCCACGTCGAATTCATCTTTGACCTAGCCAACTGGGGGATTGATAAGCCGCCTATCACTTTAGGTGGGAAGAGATACGCGAGCTTGTTGCAAATTCTGCAGTACCCGTTCGCAATCGGAAGTGTTCACATTCAACCGCCGGCGGTAGAGAGCAACTCAACGCTGCCGCGTCTTACCATAGACCCGCAGTACTTCGGTGGAAGGGACGGTCACATAGACTTGGAAATCGCCCTCTCGGCTCATCGGTGGGCAGAAAAGTTCTCGTCGGCCCAACCGATGGCATCTATCATCCACAAGCAAGTGCACCCATCGTTGGATGAGGCAAAGACTGATGAGGGCCTACGCACATGGCTGAGAGACAACGCGGTAACGGATTGGCATCCTGTCGGGACGTGTGCAATGGGAGGGGATGCGGGAGCGGCTGGAGGTGTTGTTGATGAAAGGCTTCGTGTCTACGGGGTTAAGGGGTTGCGGGTTGTTGATGCTAGTGTGATGCCGCTACAAATCAGCGCACATCTGCAGGCGACGGTGTATGCCATTGCTGAAAAGGCAGCGGCGATGATTCTTGAGGACAATGATTACGAATGAGACTATAAGTTCTTAGAAAAAGGGGGTCTCTGTACGGCACTTGGGGGTCGGGCCGAGGGCTTGGAGAAGAAGCATTGTTAGCATCTCGGCATTGAGTCCGTGATGACACTTACACTTGGACTACTTAACGTTACACTACACTAGTACACTGCACTATAGTACACTCGACGTGAAAGAAAAGAAAGAAGTTTCGGAGTATATTCGACGCATCGCCTCTGGCACTGACAGGTCAAGGTTACATCCAGATGTCGCTTATAAACGTGGGGACAAAGATCTCCCACCTCGGCTCCCAATTAGGTATTCGGAACCCAACGCAAGAAAGGTTTGGGTTCTCGGCAGTTTTGCGATAGGAGCGCATCCATCATGTTTAAGGGGCGGACCCATTTTCCACGTATCAATGGTAACTTATATTTCTGACCCATGTCGCAGAATTCAACTTCCCTGCAATCAGATTTGAAGGCGAGTCCAAGGCGCCTTGAATCCTCATATCATTGCCATAGAAGGTCTCGTATGACAGTTGACAGCGATACATTCGGTCCGGAGAAAGATGCATTTCCCCGGGATCCCTGAAGGGTGAAGCGGAAGATTGAACGACAAAATTGGAATTATCATACTCGGGCTCCGAGGATGGCACGCTCATAATACGAAGCTATCAAGTATATCAACGGTGGTGTTTCCCCGTTCAGTTGTTACCCGCCACACCCGCTTCTCTCTCACCCTCGAAACTCACGACAAACCCAAGGCCGTCACCATGGGGTTTTCCTCTTCCTTTCCGCTTTGGCTTCTCGCCGCTTCGTCAGGTTTAGTCCACGCCTCACCGGCCATTACCCGGCCCGATTCCAACAACATCCTTGAGCGAGCTGTGGCCGCAACCTCCTCTCCAGGATGCGGCCAAACCCCCTTCGCCTCAGGCACGCAATCTGTGACCGTCAACGGCAAGGAACGCCAGTTCGTCGTGCGTGTCCCAGAGAACTACGACTCAAGCACCCCCTACAAGCTCATCTTCGCCTTCCACTGGGTCGGCGGCACTATGGAAGATGTCTCAAGTGGCGGCACCGACAAGGAATTGTGGGCATACTACGGCATGCAGCGGAGCGCCGATGAGACGGCCATCCTCGTGGCACCCCAGGGCCTCAACAACGGCTGGGCAAATTCCGGCGGCGAGGACATCGCTTTCGTTGACGCCATGGCTGAGTACATTGAGGGCGCGCTCTGCGTCGACCAGGAGCAGCGTTTCAGCATTGGTTTCTCGTACGGAGCGTCCATGACCTACGCCCTTGCCTGCGCGAGGGCTAGTGACTTCAAAGGTGTGGCGGTTATTGCTGGGGGCCAGTTGTCGGGGTGCGATGGGGGTAACGATCCCGTTGCGTACCTGGGAATTCACGGGATCAGTGACGGCACTCTCAACATTGCGGGCGGCCGTGAGCTCCGGGACCGGTTTGTGAAGAACAATGGATGTGCGGCGACTGACGCGCCGGAGCCGTCGCAGGGCAGTGGGACACACATTAAGACTGAGTACACTGGGTGCCAGGCGGGTTACCCTGTGACTTGGATTGCTCATGATGGTGGGCACTGGCCTGGTGCGGTGGACCATGGGCCGGAGAGTGGAGCGAACTCGTGGGTTCCGGGTGAGATTTGGTCGTTCTTTACGCAGGGTTAGGTTCGGCACAGGGATGGGGAGGTTACCTGGAGCAGTTGGGTATCTAAGAACAAGCCGTGTTGGCTAGGAATATATTGGTTGACATTGAAATTTGGAGTGTGACCCTAAAGGCGTGAGCAAAGTCTTGATACTATCCCACCGCTGCTTGACATGAGTTAATTCAACTCGCTACCCCAAGGTTCTGTTACAGCGGGAGCCTCCCATCTATCTCACCACCTAGATCACATATTAACGAGATTTGTGGGCAACGCGTTGGATTGATCTATCAGCGTGGGCTAGCAGGATAGCCAAACGACTAACAAGTCCTGCATGTTAGCCATTTTCCTACTCTAACCCACACGCTAGAAACCAACACAGTTTGAACGGGGTCGAACACAAAAGAGCGAACACCCCCTCAAACTAGGATCCCTGGGTACCGGTACCCAAGGTATGGTTCCCGCCACACCACTAGCATCCTTTATATCCCACTAACCCCGAGAATTCCAGACCCTCGTGTTCCCGAAATAATCATCACTTATTTCTGCTTCTTCATGACCTCGTCTTCAATCTGCTTAATGCGTTTCGTCTGGAGATACTTGGAAATCTCGTTCTTAATCTCCTGGGGCAAGGTCGTTCCGGCCGTTCTATAATGAGATCAGCATCAATATCCACTATTTCTCGCTTCGGCATGAACGAAAGCTTACCCATTAGCAACAGACGGCTGAGAAAGAAGCCAGCGCTTCAACTCGGTCTCGTAGGTCGAGGGCCATCCGGCAACTTCGCTTTCGAGTCTCTTGATCTTGCGCGCTATCGGGTCCCGGACAGTCGAAGAAGCATCTATGGTTGACGCGGTCAGCCCATCAAACTGGGTTTGCAACAATATGAACGCCTGACGTACTCTTCTTGTTCATGTCAGCAAGCTGCTTCTTTGCCGCTGCAAGGTTCTCATTTATCTTGTCCCTTCGCTAGACAATACTTTCCATGGCCCCAATCATGACGCTCGCCTTGGGGGGGTTGATCTGCTTGGAAGACATGTTGGCTTAGGTTGGTGTGTACGACTGTACGTTGAAGTGTTTGGTTGTGTGTGGTTTGTGTTGGTTTGTGTGTCTGTGTGTTGATTGTTGTGTGAATGTGTGTGTTGTTGAGATCAGAACGCAGAACATCTGCTGGGTTGAGGCATATTTATCTACAATTCTACAACCCGTGGTACTCTTCGCTCTTGGCCTACTCCAGGCTCTCGGCGTCTTTCATCTCAGCCTGAAACCACCGATCACCATCAATGCTAGTAGTAGGTAGTGTGTTCGGAGCCTTTCCGGCGTCATTCTTCAATTGGGCCGGACCCGGTAGGTCGTTACATAGGTCCGATCAATACCCGTTGTTTCATTTGCTACGCCGCGGGCCTTTTTCTATAGGACTCTTTTTCTCTATAGACGAAAAACTTCAGACGTCGGACCCGAGGACCTGTATCTGTCAGCTTTCAATGGCGTGAAATTGGTTGATTAGATCACGACAAAGTTTTTATTAATTAAATCGTCGATTTAATGCTAGACACATGCCAATGGGCATTTAATTTTGGCCATAATTAGTGAAATAACTTTACTCGGTAATTGAAGTTCCACGAAATTGTTTTTTTTTCGAATAACTTTACAGAGTAGGTAGGAACTAGGAAGCGGCGTGGCGCTGTGATGGTGGAGATAAAGGACCCACTGATAAATCCAACCTCGGGAACTACCGAGTGTGCGCTCAAGGCAGAGAGAGGCAAGGCAACCGCCACGCAGATGAAACAGCTCAACATGAGGCGGCGGGGCTCATCTCATCATGAAGACCGGTGGATTTCGGACTATTTGATACTTGGCCAAGCCAAATATCTCCACCTCCAAATCAGGCAATGTGTCGTGCCTACATGGAGGATGGAGATACTGGAGTCTTATGGAGACCAAATCGAGGAGATGGCCCAATGCACTTCGAACACGCCTAGGCTGCGACAAGACCTATGACGTTGAATGTGGCCTGCGGGAGTTGGAGGCGTTTTTTTTAGCCATCCCTCTTGTCCTGAGGACAAGGCCCGGTGTATTTTCCAAACTCTCCGTCGGCATCGGGGGGTTCGACTCTGAAGGTGGAACAACTTTTCTCGGCGGTTTGTTGATTGTTTTTAGAACAGCCACCGGCCCGGCGCCAGAAAACTGGTCGCAGCCCGAAAGCAAGATGGTCGCTTCGGCGAGATCATCCGGCATCGTCGTCACAAACCAGGGCCAAGACTATCTGACCCTGTGGTCTACACTTTGCCTCGCTTAACTAGTTCGTCTAAGAATAGGTAGCTGGGATGAGATGGAGCTGGCTCGAGAGGATTGCAGCCTTCACACCTGCAATCTGTGAAATGATTGATTATTCTTTTTCAATTAGAGGTAGCTGAGTGTCACCTGAACATTGCATACGATTGTGAAACCTCAACCATGTCGCGCCGGCCGATATACATTACCCCATAAAAGACATGACACTCAACTCAACTTCTCAAGGGTGTTTCCTTCAGTTTAGGCCCCATGCCGAGACAAGCCAAGCAACTCGTCGAGGTGGCCTTAGCCCAAAAACCGATTTCAATAAACACCAAATATAACCCCACAACGGCCCAAGTCAGAGAGATGGCGACCATCCCGGCGCCCAGCCGCACATTCGCAAGCTGAGCCTGCAAGAGGCCCGTCTGTATGGACCGCTCCAAAAGCGGCGTTGTTGTTGTTGGTGCTCCAAGGCCGTCCTCCTCCGCCTGGACCTGGGACTCGGAGGTCTGATTATTCTGCGACAACCTCATCTGGGCCTTCTCTTTCTGACTCTGGGCAATGGTATCCGCCATCCGCCAGGCAACTTTATTATTGATCCTCTCCCACGTCGCCTGCTCCGCATGCGCCCGCGCATTCTGACTAAACCGCTCTCGCAGCTCGGCGTCCTTGGAAAGCCCCATGACCCGATCCACAAAGGCCTCCAAGTCGGCCGGCGGCGTCAGGTAACCGGTCTCTCCGTCCCGAACAATGTCGCTGGGCCCGCCCTCGTCCCGCGCTACGACGGGCACCCCGCTCGCCATGGATTCCAGCACCACGAGACCGAACGTTTCCGAGGTGGAGCAGTGTAAGAAAATGTCGGCGGACGCGTAGGCCGCAGCCAGGGCCTCGCCTGTGCGGAACCCCGCAAAAGTGACCGTCCCCCGGCCGGTTAATACCGGTCCGAAGGACGCCTTGATCTCGGCCTCGACGGCCGCGTTGCGGTTGCCGCCGACAATGTACAGTTTGAATTTGAGACCGCGGTCGTCCAACGCTTTGGCGGCCTCGGCGAGAAAGGCGAACCCCTTTTCGGGGGCTAGGCGAGAAACGCAGATCAGGACGATTTCGCCGGCTGGGGCGATTTCTTTCCTTAGGTCGGCGCTGCGCCGGGCTGGGTGGAATAACTCTGTGTCCACCCCTCGTTGCAGAAGCTCCATCTTATCGTCTTGGACGTGTTGCTCCTCGAGGTATCGTCGCACGAAGCGGCTGGGGTAGAAAATGGTCCGCACGCTTTCGTGGTTGAAGAGGAAGCTTTGCACGGTGGCAAATGCCAGGACGGCCAAGGTGTTGAGCGGCCATGGGAAGAGGACGGCGCAGTAGCCTGCGAGGTCGGTTTGGAAGTTGCAGATGATGGGGATTTGTCTTTCTTTTGGTTGTTGTCTGAGTTGGAGCATGACCTGGAACCCCAACGACGCAGGCGAGGCCAGGTAGATCAGGTCTGGCGCGGAACCAAAGGACTTTCTATATAGGATTGAGAGGCGAGCTGGGTAGACGATGGCCAGCTCTGGGTTATACGGTAATGGGTAACCGTGGATCCGGATAACTTCGGGTCTCTGGGCTGAGCTTTGTGAGCCAGCGACAAGGTCTTTTGGCACGAATGTTGATTCGGCAGTGTGAGGAGCCACCACCACGACATTTGCACCGTTTGCCCGGAGGTGGCTGACGAGCATCATGGTGGTCCTGGAAACGCCGTTCACAGGACCGAATGATTCGGTGCATAGTAATATCCGTTTCCCTCGGAGTGCATCCGGAAATGTTGAAAATGGGGCAGCCTCCATGTTGGCAGTTGTCGTGGCTCGTGGGGGTTGTTTGTGTACCGTGCCGCAGCAAACCACCAACCAGTTGGTTGTTGACGATCTGACAGTCAAGAGAGTCAAGATGGAGATCAATGTACGGATATGTACGGGTCAACCGAGCTCTGTTGTGGCTTCCCGGGCCCGCCCCGCGGAAATGTACTGCTGAGCGGTATTAACGTTACTGAGAGTTACGGATACTTACCCAGGGAGTGATGCAAGGGACCAAAGGGGAAAGGTGACCAACTGCACATGCGCATTCTTTGAAGAATGCCATCCTTTCTGAGGGATTACCTAGGTGAGGCGGTGTCCAATGGAAAGTCATGTCGCATCCACATGGGTCCCAGAACCGGCCCCTCTCTCCAGGCAAAGGCTAATCGGGGAACGTGTGTCAACTGCTCGTCTGAGACGCACAGTTGGACCCTTGATCTGCGAGAAGTCAAGTCTCGAGGCAACCTAAAATAAAGTACGTACCGACAAACCCGCGATTTGACGCGCGAATAAGCGGGCGACTTTTTAGCAACGTGCACGGCCGCGACCACACAGTTGGACCTTCTTTTTTTTCGTCCACTGCACCTGCCACCAGTGGCCAGTTCGACTCGCCGCCTCGCGATAACACCTGATCTGCCCAACCCCGGAGAAACTTGTCGGGCACATTATCAAGCTCGCAGGCAAGGAGTTCATTCCTCACATGCTAGGTGCGGGGGTGGGGGGCACTGGGGGGGAGCTCCCATGACCGGCCCGGCGCCATACTCGCAACGTGATGGCGATGTGCGAGATCGGGCTAATGGCAGTGGGCGGAACGCTCCTCCTTCATTTTTTGAGGGGCGATGTGATTGTGTCGCAACTGACCAGGATAATCTTCTTATCGCTGGTGGGCTGGCGGCTCGGTGTATTAGTCCCCCGCATACCCCCTTCTGCAGACTGTTCTGCTAAGATCGCTTGGCCGCTCCCATATCACACCTGACACACCAGGTGTATTTCGCATTCATTTGTTCATCCTGAACTTTGGACGCGAAGGCGAGTCAGCAGTCATCATGGCAGCTTTGACTCCCGCGACGCCCGCGACACCTGCGACGCCGCTCCAGTTCTCGGGTCTTGACGCCGAGGACATCACGACTCTGGACGATTCTACCGCGCCCACCACACCAGACGGAAGCTCTTCGTTCAGCCCCAACCTCCGCCCCCAGGATGACGATGCTGGTTATCTCAACGTCAGTTCCCTTTCCGCCGCCCTCGCAGCTGCTGCGCCTGCCGTCCGCAATGTCTGTTTCATTGGGGCCGGCTTCGTCGGTACGTTTGTTTCTATCTGCTTTTTACTACCTAATAACTACTCCTAGCCCTCACGTTTTCAAACGAAACGGGGCACTGATGTTTTCTTCCAGGCGGGCCGACCGCGGCAGTGATCGCTCTGCACAACCCCCACATCCGCGTCACCGTCGTGGACAAGGACCACACCCGCATTCGAAGATGGAATTCGAAGCACCCCCCGATTTACGAACCCGGGTTGAATGACATCTTGCGCGTTGTGCGAGACGGTTCGACGGCGACTAAGGGGGATGCCGCCGCCAGACAGCCCAACTTGATTTTCACCACCGATGTGGCCACGTGTGTGCGAGAAGCCGATGTGGTTCTCATTGCGGTGAATACCCCAACCAAGGAACGCGGGAACGGCGCGGGGTCCGCTACCGACATGGCTGCGTTTGAGGCGGTCACGGCCATGGTTGCTAGGCACGCGAGTCCCGGCGCTATCATTGTTGAGAAGTCAACGGTCCCGTGCCGGACAGCGCAGCTCGTGCAGGACACCGTAAGGGCTCTCTTTTTTCTCTCCTCTTTCTCCCTTGATCCCTGGTGGTAACTGTGGTTACCTAATTGCCAGAGGGATGATGGCAACGAACTTGAATGAGTTTTCCTTTTTCAAACCCCCTAGCTAACTCCCGAGCCAGCTTGCGTTACACCGACCGGGCGTCGAATTCCAAGTTCTCAGCAACCCCGAGTTTCTCGCCGCAGGGACTGCCATCAAAGACCTGCAGCATGCCGACCGCATCCTAATCGGATCCAGCAACACCGCCGCGGGGCACAAAGCCGCCACAGCCCTGGCATCCGTCTACGCCAGTTGGATTCCCACAGAGCGCATCATCACCACCAACGTCTTCAGCTCCGAACTAGCCAAACTAGTCGCCAACTCCATGCTCGCCCAGCGCATCAGCAGCATCAACTCCATCGCGGCCGTGTGCGACGCTACGGGAGCAGACATCGACGAAGTAGCTCGCGCAGTAGGAGCAGACCCCCGCATCGGCAGCAAATTCCTCAAAGCCGGCATCGGCTTCGGCGGGAGCTGCTTCAAGAAGGACATCTTGAGCCTGGTCTACCTGGCCGAGACCCTAGTTCTCCCCGAGGTAGCCCAATACTGGCGGGCCGTGGTTGAAATGAACGAGTTCGCTCGGAACCGTCTCGTGACAAGGGTGCTTCGGTGTCTGAACAACACGTTGACGGGCAAGAAGGTGACGGTGCTTGGGTTTGCGTTTAAGAAAGACACAAACGATACGCGCGAATCGCCCGCGCTGGATATCATCCATGCGCTGGCGAAGGAAAACCCCAGGGAGATTGCCGTGTACGACCCGCTTTGTACGGCTCCGCAGATGGCCGAACAGATTGGGCGCTACGCCGGGACGGATGTGCTGAAGAGCAATGGCGGTCCCGTGGTTGTTTACACGGATGTTTATGGGGCGTGCCATGGGTCTGATGCTGTGCTCATCACGACTGAGTTTGACGAGTTCAAGAATGGGCCCGCGGAGGTGGAGGCGCAACTGGAAGTGAGCAGCGGAGCTGCTGGCAAACTCGAGGGGACGCCTGATAATCAAGTCGTCTCGGCCGACGATTCTGCTGCTGCTGTTGACGGCCAACTGGCCGCCAGCCTTAACCCAGTGCCGCCTTGCGAGGAAGACTGCCCCGAATGCCAAGCAGAGGAAGACTCTGCTGCCGACAAAAAGAATGACGAGCCTCAGTCCCATCGCAAGGCCCGGCTGGACTGGACAAAGGTTTATTACGACATGAATTCACCGCACTGGGTTCTGGACGGGAGGGGAGTTTTGGATATTTCAGTGATGGAGAAACTTGGGTTCCGTGTTGAGAGTATTGGTCGGCAGAGTGGATTGGCAAGGAAGTCCTTCCCTCCCAAGAACTACAGGTGATCGAACGACAGATGATCAGGAGTGCAATTTTTGTGTCCATTTTTATACATCCATCTCACGTAGGCGGTGTTTAGACTTTGAGAGAGATAATAAGGCTTTTGTGTGTTTTTTCTTTTTTTACCTATCCCCAGGGGCGATAATCCACACTTTTCAACCATCGAGTGATTAATCAACTTTGGCTATGTTTGAGTGATCATCAATCAATTTTTGGCTATGTAAGGTACCCTTGCTTTCCATGCCTGACTGAATCTGTTGTGCAACCAACCCCTGAAACTCCATCATTTTTTGAAAAGTACCACCCCAGGACCGTAGTTGGGCAGCAGACTGGCGGAAGATTTCTCGTTCAACGAAAGAACAGAGAAACAGCGTTCTAGGTTTATTATTGTTAGCTTATCCGCATGTTGATCGGATTCGGGCTAGGGCCTCAGACTTACTACTTGGTCTGCACATAAATGTCAGAAGAGCCACTGCTCTGGTACCCCTCAGTAGCAACAATCTGGTAGTCGTGCGAACCCAGACGCAGACCCGCCGAAGCCCAGGCGTTGAAGTGGTTCTGCATGGTGACGGCGCCACCGACGCGCTTGGAGGTGCGGATGGACCAGTACTGGTTGAAGGTCGAGGTGCCCTCGATGGACGGCTGGTTGTACCGGGTGGTGAGGTAGATGTTGTAGGTGCCGCCGTCGCTTTGGAACGAGCCCTTGTACTGCGCGTTGCTGCCCGGGTTGTACGTGCCGTACGACTCGATCACGTAGTACTCCACCAGCGGGTTGTGGGTCCAGCCGTAGACGGCTAGGTACCCGTTGCCGCTGGGGTTGAAAGCGCCGCCGTAGTTGATGGTCCTGAAGGGAAGAGTTAGTTGAATCAGTCCGGAGGCGAGTCGAACGTTGCGAGAAGGAGTAAAAGGAAAGCAAGCATGTTCTTACCGGCCAGTGCCCGGGTTCCAGCCCTTGCCACCGACAAAGTTGCCAGTGTTTCTCCAGCTGACCGAGTACCGGCTGCCTTCACCCATGGTGTAGGTAGCATCGCCGCCACCATCGGTCCACCAGGAGTAGAAGTAGCCGTTGTGGTAACCGGTGGAGCTGGGAGTCGAGCGCGTCTCCAGGGCCGCAGTCGAGTTTCCGTTGTCACGCTCGAGGAAGTCGAAGGGGGCGGCGAGGACCGAAGTCACCGTGGCCGCGGCCGCAAGGAGAGCCTTGAAAGACACCATGGTGGAAGAGAGCAGTGTATGCTTGATGAGAGCAGCAGTAGACTGGGATCGGTGAGGCCGAGGCTGGAGTGGTGATGAGGGAGGTGAGAGAGGATGTATTCGAGAAACTATCGTGGTTTATATATCCAACAACATTCGATGTCTCACCATTCTCACCATGGCGTTTTCCGACGTCTTGGCTAGTGGATGTTTTCCGCGCCTATGAGAACGAACGTAAATTCTGGCTAAATCAAAAAATGGCGTTATGTACTTGGCGTGTGTCTTTGCGTGACGGACGCGCGCTCGTTGACGTTGGATTGCGGTGCGCACATGATACCCTGCTGTCCGAGACTGCCCAAGCATGAAGGGTCCCCGCCCGGTTTACTCCCTTTTTGGTGATATTTATAACCACCGGCTTTCTTGGCAGGCGACAAAGCGCCTAGAAAGGGGAAAGCGAGTCGAATTAGTGCGCTTGTGGCCGGCATCCCCGCGTGCGTTGAAAGGTGAGCTGGATCATGAGAGCAGGGGTTGTCAGGTTGGGGAAAAGGGGACAAGTCCCGAGACTAGCCAGGTACAGACACATGTGTTCTCCCTTGGCAGTACGTGGAGTTCAAAGTTGCAGAATTATCTAACCAACATTTACAATTCTACATTAGAAACGGTCGAAATATGATATCTTTGATAATGGTACCTTCCCACATGTTGCGATATTGAAGCACACCAAACCTCGAATGTCGTTGGGTTGTCGATCGGGAGGATGCAGAGCTTGAAGATCGGGACAGGTCAAACCAGGTTATCGGCACTCTAAAGGGCGGCTCTGGCCTTTCGAGGACCCACCATGGAACCTCATTCCCCGGGTTTCCTTAAAATGGCGGAGATTCACTCCCCGGATCTCGGGACCAGCCATTTAGCCTAAGGGAGTTGTGGAGGGGAATGCGTCCGCATCACGCCTTAGCGTGCTTGGCATATGCTTGGTCCGAGACATGAAAAAGTTCTCGACGACATGGAAAAGCTCGGCTTTCAAAAGAAGGTTTTGTTGCGAGACATGAGGAACTTAGGAAGTGTGCCTGACGTGCGAGATAAACACGGCCGTCGGCTGATACTCCCGTCGGGGTCGAGGCCAACGTACCTATGTTCTAGGCCATTTCCCCGGCTCCCGGCTAAGTTGTTGAACTTCAAGTCTCGGGCTCTCGAGGGCTTATCGTGTCGTGCTCGGCTTCCTACGGGAAAAAGGGGCCGACGGAACTTGCTGAGGTCGTATCGATGCTAGGATCTGTCATAGTCGTGATGATTCAGGAGGGAGGCATACCAGGCCATGAGCACATTCTCAAGTTTCAACCATTACCTATCTTCGGTCTTTGAACGTCGTCCGTTCTTCCTTGACCCCGAGAGTCGTAGATCCTTGACCCCGAAAGTCGCAATTATCCAGGACCCTGGATTGGTCGTGTAGATCACCGTTTGGCGAGATCTATAAAAAGATCTAGAGAAGCTCGAGGTGGGTAGCTCATTCGCTCACGGTCAGGGGGTCGAGCCCGAACGTGATTGAAGGTGTGGCCGAGGCGTGGAAGGATTGTGAGGTGAGAACTCGCGGTCTGGTTTCTTCCTGAAGCTAACAGACTGTGGGTGGACCGAGTATTAGGTATTACATTGCCGATCATTTTCTCTATTGCGGGTTGAATTTGAGGTGCGAGCTTTGTTGCGGCCTTCATTGCAGGGAAACATAGGTACCTTAGGTGACTACCCAGGTACCTAATGGAGCTCTGGTCAAAGTGGCAGAGGTGAGCTCAGTTGCTCTGCCGCCACATCACTGTCGTCAAAACCGAGTGCAGGTTTTCAGACAGCCGAGACAAGAGAGGCCACATATAGGTTGGGAATGATACCCATGCTCACGATATGGCGTCAGCCTCGGCACAAGACTGGTAGGAATGAGTGCTTCTTGATACCGGATTCATTTGCCGTCCACGTTCTCATCAAATCTTGAGTTGGCGTATTTAGAAGCTTCCTAGTCAAACTGAGGAAGATGTCCTCATGTTAATATGTTAATGGTAGGAGATGAAGGAAAATAGAGGGAACACTTCAAACCTATATCAAGCGATTCATCTTGACACCTTAGTCTCGCGATAGCGGTCAATCCACACCATCCAATACAGAGGGCTAGAGTTGATCAGCGTACCGTTACATGACAGCTCCCTCAAATATGACCCTGAGCCTAGCCAGAAGCAGCACGTAGGAACCGGCGTTTTGAGTATAGGTGCGAGGAACTGGCCCTATGGCAGAATGCGGATAGGCGTTATATTGAGTTGTTGAGAAAGTCCAAGCGGGATATGCTCAAGGCAACTATACTAGCGGCCCTCCCGAATATCCTACTCCTTGGCGCACACATTCGGGGTGCGAACAGGGTATGCTCCACACCCGGCCCGGCCGACCGGCGCCCGGACCGGAACTGGGGCGGAGCCGTCCTGCCCCACTTGGTCGGACGGCGATCACCTCGGCAGGCCCCGTCCAGTAAGGGGGCAAGGGGGCCATTCTTAGAGGTGCTCCCACAAGGCCACCAGTCCTGGTCCATTTACCAACGCTCATTACCAGGGCCTTGACGCAAGCTTGGCCCTTAGGAGCTCAAGGATTCCGCAGAGATATAATCACCTAAGTAGCGCAGGATGAGACGTCCACAATCGAGTTTAAGCTAGACAAGTATGTGTCGTCGCAATTACTAGGACGAGTAGGTGGGAAAATGTAGGTTGAAAAGGGAATTTCAAATTGGACAACTGGTCATTCCGAAGAGCTCTGATCCGAGGGACGCAAGCTCGGACAGGCAGCCGAGCCAGGAACGGACTTGTGCTAGACGGGAGTATAGACAGTCCATCTCGTCACACAACGCTGTAGTCCCGTCGATGGGTATTAGAAGTACATCATTGTGATGTGGTTAGAAGGGATTACCACTGTAAGGCGGAATTTAGACCCTACAAAAGCCGTAGCTCTTCTTTTAGGTTCATGTTTATACTTGGCTAGGCCGGCACAAATCTTAGAAGCAGGGTGAGGGCAGAACTTTCAAGAAGCTCTTGGCTTTCTATTTACCGCCCCAGACACACGATAAGTCTGGAGTGATTTGGCTGGATATTATGAGGGAATTCGACAAAGTGCTGCTTGCCCTTGACCAAGGCCAACAGTTGCACAGCGGCAGAGTTGATGAACAACAAGAGTCCATCGGGACGTTCAAACTAACGAGCGCTGACGAGGCTAGCTCAATACAAGGGTTTCGAGAGCCCGCTTGATGATATAATTCTTCATCGGCTTGGACGTCGTTCCGCTACGAATCACGACTCTAACTTGATAATTTCATGTAGCGGTATATATGAAGTGATATCTCTCTGCGTCTCTCAAGATGGCCAGAACCATGACCCTAATCGCCTTGCTAGAGCCGTTTAACCTGGTCCTTAAAGTGGTCTACAATGGTCTCTGCCTGCGTGTCATTAAATCGGGGCGGGGAACTCTCCGTGTGCGCTGGCCCGCTTCTTCTTCTGTTTCTACCTTTGCTCAGTTGATGGAACATGTGGTTCTTTGCTTGTTTTAATTATATTTTTAAGCCAAGTAGCAGTACATCATTGTAGTGTCTGAGTCTCAGTTGTATTAGATAAAGACCTGAGGGGAGTACTCTTGGGCCCGAAACCTCTAGCAATCAACCACATTCTTTTTCACCGGTCCAAAGCCAGAGTGCTCTGGACTTGCTGCCGAGAGGGGCGTTGCTGTGACTCTGACCGAAGGGTCTTTCGGTGGTTGTTTGTGAGGTTGTAGATGTTTCTATCAAGAGCCGGCTTTTCCTCCAATTTCTAGGAGTCTTACATGAGGCGTGTCATCACTACAAAGCCATGTGCGTGTTGTCCCGATCCCCATTTTCTGTGTAACCCAGTTCTCTAGTAAGTAGGTAATATAGCCTATTTACCACTATGAACATTGAGACTAGATCATTTATCTTATTGTAAACCTTTTAGCTTTACCGGATTATACCCCTTACGATATACCTTCAGTGAACCTTTTAGAGTGTGGTTGAGAGACGATCCGTTACATTGGCCCCCACTGGTTCCTGGCTAGTATTATATTATCCCGCTGGTGCCTGTCGAATGGCGAGGGAGCCATCCCCTTGGGTTCCGTCACTGCCGAACAGGGCTCAAATATATGACCCATCTACCAATGGTTACCTATGTAGCGTAGTATTCGGCGTTCGGTTTAACGGACTTAGCGAGACTGTTTATCACCACACCGCGGAAAACGCCATTGGAGTTATGACCGCACACTCAACATCATTAGGCAATGTAGGTAACTTGTGATATTATAATATGGCAGCACAGGTTGCGCTCTCATCTGTCTAACTGGGGCATCACCACATCCTCCATTACGACGCCATTGCTCATACCCACCACTTAGTTTCCTCCAATGACATCCTTCAGAGCACCCAGAAGCGCCCCGGGCATGCTGAGGAAGCCGCAGTGACCGGCATCAATGCTGGCCTCGAGCGGGTTGGGCGCGGCCTGGATCTGCTGGGCCATGGACTGCTGAAGGTTGAGCGGGAGGGCGTTGTCGATGGTCTGGAAAATGTAGGAGCACGGGATCCCGTTGTTCCAGGGAGCGAACTGGGACGGGGAAGCGAACAGGGCCGCCGAGGTCCAGGTCACTTGCGTGGCCCAGTACGCCTTCTCGTCGGCCGGTAGGTCGTTGAAGCCGATCTCGGGCATCTGCGCGGGGTCGCCAGTGACGCGGTCGTTCTGCTTCTTTGTTAATAACAAGAGGAACTTGTAATATTTGATGCCTGCCCTGGTTTGCAGTAGACAGTGGACGGACTCACGTCAACAATCATCCACGGCAGAGGTTGGCCGCCCAACATGTCCATCAAGCTCTTGCCGACCGGGAGCATAAAGGCAGACAGGTAAACGACGCGGACGACGCCACCGACCTTGCCGGCAGCCTGGCGCGTCGCACGGTCGTAGCCCTGGACGGCGTTGCTGCCGACGACACCACCGGACGAGTGGCAGAGCAGGATGATCTCGTCGCCATGGTCGGCCAGCCCGCCAACGACGTGCTGGACGGCGGCAACGTCCTCGGCAAGGCCGGTTAGGGGGAGCTCGGTGCCGCCCACGCTGGGCAGGGCAACATGGTACGACTGGTGGTTGGCGCGGGCGAGTACGGCCCGGAACTCGTCCCAGGCGTTCGGGAGCTGCCAGGCGCCGGGGACGATGACGATCGTGGGCTTGGTGGCGGCGGCCATGGCTGATGTGGCGACCAAGACAGCCAAGACGAGGAGATGGAAGAGAGGGGCGAGTATTCCTCGGCTGGGTTGCTGCATGTCGGGCTTTTTTTCAGCCAACGACTTCAACCCCCTATTATACGATTCAGGCACTTGGGACCCACTGCTGCGCTCCCCGCTACACTGCAGATAACTAACAAAAGATTTGGAAAGGATGTGAAAGCTCCAAGACACGTCGCAACACGGGAATGAGATGAGCGAGCTGTTCCTGCAGCGTGTTTCACGACCTTTAACTATCGGCGACAAGCACCCCCTTCGAGCGGGACTCTCCTCACGAACTCCTCCTGCCAAGGGCCCCTCGAGTGGGCACTATGGCTTATCGCCATCTCGTCGTCGACGAGGATACACTACACGACTATTGAAATCGGTGGAGTTGGTGCTATTTTAGCTTCATGCAAAGCTCCTTTTCCTGGGTCCGCGGTAATTTGTTGAATGGGGCAAACTGGATCCGAGCTGGGTGCGAGCATGGGCGAGACAGGTCAAAGCTAATCTACATAGGTCAAGCTCGATGCTAGCTTCGGTTGTGCCCTGGTAGCTCCTGCGCGGCCGTGTGCAATTGGTGGTTGAAGTAACATGGTGGGAAAGGTGTGGAGTTGACCGTTCATGTCCTATGTGGGAAAGCCCGGATGACATACCCCAGAACGGTAATTCTGCTTGCGCGGGGAAGAGCCGGGAGGGATCGGCAGTGCAGGAATCCAAAACCCTTCGCGCCAAAGCCAACGTGGTGCTAGGGGGACACGAGGAGAAAATTCTCCGAGTAATCGAGAGCCCGCAAGAGCTCGCAAAAAGCAATGCTGGTGGTGCACGACATGTTGCGAACTCGTTGCCTATCTGGAGACCTGGCCAAGGGGCTAAGATCCCCAAGACAAAAGCATATCGCGCCCCCTTAAACAACGATCGATCTGAGCCCCTGGGTTCCAGTCTGCCGGGTTGCTGCAAGAGTCCAGACTTAATAACGGCAGATGTCGCCCTGGTAAGCATGGGTAGGGAATCCCGCAGTCTTGCTTTGATATTTGCTTTGATATTGTTTAGCCACTTCGGAGTGACCTAGAAGCTGAAGGACACAAGCCGGACGCACTCACAAACCCAAGGGAAGCCTCAACAAGACCTCCCGCCATGGGCTTGCCGCCAAAACCGATACCGGTGGTGTATCCGGTCAACGACACCTCCCGGTCCGAAGCCGAGCGTCAGTATCTGCAGAAATTGACAGAGTTTGCCGCCAAACAGGACTTGACAGAGGACTCGAGGGCCTACGTTCGAAATGTCACGATAGCCTTCACCGTCTTTGCGGGCATCTTCGTGGGGTTACGTTTCCTCGCCCGCTATCGACAGTCTGCTCGCATCCTGATTGACGACTGGATGATGGTGGCTGCCTTCGTGGTGCTGATCGGGAACATGATCATGAACTTGGAGCTCATTCGGATGGGGTTGGGACTGCATTCAGGGGTCTTGACCCTTCCAGAGTTGCAGAAGTTGAACGAGGTATGCATGCACACGCAGTAGTACAGTACCGCCCCTTACTGACTGTCGACTAACTAACCGTTTCGTAGACCCTCGTCGGCGCCGAGATCATCTATGTCACGGGAGTCAACCTGTACAAGATCTCGCTGCTTTTCTTCTACTTTCGCATCTTCCCCATCCGTTCCGTGCGGCTCGGCGGTTACATCTGCGGCGGGGTCACGACCGCTTGGAACATTGCCTGCATCCTGGCGGCCACCTGGCAATGCACGCCTCGCCAGAGGCTGTGGGAGCCATGGCTCGAGGGGACATGCATCGACCTGTTCCTCACGCAACTCTGCATCTCAGTCCCGAGCATCCTCTGTGACATCGCCATCCTCTGCCTCCCTCTCCCCCACGTCCTGCGGCTCAAGACCAATCTCTTCCAACGGGCCCTGCTTGTGTTTGTCTTCTCCCTCGGAAGTTATGTTGTCTTCACGAGCATCTACCGCTTCCGCGTGTACTTGACCTACACGACTGACGACGTGCCATGGTCGCTGGCCGACCCCTGCGCCTGGAATATCATCGAGATCAGCAGTGGCATCGTGTCAGCATGTCTGCCCACTCTGGTAAGCATTTCCTCTCATTTCCTCCCGCCCTTCAACCACCCCTTTCCACACACCAAACACAAACCGTCTCTAACCCCCCCTTTTTTGCAACAGGGTCCCCTCGTCCGCGACCTCTGGAAATCCGCCTGGCCCTCCAGCACCGGCGGCTCCAAGAGCGGCGGCGGCCCCTCGTACGGCAAGGGCTCCTCCGCCATCGTGACCATCGGTGGGACGGGCGGGCGCAAGAACAAGAACAGCGGCCCGCACAGCGGCCTGGGCTCGCACTGGGACCGCATCGGCGAGAGCGGGCCCGACAGCGAGCCGGCTCATTCTCGTGACGATTTGGAGTTGGTGCCCAAGGCGGCGGCGGGGCGAGTCAAGGTCACGGTGCATGCTAGTCCGGTGCCTACTGCGGCGGCGATGCCGGGGTCGGGGCCGGGGAGGAGGAGGGGGAGTGATGAGGAGGATTTGGAAAGGAATGCTGGTGGTGCAGGTGGGGGCGACAGAATGCCGACGCCGCCTAGTGATGATGATGATACTGATCGGTTTCCGAAGAGTGGGATACGGCAGCGGACGGATGTCGAGTGGAGGGTGGAGCGGAGGAGTTTATCGGCGCGATGAGATGATACTAGGTTAAGGGCGTGCGGCAGCAGGTCAGTTTCCCGAGCTGGGCGCCGACACAGATGAATGCCCGAGGTGGGCACTAAGCATGGCAACGGGCCGAGCTTGTTTTTCTTGGTCCAAACACTCGTTTGATCATCGACGTCAGGCTTTCGAGTTGGCAGGAGAAGGTTGGGGGCGGTTCTTTGACAAAATGTACAACAACTCTTGGATTATTGGAGAGCATGATTACGGCCTTTAGCGTTTTAACATAGATAGGTGCCTATTTAATTTCTTCTCACACAACGGCCTTTTAAGGCAGTAACAAACTGGTTGAACGTAGCACAGAATAACCTACCACCGGAAGATCCGTTCAGGGTGAAGTACCTAATGACACCGTTACTTTCAGGGGCCACCTTCACCCTCAGGAAGCGGAGGACAACCTTCATGTTTGCTAGACCGGAATACCCTTGGCGCTGAGAGCCGTGGCTGCTGTTACTGTCAATGAGATTTTCGTCGAGAGCATCGCCCGGACTGTGCCTCAGGCTGGAGCTGACCTACAAAAATCAAGTTCTAGGGGAAATATCAAACGTGATGGTCCGTGAAGTTAACCGGTTTCGTGGGGCAAGCAGCCTTAAATATTGTCATGAGCCAAACTAGGTACTTACCTACGTTAAGGGGTAGGGGTAAATATTGCCGGAGCGCCACTCGGGTCCGAACCGCCCACATTATTTCTAAATTTCTAGCCCAAACTTAGAATATAGAAAAGTTCGAGAAAGACGAACCGACATTCGCTTTGGAGTGCGCGGCATCCGGCAACGCCAGCCCTCTTTAGAGCCTGTAGGCCGGACCTCCGGTTAGTCCTGTATTAACCATCGCCGGACACGGCTGGGTAAATTCGGGTTGAAATTAAAAACCCTCGGAGAACAGCAGTTCGAGGCCAAACGCCAAACCGTTCGGTCGTAAGAACCGACACGACGGGGCGAAAGTCCGGAGGACGTCGAGTATAAAGATGAATGGCTGTGTTGATCGAAGGGATGGAGGACATCATGGGAACAAAACAACAAACCTCATCATTGGCACTATCACTACTCGCTCTCACGACTTCAGAATGCGTTTTTCCGCTTTCACCACTATCGTTTTCGCCAGCTCGGCGTTCGCCTTTCCCTCGTTTGGGTCCCTTTTCTCGCGCCAGGAGGAGGAATGCCTAACCAGGGAGGAGGCCAAGGAGATCGTGGATGTTTACCAGCGCCTCATCGCCAATTATCAGCCTGAGGACGGCGAGAAGTACTGCGCCTCGGACTTCGTCGACCGGTCTGACAGCATCAACACCTTTATCTTCCAACCGCTGGGTGAGCCCACGTTTGCCACCAAGGAAATCTTCATGGAAGCGGTAAGTCAGACGAGGCGTGGTGCGGTGTGGCTGAGTTATCCTCGCACTCTTGACCGGCACAGTTAATGAATGTCATCGGATAGCAACTGTCGAACCCTCCTTTCCCGGTTGTGGTAGACAGCATCGATGCCATCGACTGCGAGGCCATCGGCCTGCGGTGGCACGCGACGTTTGGCGCGGCTAACCAGCCTAGCCGGGGTATCACCATCATCGGCACGACCAAGCGCGAGGGTTGGTGGCAGATCAAGAGCCTGGATGTGGAGTTCAACAGTCTGATATGGCTTCTTAACATGGGCGGTAACTATACGTGGGAGGGCTGAACGATGCCGGAAAGGTAATGGTGAGAACTCGCTCGCGGTTGAGGGCCTGATCGGCTGGGTTGGGTGAGAGTGAGGCTATGGTTGGAAAATGGTAAAGTGGACTTTGTTGGTTGACTAGGGAGACCTAGGTGGAAGATAGAATTAGCCATGAAGAACTAAACTTAGTTTCTGTGGATCAGCGTTTCGCGATGCCAAGCGCGTCACGAACGTGCTGGTGGAAAATTCCCAGTCTCACACTTGCGATGCGAATTTGTCTGTGACACACGACGCCATGGATATCAACAAACTCTGTACGGATAGCTCGCAAGATATGGAGGTTTCATCGACAAATGCCCTCGCAGTCCCGATCGCCGGCACCTTCTGCTCGATCCTCTAGCCTAAAACCGCCTAATACTGGCAATCGTGTTCGAAAGACAACATCCTCACGGGAGCCGCCTCCTCCGCCTCCGCCATTTACCCCCGAGATGAGAGACCGGATGATGGAGTTGCTTGCGGAGGAAACGGCCGCCGGGAATTTGAGTTCTACGAAGGCGATGCAGCGCCGCCCGGCCTTCAAGCGGGTAGCGTTGGCGATGGCAGAGTCGTTCCCTGCGTTCGGATGGAGTGCCTTGAAGGTTCAAAGCAAGATGCGGGACGAAGAAAAGCGGTACATTCAGCTCCTCGGGGTTACCAGGACGCCTGGTAATGGCTATGATGAGATTAGTGGGCTACCGGTGGCGTCGGACGCGTTCTGGGAGGGCTTGCTTTTCGAGGCACCGGAGGAGTGGCTCAGAGTAGAGCCACTCGGGGACGTCGATCATTATGATGAAGTGTTCCCCGATTTGCGCGACTATGGCTAGGGTATTATGAGTGCTCAGGCTATCGTTGATATGTATGATGGGGTTCCGCGGCGAGGGCGTACCAAGAACAATGTCAAGGCACAGGGGCGGAGCAGGAACAACACCAGCGTGGAGGGGAGGAACATTAACAACACCAACGCGTAGTTGGTTGACGATGCAATGTTGGCTTTAGCACGGAGCATCGAGAAGCTTGCGGAGCGGAATACAGCCCCGGGGGACAGTTTGGAGGTGCAAAAAGCCACCAAGAACTTCTGCGATTCATACCAGGACAAGATGGATCTTGATGATCTGACTCGGGTGATTGAACATCTGGTGATGCCTATGAACGCGCTTGTTTGGAACACTGTGACGAGCGAGGGAATCCGTGCACGATATATCGCGAAATGGTTAAATAAATAAGCGGTGGTTGGTACTGCAGTGGAAAAAAACGTGGCAGTTGTTCAAGTTGAAAATACATGCATGTACGTATGTATGTACATAGTAACTTTCTGGCAATGACCTACCCCGCAGGTGCTCTGAAAGATCGCGATATGACCAGCGCTTCTTTGGCAGCACCAAAAATAACCCCACCACCACCGCCAACTAAGCCCAGGGTCGAAATATTACATAACTCAGTCCGAGCTGCAATGAACTTTGTTTGGCGATTCCGCCGCGAATGGGCCGTTTGCACTTGGTCGAATCACTGTTGTGGCTCTGCAGAGAACTTGTGTGTGGGCACTACACAGTTTAAGCGGCCTTCGCGTAGGAAATTGGGTCAATTAATTGAGGGAGATGGGTTGTTGGTGGCGACAGCAGCAACCCAAATGGCGAGAAAATGTTTGCTTTCGTGCTCACCGTCAGTTTCTCGACTTACCGACACCCGTCGCTGGTTGTTTTTCATTTCTCCTCGGCACGCTGGTACATCCTTATAATACATCCACTAGTAAGAGAGAGCGAGAGAGCACTGTGGCGCGTTTTGCGGCCGAGACGTGGAGTCCGAGTGTCTTTTTTTAACATCCACTGGTTGTCCTCCCACACTCCACACACAGTACGGAGACATAGTAACTCCCACGGAGTAGTGTAACGTTAAAGGTCGAGCCGCAACTGTCGACTCGAACGCGGCATTGCTGACATTTCAATTTTTGAGTTTGGGCGAATCAGGAGTTGCGTTTGTTGACGCCCGCTCCATCAGCCCGCGCGGCTGAGGGGTCCCAAAACGGGAGTCGGCCAAGTTTCCCCGAAAACTTGCGCGATGAGGACAGGGTGCGCCTTGGAAAATTGATTTGATTTCGGCCCAATTGTCAGGCACAAGAGAAGTCCTCGAAGGTTTTCTCCACGGGCAGTTCAAGGTTTGTTTGTTTGCTGTTTGGCAGAGGACAAGGCACGATGGACGTCACCGAGAGGGTTTTTGCACAACAGACCCTGATTGGCTATTACCCCTGATCTGAGCGAGGGGATATTCAATGGTGCGTGCCTTATGGACCCACAGAGACCCACCCTTACCGGCCAAGCCGTTGCATGGAAGAGACTCAGAAATGAAGAGAGGGAGTCTTCAGGGGTAAGGGGGTTTTCGGCTGAAGAATTGGCCAATGGGCTGGGCAGGTTGGTTCGCGAAGCCATCCAGAATCGTCAAAGCCCGACAAAGCCTGGAGGAGGAACGGAGAGGGATCCAAGCCCCAGTGGTCATTTCGCCCCGAAGGCGCAGCATGCCCTCCAAGGACGAGTCAGTGTCGGCACAGTGAAAACTACTCTACCCTCCCAGTTCCGTCCTCCCATCTTTCTTTTCACAAGAACTTGTGTCTGCTTCTCATCAGCCAGTGTGGTGTTCCGCCGCAAGCCATTCATTCATTCTTTTCTGGATTCAGTCGCTCTTTTTTAAGCCACACGTCGCTCACTTAAACCTACCGGTTCCTCGTCATTCATTCTTTCTTTTTTGCGGATCACCGTTGTGTAACCAATTTCAAGTTCGGCAAGATGCGTTTCTCTCTCGCTACCCTTTTCGCTTTTGCGAGCGCCGTCATGGCCCAGACTCCCGGCTTCAACCCGATCACCAAGCCTACCGAGGGCGAGAAGGTTCCCGCTGGATCCACGTACAAAATTGTCTGGGAGCCCAGCGCCGCCAACCCCGGAGCGATCACAATCGGCCTTCTCGGTGGAGCCACTCCCAGCTCCCTGAATGTCATCGACACCATCGCTGGTAAGACATCCATCATCCACACTTGGTGGGTCCGATCTGAGAAGAACGTCGCTGACCACTTTGACGTCAATAGCTGCTGTTGATTCTGCGGCCGGCTCGTTCGCCTGGAACGTCCCCGCCACTCTTGGTGACCTGGCCACATATGGCATCAAGATTAGCTTGGACTCCGACCCCGAAAACGTCTTCCAGTACGGCTTCCCTTTCAAGATTGTTGGCCATGCTGGGAGCAGCACCTCCGCTTCGGCTTCCGGGGGCCCCTCGCACACAGCCACGGGCTCGGCGTCAGGCTCCGCTTCTTCGGTCTCGCACTCGGCGACTGGTTCCGCCTCGGATGAGCCCACCACCACCAAGACTTCGACCTCGACCGTGACCTCGACCTCGACCAAGACTTCGACCAAGAAGCACACCAAGACCGTCACTCCCACGACCGTGACCAGCACTTCGGCCTCGTCTACTTCGGTCTCCACTGTCCGCAGCAGCTCGTCGCACACCACCTCCCACGTGCACTCGACGATCACTAGCAGCGTCACCTCTCAGCGCCCTACTTCGACCACATCGTCTACTAGCAGTGTTGCTACCAACGGTGTCGCTTCGTTCGCACCTGGCTCTATTGCCATGCTCGGTGGTGTTGCCATGGCCGTTCTTGCTCTTTGAGCGTGGTCTGATGGGCACTGGTTTTTTTGTGTTGTGTAATTTCTTCTGTGGGGTGATTTTGGGTTCTACTCCCTGGCGATGAGGAATCTTTTCCCTTCTTGTTTGTGTGGTTCGAGAAAATAGGGATGAAATTTGTCAAGTCAATAATGGGCCATGACGGAGGGGTTTTGCAGCATCTGAAAGACGAGAGGTTAGGCTGATGAGGTAATCTTGGTGTAGCCGTGGTGTCGGTGAATGAGATACCCCTGTTAATGTCTGACACGCCCTGCATGCGGCGGGCTCGATCCCGCGTTGTGTCTAACAGCCACTGGTTATATCTGTGTGACGGACTGTTCCCGCCCTGCAACTAGCTGCAACCCGGAGCTGCATTCGGGGCGCGGGCTCCCAGCCTCCATTTCTCTCGTGCAGACAGCGCATCTGGTGGTTCAGTGGTTGGAACCACAAGCTCGAACGCCAGCTGGCCTTGCAGCATGGCGAGATGTCGTTGATCGGCAAAGGCCCAGAAAAGTGAACCTCCACGAGAAAGCTGGGGCCGAAAACTAGCAAGGCAGTAAAACACCTTGAGGAGGTGGCTGGTGGCTTTGCTGGTTGGATATGTTCTCTTGATTCAATCTGCGATTCTGGTGCTGGGTGTTGATAGCGGGGAGGAGCTAGGGGACGAACTTGAGACGACGTTCAGGACAAGACTTCTCGCCATCCGAACACCCTGGTTTCCCCACTAACGTTATTTCGTGTCTCAACGTAGTCAAAGTCTAATCGACTTGCAAGATGTGGCGTTTTCTCACAGTATTTGGTCCTGATGGTTCAGAACACCGGCGCTCTGCTTTGATGTCGCCTAGTCATTATCACGGCAGGCCCGATCGTCATACTATAGTGTAGAGCATGCTGGATTGTGGAGCGGCGGCTTTCGTTGCTTGAGCTCTTTCCGATCGGGACGGGTGGTGCCTTGCATTTTGGATCTCTCTGCGCTGGGTGGGATCCATCGGAGCTCGAGTGTTGCTTGGGACGGAGTGCCGAGGAGGTCGGTCCTGGTGCGTTCATTGGATGAACGTGGCAGGGATGGCCCAAGCGGTGAGAAAGTTGAACCCCACGAAAACTGCCCCTCACAAGGGGATCAAGGACCCACAAGAAACTCATGCCAGAACAAGTCGACCTCTCCGCAATTTCACAACCGGCGCCAACCCTTCCTTTTCTGTTTGCACTTCTCTCCTCCGCGCTGTGCGCTTGCGACTCCGCTCCAGTTCCGATTCCCACCGACACCACCCTTTTTTTCGATACACAGAGAGACCTTCAAGATGAGAGGCGAGGTAAGAGCACACATTGTTGCCGCATTGGTGTTATCATCTCGATGGAGCCGATCAGGACTTCAAGGGGCGCGCTGAGTTACTCCAGGAAGTGCGGAGACTGGGCAATGCGATACCATCGCCATCCCGTGATCCGAATTTCGGGGTTGGTGGGTTGGAACCATCCGCCGTTCTGCTTCGGCATCGCTGGTTCACGCCCGACGTGGTCGCGATGGGCTTCCTAGGCCCATTGGCGACCCCCCACAACTCCCACAACTCTGCCGCACCACTCGACATTGGATTGGGGGCCATATGAAGTTGCTAAGCCGCCCGGCACAACACGGCTTTGTTCCTCATGACGGTAGTCAGAGCTCCCCGCTGACACGGTTATGCAACCTAGGTTCTTCACGTCCACCTAGGCCAGGCTGGTGCCCAACTGGGTAACAGTGCTTGGGAGTTGTACGTCTTCACCGCCTTTGCTATGTGGAAGCACCAGCTTGGCTAACTGGTGTCTTCAGGTATCTCCTCGAGCACGGGCTCGGAGCGGATGGTCGCCCGGATCCTAACGCTAAGGACATCGCCGAAGGCGGTTCTTTCGAGACTTTCTTCACGGAGACTAGCAATGGCAAATACGTTCCGCGGTCCATCTTTGTCGACCTGGACCCTTCCCCAATTGACGAAATCCGCACCGGTTCCTACCGCCAGTTGTTCCATCCCGAGCTTCTGATCAACGGGAAGGAGGATGCCGCCAACAACTACGCCCGTGGGCACTACACCATTGGCAAGGAGATGATTGACAATGTCATTGATCGGATCCGCCGTGTTGCCGGTATGCTCTCTGCCGACGAGACTGACCATTGGGAAGGCGCATGGAACTAACGCAGCGATGTAGACAACTGCCAGTCGCTTCAGGGTTTCCTGGTCTTCCACTCCTTTGGTGGTGGTACGGGGTCCGGTTTTGGTGCTCTCCTTCTTGAGCGTCTCTCGACCGACTATGGCAAGAAGTGCAAGCTCGAATTCACCGTTTACCCAGCGCCACGCCTCTCGTCAGCTGTTGTCGAGCCGTACAATGCCGTCCTCTCTACTCACAGCACCATCGAGAACTCTGACTGCACCTTCCTCGTTGACAACGAGGCCGTGTACGATATCTGCCGCCGGAATCTGGACATTCCCCGCCCGAGCTACGAGCACTTGAACCGCTTGATTGCCCAAGTTGTCTCCTCGATTACCTCTTCGCTGCGGTTCGATGGCGCCTTGAACGTCGACTTGAACGAGTTCCAGACCAACCTGGTCCCGTACCCCCGTATCCACTACCCGTTGATCAGCTACGCCCCCGTTATCTCCGCTGCCAAGAGCGCTCACGAGAGCTTCAAGGTCTCCGATCTGACCTTCCAGTGTAAGTGAAAACAATGTTTATGGAAACCCCAGTATCCTTGTGTGTCGCTTAACTAACGTTTTCCCTCAGGCTTTGAGCCCAACAACCAGATGGTTGTGTGCGACCCCCGCAAGGGCAAGTACATGGCCGTCGCTCTCTTGTACCGTGGCGATGTTGTCCACCGCGACTGTAGCGCGGCCGTGGCTCAGCTCAAGGCCAAGGCCTCGTTTAACCTGGTCGAGTGGTGCCCTACCGGTTTCAAGATCGGTATCAACTACCAAAAGCCCGTCGCCGTGCCTGCGGCCGCCGAGGATGGTGGTCTCGCCGGCGTCGATCGCTCCGTGTCCATGCTGTCCAACACTACCGCAATCGCTGAGGCATGGTCGCGCCTCGACTACAAGTTCGACCTCATGTACAGCAAGCGTGCCTTCGTTCACTGGTATGTTGGTGAAGGTATGGAGGAGGGTGAGTTCAGCGAGGCCCGCGAAGACCTGGCAGCCCTCGAGAAGGACTACGAGGAGGTGGCCGCCGATTCCACGTACGAGCAGGAGGAGGGCGAGGTTGATTACTAGAGCGGGGTGTTAGGAACTGCGAGTTTGGTGGTGTAAATCTGCCCTATGGCTGGCTCCGACTCGAGCCAGCTTTGGTATGAGGAATGATGATAGGATCCTTTTTTTGCCTTTTCGTTTGTCTTATGAAGATAATATCCCCGGCCGATGGCGTGCTCTTTCTACTTGTCGCACTATCCATCTTCTTTTCATGAGAGATCGTACAAAGAGCGTGGATAGGCGTATTGGTGGTTGGGTTACTCTGGGTGGTTTGATGATTGTATGGTTGTGGACGCTATTTTATGATGGTTTCTGTTGTTTCCGTTGGTACATACCCGCTGAGACTAAAAAGGAGCTTTCTGACATTTTTTCTTTTATTCCTTGTCGGCGTGTGGTTCATGATGTCAAGATCAGACCAAAAAGCCCGTAGGGAGTGGACCAATGGTTATTCAGCTAATTGGTCGAACCTCACCCACTTGCCATAATTAGAGAAGAGCCCATTGTATGTACCTTGTTCCTCTTGATCCGCGGGGGGTGGGGAGGGGTAAATTTGAGGCACGGAGGGAGGGTTAGACTCACTGTACGCACCGTTTTCTAATTTCAATAACATTATTATGCGGCGACCTGACCGCGAGAGCTGGTCGCGAGAAACGTCGACTGAAGCTAACTAGGACACCATTTGTACATACGGCTAAATTCAGGGAGACATACAGCCCTACAGCACCAGACCGGACCACCACTTCAGTGGCTCACCTTCCCACTCTTCCCCTTCTTATTGGGTGCCCTCGGCTTCGGCTTCGGCTTCCCCTTTTTGAACTTCAAATCCTTTGGCTTACCATCTCTGGCGCTAGCTCGGCGGCCCTCAAAGACGAACTGCTCAGGCCCCTTGATACCAGAGTCGTTCTTGTCCCCCCCAGCGGCGTCATTGCGGTTTAGGAACCTGTCGCGCCGATCTCGCCTCTTCTTGTTCCCACCAACGGGTTTACCTGTAAGGTGTGCCGCACCAAAGCGGCCAAGCAGTTTGCTCGCGCGGCCCGCCAGTGTCTGCGATTCGGCGGTAGGCTTGGGCACGTATTTCCCCTTGCTAGCGTCCCCTTTGGCGCCGGACTTGCGGTCAGATCCCGCGGCGCGTTGGGTGCGGGCTTCCATTGCCCGGGCCGTTTTGTGTGGCGCCTTGCACCGGCTGACGCGCAGCTCGCGGGGGAGCATGGGTGGGAACTTCTTGCCGTTGAGTAGGATCGCGGCTTCAACGGAGTTGGCGTCCTACAGGGAAGGTTAGTCACAGGTAGTAATGGACGATGGAGAAGAGAGCGGGACTGACATAGAACTGGACGTAGGCGAAACCCTTCCCAACCCGGGTCGCTGCGTCTCTCACGACACGCACGCTTTCCACCTTCCCAGCTTCTTTGTTGAAAGCGCGCCAGAGACCTTCGTCGATGTCCATGGGCGTCTTGGTGCGCTTACGCTTCTCCGTCACTTCTTTGCCGTTCTCGTCCAGTTTGGTATTGTACACGGACTCATCACCGACGAATCCTAAGTTGCCGACAAAAACGCAGCGGCGGTGATCAACCGGCGAAGGATGAGCGACGCTATCGACGCGAAGATGTCGGTCGAGCACCGTAGTGCCATTGAGTTGTGCAACTGCTAGCCGCGCCGCTGCTGTAGTGCTGTACACCGCATAGGCATTGGTGGACTTGGTAGTGGCCTCCAGCACCTGCTTCTTGATGTATGCAGCACGTTTAGGGATGCCTGCGGTTTCGAAGGCGGTTGAGCGAAATCGTATCGATTCCACTTTCTGGGGCGGGTCGGCCTTCTTGTCCAGTACGGAAGAGAGATGATTGAGAAGCGTCTTTTTCGCACTGCGTGATGTGATAGCTTCTGCCGAGACGTTGCTAAGGAAAACCGTACGGTTCGCCTTTTCAAGCTCCGACACGGCCGGCCCCGCAGCTACCGATTCGTGGACGGGGATATCGCCTTCTGAATCGGAATCGTCCATCTCTTTGTCCTTGGGGGGTTGCTGAGTTGATGTGTTACCTACACCATCCCCTTTCCGTCGTTTCCCTGAGGGTTCTTCCTCATTGACTAAGCGTTCGAGATAATTTGCCTCAAGATTCTCGTCATCATCGCGGTGTCGCCGTTTCCGTTTTTTCCCGTCCTCTCTTGATGCCTCTAATACGGCGGGCTGGGTTGCCGTGGCCGAATCATCGTCGAGGTCTGAAACGTTGTCCATTTCCACGTCACTCAGGATCTCATCGTCTCCCGACGACATTTCCTCGTCGTCCCCCAGGCCCTCGGCCGCAAAATCGGCGTTAGGATCGGCCTCTGAGCTCTCGGATTGATCGTCTTCGTCTTCATCGTTCTCGTTATCCTCACCCTGAGCAGCCGTTCGAGGACGTTGGGGTAGGAGATCGGGATAACGTGACTTCGGAGGAGTCTTCACTGATCCCGCCTAGGAGATTATCAGTATGGTGCTTGGATGTCAAGTTTATAATCAAGTGACGAACACTCTGGGAGAACAACGCGTCCAACGTAGGATCGATTGCCTTCGATGGGGCAGATAAGCCCGATTTACTGCCAAAATTTACGGTTAACGAGCCACTCTAGCATGGAATATAATCAAGGCTCACGGCGTACCTTTTTTCCATCTTGTTTTTGCAAGCGCCCGGACGCACGACTCGACAAAGCTTCAAGAGAATTGGGGTTGGGAGGATGGTGGGGTTTGAGAGGAAGATTGAAGTGTTTGTCGAGGACTCCTTGAAGTCTAGCGAGCCACGTATGACAAGACAGCGATTCCACTGCGCGGTTTTCAAACAGTCCGAATTTCTGCCCAGCTGTCTCTCTCCAACCAATTCCTCTCTTTTCTCGAGCCCGGAATCAAAAAAGCAGCCGCAGGTTCCTCCAGTAGACGAACGGATCACAGTCCTGTGGTAGAAACGGCGTCAGTGGGGACGGTCCACCGAAAATTCGCTTATCGCTTCTTATCGGAAACTGCCGAGATTCACCGCTCTGGGCGGCGGCAGGAAATCGGGCAAGCGGGCAGGCAATGGCCCCAGTCCCAAGCAGCTCGGCCGGTTCGATTCCGCCCATTTGTGTCTCTCTCCTGCAGTCTCCCAGCGGCGCTGCCGGCTTCCTGTCAACACCACCCGAGCTCGCCGACCTCCCACCCACCACACATTTGGCGCACACTTTTGAACGAACTCAACGGTGAAAGCGCGCCTTACTCCATTTGTTAAACTTACCTCAATTTATATTTTGCTAAAAAATTCGTCGCACTTTCGCCTGGGCACAACTCTGCCCTTGACCTCGTCAAAGCGACTGCGCGACCCTGACGCAGACTATTCTCGCGCGATCTAGCCTCCCCGACCGACGGTTTCTAGCAGAAAATTTGGAACTAGACTTAGCATCTTGTTCCCGATTCATACATATGGTTTACGATGGCCACCGGCGACACCGTGCCGCCCATGGCACTTTCCAGCCCGGCCCCGCCTGTCCTGGACAACAGCCCCAGTAACCTCTCAAGCCCGCTCAGCGACCCTGAGGACCGGGACGGATACGGCGACGAGGCGGATCTCGACATGCGCGACGGCCACAACACGCCCACCCGTAATGGAGTCAAGACCGCTATCGATTCCGACGCCGCGTCCGAGTCAGACGACGAAAGCAAGCTATCCGAAGTGGACGTCAATGATTCGGAAGCCGAAACAGAACGTCTTTATGATACCCCACCAAAGAACGGCGCGACACGCGACATAATAAACACGGCTGGCGAAGGAAATCGGCGATTCACTGACCGCCGAGATCGACTGTTCGAGCGCAGCCCGAGCAAGCTCCACCAACAACTTCGAGCCGACCTAGACACAAGGGAAGATTCCAGCCGCCACAATTCTGGTTCCGACGGCGAAGATGATGACGAAAGGGATGCTTCATTACCCCCCAGCGACCCCGAGCCCGAGCCGATTAAAGAAACTCGACTCCGAGGGGCCTTGCTAGCGAGGAAAAGCCAAGTTGTTGCCCCCAACGATGGACCAACTTCACACCCCAGGAGGAGCTCCGGCGATTCGCGAAAAAGGAAGCGGCCTTCTATGGTTGAGCACTCAGAACTAGAACAGCCGCTTAAGAAGCGGTCTGGGTCGGTCACTGCCGCCGACCGTGGCAATACCGAGGACGTCGCAATGGTTGATGATGACGGGGTGTCGACAAACCCGCAAAGCGGTAATCATACCGCCGAAGAAGACAATGAGGAGCTTGCGACGGCAGCGGAAGCCAAAGAGGAGCCCGCCGACACGGTTGAAGAAGACGTGGCGATTGCGACCAGGACTCGAAAAGGGAGGCGCAGTCCTACAAAAAAGCAGAAGAGTAAAAGCCCCGAGGAAGCTAAAGAGGACGCACCAGATGAGCCTCCAGAGGACGGCGACGTCCAAAGTGTGGAAATACCCACACCCCAAGCCGAGGACGACCACGCGGACGAGGCCGATGAAGAGGCGGAGGCTGCCCACCGTAATGAGGAAGAATGTATGTGTTCAGAAGATTGCCCTTATGAGCGAAGACTAATTGGGTGGCAGTGGAACGAAAGAAAGCAGCCTGGGAAGAACTAATAGCGATTGAGAAGCAATTTACTAGCTTCCGTGAGCGGTACGTTCGCGACCAAGCCCGGGTTACCTTGAGAAGCTAAATGCTAATTTTGCGTATAGCCTTTATCAGGAACGTCTTGAACAACTCAACCAGGAAGAAGCGATGCTCACGAGCGATAACCCGACCCACCCCGAGTATCTCGCCATGCTACAGTGCTTAGAAGAACGGCGATCTGAGAAGGTTCGGCGAAGCGAACTCGAACTACAATTCAAAATGTCGGTGCTTCGACGTCGAGCAGTGGCGGAACGCTCTCAGATTATGTCACAGTTTTTTCAAGCTGTCCGTGAACTGCGGGACGAAACAATGGCAGAACTAGGCCAAGAGTGGTACCAGATCCAACAAGAACGGCGACGGGCTGCCAACACGATACCGGATTATGGGATCCGGTTTCCTGTAGCGAGGGGCGATGCAGTCCGAAACGCGGTTTCGTACAACAAGGAAGTCTCGGTGCTCTCTGGCTTTGCGAAACATGTTGGGTTTCCAGCAGCGCCGGCTATTCATGGCGCCTCTGAGGATCAACTGGAGGCTGATCTAGAAGCTATTCAGGCAAGTTATGGCGGCGACGCGACCTACTTAGTTGGAGACTGAATACTAACTGGCTGGGACAGAGTGTTCGGGAACCGATGCAGAGGCAGACCTCGAATCCCGGCCCCCCATTCCGCCCAGAGTATCCAGGCGGCCTTGCGTCATTCGTACAGGGACTGGGAGCCGCGGGAGAACAGTTTATTGAGCAGACCCCTTGGGCGAACCCCAACCACCCTTCTCACCGCATGCAGCCACAGCCTCAGCCGGGACACCGCGAAGGAAATCCTCAGCTCGCTCTTGCTGGCCCATCATCCGGCCCTAGAAGGCACTCAGGGCAACCTGGAGGATTGTTCTCGTCGAGTACTACAACCATACTCAATGGCGATTCCCCTGGGCAGGTCCAGAGAACGCACTCGCCGACTATTGGGGAGCCTAGCTCCAAAAGGAACGCCGCGCCTGAGCCGCTCCGGCGGGAGCCCGCCGTTCATGTGTCTTGATTCCGCGGTCTAGTTTCGTTGTTTTTTCCGTCTCGCTCATTTTTCTACCGTGTCGTCATGGATTTGGAGCTAGCATTGCCAGATTTTAGCGGAGTTAAACCGGCAGGTATCAGGGATATTGAGGGGCTCTGCCATGGTGGTCGAGCGTTGGTTACTTTTTGTGGTTTATCGTTTGATTCCGGTCTTCTTCGTACCCTTAACTTTCCCCCCACTTATACGGCGGGTATTTTAGGGCCGCGGGGGAGGCCGTGGATCTACGGGCCCAGCAGGTTAATGCTGCATAGATGAGATATATGTGTGGATGAGGGCGGACATAACTGGGGGCGCTGGTTCTTCATTACGTTGGTTCTTGACAGCAGTCAAGTTTTTGGTGTTTGGTTTGGCATGAGGGCTTGTGTTGTATAGGAGATTATTCCGCTCACCGAGGTTCACTGGTGTCTCCCTTATTTTTCTTTCCGTCTTTGTGTTGGCTTTTGTTGATATCCGGGCTAGACGCCCATGGAGACCCCATTGCTACTTTTTGAATCAAATTACAGTTCCTAACTCCGTGTTTGATGTGCTCGACCACATCAAGATACACACGTCCGTCCAACTACGCTTTTGTATCCTAGTCCTACACATTGCCGCCCATAGCCGTGACAAACCCCCCTCCTCTCCTCCCATTAACAGATTTCTTTTTCTTCCAGTGTACTTCACTTTTTCCCAGTCTGCGGGGCAGGCTTTACAGCCACATCCGGAACTTTAACGTCGTCGAACTCATCCTGACCGATCGCATGGATAGTGTAAGCCCCTGCGAAAAGTGAAGATTAGCAAGTTGTCCCCTCGAGAGTGTAGTTGTAACTCTAGTCCATAGCGTACAAATGCCAATCGCAATCGCAGAAACGCTGAGGCCGACAACCGCGTTCTTGACTAGGTATGGCCGTCTCGCCCGAATTAAGGCAGCTGACTGGCGATTGCGACTGTCGTAGTAGGATGAACGTGGGAACCTGGGAAGTACGAGGGGTTAGAATCGAGTCTGTGGTTGATCCTTGGGCAGTGTTGCAGCTAGCTTACACCATGGTGTTGTTGTCTGGGTTGGGTGACCAGCCACGCTTGGGGGTTGACACCAGTGGCTTTCAATGGGGGAGAAATGGACAATGCTGCTGTCGGATGTTCCCGCGGTGGGCTGTGGCGCTTGATAACGGGACAGCCAGCGTTATCGCAGATGGTCCAATGAGGTTGTGTGCGCATCAACAGCGCGAAAGAGAGTGGCTCGTGCGCTTCAGAAATGTGGCCCCTGGTCTCTTCACGTCACCGTGCCCTGAAGCGCGTCTCGCATCTTTCAACCCTGGAACAAAGCTTCCTCAAACCTCACAATCGCCATAATTCACTGTCCAACCCTGAACGACAACTTGGCTCTGCTGTACGATCGAGAAAAAGGGGTATCGGAGGCAGTTACTGAACGATATTTTCTTGTTTTGCAGGCGGTGGAATTGATAGATCTGATGCCGCCGAGTTCTGCGCCAGCTTGAACTTTTCCACAGGGTTTCTTTCATTCCTTCCACCACTCGCCATCTCCAACAACACATCGCAGGATGACCTAGCCACTGCCTTAGGCCCCGCAAGTCGACATCGTGTATTTGGTTGCGTGGGGCTGATTGCCTACCATTTTGCTGCGACAATAGCTTGGTTCTTGCTCGGCGTACCCGAGCATTAGATCGGGCACCGCAGCAGGTGGGCAGGCACCGTTGAGGAAACACGAACACAGGCAGGGAAACACTGCTTTGGCTTGATCGAACGACAACTTAGACTATCTCTCCTTCTTCACATCGCGGCTTGAAGCATCAAGCAGTATTCTGTGTAGAACTTTCGCTGCTCTGCCCCTTTTATTACGCTCGCCGACGGTCCGTGGTACACCTCAGATCGTGCCCTTCCATTCCGTACCGTACGGTTCATCGAAACAGCCATGGCGGCCGATTCGGCTTCAACGCCGTCTTCCAACAGTGCGGTTTCCATCGCAGAGCAGTTGGAGCAACTGGGCGCGGCTCGAAAAGTCGCGCTTGAAAACACAACCTACTACGACCGCATCGTCAAGGGCGTGCTTCCTATCATCGGGCCAACAGCACCGATCCAATTACGCCGCTGGGGCGCCGAATTCTTAGCCGAGTCGCTCGCGACCCCGGTATTGGCAACCCGCGACAAAGAGAACCTAACGATTGCCGTTTTGGACACCCTTAAGGGCCTGCTTGATGGCGCAGGCGAAGATGCTATCGTGCTCAAGGCAAGCATTTCGGCCGCCGCCAGCGCGTACCCTGTAGCGTTTAGATGGATGTGAGTCGTCCTTTACCCCCCTTAGATAGCTTGCATATCCGTATTTGGGCAATGGATGTAAGGAGGAGCCCCATATGCCCGCTGTGTGCTCCTCCCTACCTGCTTCCCTTGGGGTTTGATGGTGGCGCATATTCCTATTGCGGCGCCTCCAGAAGAAATACGGCAAGGCAGCTTGACTGACCTTGGGCTTTTAGAATCCACAACTCCTATCACACTGAAAGTTGGGAACAAATGTCGGCTATCAAGTCGAGGATATTCCAGATCTGGGACGGGGCACCAGCCCCGGTCAGGCTGAGCTGCATCAAGTTTGCACAAAGGGTGGTGCTTGCTCAGACCCCTTCCAATGGCATGGAACAAAAGGTTAGTAGGCTGCTGCACTTAGAAGACTGCAGTCGTTGACCAAGTGAGAACAGTACAACGGCCTGGATGTTTCTTTGAACATGATGACGGAAAGCCATCCCTTGTTAGATGCCCGGCAGCTAGAAGCCGAGGCGACCGGGCTTCTGGACAGGATGCTAGGTGTCTTACAAGAAAGCAGCAGGTAAGAGCTCATAACCTAGAAATGTGTCGTGCAAAGGAAGAGCCGGACAGCTGACTGTATGTTCTTGCTTAGTGATGCGCTGCTCGTGGATGCGACTATCAACTGCCTCTCCATTTTGGCCCGGACCCGGCCGAGCACCTCAAATCGTATTCTCAACACAGTCCTCAACTTTAACCCGCTGAAGTTGGCCAACTCCCCGATGACACCAAAAACAAAGGTCCTGGTTAGGTCCCTGGAAAAGACCACTCGCATGTTCCTAACCCATATTCTAAGGCGGTAAGTACCACCAGGGAAGCAGCGGCATCATACACAGCAATGTTCTAACATTTTGACAGGGACCCTGGCAACCAAATGGCGGGACGCATTCAACAATATGTGGAGAGGTTGACGCGGTCCCGAGCGGAGATATTTGATGAGGCAGGCCGCAAACGAGCTCTCGCCGATCAAGCAACAGCCGCCTACGGAGATGCCAAAAGGCAGAAGGCAGAGACCGACATTCCACAATTTTCAATACCCCCGCTAGGACCCGGACCACACTCCCTTGCTGCGGTGTTCACCATTACGAATAACCCCGGACTCCAAGCGTTTGACGTCACACAGCTTCCCGATCATCTCGTCTCTAGAATCAGTGTGAGGACTTTGGCCGGCATTGACCAGAAGTTTTTAGATTTTGCCATCAGTGTAAGTACTCATAATGCATCCCTCGGTCTGGCACACCGGCTGTAGCATACTAAAACTTGCGGACCAGGGCATTCACGACCGTCTCACCTCGCTCTACGCGGCTGGAGCAGCCGCAGCAGCAGCATCCCAACCAGCGGTGATCAACGCTGCCACGGCCCCGCTAGGTGTTGAAGAGGACGATGACGATGACTACGAGCCAGACCTTACTCCGGCTGAAGACACAGAGCAAATTCTCAACAAACTTGATAACGCTCCCCCTGAGGAGGCGATCGGGTCGGCCGCCGATGCTGGCGCGGCCCTACCTCTGGGCCCCTTCACCCTTCCTCCCCCGCCAACCCTCGACCCCGAGACGGCCTCGAAGCTCAGTCAAGCCGCCGCGGCGCGCGTTTTCGGTCCCCTTTCATCTCTCAAAGACCCTGGAACAGGCACGCGCAGACCCAAGGCGGGCATCAACCGTCTGGCTGCGAGCTCGTACGACCGGGACTCGTGGTTGACATTGATCACACGTCTTGCGACTCGCAGTACGGCCGGTCTCGATGACGGCAGTGATAACAGCAACACCATTGTGAAGGCGGAGAAAACAGGGCCATCAGGCATGTCGCTTGGCGATAGCATCCGGGAGCTGCTGTTCACGTACATTCTCGAGGACTGGCGGCGTCGCATAGAGATCGCCGTCGCCTGGCTCTGCGAGGAGTGGTACAACGATCAACTGGCTAAAAAGTCCGGCATGGTCGGCGCGGGCGGGCTAAACTATGAAAAGTGCGCGCTGCGGCTGGTTGATGGGTTTCTGAGCTATATCACGGCACAAGACAAGGTACTGACGCGGTTTCTCGCTGAGATCCCGGAACTGAGCCGTCCGCTGTTGGGCAAGTTGAAGGCGCTCTGTGCAGATCCGACGACAGTGCAACTAGCACTCACGAGCCTGCTGTATCTCGTCATGATGCGGCCACCAGTAAGGGAGATTGCGTTGGACACAGTGGCGGAGATTTGGACCGAATGTGAGTGCCCATGATCCCCTCTCTGCAGTGATGACTGATAGGTGTTGGATTGCGGCTGACCTTGATGGTGTGTAGACGAGGACGCCCGCCCGTTGGCAGCGAAGTACCTAGTCAAGTGGCGTCCCGGGTTCATCGAGTTGCAGACTCGCGGTGCCGGCGGCGAGGTGCCGCCTCCCACCAGCAACATGGCGGTTGCCACATGAGTCGACATTTAAAGGCGATGAGAAGCACAGGATTGGACGACAGTTATGTATTTATATGACCATGCTCTCGATCAACGACGGTAATAACCGAGGGTCGCTTCATCGGATACAGAGGGGAACTCCTCAGCGCAGGAACTAGTGTCAGGAGGAGGCATTTGACGCGCCAAAACCACGAGAAGCAGAGGGTTGGCTTTATGAGATATCATAGCTACTGCGGTACGCGACGCGACGCGCCTCATCACTGAGATTTCTATTGCATGAGCCGTTATATTACCAGAGACCAGTTGTGTACCTAGATACGGATACCTTGTATGTTTTTCTTGACACCCGTTCCCAAAGGAGAAGCGCAATTAGTGTAGTACAGTTTTGCAATTTTCTCACCATTTCCCCTCATGTTTATCTTGTCTGAGATTTATCTTTTCTGCAAAGAATTCAATTTGCAGTTATCCCCACACAATAAGTTCGAACCAGCAGATCCTCGTGACTGCCAGGCACAGACCCCAACCCCTGTCTCAGATGCTCAACGACCCACCCGGGCTGCATGGTTGCTGTGGCAGTGGGACTTGGTCAGCCACAAACGTCCCTTGAACATGCTCGCGTTCCGTTGCTTTGCTTGAAAGCTGGTCAACAGTCGGTTGGTTTTCTTGTTCTCGCGCATTTGTCCGAGTTAATATTCCGTGCAACCCCCTTCATCACTTTTTGTATACTTCTATTTTCCCACTACTTCTCCTCCCGCAATTAGACAATTTGTATTAACGTACAAAGGCATGAAAGTCAGCCACAAGCCAAGCAAAACCCAATCAGTGCCAAGCATAGAAATCTTGAAAACGACGTTCAAGATCTGTCCAGTTTCCGCTCTTCCCTCGCGCCGAACTTCGTGATCTATTCTCAAGATCCCCTCCGTCTAAAGCCCTGGGATTGAACTACACAAAACAAACAAAAAGCTGTTCCAACCGGTGTGTGCAGCTCTCGTCATCAGCCACACTTAAGCACACGCGCGGCAGAGACAACGGCCCAGCATCAGACCCGCTTTGAAGTGGAACGCCCACCCCGATCCATCCCCCTGGCACCCCAGGCCCATTGTCTTTGTATCCAGACTCAGCAGCAGCAACCTCACCAGCAATGCGAACCAAGCTCGTGAAGGCCCGGCCACACTCCGATCAGAAGCCGGCTTTTTCGATTCACCAAGACGACCAACATAGTATGTCAAAACCTCTCCCCACACGTTCTGTTATGTTCTGGGTTGCCGGGTGTCCCAGGGTTGGATGATCAGGGCTGGCCCTTGGTGAAAGAATGTCCACCCATGCACGAAAGGCCGGGACACGACGTGCCCTATGTACGCAGCTGCGGGTTTCCTCACGGCCAGCCATTGAGGAGTCTCCCGCCGAAGCCAACCTGCAGCTGGCCCCTGGGTACCATGTTTATTTTGGTGGCTAATAGGACATCTCCCTTAGACTCCTCGTCTGTGACCGTCGTACCACCCGAAACAGTCTTGCCCACAACATCAAGCAAGCAGACGCCGACTAAGGCGTCGAGGTCCCTGCATGAGCGTCCCTCGCCCCGGTCAACGCTCTCCCTCGCGTCCCAAGGCACCGTCAACTCCGCCATGTCACGGATAGTCACAAGCGGATCCAACGGAAAAGCGGTCCTTCCCGCAGCCGCCCCTTCTCTTTCTCCCCGGGCTCCAAACCGCATGAACTCAACTATCCGGGCCGTACCGAGTTACAACGATAGGCAAAGGCAGTCAGAGGAAGATTCTGGCACCGAGGGAACACAGTCGCACTCCACATCGCGGGATTCAAAATTCTCCAGTTCACTAAACAGTACTATCAGCATGACATCTTCCAATTCGCAGCAACGGATACAAGCAGCAACATCTACTGGGATACCAAGAAAGCCTTCGTACAACAAATTGAAATTAAGCGCCGCCGAAATGCCGCAGACCAGCAACACCAATGACGGCCAGCCTGACGAGTCGCCCCAATCCAATCGAAACCGACCGAGCGCCAGCGATATCCCCATACGCGAGAGCAGCCTCAATGCCACCGCTACTGCCACCGATCCCAGGAGTGGCCCCAACGATGCGTCTATCAGTGCTACGGAAGCTTCACTGTCGAATGGCTGGGACAACTCGGTTGGTAAAGCGGGGTTGGGCAAGACGGGCAGAGTCATCAATAAGTTGGTGTCAGACAACGAGTCGCTGAAGCGCGATATTCAAATTGAACGGCTGCGGGCCGATGAATCCCGGCAAGAGGCGCGCCTGTTGGAGGATAAATTGGAACGGGTTGTCTCCGATTACGAGTCGCGTTTGCTTGAAGCTAATGTCACCAAGACGCTGCTGGCACATAAGGAGCGCCAGGTGATATCCCTTCAAGATACAGTCGAGCTAGAGCGGCAGCGGGCGGTTGATGCGGCTGGGCGCGAGCGCGTGTGGAAGGACGAAATGGAAACAGCGCGCGCAGACGCCAAACGCCAAGTTGAGGAGGCTACCAACTATGCCGCCCTGTGTGAGGGTCGCTACAACGCCATCAGCGGCCACTGGAAGGACCAAGGGGTGGAAGTCAAGCGGGCCATGAGCAAGATGCGGCAGGAAGTCCAAGAGCTGATGGTGGAGAGGAAGAAGGATGACGAAAAGATCGAGACACTCCGCGAGCTGTGCGACCAACAAGACGGGAACATTCGGGAGCTGCGGACCCAAAAGGAAGACATCGCAAGGCAGTTTGAGCAGTACAAGGCTGAGCAGGAGCAGTGGTTGCGAGATATCAAGCGGAAAGCGGACGAGAGGGAACGCGAGCAAGAACGGACGCTGCAAGAAGCTCGGGACGCGCTGGATAAGTTAAGGTGGGCCTTGAATGTCAAGGAGAAGATCAAGTGGGCGCAGTGATGAAGGGGAGGTATTACAGAGGTTCAAGGCTTGTGGCAAGACATTCGCAAGCAAACGAGCCAATGCAGTGGCGCCACGAATGTGGCACCAGTACTTTTTGCTTGGTTGTTTCTCCGGGTTCCAGAGCGGATTTTTTTTCTTCCCCTTTTCCATTTCCTTTACTTCCCTTCATCCATCGAACCTCATCGGCGGCTTACGACAAACATAATGACCACACCGCCCGACCAGGCTGGGCATACGGGCGGATCGATAGACCAGTTTGTTTATCTTTTCTTCTTATCGGGCTTGGGGCATATCACAGCACAGGCACGCAAAGCGAGTGGACATCGGTGCATTTCAACAGCGGTATATCAACCTGAGTTCGTCGGTCATTTAGACAGGTTCGTTTTATAAGGCCGTCTCTTTTCATTTTCCCTTTTTTTTTTTTTCGCTCCGTGCGTTCTTCTCCTTTCAATCTCTGGTCTAGGGATAGGAGCGCCAATGGCAGGGCGTTTTGGCGTTTGTCGAAAAGGGGGTCATGGAGTGGATGGTGGTCACAGCAGGCGCAAATGAGAGCAGAGATCACCGTGCTGCTTCCACCCTTCATACTTAATTTATCGATCTGTCTTCTCGATACCGTTTCTCTCCTGGGTAACTTCATACTTAAGCAGTCAGCACTGGTATGTCCCTATCCGTTCCTGGCCCAACTACTAAGTTCTCACGTTGGGCTTATCAGGGATAAGGAATAGTCAAGGGGAGTGATTGGTTTTGGTTTGCCGGCAACAAAAAGACAAACGAAGCACTTCCAAGCGAAGGCTGCTTGCACCAGGACAGTACCACACTAACAGTATTTGGCTTTCCCATCCAGAAAGATCAAGTCATATTTTGCTACCTACCTACCTACACCATACAAAGAATACATTTATTCATGTACTTGTTAACGTTCCGCTCCTGTGCTGTTCACCCATGGGCGGAGCATGGACACACCGACAAACACGGATTGCCCGAATTCTTCATGCTACAGACCCTCGTAAGAATACCGCTCTGAGGAACCGGGCCGGCCACTATTGGAACCTATACAACCCGGAAACTTCTCGAACTGCCAACCGACCCGTTTTCCGGTACTCAGCCCCAAGGGCCTTACGATCGCTCTTTCCCGGTTAGGTCGACTTCCAGCTTTGCCGGCCATCCCATTTTGGCAGTAAAGAGCCCTAGGATAGGTATTCGTTTCCACAGCCAAGCTCTACCGTGACCTTTTTTCCATGCCCCATTTCCATGCGTGTCTGGTGGGGGTTTGTACCCTACATCCAAACGCACTCATCTACCTGGGCGGGTTATCTCGGGAGTCGCAAACTTCAAGGCCCAACTTGCAAGCATAATCGAGAAGACACTACTCCGGTCGAGAACCTATCAACCCGGTGGTAAGAAAAAAAATATTTCCCCAGCTTCTCCGATTTTCCCCAACACTCTCCACCCAAGCCCGTTGTGCCGGTACAAGTCGGGGCCTAAACGCTATCCCAAGTGTGGTGAAGCTGACGAGACCCAGCTTCGGATTTCTTCTTCCTCATCGCTTTAGCGGTACTTGCCACCATGGCCTCCCTCAGCGAGTTCTACCTGACGACCCTATGGTCCTACAAGCCCGAGACTGTGAAGCGAATGATCGAAGAAATGAGTTGTATGGGATTTGTAAGTATTCCTTGAATCTCTCCATCGGCCTAGTCTGACGTATGTTTGCAGGACGGGGCCGAGTTCACGTACGACAGTGAATACGATTGGTTCAAAGTCACCTGTCCCTCGAGCCAGGAAGATGCTATCCGGATGAGTTTCGATGTTGTCGCCCGGGATTTTGAGGAAAAAGCATTTGATGGGTACGAAGATGACATGCTAGACTACAACGATATCTTGAAGGTATGATTGTTTGCTCCGAACTCGGAAACATTAGGGGTGCGCTCACACTTGACAGGACCGTTTTGACAACGAATGGTTCAGCCAGAATCAAGAAGCTGACTCACATGACGGAATTGCCGAACCGAACGAGGCAGACATTCACCCCGGCGCACTTGTTGGGAGTCCTATTACTGATGTCTGGGATGACTTGGACAAGAACAACGAGCCCTACACGGTCGAGGAAATACTTCAAGAGAAGGACCAGGTTCTGTTGGAGAAGGAATTGGGCGTGAGGCTGGAGCCGTGGTTGAAAGGCAAGTTAGTACGACTCGAGGGGCCTACCAGGGAGTCCATCGACACAGCTTTCGAACGACTCAGAGGGTTGTTAATATTCAGAGTGAGCATACCAACTACTACCAAAATAAAGGAGGAGCGGCGACTAATTCCCACAGAAACGTCTTCCCCGCTTGGTCCACATCAGCCATGTTGTCTACGCAGAAAATCACGCTAAGGAAGATGCACCCGGATTTACGGCCGACATTCGGTACTTGGCTAACATCGACCCTAAACTGGCCTCATCGACTCTTGTTGACCATACGTTGGTTGAACAGCTGGACGAAACGTACAAAATGATCTATCGACAAGGTTGTTCCATACGCGTTTGCCTTTGGGCCCCGAGCCGGAACTGTTATGTCTCCATGTTCGGCCCAAAGGTCGATGTTCGCCTGAGGGACAGAACGATACTACGCAGGCCTCCAACCATGACCTTCAGGGTTGCTGAGCGTGTTGAATTCGTGGGCGAAGAGGCAATTGCAGCGGCGAATATGGTGAATGAGTGGATAGATCGCATTGCTCCCGCGGCCCACGATGAGCCAAACCCTGTGACAGAGACTCGGCCAGTCGCTGGGGAGCGAGAAATTGGAGGGAGGGGAGACCTGCTCGACTTCGCGAACGGTGGGCAGGCGTCGTGTCTCGGAACGCCTGACACGACAATATCAGGAAGCCTCTCGAAAAGACCCAAACCCATCGATTCAGCGGCGGACCCAATTCAGGCTCCCAGACAGAACCTCGCAGCCCTCGGCATAAAACAGGATATAACAGCCCTAAACATGCCGACGGGATCTCGGGATCTCGAACTTCCTTTTACCGGGGACGACTGTCTTGTTGACATGTTTGCTGCGGTACAGACAAGTGCCGTGGGAAGCCCAGTGGAGAAAGTTAAATGGGGAATGTCTCCATTGATTCCGTCCCCGGCGGAAACTCCGCGAAGCGGTTCAGCCGCCCCTGACAGACAAGCTCCAGGCCGAAGGGGCAATCCTACACAGACCCTAGACCGGGAACCGCCGGCGCCTCGGAGTGACTTTCGGCACCCCCAGAGCGGAGCAACGGAGCGACCAACCGGCTCGGTCAAAACCACCTCTTCGGCAACCGGGCAGACCACCAAGTCCGTTGATGCTGGTGATAGTGTCAACCTGCGCCGGCCTTCCCCCATGCAACATCAACACAGGGCCGTAGCTACCAAGTCCGAAGATGAAAGACCCGGCCAAATGTTCGTAACCGAGGAGTTCGTGGATGAACTTGAAGGGGCGTTGACCAGACACTTGAGCATTGGACCTTACAGGCGAGGAAACGTTACGTTCCGGGCGGAGTTTGGTCGTATAATTCTTGAGGAAATCGACCCATCTGGCCTTGCTTTCAATTGCGCGGAAACGGCCAGCCACGGATGGACCAAGGCAGAATTACTGAGTAACTTGAACAACGATCTCCGAGAGAACAAGAACATTCTTTTCACTAAAGTATTGTCGACATATGCTTACGACATTGAAGACATGATCAACACGAAGGTCGACGGGAACCGGCTTTGGGAGGATAAGCCGAAGCACGTTCGGGCAGTGTACTCGTTTCATTGCAGCCTGCGGTCTGAGAAGGAGCTATCTCCGTTCATCATCGACATTGAGGACAATGACTCAGGAGGCGGGTTTACTTATACGGCCCGAACTGCCTACGACGCTCCAGGTGCAGTCAAGCAGGTACCCGTCTACATCCATTCAATCTGTCGCCATTGGGACCTACGAGTTGTGACGTCCCATATCCAGACGGATGATGTGGATGCTATGTACGGAGCCTTTGCCAAGTATTTAATAAACTCACTAAGCATCCAGTAAGTCGCGACATATTCCACTAAGCAATGGAGAGGAAGCCTGAGCTGACACCGTTCCAAGGACGACGACTAAGGGCGGTACGGAGATTATGTTTGCAGTGCCGGTAAACCTCCCGGTTGAAGTCAAACAAGTCCGGGTCCTCACCAAATGGCGTCGGCATAGCCTTGACGGCAGATCCGCACTGGAAGTCACCGAAGTGCTGGAACTAGCTACTGCGCCATACTCTGAGGGGCCATACTCTGGGGCGGCTTATAACACGTACGAAGCAATGCGTTCTCACCCCTGGGTGGGCAAAACCAATAAGAAAAACCGGGACGAAGGCAAACCTGCGCGGTGGTATGAGGTTGCGGTGGTCTCGCTCGAGCTAGAGGCTCTCTGCAAGCAAAACACCCGCCTAGGCGTAGGCGAGAAGGCCAAATGGGACGCCAAAGATCTCGGGGATACTGGAGTGTTGTCTTCTTTGTACGGCCCGGCCTTGCATATGGTGCGACAAATGGATCATGTTGGGAGGCTGGACAACAACCATCTCTCGGGGGCTTACGGCAGGTTGCTGCTCCAAAGCAACAAGGCCGTTACCCAGGTGCCAGGTGCAATGCCGGCCTAGTTACCGGGGAGGATTGTTGACCGCGTTGACGGAGAGGGATGTGGCGTAGATTTGAGTTGGAGCGGCCAGTTTGCTTGTTTTGAGCTCAGCCAGATTTGGACGTTGAGGTTAACTGCTTGTTGAAGCGATGTGTATAAAATGTGTTCAATGCCGGAGCCGGAGCTCTATGTACTTGACCAATGCGAGGAGTTATTCTACATGGTAAAGTGTGGCGTTTCACTGAGAGGCTGTCCCGTCAAGGAAAAGGGGCGCGGCAGCTTTTAAGTTCTGGGAGACGAGCTCCACTCACCAACTTGATACTTGCACATCTCTCGAACATTCTTCTAACGCTCCCTCCCAACGCATTCTCTTTCTTTTGGCGGTTGCATGCGAGACTAGAACTACACCTCTGGTAAATAAGGTAAATAAGACACGGGCGAACTCCAACCCCGCACTCCCTCTGTCAAAAAAATTCCATCGTGTTTCGTTACATTGGCTCTCCGAATGCAGCTGTCAAAAAGGATGGCGTCATGCCACTCATGGGGGCCCCAATCCCAGCAATAGCGCTCGGATTGAGTGGGCTCGCGACCCCCTACAAAAAACATGAAGGGTTCGAGACACCGAATGGCGCGATTGGGGTGCATGCTGATGTCGAAAATTTCGGCTCTCTCATAGGCTCTTTTGTGCATACCTCCTCCCACGCGAGGTCGTTTTTTCTGCTGCCTTCGAAGTTCCCTCGCCGAATGGCCCCTGCAAGTGCCAGCTGCCACGCTCTAAAGGGCGATTTCTGGTATGCGAAGGGGAACCTTACCCCATTCCATCAACCGTCACACCAGCTATCGCAGTAAGGTTCGGGCCATTTGGGAGTGGGATGACTGGGCACCCCGGCACTCGGGTTGCAGATAATATATTGCCATGCGACTTGGTGTCGCACTCACAGCATGTATTTAAGATCTAGGTAGCCTCGCGTGCTCCACTGTCTTGTCTTAAATCTTGAATAACAACGCGAGATCACCGTCGTCGGGCAAACCTACCTACCTTTCTAGTTTATTTTTTTCTCTTCTCATCAGTCATTACCGACTGCGCTCATTACTCCCAGCAATATGGCGGATATCGAAAAGGGCAGTAAAACGCCCTCGGATGTCGATGGCGCCAAACCCGCTCTGCGCGAGGATGAGGCGTCGCTTCACCTGGGCGACAACACCGCCATCCTCCCTGAGGGCCAGGTCGATCCCGTTTACGAAAAGAAGGCCAAGGTTCTGAATCGTGCTGTAAGTCTAACATTGCCGGTCTTTACATGAACGACTACATTCACTCAAAACAACTTCGGTCAAACCTGACACTAATTCTGGTCTCCAGATCCAAGATATCGGCATGGGCTGGTACCAGTGGCAGCTCAGCGCGGTCATCTCATTCGGCTGGGCGTCCGACAACCTCTGGCCCATCGTGACCTCTCTCATCTTCACGCCCGTCAAGAACGAATTCGGCCCACCACGCCCACCGCTACTAACACTAAGCCAAAACATCGGCCTGCTCGCGGGCGCGCTCTTCTGGGGGTTCGGATGCGACGTATTCGGGCGCAAATGGGCATTCAATCTAACCCTAGGCATCACGGCCATCTTCGGCACCGCCGCGGCCGGTTCCCCCACGTTTGCCGCCATCGGCGTGTTCGCCGCGCTCTGGTCCTTCGGTGTCGGCGGTAATCTCCCCGTCGACTCGGCCATCTACCTCGAATTCCTGCCCGCCTCGCACCAGTACCTCCTGACAGTGCTGTCTGTGGCCTGGGCCATCGCCCAGGTCATCGCCACGCTGGTGGCCTGGCCGCTGCTCGGCAACCTCACCTGCCAGGAGACCGACACGACCTGCACGCGCGAGGAGAATATGGGGTGGCGGTGGTTTTTGATCGTCATGGGCGGGTTGACAGTGATCATGTTTATTGTGCGGTTCGGGCTGTTTACCATTTACGAGTCGCCTAAGTACCTGATGGGTAAAGGGCGCGACGAGGACGCTGTGCGCATTGTGCACGAGGTGGCTAAGCGCAATGGCAAGGAGACGACCCTGACGCTGGATGACCTCAAGGCGTGCGAGCCCGCGGGCTATGTGCACCAGGCCAAGGCCGCGGATGCTGTCAAGCGTAAGCTGGAGGATGTTAGCTTTGACCGGGTTAAGGCTCTGTTTGCGACGGGGAAGCTTGCGCTGTCTACGGGGCTGATCATGGCTGTCTGGGCGTTTATCGGTCTTGGGTACGTCTTTTTATACCTGCCTTTCTTTTTCCTTTTGTTACGTCGCCATTTTGGGAGGAAATAAGAGGAGTTCGAAGCTGACCAGGTAAAACAGATACCCCCTCTACAACGCCTTCTTGCCTTACATTCAAGCCACACGCGGCGCCGACTTTGGCGACGGCTCGACCTACCTGACATATCGCAACTCGCTTATCATCGCCGTGCTCGGCGTGCCCGGCGCCCTGATCGGTGGTGTTCTCGTCGAACTCCCACGATTCGGCCGGAAGGGCACGCTGGCCGTATCGACCATACTGACGGGCGTGTTCCTGTATGCCTCGACGACTGCCCTCGATTCGCAGTCGCTGCTGGGCTGGAACTGCGCGTTCTCTTTTACTAGTACGTTGCTCACTTGTTTATTATGTTTTTTTTTATATCACGGGTCCGGCAGTGTGGATAAGATGGAGATACTGACTATCTGAGCAGGCAACGTCATGTACGCCGTCCTGTATGGTTTCACGCCGGAGCTGTTTCCGACGCCGCAACGAGGTACCGGAAACGCCCTGACGGCGACTTGCAATCGTGTGTTTGGTATCATGGCCGTATGTGCTCCCACTTATTTCCATGTCGATTATTCCGTTCGATGCTGACCACATGGCGTACTTAGCCCATCGTTGCCATGTTTGCCGATCTCAACACGGCCGCGCCAGTATATATCAGCGGCGCCTTGTTTATTGCTGCTGGGCTTTTGGTTATTCTGTTGCCCTTTGAGTCGAGAGGCAAGGCCGCGTTGTAAAGTGAGGGTGTATTTGAATATAATTTGCTAGGTATGATCTAGTGTAATGGGGAATTGATGATGTGCTTGGAGGTGTTGTTCAAATCTCGATTTTGGCTATTTTTGAGTTGGGGGCCGCTGCAATAACGTGCCATGTTAAGATCACACACCTTAGCAGAAACAGCCCTGAACCCCTGATAAAGCTTTCACGGAACTGACTCTGTTTGAAGTCGTGGGATGGCTGGACTTGGACGATTCTCAATTTCAGGTTTATTCCACTTCGTCTCTTCTCTCCGCCTCTCCTGTCTCACAGTTTCCGTCCCCCTTCGGAATATACAAACGAAACCCCACTGCAGCGGCGCAGTTCCGAAGACGCGCTGGGCAGCTGGCGCTGTGGGGGCGGCAAGGCGGGCGGGAATGGCCCATTTTGGAGTTTCTCCGCCGTACCCCTACATCCGCCCGGTGGTGAGATTTCAACCGATCTTGGCCCAGGGCGCTCTTTCGTCCCAAGACGACCTAGTCAATTTCTCGTAAGATTTAAATACGGCACCCAGATCCACTTGTTATGCGCGGTGCGTGTGTCCAGCCCAGCCGGAGAACCCGCAGCGGCTAGCTAGCATGTGCCGTTGGCTGTGTGCGAGTGCACCAGATCATCTCAACTCTCAACCTGCGATTTGAAATATCTCTCATTTATTTTCTTCGTTGCTCATCGGGACGCCAAAGAAGTTCGCCTCGGGCATGTGTTGTCGAGATGGCGGATCGACTATCAACTGCGAAATACACGGTGAACGACTCCGTCAATAGTGGCTTGGAGCCAGTGCCCCATGAACAACTGCCCTGGCCGCAAAAGGAGCATTACCATAACCATAACAACTACGAGTACGGCAACAACACCAATAACCAACAGCCGACAGATCATGAAGGACTTGAGGTGGCGCATCGCTCGGGCGGGCCGAAACAGCGCATCTTGGGGCTGTCCGTGAGGACATTCTGGATCATCCTTATCATCTTGGTCGTGGTTGTCGCCGGTGCGATCGGCGGTGGGGTGGGCGGAGGGTTGGCGGCTCAAAGCAAAGCGAGCTCATCGAGGTGAGAAAATCATGCCACAAGACCAGGCGTTCCTCCCCCTTCAGATTGGCAATGCTTTGAGACCGGCTGCTGACACGGCTCATCATGACAGCCCCACGACGGCGTCCGACCAGGCGGGGGATTCATCCACAGGATCCTCCGGATCATCAGGATCACCAGCATCATCAGAGTCCTCGACTGCCACTACACCACCCTCCGATTCCCCGTCGACTACCAGCACACCAACAGCCTCCGATACCCCGTCGACAACCACGCAAGCGACTCCCGGCCAAGTCTCGCCGGCTCCATCAGACGGAGGCTGTCCCGGGGTCAACGGCACGGCCTTCACGCCTCTCGACGCGCACGGAAAACCGATGCCGATAGCGGCCAACGGGCCGGGCCAGACTTTTCGGCGTTTGTGCCGGACCAATTGGCCGTCTGGCCACCAGTACCACAACCCGGGGATTTACGACATCATCAAGCTGTATCTGCCGAGCCTGGACGATTGCATCACGGCGTGCGCTGCGTATAATGTGAATTTCTTGTCGAACAAGGCGGCGGGGAATGGGATAAGCGCGGGCGGGTTATGTACGGCAGTGACGATTATCAAGAAGGGTGAGTCCTATTTTCCCCGCTCTTCTCCCCCATTGTTTTTGTTTTTTCTTTTGTTGTTGTCGCGCTCTCCATCTGCTCAGTTCTTGTGCTGACAAATGTGGCTTCGTTAGAGGGCGAATATTGTTACTTGAAGAACGGGACCGGAAATATGGACACGTTTGGGCAACCAAATCTATATACAAGCGCCATCCTAGATGCAGACTTGTCATAAGGAAAAATATAAGGAAAAAATACTGCGTTGATCTAGCCTGGAGTAATATTCCGTATTTAAATACCAGGCACATTTTGTACATTTTACAAACCACCTACCCTGAGCCCTGTCGGATCTGAGTACCTGAATAACTATCGTCCGTGCGCCGAGCGGGCCCCGCGATTACACTGCGCGATCGCAGCTTGGCTAACGTCACACAGCAGACCCGCTGATGTGGAACCCAGGAACTGAACTATGGGCTTCGGGCTGCTCAGAAGACCGAAGCCAATCCTTTGGAAATACACTACTATGTAGAGCATCCTTCTCGGGAAAAGAGTCTCCATCTCGAGTCCGAACCGCCTTCCGAACCCCACCAACATCGTGAGATTCGTCGAAAATACGCGTCAGCCCGACCCCACAGCGTCCTTTTTCTGTATATATGAGTGTCGTCGACAACCGCATTGAATACAACTGATCACTCCCACATCCAATTCGACCCATTCCACTGTCACGAACCACACTCACCGTCTTGCATACCCCTACCGTTAATTCCTACCATCACCGAACCCGACAAATTGCTCTCCAGTTCTCCAAACCTACCCCACCCTCAACCTCCATCCAGCTTCACCTCATCCCCCCCTCAATCAATCAACAAACAAACAACCATGGCCACCACCACAGACCTCACCCGCCCAACAGCCATCACCGCCCTCCTCCTCTCCTCCCTCGCAGCCGGCGTCAACCTCTCCCTCTCGACATTCCTCGTCCCCCGCCTCCTCGAGTCCCCCACACCAACCATGCTAACCCAGTGGGCGCGCACCTACTCCCGCGGCGCCAAAACCGTCCCCACCACAGCAGCCGTCGCGGCCGCGGCGTATATTTGGCTCGGGTGGAAGGCCGGGCCCGGTGGGGGGGTGAGAGCGTTGGGACTGGGGGTGAGGGAGTTGTATTATGCTGCGGCTGCGTTGTCGGTTGGGATGGCGCCGTATACGGTGCTGGTGATGCAGGGGACGAATGATGAGTTGCATAGGTTGGAGAAGGTGGCGAATGCGCAGAAGAAGGCGGGGGTGGTGGATGTTGCTGCTGCTGGGGATGAGGTGGTTGTTCAGGAGAAGAGCGCGAAGGCGTTGGTGGATTGGTGGGGGTTGTTGAATTTGGGGAGGGCGGGGATGTTGATTGGGGGGGTTGTGTGTGGGTTGGTTGCGACGTTTTAGGGGAGGTGAGGTGAGGATGAAGAGTTGGGCATTGGGGGACTTGTTGGTCATGTCAGGTTGGGGGAAAGGGCATGAGACATTCACTCGTCACTCTGATGGTGGTCACGGTATCACGGCTTTCCCTTTGGATCGCTCCCGCAGCAGTACTTCAGCTGAATTCAGGTTCTCAACTCTCCCTTATCCCATCGCTCCGCCCCACCATATCGTCTCCATCACGCTTTGGTATGGCATCTACTTGCTGTTGCTGTTGCTGTTGCTACCCGAGTTGCCAGAAGTGCCCGACGACGAAGAACCGTAGCCGGAGCTAGTCGAGTTGCCGCTAGGCGAGGTGTAGGTAGAGCCACCGTTACCGTTGTTGTAGTACGTGCTGCCGTCCGGGTTGGAGTAGTAATAGCTCCCGTCGCTGATCATCTTTGCGTTAGCAAGCTTGAATTTGGGCCGGGACATGGGGGACAAAGACTTACGTGTTGGAGTAGTGGTACGAGTTGGAGTCGTTGCCGTAGTCGCGGGAGCAGTAGTGGTTGCCCTGGTTGCGAATCATGTTAGATGACGACACTACGGCTTGGAGCGACCGGAAACCGAGAAGAAGATCTGAAGGGACTTGAGAACAAAAATTGCCTGCTTACCTGGCTGTTGGTTCCAGAGCCGTTGTACGAATATCCGTTACCAGAAGGCATGTTGGCGATGGGTCCTGCTATGGGATTGTCGATTCTTGTTGACACTAGTGACGGTGATGATGGATTGATGGTTTGCGGTGCAAGAGAAGGGAGAGTGAGAAACAGTCGTGAGGAAGCAGATTTGCCTGCTTAAATAGTTTGTTCCTTCACGGCCCGGGAGCTTCTTTGATGAGAGAAAGTGAGGCCCACCATGCACCCGGAGACACACCTTCTGCAGATAAACAAGGATGAGACCACTAACATCCACCCTCTTCACTAATCCACGCGGGGAAGCCTTCCGATCATTTAGCATCCTTGCAACCACGGATCCGTAATAAATAGCTCCTCCTCTTCCAAGAAGACGCTCTCGAGTGATTTGCACTAGTGTAATTTGATAACATTGTCTATCATAATCCACCCCTCCTTTGGGCATCAGGTGAACCCGACGTCGTCGTGTTGGTTGAAGACGAGAGGGTAGCTAATGTTTGCTTTTCCCCATACCCCGCACGTTGAGGCGGCGTCAAATCCAATATCTCGAACAGAATGTGAGAAGCAGCTCAAAGATGCTCCAGATACGTTGCCCGCTCGGATTCTGGAACAACACAGCTGTGGCCAAAGAGTACGGTAATGTGTAGCTGTTTTGTAGCCAAAGCGATTCTCCACCACACTCGCGATCTATAATCTATAGTGTGGCCCCAGTCATTGCTCTTCTTCCAGGTCTGCTAGGTATTTTTCCGCATCCAACGCAGCCATGCAGCCCGTCCCTAGTTCTAGTTAGCTGATGCTCCCCGAAGCGGGACGAAAAATTAAAAATAAAGAGAATAAGGAGAGACATACCTGCGCTGGTAATGGCCTGGCGATACCTCTTGTCCTGAACGTCACCCGCCGCAAACACGCCCGGCACGCTAGTAAGTGTCGAGCCCGGGACAGTGCGGACATAACCATCCTCATCCGTGTCCAGCTGGCCCTTGACAAGGTTGGTAGCCGGGTCGTGGCCGATAGCGTAGAACAGCCCGTTGGCCTCGAGGGTCTCCTGGGCACCGGTGACAGTGTCCTTGACAACGATGTGGCTCATCAGGCCCTTGGCGTCACCTTTCACCTCGACACCGGCCGAGTTGAAGCGCACCGTAACCTTCTTGTGGGCCAATAGGCGCTTGGCCATGATGGAGCTGGCGCGCAACTTGTCACGGCGCACCAGTACCGTCACATGGCTGCCGTATTTGGTCAGGAACATGGCCTCCTCGGCCGCCGAGTCACCGCCGCCAATGACGACCAACGGCTTGTTGCGGAATATGGGCACGGCGCCGTCGCACACGGCGCAGGCCGAGATGCCGTTCTGCCAGTACTTCTCCTCTCCGGGGAGGCCGAGGCGGCGGGCGGACGCACCGGTGGCCAGGATCACGGCGTCGGCGGTGAGAACGGTGTCGGGGCTCCATTCGGTCGCGAACTCGAACGGCCGCTTCGACAGGTCGAGCTTGGCTACGGTCTCGCTGACGATTACGGTGCCGAAGCGCTCTGACTGCGCGCGCATCTTGTCCATCAGCCCGGCGCCTGTCACGGCCTCGGGGAAACCGGGGAAGTTTTCGACTTCGGTTGTCGTCGTCAGCTGGCCGCCCGCCGCGATGCCGTTGGCTAGGAAGCCCTCGTAGAGGACAGCTAGAAGGAGAGAGCGAGCCGAGTCAGCATTGTTCGTTACCTACTCAACCGTCACGAATCGCGACAACAGAGAGAGATCCAGACACGGGAGACCAAACCACTCACGCTTCAACTCGGCGCGGGCTAGGTAGATCGCGGCCGTGTGGGCGGCCGGCCCGGAGCCGATAATAACGACCTTGTTGTGCGACGACATCCTCCGCTTGCTAATGGTGTTTTGTATGTCGCTCTGGTGAAGGGGGCGTATCGGGTGCGAGAGCGTTGCAGCAGCAGCGACGGACAGTCCAGAAGCGCTAGAGCGGAGGGTGCGTCTTAAGTATGAGGCGAACAGCTTGACGGGTTGGGGGTTGCAGCACGTGGGAAGAAGAGAGAGGGGGGGTTCGGTTTGTCAGGGTCGTGGGACCGGAGTATAGCACTGCCCTGTGGACGGCGGGTTAATGGGTGGGTGGACGGGCGGAGCGGTATCGGGGCGTTCTTCAATTTTCCCCGAGGGGTATGGATCGTTATTGATAACAGCAAAAACCTTCTAGAAAGGCGGCGTTAATTCCAAACCAAGTGCGTTTTACTAAGCCAGGGGTCCGTCCAGAACGTGAACGTGGGGTTTGTCAGGTCCCAAAAATTCAGATGGAGGGGCAAAACAGGGGTCCCGTCCTTGGGGTTCGTCCCTGCAGATATGTGGGTTAGGGTTGGCTATGTATGTATGTCTTGGTACCTATGCACTGTACATTGTTACAATTTGCTCTGTCCTTCCTGGGGCACAGAAACGACCACTTTACCCCACGTCTCCCGGCCCCCCAAAGCCTTGAGCGCATCGGGAATCTTTTCCAGCCCAACAAACTCCCGATCCGTAAACTCGGTGCCCCTAAACTTGCCCTCGGCGATCAACTTCATAATACCCTGCCATACCGTCACCACAGTCGCCTTTTCGTGGACCGCGTATTGGCCCCAGTGGATGCCTACCAAGCTAATGTTCTTGAGCAGCACTTTGTTCATGGCGACCTTCTCGATAGCGCCCGCGGCGAACCCGACAATCAGGATGCGCCCGTTCCAGGCCGTGCACTTTGTGCTCTTGTCCACCAGACCCACGGGGTCGTAGACGATGTCGACACCCTTACCCTTGGGAGTCAACTTCTTCACGATCTCGGGCCATTTGGGGTCTTTGTAGTCAACCACATGGTCCGCACCAAAGGACTTGGCTACTTCGAGTTTGCGCTTCGTGCCAGCCGTCGCGATGACGGTCGCACCGAAAGCCTTGGCAACTGTTATTGATTTTGTTAGTCAGGGGCATTAACACCAAGTTGATAAGCTGGACCATCACAAACCTTGAACGGCGGCAAGACCAACACCACCAGCCGCAGCATGGACCAGCACATAGTCGCCGGCCTTGACGCCCGCCCGGACCACCAGGGCTCCGTAGCTCGTGGGCGCTGTGACAAACAGCCCCGCGGCCTCCTTGTAGCTCCATCCCTCTGGGACGGCCAGCATGCTCACCTCGCTCGCAACGGCCTTGGTAGCATAGGCGCCTTGTGTGGCCCCAAACACTCGGGAGCCGACGGGGAATTTGGGGTTCTTGGAGTTGGCGGGGGTGGCCAGCACAACGCCCGCAAATTCAGCACCGGAGACCCATGGGAAGGCTGGGATACGTCAGTCAGCTTTGTGGTTAGGGCTAATACAACCGGACGGCTGGAGGTTCTTACGAGGTTGGTGCTGGTATTTTCCTTGGATCTGCAGGATATCGAAGAAGTTTGTTGCCGCGGCGTGAACCTCGATGAGATACTCATGAGGAGACGGTTTCGGATCCGAGAGATCCGTCACCTTGAGCTCGTGAGGGCCCTGCAAATATCTATCAGTTGGTGATCCTCACGTTGCATGATGAGAATCCAACTTTATTTTTTTCCGTCTATGGAGGAAAGATGATCCTACCTTGACGTACTCGGCGATTTGGATGCCTCTCATGTTGATTGTTTTGACAGGCGGAATTGACAACTGCCGTTGGCCGAGTGGTTATGGGGAATCGATGCGAGAGACTTTGGTAATGCACAGGTGCTCTCGAGAACACAACCAAAGTCAACAAGTTGCGCGACGGTAAAACAGGTACAACCACACTGAATTGACCAAATTTGGATGGGAATGAACCGTCCAGCCCTTGATCTTGATGGTGCTGGAGCCCCTTGTCGTCTTATAATACGGGGGGCGCCGCCGAGCCGTGGGGATTCTGGGGAATCTTTCCCGAACCGAGGCTTGGAGTTGGATGGTCCTGATTGGCTATGAGCACTGCTTACCAAGACCCACTGAGCCAAGCTTGATTTTCTTGGCGCAACTGGGATCTTCAACGCGTGTGGACAATCTTGAACATTTCGAGAAAGCTCTCCAACTTTAAGCAAACAAACATCACGACAACTCACCCATCACGACAACAGAGCGCCCCCAAAACGTTCCTATCGATTTCAATATCCGGAACGGTCTGCGAAAGCAATAAATCCCAACATATATCTAACGTTTACTCCATTGCGATACGACTAGCGACTTGTCTCTCGACCCTCAAACACCCGCCACAATGGCGACCGACGCTCTCCTCCCGGGAGGTGCCCCAACGACCTCACACCTCGCCTCCCGTCTATTAACCCACACCTCACCACAATACACCTTCAACTTCACCCCCTTCCTCCAACGCACCTACCAACACAGCCTCTCCGCCGACCGACCCATCTGCAAAGCTTTCCTCGCCGGCTCCTGCCCCCTCAAATCCCACTGCCCCGACCGCCACACAACCCCCTCCGCCGGCCCCGGCGGCAGTGGCGGCGGCAGCGGCACAAGTAACACCCGCGATGGCGGCGGCGGTCCCGGCGGAGGAGGAGGATTCGGCTCCCTAGTCTGCAAACACTGGCTGCGGGGCCTCTGCAAAAAGGGCGAGAGCTGCGAGTTTCTGCACGAGTACAACCTGCGTAAGATGCCGGAGTGTAATTTTTTCGTGCGCAACGGCTACTGCAGCAATGGCGACGAGTGCCTGTACCTGCACATTGACCCGTCATCGCGGATGCCGCCGTGTCCGCATTACGAGCGGGGGTTTTGTCCGCTGGGCCCGCGGTGTGAGAAACGCCATGTGCGAAGGCGGTTGTGTCCTTATTTCTTGGCTGGGTTTTGTCCGGATGGGAGGGCGTGTCGGGAGGGTGCGCATGCTAAGTGGACGGCGGAGGGGGAGTTGGAGAAGCCGAAGGTTAGGGAGGAGAAGTCGAAGGAGGAGATTGAGGAGAGGGAACGGGAACGGGAGGCGCAGATGCAGATGCATAGGGATAGGGAGATGGATCGGGGGAGGGAGAGGGATGGGGACAGAGGCGGGCATGAAGGGCGGCATAAGGATCGGTTTGGTGGTGGGAGACGCGGGGGGTGGAGAGGGAAGGGGGGAAGATTCAGGGGGAGAGGGCATTAGAGTGGGGAGCATCGGAGAACTCTGTTACGGGAAAGCAAGCTTTCTCAGGTGGCCTTCAAGAACGCTCAATTTTATCCGTACAGTTGTTATTTACCCCACGGAAGCAAGCAAGACGCAGAAAGTGCGGGTTCAAAAAGAAAAGGAGGGAGAAGGGCTTGTTATACGCCCTTGGTTCATGAGCCATTCCTATGTATCCTTCCAACCCAAGTACGCCGAGTCGTGAGGTGCAGCAACAAATACTAGCACCGATCATATACATACCCAAACCCCAAAATCATAAACCCGCCCACTCATTCTGATTTAGCAGCACAATCTCTGTCATCAAAGATCAGTCCGCCTCCAAACATTCGCATCGGCGACATGTTCCAACGGCGGCACCGTAACAAACGACTCATTCCCGGCCTCATCACTCTTCGCCGACTTGGGACTCCCAAATCCCGACGGTCCATTCCCCTGCCACGCCGCCAGTTCGTCGACCCTCCTGATCCCCATCATCCACGACACCAAGCCCCGCGGCACCCACCGCCCGACAAAGCCGTACATGCCCGCGCCCAATCCGACCTGCACCGTGCTCGTTGTGATCGACCCATCCATCACGTCAAACACGGCGTTGTGCAGCTCCTTGAGCGAGCTCCCCCTCATTCCCCGGATCCGGCCGGCGCTGATGGCCGACCCGGATTGCGAGACGTAGTTCTTTCCGTATGCGTGCCGCGCCGAGTCTGGCCACGGCAGCGCGTCAGCGTCCTCCGGCGCGGAGCGGAGCCCGCCCGGTTGCAGCAGGCGGGAGTTGGCCGCCGGCGTGAAGCCTGACAAGTCAAACGAGCCGAGCTGGATGTGTGTTACGGGGATTCCGAGCGGCCCCAGCTCCCCCGTCAGCACCTCGGTGAAGGCGGAAAGGGCGGAGCAGACAGTCGCTTCGGGAGCGTGAAACGGTGGGTTGATGGAGGAGATGACGGAGGGTGTGAAGACGAGCACTTTCGGGCTTGGCCTATCCTTGTCCGACGGCGGGCCGAGGCGCGTTGTGAGGACTGGGAGGAAGGCTTGGATGGTGAGAATCGGCTGGAGGAGGTGGGTGTTAAATAGGTCGGCGAAGCTTGAGGGAGGGATCGTCGCGATGGGGGAGGTTTGGTATTTGAGCGACGGGATGAGGATGACGGATTTGAGGCTAATGTGGTGCTTTTTGCCATTCGGAATGGCCGCGTGAGGAGCCTGGAGATAGCGGGCGAATGTTTCGATGGAGGCTCCCGCGTTCGTGGGCTAACAGAGAACAATGAGTTAGTCGAGGGGTTACAAATCCAATACGAGTCTTGGGCTAAAAGCGTATGACGTACATCGGTGATGTCAATACCCAAAGGCCTGATATCTGGCCGTGCTAGGTTTTGAACCATGATCTCGTCCTCGTGGCTATTGCACACCACAAAAACGATGAAGCCCCTCCGTTCGAGGTCCAACGATAGCGACCTCGTCAGGGGCAGTGCGGGGGACCCCGCGATCACGACAACATCCATGCGGCCTCCGGTACGCGCGCGCCTCGCCCGCCGTGTCTTCCTCCATCGCGCGGTGCTCTGGTATGTCCGGTAAGCCACGTAGCCGGTCGTGACCACGACGAAGCCGACGAGCAACCTGTTCCGTGAGAGCCAATTTTGGGCTCTCTCGAGGGCGGATGTCGGCACGGCGATAATTGCGGGCGGGGGCGGCGGTAGTCGGGGCCGGAACTGCTCAGGTACCCAGTCGGACTTGGCGAGGGTATCCCGCAGCGTCTCGGCTAGTTGGTCGACATGGCGGTCCACATAGTCGGCGACATTTCGCGAGTATTTCTGGATGTCGTTGGGGAGCGACGACAACTAATTCGAGGCACATGGTGCCTGCCGGTTAGTTTGGCTGCCTCTAGTGGGGGCATTGCACAGCTTGCAAGCCCATAACAAACGCGGGGATAAAGAGCTGAAGCATACCACGTCCAAAAAAGCCTGGTCATCCGCTGACATGATGGCGAGATTGTCGGTGCAGTCCCTCGTGGTGTTCTACATCGACCGGGAAATGGCGGAAGGGGGGTTTTTGAAGGCGGTCAGACTTGCGTCCGAATGAGCTGGCAGTGGGATGGAGGGACAAAAAGCTGCCGGGTGAGTTATCGGGCTTGGGCGGCCTTATCGGTGGGTCTTGGCGCCCAAACAAGCAGTTCTGGGCCATTGATTGGCCCTCAAGATATGTTAGTTAATTCGTGCTTGATTGGGTTAGCTCAACAGCTTTTATCAAATTCAATGTTCATTTCCCTCAATATCATGGTCATGTTTCCATCTTCATTCATTCAACCTCCCGACATAGTAGGCTTACTATCAGCCCTTTCATCAGAGTTTTCTCGCAACCACCCTCAACCTGACATAGTTATAAACGTGACCCCCTCCCGGCTGCAAACACACCGTTTCCAACACCTCGACCACTTCCCGAATACACGCTTCCCTCTCCTCCCCCTCGGGCAACACCTCAAAAAACAGCTTCGCCATCAACCTCACCCACCCTTCCACCCCACTCTTATCCGCCGGCGTCGGCCGCCACTCCCTCTCCGCCTTCTCAACCTTCCACCCACCCACCTTATCCTCCATCACAGCACGCACCCACTCCTCATCTGGAAAAAACCAAGGATCAGCCTCGCGAGCGCGGGCCAAGCCCACACGCCGCGCCACAGCCGACAACAGCGCCGACCGGATCTCAGATACGTTGCCGAACCCGCCCATCTCGAAGGTGAACGTGCCGCCGGGGACGAGGGCGTCGCGGACGCCGCGGAAGACGGCTTCGCGCGTGTCTTCTTGGCGGAGGATCCAGTGCAGGGCGGCATTGGAGAAGGCCTTTGTGAAGGAGGCGTTTTGGATGTGTGCTGCTGTGGGGAGGGTGGTTACGTCGAGGACTAATTAGGGGGATGGTAAGTTAGTAGTCTGATTCAGGGAGGGAGACAGACGGGAATGACACTCGGCGAACCTTCGAATGTGCATTTCTCGGCCACGCCCGAAGACTCGGCGGCTGCTTTTGCCGCGGCGATCATGGCTGGGGAACTGTCGATGCCATGAACCTGGGCACCGATTTTGCCCATGTCAATGTTGAGAACTCCATCTGGGAGAACAGTAAGTTCGTGCTCACATATTGACTGTCTCTCTTAAAAGATAAAAGGATGGGATTTACCTCCGCAGCCAACGTCCAAAATTACATCGTCCTTCTGAGGGTCGAGCCATTGCATGGCCTTGGTAGCTAGTTTCGGTACAAACGACGCTGCATTTTGGTAGGCCTGTTTCTCTTGTCAGGAACTCCCAGTATGACAGCATGGTTTTTTATTAATAGGAGGAACGGTGGATGTGTCCAACCTCAGAAGACCAATTGTCGTTTTGCCCCGCCATGGTGTAAGTCGAGGTGTTCGTCGTAGGTAGTACCTAATAACAGAGGATCGAAATTCGAGCTGAAAATGGTGATTGCGGAGAACTGCAGCGGGGAAGCTGAGGCAGGCAGTTCCAGGTCCTTAAATACACGAAATGCGCTGAGCTCCAACCAACGGTATAATCATAACTTACAACTTGTGGTGGGCGTCTACCCTAGTTGTCGCCGATGTCGGCCGATGTCGGAGCTCACCATCAACCACTAACATCTGATCCACAGCCACATCAACTTGTTGAATTTAGCAGTCAATCGCAGTTAACTCATGGCGGCTCTGTAATTGCTACTTAACATCATGGCATAGACATATCCTCGTTAAAGCATCGCTCAAATCCTCCCTAATAATGCCCCTCCCGATATCTCACTTCACCCCCTTCAAGTCCATGAGATCACATGCATTCAGTCCAAATCATCCCAGCCCAAGAGCTGGTACTTGTCATCTCCAAGAGCATCCTCCAGCCGCTTCATGACCGCCAGCACCTTCTCCTCCTCCAGCCGCCGGCCCACCACCTGCACGCCCACGGGAAGTCCATGCATGCGCTCAGAATCGTAGAGCTTGTACGCCCCGCGCGCTACGCCGTTCAGTTTCTTCACGTTGAAGGAAGCCGGGATCTGGTCTAATGCCCTGTCCACGTGGGTGATCGGGAGCACGCCGGCGGAATAGTCGAGCTGTTAGAGAACGGTTGGTTAGCTCAAGGTTTGTGGTGTTGGATGTGAAGGTCGGGGTCGGGGTTGGGGGGACTCACCAAGTTGAACAAGAACGTATACCCGCAGCTGCTCACGGCGTCATGCATGCCGTCGTGGGGCACTGCGGGTGTAGCGTTTGGAGGCGTGATGAGAATGTCTAGTTTCTGCTCATCCCACCACTGGAACCACTTGGCGCGGTACACCTCCCTCTGGCTGACCAACTTCCAGTTCTCAAATGCAGACTGGGGCCGCCAATGCCTCACTAGACCAGCCCAGACGTGGTCTCCTTGCACATACTTCGCCCAGAGGTAGTAGAGATACCGGAACGGCGCCCAAATCCCAGCCAGCTTTTTGAGCTGCGCTGCGCCGGCATCAAGGCGCTCACCCGGCCGCCGGAAGGACTCAAACATCTGACAACCATCGGCGTTCAGCAGCAGCGAGGCAAGCTTCAGCCCCTCGTACATGTCCGGTGCTCCAGTCAGTTCCACAATCTCACACCCTTGCTTCCTCAACGCCGTCTCTGCCATCTCCAGCGCCCTCTTGCACGCCGGGCTCGGGTCGACCACCCCATCCGTTCTCAACACACCAACCCTCAACTTCCTCCCCGCATCCACAAATTCCGTCTCAACATCCCCCCGCCACGGCAGTGGATGCACCGTGTAATCATACGTCCACGGCTTCATCTCCCCCAAAATTACCTTAGCAAAATACGTCAGATCCCCCAACGTCCGCGCCATCGGGCTATACACGCTCGGCACCCCTTCCTGCCCCGGCATGCTAGTCGCAATCCCAGCCTTAGGCCACCGCCCCGTCGAGCACCGAATCGAATAACACCCCGCAAAATGCGCCGGCACCCGCACGCTCCCAGCCACATCACTCCCAATCCCGATGCGCCCACCAGCCGCCAGCAGCGCTGACTCACCTCCCGTGCTCCCGCCGGGCGTGTAGGCCGGATTGTGCGGGTTGCGCGCACGACCCCACACGTCGTTGGCGCTCTCGAAGCTGAGGAGCGTGATGGGCAGGTTGGTCTTGACGTAGGGTACCGCGCCGGCGTCTTTGAGCATCCGCACCATTGGTCCGTCTGTGGGCGCGGGACGGTTCGTGAAGGAGGAGTAGCCTACCGTGGCGTCGTACCCGCCGACGACGACGGTGTCTTTGAGGCTCACGGGGATACCCGCCAGGGGGCCGCGGAGGTTGATTTCGGCTGTTTCTTTGCCTTCGGTAGAGGAGGAAGAAGACGAAGTAAGCCACTGCTCGGCGGACGGCAGTAGGATCTCGGTCAGGCAGTTGGTGCGGGCGTGTGCCTTGAGGGCGAGCTTGCCGTATGTCCGGAGGACGGAGAGTGCTGTGGCGGTGCCGCCGGCGTGGACGGATGCAACGAGGGTCTCGATTGGCTGAGAGAGGGTCTCCTTGTCATCTGCGGTGAGTGGGCCGTGGTAGTCGGTTAGGGAAGAAACAAGGCGGGCGCGTTCGGCTTGTTTGGCCTCGCTGGGCCGAGGGGGAAAAGGCCGAGGTTAGCTTGGGGATGTTGGGCGAAAAGAAGTGATTTGGGCAGGGGTAAATTAACATACCAGTCCCGCCTGTGCTGTAGATAGTCGAGTATAAACATTGTGTCTAGTGCCTGCCAGATAATGGGTGAAGTCGGAACTTGTGTGGTATGAGTGAATCTTCGAGCGGGGACCTCGAATGAGTTCAATTGTGGATTATTCGGGTGGGGAACGCTCGTGTGGTTCAAGAAAAACGAGCAAACGTGTGGTGTAACCTTCGAATATTAAAAGCGCCGGAAACATAGGTTTATTGCCAGCCTAGCAGGTGCAACAAACACTGCAATTGTTGTTTGGTTCGTCCCCAAATGCAATTGGGAATGAGAGCAAATGGCAGATGGGCGGGTACAAGTACCTTGCGGCCGGTGTAAGTGATAAGATAGCGGGAAGGCAGGTGATGTGTGGGGAAGCGGAGTTCCCCCGCAAACCCGCAGACTGCCCTGCCCCACTTTGCCCATTCCGATAACGCCCCTTGAGCCGTTGAGAGCCGGCCAAAAAGCCTCCTCCCTCTTCCATTCGTAAAGGCAATGAATCTAGACTTTTCCGGTGGACAGTGATTGGCGCCGGCGTTGAGGTGAACACTCCCCTGCGAGTTGTGTTGCTCATGATTCGATTACTTCGTTATGGAAACAGCTAGGAGCCAGACGCTCGACGACGTGTCAATTGTGACGCAGCAAAGGGAGGGTGACTCGAGGGCGAACAACCAAAGACAAAGAGAAAGCGACGCCCCTTGCCTGCACTACAAAAAATATCAACTCGCTAGCCACTCCGAAGCAAGTGACAGAAGGTACTCCGGGAACCGATCTAACCCAAGCCATGACCTGACACATCCACCCAACCAACCCACTTTGTCCCGGGCCTCTCATCCGTAATAGCCACCGCCCGTTCCTTGTTCAGCACAAACGTTCCTAAAAACCTTCGAGTGTTGGAAATTCCAGACTACTGGCCACCTATGGCTTGGTCTCATCCTTCTTTTCAGTCTGCAGAGATCCCTCGCTGACCAGCACCGGCGCAATACGTCTACGCTTGGGCTGAGTCCCGGATGATTCTTCCTCGGCTTCAGTCTCCCGTTTGGTGCCCGCCGCCGCCGCCGCCGCCGCCGCCGGTGCTGGTGCGGCGTGAGAAGCGCGCGGGGTCTCCGGGGGCGTGGTTATCGGAAGTCCAACTACCTTGCTCGAGTTTGTCGCCGCAATGCTCGGTACCTGGCCGGCAATTAGGGGCGGATTACTTAACACGCCCGACTGTGATGATGACGACTGCCCGACGATCGACGAATTCGAGATTGATCGCGCCGGAGAAGCCGCTCGCGGCGTGACGAAGGAAGCCGTCAGCGTTGGTGGTGATGGAGCTGTGAGTGAACTGGTCGAGTCGCGATGTCGGTGATGCGAGCCATTGGGGAACGGTGATGGCGGCGCAAAGACAGAGGTTGGCGTTGGCGCTGGGGTATTCTGGCTTGACGCAGCTGCAGCCGGAGGTTTCGGCGGGCCCAACTCCCCGGTGTACACGGTCCCCAGCTCGCCAGGGGCAAATGATAGTGTCGAGCAGAAACCGTCCGACGACGAAATAAGAAGCGTCAACCCGTCGGTCGACCTAACAGATATTAGCATTACCGGGCTTCTGAGAGGAGCAAAACATGGCCACAGGATGACTTACCAAGCTAGATCTGTGAAAGTTGCACAATGCAAGTTGCTCACGACGCATATGGGCGTGTGTTGTTGAGTGTCATACAACAAGACAGAGTCTTGGGTGGCCACAGCGTACACCATCCGGTACGGCAGTGCGAACACTGATTTAGGCCCCTGGCCTTGTACTCCGGTTTCCAAGCTCAGCGTCTTGGACGAAGAGCTTGATGCCTCAGCGGGGACCGGCGGTGGTGGCGGGTCCATGACCGACGGCGCTGGCGAGGGCTCGGAAAGAGGTTCTGGGAGCGATGGGATGGGCTCTTCGGAAGACGAGGTGTCGATGGTGATGTTCTTCGTGACAGGCGGAGACTGCCGCAAGGTATAAACAACCGGAGAGCATCGCACAGCAACCGATGGCTTTTTGTGGCCCGGCAAATGGGCGATCGGGGGCTTGTTGATGCCACCGCGCGTGTAGATGTAGACCGTGTTGATGATTTCGTACGTTGTTTTTGCACCCTCTACCTGGTGCTGGGTCTGGTATTGGCCGGCAGGGGTGAGCAGGAGACTCCCATCGGGTGTGAACGTCAGCCGTCGGAAAAACGAGGTTAGGGTCTCGTTTGCGTAGAGGCTAGCATTCTTCATGCCCAGGCTAGTGTTGTTAAGGTGTGGCTTGGGAGAAGCCTCGATGGGCATCACTGCGGGTAACGGCATGGATGGGGCGGGCGAAGCAGACCGCCTAGAGGAGAACGAAGTTCTCCGGCTGTGACTAATGACGCTGGGTGGGTTCATCGGCAGTGCCATGGAAGTCGGGGTCCCTGGCGCCGATGGAACGGGCGAGCCGATCGCGACGCCCGGCACAGCATCTACGGCCGCAAGAACCGACCGGTACCCTGTGTCAGGCGGAGCCGGGCTGCTGGAAGAAATACGTCTGGGGGGCAGGTCGGTTTTCGCGTGACTGGCGAGCTTCGGCGGTTTATCGTCGTGGCTGTGGAGTGTGTATTGGCCGTCTTTCGTCCTTAGAGAGTAAATGTGTACAGAGCGGTCGGATGACTGTGTCGCGATGTACTCGTTCAACGGGTCCCACGCAACGCCCTGGACATAATGGCTATGTTCGGCGATTTGGCGTACCAACGTCCCTGGAAACATGGTTGGTCAGCATATCCTCCCTCATCGCCAAGGTAGACACCCTCAAGAAAAGTATAACACCTACCTGTCCCAGCGTTATAAATCCTCGCAACATTATCCATGCTGCCGATAATGAAGAATGAGGCGTCGGGCGACCAGGCTAGATCGTATATCTCTGTCCCCAGCGACCGACACATGTGCTTCGTACGCCATGTCTCCTTGTCGTCGAGGCCCTCGGAACCGAACGTCGGATGGTGCGTTTCGGAACGCACCCACAATATCACGTTGCCATCGTCCCCGGCGGATGCAAGGAGTTCGCCTAGACACATGGTGTTAGCGGCGTACATACCTCCGTAGCTTGTGATGGAACACCTGTAGTGGGGGATGAAGTTACCCTTAGGGGCCCAGCGGACGACATTCACAGCTTGTGTGTGCTTTGCGAGGGTCGCAAGGTAGTCGACTTTCCGGCCTTCGGAGCCCTCCTCAAATTTCCACAACTAAAATGATGTTAGTTCCAATATCAAATGGGCCCGCCGCTGGAAGAGGCACACATCGCCCTTACCCGAACGTTATTGTCACCAGCACCGGTCGCAAGTCTGCCTTTGCCGTTGGGCTCAAAGTGAGCCGAGTAAATTGGGTATGGGTTGTTGTTGTCGTGATGCCAATTTATGATCAGCGGAGTTGCCTTCATTTTGGCGGGTAGTCGGCCCCAAAGCCGTGGTCATCCAACTAGGGCGGTTCTCAGATCTCGTGTGGTCCAGTGGGGTTGGTGAGAATCTTCGTGTTAGTCAGAGTCGAAGGGCAGTCCAAAGATGCTGCGAGGTTGCCGAGATAATATCGGGGGTTCCTCTCGAGGGCAATTGATCAGGAAAGCGGCGGCGGGTGTTTGGGTTGGCCGCAGCGGGCCCTGGTCGCGGTGTTGGTGAAACAAGCGGGCAAGCTTAGTAGCAGAGCAGGGCTATCGCCGATGAGGTTTCCGACGGTGCAGTCCGTGACCTTTGTCAAGGTTAGGAACAAGTTCGCGAAATGAATCGAATACCGAGGCCTTGATTCTAGATTGTTCAAAAACAGACGTAATTTGGCGGATTTGGATGCTTCTTGCAATCTAATCGGATCGATGGTGTCGGTTTGCTTGCAGCAAGTGGACCACGCTCAGCACGCGTGGGTGGATTCAGCACTGCAGCAGCAGCTCACGTTCAGCTGATCCTTGTCGCGTCTTTGCCAATCGGCGCGCCTGACGGTCCGGCCTCTCCCCCACTTTCTCTGTTTGAAGCTCCAGGAACCGCGCCTCTGCAACCAACTGCTCGGGCTTTACGGGCAGCTGCAGGAGAAGACCAATTGACTCGCAAAACGCATTTGCCTTTGCCAAGTGTTTGAGGTCTGCCATGAAACTCACCGTCAAGATCTGTTGCTTATACTCAGAATCTCACAAGTTTGCATAGTCCTCTTTTCTGTGCGGTTTCCATGTTTCCCGGCTTCTGGTGAAAATACCTACCTACGTTACGGTAAACGACCCCTATAGCACGGATAACATACCCCCATACAAGAAAAGTACGGATCTCTCCTGCGTCCTCCGGGCAGATAGCATTTTTGGCCATTTTTCCTTTTATGGTTCCGCCCCCAAACTGGTACTGCCACTGCACATTGACTTAATGAGGCAGATACGCAAGTCCATCGCAGCCTGGAAATCGCAAGGAGGTTCCGTTGCGTCTGGCCTGTCGCGAGGGAACCCCCAAGCCGCGTACAGACGGACAGTACTTCGTAGAGTCATTTGGCCTGTCACACGGTTCCTTCCCGGTTGCCCAATCAGCTCGCCGGTGGTCGTCATTCATCCATTGAAGTCTTGTTTCGACAACACCCACACATCCACTGCGACTTGAGTCCGGTCTGGGCCTAGCTGGATTGTGGCCGGTCCTGTCATTCAAGCTCTTCGTATCTACACTGCACGTGTATGAGATGGCTGGGAGATCATCGAGTCAATCCGAGTCCCGCCAGTTGCGCGGGCTGGCTGAAATATTTAAACTCGTTCGTTGATGAACGCTGATACACCCGCTTTCGGACTGCGCTGATCAGCCTCAAGCCCGCAAACAAATCGGCAGGCGGCCAGCGCACTTGGCGGCACCGGCGGGACCGGGGACCGGCGCGATCGGCGGGTGGAGGGCGGCCGGATCCCTCGTCCCGCGCTTGGCCCTTGTCCCGTTCCTCGAAAAGAAACAAAGGCGCGCCAACAGCAGGGGCCTTCGATAGACGACAGCTTGCTTGTCATGCTGAGTGCTGAGAATGAGCAACAAAAGCTTGTCAGCCGCTGATTTCTTAGACACAACGTAGGCAATAGGAGACGCCGTTTTCACAGTGAGCTCGGGTTTGGAGAGCGTGTCCGGTTTTCAATGGTACCAAGGCTCTGAAAAATGGCCCGCACACTCATTACCGGGTGCTGGCCGGAAAGGACTGTTACTGGAATCGTCTCGCCGGAAGAAAATGACAGAGTCCACACTCTCACGCCGAGACTTTCTGCTCGGATTTCTTGATCAGCAAAGCATCCCACAGCGTTCAAGGAGCCAATGGCCATGAGCCTAATTCCCGCGACTCCGCCAAGATGGGAAGGTGCCAACCATTGCTATCACAGAGGGTCGTTCAGAGCCCCGCAGCCGGGGGATGTTCAGCCACCTTCACCGCATGAGTCAAACTCCATCGAGGTTCGACCGTTCTGCTGGGAAGCGGATGGCGGAATTGGAAATCGGCCCAGTGAAGAAAAAGAAAACGATGCTGACTGCCTGAGTCCATCCCCCTCACCTCCCGTCATCTCTTTTTCATTCTTTTTCTTCCGCCAGCTCAGAGTTACCACAGTGGCCTCCCAGCTGAGGCTACAACATCTCCTCCCCCGCAACTCCCAACGGGGAGTGCTTTCTCGCGACTGTTGTTGACTTTTAAATTCTTTGTTGTTGGTTACATTGATTGCACTGCGCAGCGTTGGAGGAGGTTGAAGATCTTGAAAATAACCCGACCCATTGATCTGGGCACCAGCGGCCAGCCAACGCGAACACCAAGCGCCCCCGACCCACTGTACGCAGCCAAGCCTCCCTGAAGGCAGCTCGGACTTAAGACAGCGCCGAGACCGCATTAAGAAGCCAAAAGACTCGGACTCGCACTTTTGAGAGTGTGTGCCTAGGTGCTCGTGTCCAACAAAACATCACCATCACAAGGGCTTAACATGCCTTCCGATGGCTTTACTCCAATGCTGAAGGTTTTTGGAGCGGGAGTCGCCGTTGTCGGGCTGTGCTCCGTGCCGGCTTTGAGTAACGCGGTCACTCGCTTTACACGTCCAGAGGCCAAGCGAGACGGGTATGAAGACAGCGATGGCAAGGCATCACCCGAGGCCGTAAAGGCCTTTTCGGCCAAGCTACCAAAATCACTCGTCTTGATCTCTAGTGCCCTCGGAATTGCCCTGTCGATCGCCCTCCTGGTCGTCACACCTCATTCAAATGAGCAGCTGTTGAGGAACAGCTTAAGTACAGGAGCTTGGGTAAGCGCCAAACACTACGGATCACTAGCCTCCTGTGACTCTATGCATTCCACCGCTTTGCATTTTATCTGATTTTTATGCTGATTCCTTCGGTAGGCTCTGCTGCTCTTCCAAGCCGTAACTATTGCCTCGAGCAAAAACTCGGTTCGCGCCTATACGCTCGGTCTCTACACCTCCTTGTCCGCCATCGTCTTTGCCGGTATCCTCCTGAATCAAGGCACTGAGATTGCCGAGCCCTTGCTGCGTTCGGCTCCCTGGCTGTTTGCCCTTCGCGTAGTCGAGCTTGTCGTTGCCATCTTCTTAGCCACCTCGGCGCTTTGCATCCCTAGACGGCCCGATGTCTACTATCAGGGCAAGCTGGTGGACCGTATGCACACCGCCTCGGCTCTTGATCGCTTCTCGTGGGCCTGGGGATCGAACCTACTCGACCTTGCCTCGAAGAAGAAGGACTTGGACCTCGAGGACCTCACGCGACCAGATCATCTCAGCCGCGCTTCCTCCGTGTCCGCCAGGTGGGCGGTAGAAACCAAGCCGGGCCGGCGCCTCTGGATCTCCTTGGTAATAGCCAACAAACGAGCCCTTATCCAGCAATGGTTCATCACCTTTGTTTCCTCCATCTTGAACTTTGGTCCGCAGTGGGTGACCCTACAGCTCCTGCGCCTCCTCGAAGACCGAGTGCCCGGCACCGAGCATGGGATCCAAGCTTGGATGTGGGTTGTTTGGCTCGCCGTTGTCATCATTGCGCAGTCGTGGATTGAGGCGTACGTATGGTGGCTTGCGTGGTCCGACCTGCATATCCCCGTCCGCGCCCAGTTGTCTTCGTTGATCTTTGAGAAGTCGATGCGCAGGAAGGACGTCAAGGGTGCTAGCAAGTCTAAGAAGGAGTCTGAGGGAGAAAGCGGAGATGGGACGGCGGCCGAGCCTGGACAATCGGCTGCGGCAACCGAAGCCGATGACTCAGAGGACCTCAAGAAGAGCAAGCAGAGCACCGTCAACCTGATCGGTGTCGACGGCAAGCGAGTGTCGGAATTTGCTGCTTTCCAGAATCTTTTCCCCGGCAGTCTGTTTAAGCTCGTCGTCTCTCTCATCTTCCTACTCGACCTCCTAGGCTGGAAGGCCCTCGTGGTCGGGTTTTCCTCCATGCTCGCCATCATGCCGATCAACGTGTACTTCTCGAAGCAATACGCCGCCGCGCAGGATCGTCTGATGAAGGTCCGGGACGAGAAGATGGTTGTTGTCACCGAGGCGCTGCAGGGCATCCGCCAAATCAAGTTCTCCGCGCTCGAGCCTGAATGGGAAGCTAAGATTGGAGCCGTTCGGGAGCGTGAGCTTAGCGCAATCTGGAGTGTTTTCATGAACGACACCATACTCATTGGCTGCTGGATCACAAGTCCGATTCTCCTAGCCGCCATCTCACTGGCCGTCTATGCGATGGTGACGGGATCGCTGATTCCATCTGTCGCCTTCGTCAGCTTGGGCGTCTTCAAATCGCTCGAGATGACCCTGTCCGTTGTTCCGGAGCTCACCACTGACTTGCTAGACGCGTGGGTGTCCGTTACCCGTATCGAACAATACCTGAACTCGCCCGAGGTGGAACATGTTTCCAAGGACTCGGACGAAGTGTCGTTCGACAACGCCTCGATCGCCTGGCCCTCGGATGAGAAGATCGAAGAAGAAGAGCGGTTCGTGCTCCGCAACATCAACGTCACCTTCCCCAAGGGCGAACTTTCGGTCATCTCGGGCAAGACTGGCACCGGCAAGAGTCTGGTACTGGCTGCGATCCTCGGCGAGGTGGACGTCTTGGGCGGTACTTTCTACGTTCCCAGAGCGCCCCCGCTTTCCGACCGCCACGACAGCAAGGCCAATAAGGGCAACTGGATCATCCCCAAGGCGATCGCGTATGTTGCGCAAATTCCCTGGATCGAGAACGCTAGCATCAGGAACAACATTCTGTTCGGTTTACCCTGGGACGAAGAACGGTACAAGAAGACGGTCGAGGTCTGTGCTCTGACGAAGGACCTCGAGATGCTTGACGACGGCGAGAACACCGAGATCGGTGCGAACGGTATCAACCTGAGCGGCGGGCAGAAGTGGCGTGTCACCCTTGCGAGGGCCATCTACTCCCGGGCCGGTATTCTCGTTTTGGACGACATCTTCAGCGCCGTCGACGCCCATGTCGGACGCCACATCTTTGAGAAGTGCCTCAACGGTGAACTCGCCGTAGGCAGAACGAGGATCCTGGTTACTCACCACGTCGCGCTCTGCGAGCCCAAGACCAAGTTCCTCATGGAACTTGGCGAGGGCCGTGTGCTACACTCTGGCCTCCTGTCGGAACTGCGCGAGGACGGCACGCTACAGCAAATCCGGAGCCACGTCCAGGAACCGGAGGAGGTTGAGGCAGATGAGCAGGCCACGGCTGTGAACTCGGACAACTCTTCCCTCGACGGGCCTGAACCAGGCCTCATCGATGACAGTCCCCTCCAGAAGGTCCCCTCCAAGGCTCCCGAGGCACGCAAGTTTGTGGAGGAAGAGGCGCGCGAAAAGGGTGCGGTGCGGAGAAAGGTCTATGCCACGTATCTGAAGGACAGCGGTGGAGCTATCTTCTGGTTGTTTGCTGTCGTGATCTTTATTTCGGTGCAGGTGTTTAACATTGGTACGTTCCTCCCCACTCTACTAACTCACTCCTTTCATCCTTTTTTCAACGACTTGGTGCTAATTTAGCTGGGTTAATCAGCTCGTTCGTGGTGGTTGAAGATTTGGACCGGCAACAACCAAGAGCAAAGCATTCATTTGCAGAACATTCATCAGCAGAGCATTCCCAACCTATCCAGCCAGTTTGGGTATTTCTACCCCGAGAGTGTCCACCAGTCGCTCCATGTCTTGTCCGACCCGATTTTCCATCCCGACTTGAGTTTGTTTTTCTATCTTGGCATCTACGTCGCCCTGGCCGTCACCTCTTCGTTGATCAGCACACTCAAGTTCGCATACATTTACATCGGGTCGGTCCGTGCCAGCCGCACGCTCTTCGCCAAGCTGAACTTCGCCATCCTTCGTGCCCCGATCCGCTGGCTCGACACCGTGCCGGTCGGCCGTATCCTCAACCGCTACACAACCGACTTCAATACCATCGACTCCCAGCTCGCTAACGCGGTAGGCTTCGGCGCCAACTCCTTCCTGGGCCTCATCGCCGTCATCGTCGCTGGTTTCTTCGTGTCGCCCTACATTGTGCTCCTCGCCTGCTTCCTTCTCCTGATCTGCCTCTACTACGCCCTCCGGTACCTTGGCGCGGCGCGGCCGGTCAAGCGCTTGGAGAGCACGACCAAGTCTCCCGTTTTCGAGCAGTTCGGCTCCGCACTGACCGGCGTCACGACCATCCGTGGGTTTGATAAGACGCAGGTTTACATCGAGCGCATGTACGAGAAGATCGACGACTATTCGACGACCACCTGGCATCACTGGATGTTCAACCGGTGGATGGGCTGGCGCATGTCGCTCGTCGGCTCCTTCTTCTCTAGTTTGGTGTCGATTCTTATCTTGCTGACTCCCGGGATGGACGCTGCTCTTGCGGGCTTTGCGCTCTCGTTTGCGCTCGAGTTTTCTAGCTCCGTGATGTGGACTATTCGGTTGTACGCGACCGCCGAGCTGAACATGAACTCGGCAGAGCGGATTGTCGAGTACACCGAACTTCAAACCGAGTCTCTCGGCGGCGTTAGCCCCCCAGCAGCGTGGCCCACCGAAGGTCGCATCGAAGTCGACGATCTGGTCGTCGGCTACGCATCCGACCTGCCCCCCGTCTTGAAGGGCCTCACCTTCAACGTCAACCGCAACGAGCGCATCGGCGTGATCGGCCGCACCGGTGCCGGCAAGTCTTCCCTCACGCTCGCGCTGTTCCGCTTCCTCGAAGCCCGATCCGGCAGCATCCACATCGACGGCATCGACATCTCCAAGATCAAACTCCACGACCTCCGGTCCCGTCTCGCCATCATCCCGCAAGACCCCGTGCTCTTCTCCGGCACGGTCCGCTCCAACCTCGACCCCTTCGGCCACCACACCGACGCCGCCCTGCGCGACTGTCTCGAACGCGTGCATCTCATCTCGGACACCTCCGGGTCCGCCACGCCCGTCGAGTCCGCCACCCCGACCAACACCAACATCTTCTCCGACCTGTCGTCGCCCATCTCCGAAGGCGGCCTCAACCTGTCCCAGGGCCAGCGCCAGCTGCTGTGCCTGGCGCGCGCCATCGTGTCGCACCCGCGCGTCATGGTCCTCGACGAGGCCACGTCGGCCGTCGACATGCACACCGACGCGCTCATCCAGCGGAGTATTCGTGAGGAGTTTACGGATGCCACGCTGCTGGTTATTGCGCACCGGCTGAGCACCATTGCGGATTTCGATCGTGTGCTGGTGTTGAGTGATGGGCGGGTGGCTGAGTTTGGCACGCCCAAGGAGTTGTGGGAGAAGGGTGAGGAGGGTATATTCCGGGGGATGTGTGAGGAGAGTGGGGAGAAGGATAAGTTGAGGGGTATTGTGTTTGGTGAGAAGTAAGCCAGCAACGATATTCGCTGTTGGCTGTCTTGGGTTTCTTTTTTTCATTATTATTTCCTTGTTTTTTGGTTGGGTTTCTGGACGCGAAGGCTACGCTTGGATGACGGATGCCATGGGTGCGCTTTAGCCATATTGAACGTGGCATAAGCGTAAAAGTCTAGGCTGAGGGTGACAGCCTACAGCGTGGAGGTTTTGGATTTCCGTGGTACATTTCCTTGTTGCCTTTTTCCTTTTGGGCGGTTCAAAAATAAAAACAACAACAATCTCCTTGTGTTTTCCCAGGCCAGCTATTTGGCGATACGCATGGCAAAGGCTTTTGGGATAAGCTTTTTGTTTGCTTTTGTGTTTTTCCTCCAGCAACAAAACACTCTGGACAACAATTGAAATATGAGCGCATCAAAGCGCATTATCCATGTTCAACTTTTTGGACTTGTATGGTGCAGGCCTTGACTTGAAGCAAAGAGTGTGTCCACAAATACACGTCAACTATTAGTCTCGGTTTGTGATTCCTCACCGAATTCCATAACCAAATTCAGGACATAATTGAGTGTAGGTGCGGAAAGAAAGGTTTGCGTTTGCGCACCATTGCAGCAAGTAGTAAGGGGGATACAATGCAAGTTTTTCAGTTGCTATAATGTACATGATCGAGATACAATCCACCCACCGACCATCAGCCAATGCCCAACCCCCCTCCCATCAAACTTAACCCCCAGCCAAAGATACCATTCAACTTATTCCCCAGCCCAAGACAACATCCTCATTCAAGTCCATCCATTCCCAGCCAAGGGTAGAAGAAACAAAAACAAAACAAACCCACCAACATGAACCTCAGAGCATCCATATCGTCATAGTCCGCACCTCTCGACCCAGATCCCACCCAGCTGGCATAGTTCATTACAAATTAAAGCCAACAACAAGCAAATATAAAATATAAAAGCAACGCATTCATCTCCTAGCCCCCTGTCCAAATATATCCTTGAGGATCTGGTGGTGAAGGGTAAGTGCTCTAAGTAACAAGACAACATAACAAGAGGGACAAAAGAAAAAAAAAAAGATGGATCGCGCTCCCAAATCATAATCACCACACCGTCCGTACCTACCGCCCCGACTTTGATGTCGGGTATCTCGGCTCCTTCCTCTCTGGCTGTCTGTCCAATACGCCTGGCTCCAGCTGCGCGGGCTGGGTAGGCTGTTGGGATGTGATGCCAGGGTGAGAGGAAGGGGGTTGGTGTGGGAGGTGAAGGGGAGAAGAAAATGAGAACTAAAGGGGGGAAGAAATCAGAACGACGACAAAGGAAAAATAAAACGCAAGACGGGAAAACAGATGGGGAGAGACAGGATTGATAGGGAGAAAGAAAGAAACAAAGGGGGGAGAAAAGCCAGATAAGCGCAAGGGCAAGACAACCTCCAGCCTGGTCAACCATGTCCGTCCGTCCGTCCGTCGCAGTCCCATATCGCGAGCCAGATATCCCATCCCATACCAGCCACCCCCATTTCTCTACCCCTTTGAATCTTATCATGTCGAGTCCTCCATTCACGATCATCTTCCCGGAGTACTTGGTGCATGTCAACTCAATTCAATGGAATGGTCCCATATCCTTAGACTCCCCAAACCAAGTCTCGCTCTCTCCTCCCAACACGAGCCAGAGAGAGAGAAGTACCGAGTCAAACCCCTCTTACTTCCTAGTAGTAGTCGCCAGCACGGTAACCGCGACAGCAACAACAACCAACCAAACCCCACCCCAAACAATAGCGCACATAATGACATTCCTGCGCTGGCGACGCGTCAACGAGCCCACCTCCCCATGCGTCAGCCATCCCAGAGCCGGATCAAACGTGCCGCGGGCAATAAGCGGCGCCATAAAGGGGAAGATACACAGCGCGCACATGAAGATGTACCACATCTGGCGACGGCGGCGCGAGTCCCAAGACAAGTAAGCGTCCTCGGAGTCCTCCAGGGCGGCGGTGGTGAACTGCTGAGGGTGCTCGGGGACAAAGCCGTAGGGCATACCAGCCGGATCGAAGATGGCGCCGTTGGGACCGAGACCGACACTGCCGTTGGCAGCGGCGGAGTCGAGGGCGAGCTGGCGGAGCTCGGCGGGGGAGAGGTAGGACATCGCGATTAGCGAGCTGGTGTTGTGGCCGTTGGCCGTGGACGGGGCCGGGGTCGGTCGGTTATGGTGGCCGGCGGCTTCGGCTTGGGCCAGACGGGCGCGGGCCAGACGACGTTCGTCGCGGGGGACGAGACGGGGCGGACTGGCGAAGACGGCGCGGGGGCCGGCGCGGAGACCGCTGAAGATGCTGGTGCGGAAGGCGCGCGAGAAGCGGTTGGTGCTGCTGCTGCCCTTGGATTTTTTGCCGGCCGTGGTGGCCGTGGTGTCGGCGGCGGCGGAAATGTCGGCCGAGGTGTCGACGAGGGGCGTGCCGCTCTTGAAGGAGGTCACGTTGGAGGTGCCGCGATTGTGGCCCATGATGTCGTCTGTTTGAATGGAGGAGGAAAAAGAATGTTTGTTAGCCATTGCAATGTTGGAATTTTGGGAATAATTCTTTTTTTTTGGTGGAAAATGAAAATGAATGGAATGGAAAACTTGGAAAGGAAAACTTGGAAAGGAAACTGGAAAGGAAAACTTGGAAAGAAAAGCCGGAATGGAATAATGGGAGGGGAGATGGGAAGAGGAAGGAAGGAAGTGACAAAAGAAAAAGACTTACCTAGCATAAACTCGGCACGTCCGCGGGGCGAGTTGGCAATGCCAAAGATGCTGACCGACGAGGGGCGGTACGAAGAGGGACGTGTCGAAGCAGGTCTGGTAGCCGGAGGAGTAGCCGGAATCATCCTGATGTTGGAAGAGACAATGCTCTGGTTCTTGACCGGATGACCAAGAGCGTTGGCGTTGCTGGCTGCTTTAGCTTTGCGTTCGGCGTTCTCGTCAGCAAGTCGTGCCTGGTTAGACTTTTCTCGTTCACGCTCGGCAGCTTCCTTGAGGCCGATCAGGGGAAAACTGAACATGGTGGGGGAACCAAGAGCAACAGCCACCGAGCGGGAGCTGTTTGCTGAGTCCCGGTCCAATCTGGTCAGGTGTGCTAGAGGAGGTGCCCGAGGCAGAGCAGAGGGCAACAAGCCGGAGCCGGATCTGGATCCGGAGCTGGGGCCGGGCTCACTGCTCTGGCCATTGTTGTTGTTCCGGTCGATAATGGTGATCCCGGCCGTGTTATTCAGCGGTCGGCTCAGGGCCCGCATGCCGTCGTGGAAGGCCCCGGTCAGGGGGATCTCAGTGAACCCGTCGGGCGGGTCCGAGTAAGTCGACGAGAGTGACTCCAGAGACTGAAACCGAGAGTCCTTGCTGCTAAGTTTTACACGTTTGTGACTGCTGCCTCGACCAGAGCGGATCGATTTGCTGAGTCTGTCCACCAGGCTGTTACCATTACCACCAGTACCACTGCCGGTAACATTGCCCGCAGCACTTTTTCCTCCTCCACTACGCACTGAGTTGTGGTCACTCCCGCTCCCGGGAAGGTGGCTCATGAACAACCGGCTCTGCCGCTGAAGATACCCGTTCGTGCGGTGAATCCTTGGGGTGGGCGTAAACACCGGATGGTGGGTATCGTTCAAGGTCCGCGGGTAACGGGTGTCGTAATCCCGTAGCGAAGGCTGGAAACAACTCCGCGGCGGCTGCACAGGTTGCAAGAGGATTTGCTCGGTCGAAGCAGAAAAGCCTTCAAAGTCAGGCACGTGGATGCTCTCGGTGTCCGAGTAGTCGGCAATGCTGCTGCCCGTCATCTTAATATGCCCGCTCGAAGGGTCCAGCTCCATCGACGACGCAAAGGCCCGGTTGCTCTCGAACTGGCCGATGCTGGTGGCCACTGTTTCCCAGTCGGCCCCGTCGCTCAATAGAGTGTTCACTTCTCTTCTTCGACGACGTGAACCACCTAGCCCGGGAACCAGGGCACTGAGGCCGCGGTGACCACGAACAGTGCCCGGCGTGTCATTATCATTATTCCCATTATTTCCAGGGCTTTCATTGCTGACGATCCCCGGACGTGCTCCGGGAGCCGGTCGCACTGCAATCCTAACCATGTTGGGGTCATTCGGCCGGGATGCATCGTCCCAGTAGTTCTCAATGGCCTCGTCATCAAAGTCTCTGTTTCGCTTTGTACCAGTGGTCGGAGACTTGTAGCTAGTGCTAGGCCCAGCGCCGCCATATGGGGAACCGTAGCCGGCCGGCGATGAGGTGTGATAAATTCCGCCATCTCCTGTCGAGAACGTGCTGCCTGTGCTCGCGACACGAAGCGCCATGCTCACCTCTCTTTCTCTGGATGGCTCCACGAAGAATGAGGACGTGTTGCTTTGGTCGTGCTCACTCTCACGCTGGCTCTCACGCTGGCGCAGCATGGACTTGTCTTCATCAAAGCCTCTGTCGACACCCTTTACTTTGTCCACCTTCCCATTCTTGTCGACGTCATGGCCATCCTACTGGCCATGGTAAGACTGATGATGATGAGGATGACTGTTGAACTCGGGAAAGTTGGGTTGTGCGGGGAACCGGCCGTAAATGACAAAGTCGGCGGATCCGGACTCTCCAGCGCTCGGCGCAGCAGGTAGGGTGTGAAATCGGCGGCTGGTCGGCGGCGCGACATAGAGCGGATTGATCCGGCAGATGTCGCCTGGGTCGATGGTGCCTGTGTGCTTCACATCGGCCGAGAAGGCATGTTGTGATCTCACAGGGAGACCGGAGTTTTGGATTTCATTGCTGGATGCATCGCTGTTGCTGCTGGCTGAGGGAATGGAAGCCGGAGCAGACAAAGGCTCTTGGGGGAATCTCCCATGTTGAGGATTCACCACCTCCTCAACATAAGGCGCTTGTGATAATCTCTCACGTACAACAGTGCCCATTTGTTGTCCGTCAGCGTGCTGCTGCTGATCAAAGGGGTTATCCCCAGCAGTATTGGCACGGCGCAGCTCGGACCGGTCCTCATAGACATTGTGCTCAACAGTCGGGAACGTGCCGGCTGCCGGCAAGTGGTTAGGTGTAGGCGCATAGACAAGGTGCGCGGTGCTCTCGTTCTCGTCAACCACAGAATGGTCCTCTTCCTGAAGTGGTTCCAAACTGCTTGAATTGCGGCTTTCAGCGGTAGCAACTGCATTCCCAGCCGAGTTGGTCGAATTCAGAGAGTTAGCCGAGTTGACCGAATTGTCAAGGCTCGAGGACCCAAATCCGGAAACATTAGGTGAGGGGTCGACCGGAGAACTGGGCCAACTGCTTGGGTGGCCCCAGTTGCCCCGAATGGCCGGGTTGGCCGGGTTGGCCGGGGCGCCCATGAATGCAAAAGGCGTGACGGAACGCTCACCCAGCCGCCTTCCGGAAGGACTATGATTGCCGCGGTTGTTGCCTCCTATGTCATTCATGAACGGGGGTGTGTGATGCACCACACTCCCCGTCTCGTCATCCTCATCGTCGGCAGACCCAGACGAGCCCGAAACATTGACAAACGAGGTTGACCCAGAAGGAGCAGAAGACGGCTTGGGAGACGTGTCGGACACATCCTCACCCGCCGAGCGAGACGTCGACCTTGAGGTAATGGCCTGGTGGGCGTCGCCGAGATTTGTAAACAGTGTGCCCTTTGGCGTTAGGGAACGCGGGGCATTGTATCGGCCGAGGGGCGCTGGTCCCGGGTCATCAGTTGGGCTCCAGTAGCCCGGGCTTTCGCCCCCTTTGTCATTGTTGTCCAGGCCGGACATCTTGGTTATCGCTGTCACTAGGATCTGAGTTAGCAAATGATCATCGGTACACGACCTTGTATAGTGTTTTGGTGGTTTGGTTTTTGCTGAGTCGTGCGATTCCCGCATCGCACATTTCCCGATCCCATCGTCGCGTGTTACAACGATACGCGAAATCGGCCGAATAAAAAAGATTAGACAATGACACTTACAATTCACTTTCTCGTCTTTTCAATGATTCAATAACTTGATATCGGGCGGAGAAAACAAGCGGAGAATTGGCCGGGGAAACGGGCGGGGAAAATGTTTCGATTCCGGGCCGGAAGTTTTGAAAGAAGAGAAGGTTTGTGGGCGAGGGCGCGGGGCAGTTGGAAAGAAGTGGTCCGCCGGGGTGAGCCGGCCGGGCGGTGTGTCAGGGTGGAGGGGGGGCCGCAAGGCAGAAACACTTGGGATGAACGACTTTGGGCAAGAGGAGAACAGCTAGCTGGCAGAAAAAAATCCGAAAATTCTCACACTGTTCATCAACTATCATACAGAGTTGGCTTGGGGAAGAGAACCTCTCTACTGTGATAGGGTGGGCATTGTTTCAAGAAGCAGCTAGGCGGGACAAGGTGGCAAGGGATATTTCAACCTTTATATAGTCGGCTTAGCCGAAAGTAGTGCAATCAGTAGGTAGAGTGAACAGAGAATCTGAATTGAAAGTAACAACTTCAAATACAAACTACCACTCTAGAGCCACATGGTGTTCAGGGAGTTACAGACAGCGTCAAGCACCTGGGATCATTGACATAACGGGACAAAGCATGCCTATTGACAAGTGAATAACAGCAGTCTATAGAAAATAACATGAAGCCCAAGTTGTAACTCAATCTTCGAAGCGAAGTGTAAAGACGGCACTGTGCTGGACGGACACCACCCTCTTCTGAGGGTGATGAACCCCAGAATTAAGTTCCCGAGTACCCAGAAACTCTTCAGTGTGTCAGGCAGGACAACTGGTGACACGGTGGAAGGAACGCGTTAATAACGCGTAATGTAAACACGGTTATGATAAACTTTCAGGCATAAAAGATGAGGGCAGGAACGCGAATACCAGGCTTGTCAACCTGAACAGCATCGACACACCATATGGCCCTAGTTGCCTGGTTGCAATATTGGAAGCCACAAACACAAAATGAGAGGGGGGGGAGGTCTGGCAAGAGCTTAAAAGTACAGTTTCTTGTTTCACTAGCATCGAAACCTTTGAACTATCTAATTATTTTGAGAGCAGTATTCTTAATGCGATGCACTGCAATCTCCGTGGTAATCACTCGATGATGAGATTCGGGCGTGGAACATGGAATATTTAGAGGCAAGCAAGGCAGATGGCAAGACGAAAATCAACAGTTGGTAAAACAAATGTAATTGACAGAGAGTCGTTGTTCTAAATGCTCAGGCCGGACGCACAGAAGTTGTCCATTACCCCTTTTCTTTGACGTTGCCAGTCAACAATATTCCTGTTTTGGCAATGAGTCTGCTGTGTAAACACACAGCCCAGTTTTGCCGCTAAGCCCTTTGTGCCAATAGGGCGGTTTCACATTAGCTCACGTGACACGCTGCAACCCCACCCCGCAGAGAACGTTCACGTCGCTAACTAACAAACGCACGTGTGGAATCTGCGAGTGTCTCGACTAGGTACTACCACCACAGAGCGTTGTGCGGGCAGCTGATTTATGCTCGTGCCTGCCCGAATCCGGCCGTCCAAGTCAGCGGCTCCAATCGCAGTCCGATCCCGATCGAACGCATGAGGTTGGAAAAAACTTATCGATATGAAGGACTGTGTCAGATGTTGGAGCGCTGCACCCCCGCGTTGCTCTGCCCCGCTATTTCTTGTCGATCGCCTTTTCGCTTTCCCCATTGGAGTCACCCATTCCCCCCTTGGAACAGCAGATGTGTGCAGTGGGTGCGTCGCACATCCACGGTTGCAGCCGAGAGGCCTTCTTAGACCTTCCAGTTGGATCCTTCCTCCACCTTTCCACAGAGGTCTAGACTTGCGCCGGGCTTACGCATTTTGACAATGGGCGAGTTGATTTCCGATCCTTTTTGATCCACCCCTTCGGGCCAGGGCTGGGAGCCTTCTCTGTCTAGTTATTTGTCTCTCGAATCCCCCCTGTGCTTTTGCTGCGCTTTTAGTTTTGTTGCTCTTATTCCTCTTCTCCTGCTCCCACTGCCGAGGGCAAGCTGTTACCGCAGCTATGGACCAGCTCCCGGGTGAGGTTTTGCTCCTCATCCTGTCGTGTAAGTGTTCTCTGCCAACCCCTCCTCGATCTGCGAGGAGGCCTACCAGACACCAAGCACATTGCGGGGCCAGGGTAGCACGGGAAAATACCATATTGACCAAACGCGATATTTGTTCCTGGCACATTTCACAGTCCTCGAACCTCCAGAACTCACCACGCTCCAGCTCGTTTCCCGCGCCTTCTACAACATCGCGCGCGATAACAGCTTCTGGCGCGCCCGATGCCTGGAGCAGTCATCCTTCCTCGAGGCACTCGCCCGTCGTCGCCAGAGCTTCGGCCTACCCTTCCGAGGGCCGCCACAGCCCGCTGGATCGGCCCAGACCAATGGAACAGGTGGGGGCAGTCAAGTCATCGGCACCGGTGCCGGCGTTGGCACGGCTACTAGTTCCGGCGATGGCAACAACCGCGAGCGCGAACGGCTACCATACGCCAATACCACGACGCCTTCATCCGTGCTGAGTAAATCCGAGACCCGGGAGCGCGAACGCGTACGAATCATGGCCAACTGGGACCCGAGCTTCCCCTCCGAGAAAGTCTCGTGGTACGAAGAGTACATCCAGCGACAGGCCCCGATCGCCGTCAACTGGATGCAGTACGCGTACGATAAAGATTCCGAGTCGACGACGGCGACGTCACCTGCCGACCATGTAGAGGCTCGCGGCGTGGCGCTGTACTACCCCGATGGCGAGGCTGGCGAGACGGTGCTGGCTGTGTCGCCGCTGGACGACGGGAGTGTGGCCATGTGGGATGTAGCGGGGACAAGGGGTAAAAGGGGCGCTATTGTGGCGAGGAGCCGGCCGGGGATTCTGTTTATTGATGGGCCGGGTGCGGATAATAGTCGACGTTCAAAAAGGATTGATTCGGGGGTGACCGAATGTGTGAGTGTGGATAGCCGGCAGCATCGGGCTTTTTTTGCTGTCCAGAGCCGTAAGTGTGACTGATCACTAGGCCAAATGACTTTTGAGAAACTTGGGCAGCATGATACCGGACGAGACGAGCTAACCAACGGCCATTTACAGACCTTACCGAGGTCGACCTGCGCCGCTTATCGGTAGTCGACTGCGAGTCCTTTCCCTGGTCTATCACAGCCTTGTCCGCCGCGAGCCGGACGGTCCCGCTCACAGTCGGGACCAGTCTTGGCATCCACTTACACGACTACCGGTCGCGGAAACCCCCGCAGCAAGACAACAACGAGACGATAGATGGCTTCGACCGGATGGGAGCTAAAGAGTTCTACCAGCGCAGCCTTCGTCAGATCTTCGACAACGAGCCGCTGCCCCCATACGCGCCCCTGTCCCAACCTGGACCCCTGAGCATTCTGCATCTCCAGCAGCCAGGGCAGGAGGCCGACCTATCGGACGACATCTACGTGGCCGGCCGGTTTTCGAACATCCTGCACTATGATCGACGCAAGTTCCCCTCCATTCGTGGTTCTATCCACTCGGGTGCTCGGTTGTGCGGCATGACCTCGTTGCCGTACCCCTTCTCGATGCTGGACAGCGAGCGCCGGCGCAAGGTGGAACTGTCGCTGGAGCAGGTGGAAGTATCCAAGACCGCAGAGGGCCGGACCCTAGTCGCCTGCGGCGAGTACAACACCAAGGGGTCCCTTGAGCTTTACGGGCTGACGCCGTCAGCGGGGGCCGCGCTGGCCTCGCAGGATCAGAGCCTCAAGAACCGCCAAACAAGCTCACGCTCCAAGCTGTTATCCGTTGTGAACCACGGATCACGGCTCGCCTTCTCCGACGGCTCCGGCTACATAAAGTGGTTTGAGCGGGACGGCTTCACCGAGGTGCGCCGGTGCCGCATCGGCCACAGCGAGCGGAACCAGGGCCCGTCCATATTTGCATCCATGCCCGGGTCAGATGACATAGCGAGGAAACTGCTCCCCACTCGCCCGGCGGTTGATGCCATGATGGGCTACGACGACCACGAAGACAACGATGATCATGACGAGAGTGGCAACAGCGGCAGCCGTGTGAATAACAATGACTTGCTCTTTTGGACGGGCGATAAGTTGGGGCTGGTTACCTTCTCTGCGCGCCCTGGTTTCACGGCGGAGGGTTTTGAGGAGAAGGCGGACGGGGACGCTGGGGGCCCCGATGCTGAGGCGTTGGCCGCGCAAACCGAGTATAGCGAGCGGATGCGCAGGGCGCTTGAGCGGCAGGCGGACGATGTTAGGTTTGTGCGTAACCTGGGGCTCGGTAGTGGGATTCGACCGACATCGCTTTGAACACCTTGATTTTTGTTTTTCAGCTTTACATAGACCGTTTTCCTTTTGTGGGTGTGCGTTGTTGGACGAGGCTTGCTTTGGAGTGCCGATCAGCGAAAAAAGAGTCTGTTAGAGGACAGATGTTATGGGACAGGACTATAGGATTATGGGACGGTGGGGAAATTTGTCCGACGCGCAGATGCTTTGAGGGGATGCTTTGCTAACGTGGGTGACGATGAACGGTAGTTTTCACTTGTTCCATGGGTTAGATTGGACGGCGTCACGAAGAATAGGAATATATACCCCTTCCTCATGCTTCTCTCCGATTCTCCTGTCTCACATTTCTGGAGGGTTCTCAATTATTGGACCGAGACCGGTGAAGAGGGATGTATGCGGCCGCTGGAAGGAGGAGGCCCGGCGTTCGTGCCTTCCATGTTTCCCAAGGACATCGAGGGTTCGCAATATCACGCAGCAGGTCACCTTCCCACGGCTGGTGGTGCGATGCGGTCCGCATCGCGAGTTCCGCCTGCAAGCGGGATCGCTGCAACTGCCAAAATAAACTGGACGGCGTTGGCGTGTGGAACCACGGAGGAGGGCCTGGGATTTCAAGGCGACCAATCAGCTTAGAGGATGGGTGCCTGCAGACCAATCATCCGCGGGGCTGGGAGCCAGGGGCTCTTTCCTTCTGCAGGCGCCGCGGAATCTGGTGGGAAATCGATTGTTTTCCCAGACGCGAGTGAGATCTTCCTTCTGCACTGTCGTTGTTCAGCGGGCAGTCAAACAGCATGTAACTCACGGCACGAGACTCGAGAACCAGCGGCGGGTGAGATGGATGGACCAGCAAATCGCTCGCCCGTATGCTTGCTTTGCCTCACGGCCCCCTCGCCATGTTTACTCCGATTCGTGCCCGCTTGTCTTTCTTTTCTTGCCGACAGTTGAGATCAGCACCAGCGGGGTGATGCAATCGCGAAGTACACTACGAATCATGGAGGCTGACTTTCCGCTGCGCGAGATGCGTTTTCGTCCTGCCAAGATCTTCATCCTCACATTCTCGCAGCAACCCCCAACCCCTGCATCGTGGTTGAGCAGTGTACAAGGTAACTGGGTAATGTTACTCTGTTGAGCCTTGTCTCTTTCTGACCATAGCATGTCTCCCTTCGAGGTCGCTTAACGTTGTCGTTCAACTGCTGCATCCCAAACTTGCGGGGGGTATACTCCCCGGGCATGCCCCCGGACAGCCAGCACGGCCAAACAGCTGGAACACCCGAAAGCTTCCATTGCCAGCTTGCCGCCAGTTTTGTGACCTCGTTGCAGCATGCCAGCACACCGCTGACGATGCCGAGCTGGAACCACGCTCTGCCCTTTTTGTTGTCTCCGCGGGTCTTGGCGTGGTCATTGCTGGGGGAAGTCCCAAACTTTTCTGCAGACCGCCAGTTCAGCATGGGCATGGGATGGGGGAACAAATCCGACGGTCCCAGACAGCCCCCAGACATCGCGCGGCACGGGGACAGTTTGTGCTAGGAGATTCCCGGCTTGCTTTCCATGCCACAAAGACCGTCAAGCGGCGGTCATGTTTGCCCGTCTTCCTCTCTTTTGTTCCCTCTTTCCTTTCCTTCTCCTCCCATCCACTTTGAATTTTATAATATTTTCTTATCCTGCGCCCTATTCCACAATGGGGCTTGCATTGCCGAACGATGGCCACTGGTCGAGTTGACGGGCGAGGGTGGCCAACTGAGCCTCGATTTTCCTCTGCGATTTGCTAGTGAGGCGAGCCCGTTTTCCTAGTCCTATCAATCCGGGTCCGTCCAACGCAGACGAGCTCTGGTTTGACCGGGGCTTCCTCCCGCAGCGAGATCGAAGACCACAGACTTGACACATCGGTCCGTCTGTCTGTCTGTCTATCCGTCTGGTCCCACTCGCCGGTCTGGGGAAGTCGTCCGTCACTGTCTCCCGCTTTCTCGTCAACAAACACACCCTATCACTTTGCAGATCAACCTTCACTTCTTAAACCTTTCAATTCACTCCTCTCCTTGTTTTAGTGGCCAGCTCTATTACCCAAACACTGTTAATACCATACCTTTCCTGCTGTGTTGTGCATGGTCCCCCACATCCTCACCTTCCTAGAAGCGTCTCTCTCTGTTTCCTGCTAGAGAAGACGTCTTGCCCTCTTGGATCCTGTCGAGCGGCACGCTCTCTCTTTCTCGCCACCCTTCCTCCGAGCATGTCCGATGGCGTTACCGGCACCAGGCGGGGACGGCTACCCGCCATACTATCCTTCGGGCGGACCGTACTATCCGGCAAAGCGGCGCACCGCAGAGACCATTGCCGATGACAATGCCGACTACTCCCGCCAAAAGCGGCCGAAGTATACCGAGCCAGCTTGGTTCGCAGCGTCTGTGGCTTACAAGACGGCGGAATCACGCCACGAGACGCCCCTCGGTCACCCATCTCTTCACCATCCACACCCTCACCACCCACACCAGCGTTACCCATCTCCGCGCCCCTACATCTCCTCCCCAGAACCAGTCACCAACGCACCAGCCGCACCGACCCCTCCGACAGGCGCTCCGGAAATGGAGCGTACCGCTTCCGGCCACTCCATCCGCCCGGACCCCACGGAGCGTTGGGCCTCGACCGAGCTCCTGGAAGACGACGAGGCTGCTCAACGTGTGCGCGACCACCTCGCCACGTTCCGCCGGCGCAACCCGGACTCGAAACACGAGCGCATTCTCCGGAGTATTATCAACCCCAGGCCCCGGCCGCGCCGCCCCCACCAACACCATAACCACCGCAGGTCGCATTCCATTCCCAAGGCTGACCACCCGGATCAAGACGAGTATCCCATCGACAACGAAGCCCTCGAGTCCATCTTCTCCGCAGCTAACGAGATTTTCTTCAACGGCCGCCTGAGTCAGCGCGTCTCCTGGGACTGGTCGCATGCCTCCAGCACCCGCTACGATTCCCGTGTGATTGGTACCACTGCCCTTCGTCGCGCCGCAGCTCATACCCGTGGCTTCGAGACTCTAATTGTGCTGTCATCTACTATCCTCCGCGACCCCAGCTACAGCCGTCGCCTGTTAATCAGTACCTTCCTGCACGAGCTGATCCATTGTTACCTGTTCATCTGTTGCGGCTTTCGGGCAAGATGGTGTGGCGGCCACACGAAAGGGTTTCGAGAGATAGCGGAGGTGATCGACGACTGGGTAGGAGAAAGCAGCGTGCTATTTCTGAAAAGCGTGGAAGCCGACCTGGAGCTGTTTAGGGTGGGGGGCGATGGCGAACATCTCGCTGAGGAGGAACGGGGACGGATGGGGGTAGAAGGGGCTCGGAGCCCTCAAGAAAGGGGAAATGGTGCTGATGGAAAAGCCAGTTTCCATCCTTGCTCCGGGATGGGGCCCGATCAGGAAGAGTATTCCACCGCTCCTGCCATGGGCCACGATGCCGCTTCGCAGGGATACTTCACTACTCATGGAATGGCCTATTTCAGCGCTGGAGGGGGTCATACCCGCGGAGCGAGCACCAGCAGCCAGGATACGGCTTACTTTTCTCGCGGTGCCTCTCCTATCTCTAGGCACGTCACACGGCCGGGTACTCGACCCGGCACCCCAGCTCAGAACGGGGTCAAAGGGGGATATTTTGGCCGTGGTACGCCGAGTCCACGGCCTAGCACACCCAACCGCGACCTAGGTTATCAGCATTACTATCAACTCGACCGACCAGCGAGCAGCAACAGCATGAGTAGCACCGGCGGTAGCAACAATGCTTTGTGGAGGCACCGTCGAGCGCCAGCGCCTGCTCGCCCCTTGTACGTTTATACCGGTGAGGAAGCCTCGCCGTCTTACGTTTATACTTACCCGACCGATCCGCGGCCGTGAGGACGCCAGCAGCCATAACAACTGGCAACTTTGACCCGCTAGATGGATTGTCCAGTGTGACCTTCCTCGTCCCTTTGCGACCAACTGACGGACCGGAAACGTTACCTTTCGATTTGATTGCGCATCAAATGGAGAGAAATAATTCTTTTTGATGGGCCATTTCCTGTTTAACCTGTTTCAGCAGCGGGCATTTGCTTGTATCACGATTGTGTGCAAGAATGGGGAGCGAAGAGACGAAGAGGCGGCTGGTCTTTGGCACACCATTTATTCCTCAAGTACCTTATTTTTGGGAGGAAGCGCTCAACTATTTTGATTTAGCGGCTTGTTCAACTAGGCTTTTATGTAAATGGGTAGGGTGTCTGAATTTTTAGCATCTACCTATCTTGGTATGTGAACGGGGGTATGTGAACGGGGGACGTCCCGTTTTGCGTGTATTATTCATTCGGAAAGAGGGAAAGGAATGGCAAAGTGTAATTGGATTTGGAGTTGGAGGCGATGCAAAAAAAGAGGAGGGAAAATCAGGGCAGGGAAATCTGGAAACTGCTTCTTCATTGGGAAACACTTGATCGTTTCTTGTCACTGTTTGGCGCGTCCATTTTTAGAGAGATACCCCCTTACCCCCTCGACGAGAAAAGCATGACGTACGAATAGTGGGTATGAACTGAATGGGTGTAATAATATCTTAGGATTGTTTCCAATTTTTGATTGGATGGCATGTAGCGTATGTGCAATAAGGGGCAGAACTAAACTTTTAACACATTGCGACTCAACTGAGTTTAATATTTAAATCTTTTGATCCGACTGCCCCTACTCCTGGCTCCTTGACCTTAACATACAGCTCTAAACATTGTCTTCCATACAATAACTAATCCAGGGAAACACAGTACCCCCCGAACCAATATACCCAAGACTCCATACCACCCGTCATCGAATACCAACCGTCATCATTTACCCATCAGCATCATAAACCATTCACTCGCTTCTCTCACTTACGCTACTCCCCCATCGCTACTGTACACCGCATCCCGACACAACAACGTGACCTTCTTGAAAAATCGCCTCCACTCCAACGGATCGCCTTTCAGCTTCACAAACCGAACCTCCAACAATTCCACCACACCACCGTCTCCGTCCTCAACCCCACCCATCCCCTGCACCACCTGAAATCGATCCACCAACACTTCTCCATGCAAACTTTGCTTTCGCTCATCCAGGGTCCGCACCTTGAGCACCGCGACGCGCTCCGCGTGCGGCTCGGTCTCCGGGATGCGTGTGGGTTGGGGCACGTTGAGCTGATGCAGCGCGTCGCGCAACATGGGGATCAACAAGCCCGGGGACACGGCCGAGAAGAAGCGTGTGAGTGAATATGAGGGCACGATGTCGCGGAACTGGCGGGCGTGCTGGGTTAGGGAGAGAGGGACGCCGGGGGTCTGGGAGAATTGGCTCATTGTCGGCTCGTCGGCTAGGGCCTGGAGGGTCGGGTTGAAGTGGCCGATGGGGCGGGCGCCGACGCTTCTTGTGCTTCCGGTTGTTACTGCTGATGCTGCGGTGGAGGAGATGACGGAGTCAGAGTGGGCAAGCGGTTGGGTTGAGGAGATGGCATGGGTGCCGAGGAGGCGTGGGGCTGGGCGTTCCCAGTCGAAGAAGACGTCGTTGATCGGCGTTTCGGGCTGTGTGGCGGCGAGCTTGGAGGTCCAGTCTTCTTGTGCGGGCGGATGGGTGTCAATGTCCATAGCCTCGGGCTGGGATCGGGGTTGGGAAGGGGTGATTTCGGCAGTGAGGTCGATGCGTAGGCGAGCGAGCATTTGCGTTGCGAGCGTGAGGGGGTCGGAGACTTTGCCGTCTGCCGTCAGGAGCGGGTTACGGCGGGTATACCAGGGGTGTTGGCGGATTTGGGCAAAGGTGAAGCGATTGTTCGCTTCTATGTTCATCATGCCTCGGAGCAACGACAGAGTATCGGGTGGTAACCGGGCCCAGAGGGAGTCGGTGCTCCGCCCGTTGGTCCGCACATACTCTTGGAACTCCCAGCTTCCCGACGTGGGCTCATCCCAGGGCGTGTTCCCAACCAGAAGGACAAATAGGATCACGCCGCAGGACCAGATATCAACCAAGTCGGCCGAGTATTTGACCGCATCTGCCGCTCTCTTGTCCGGCTTGGAGCACTGCAACACCTCGGGGGCAATGTACGGTGGGCTCCCGCATATGGTATTGGTCATTTTCCGCTGGCCCTTGTACTCGAACATTGTGGCCATGCCGAAGTCAGCGAGCTTGAGGCTGCCAGAACCCGAGAGGAGGATGTTTTCGGGCTTCAAGTCGCGATGCGCCACGCCTTTGGAGTGAACGAAGCTGACACCACTGATCAACTGCAGAAAGTAAAGATGAGCGATATCCTCTTCCACGCCAACATCTGCCTCGATCTTGTCAAAAAGATCGCCTCCGGCGGCATATTCCATGGCGATCCATCTCCAAATGTCGTCCTCGCCCGTTGCGAACCACTCGATGACGTTTGGATGTTGACCAATATGCGAGTGCAACGACACCTCCATCGCAATCTGCTTCGCAGATATCCGCCCCTGCTTGATCGCATAGCCTTTGTGTATGAGCTTAACGGCAAATATGGGGGAGTTTTCCTGGAGGGGAATCGCCTTCTTGATGCTGGGTAGGGTTTTTTTTGTGTTAGTGTGGGGTCCCTCAGCTGCGTGTGTAAGTCGAAGCTGGGGCTGTCATCTCACGATGCATATGCACCCCTTCCTATTGTCTGCGAGACAATTCGGAAGGGCATATCAGGGAGGGGATCTAATTGCGACTGTTGCATAGTTTTGTTTTTTAGCGAATAGTTTTGCAGCAAAACCTGGGGGAGCAAATTTGCGGTGGTTCCTAATATGGACTTGATGAAACCCGAGGCAAAACAAATTTGGCAACGAGGTAAATATTCTTGGGGGTCTGACTTCCAGAAATCATAGGCATGAAAAAGCACTCACCATTGTAGTACGAAGCGCGTCTCGAGACATGAGACGCGTGTTGGTCGCGTTAAGTGGTTAGAAGTTCAGATTGAAGATCGGACTGAGTCGCGCCTTGAATGGAAGTGGGGGATTTGTTGTTGTCTGCGAGGTGCAGGCAGGGGCAATGCGGACCAATTGTGTGCCAAGCAAGACTGCTGTGGGACTATGGTCAAGCGCCCAAGGCCCCGGGCCATCGTGGTTGCTGGGCTTTGGTTGGTGGGGGCCGAAAGCTCCCAGTTCGGTGCTGTGTAAACATTCCTGCCCGAATCTGGAAACGCCTCTTGACCCGTTGTCGCTTTCCATCCACCACCCCTTCAAAATATCAATTCCAACCTTTGCGAGATACCTGACCGACCTTGTCCCCCATTCTTCCTTTAGCGTTACGGTTTGAAGAAGCCCGACACAGTTTTAACGCCTTCCTTCTAATAGGTCCGCGACTTCTCCTTCCTCCCGCTAGATCAGGTGTTGACTTCGTGACCGCAACAGTATCCCGCCAAACACAGCCGGGTTTACGCCGTTCTTGGGCTTCACCCACTATCCTCTCTGCCCACAGATCAAGCAGCGGGCTGCCGCTTTCTGCCAACATGTCCTTTGTCGAAGATAGCCAAAACACCGCGCCGGGCGGTGTCCCAGTAAACAAGCGCAGTGGCGCGCAGAAGGACGCCGAAGTAGGCCAGAAAGCTGTGAAGAGGTATGACACCGAACACTGGGGCAACGCTTTGTACGATGGAGACGTATGATTGACTCGGGCCTCGCAGGTTGCAGACGGAGCTTATGCAGCTCATGACCTCACCGGCGCCGGGAGTGTCCGCTTTCCCTTCAGCAGATGGCAACCTGCTTACCTGGCGGGCGACCATCGAAGGCCCCGAAGGCACACCCTACTCTGGGCTCACTCTTAAACTCAGCTTCGAATTCCCGAAGAACTACCCCTACGCGCCGCCCACGGTGCTGTTCCGGACTCCTATCTACCACCCCAACTTTGACTTCTCCGGGCGCATTTGTCTCGACATCCTGAAGGACAAGTGGACAGCAGCATACAACATCCAGACTGTACTATTGAGCCTCCAGTCCCTGCTTGGAGAGCCAAACAAGTATGAGATACCTTTGGAGGTTTAGATTCGAGCATGTGGCTAACCAGTTGTAGTAAATCCCCGTTAAACGGCGAAGCTGCTAAGTTATGGGACCAGGACCCGACGCTATTCAAGACCAAAGTTATGGAACGTCACAAGGACCTTGAAGATGATTGAATCAAGTGGGCGTTAGGCGGTGGGAGACTAAATTTCCTAGGTTATCACGGAGCAAGGAGTTTGTCTTTCACGCTTTGTATTCCGGGATAGTTTGGTTCATGGATATCCCTTCGGTGGTCTGCCAATGGTGCGGACTGAGGTACATCGGACATTTGTTTTTAATGGACATTCGATTGTCCATGAGCGTCTCATCACCCGGAGATAATGCCGGCGCATCACTCTATGATTGTTTCCCTTGGCCAACCCCCACCCTTCCCAACCGCGTGCCCCGACCGTTCGATGGAATGGTTTTGGTATCGAAAGTGCCGTGCTTTACGAACCCATATATTCGTAGTACGAAGCTAGATGCCATGCGAAAAACTCCGGGAAAAAAGCCCAATGCCGACCTGAAACCGAACCACGGCCTAATTTCGATTGCCCCAGTTTTGTTGTCAAGCCCTTACTCCTCCACGAGGACGGTGTGAAGGCCCTTGGGGTTCTTCACATTGACCGCTTGCACGTAGCTGTAGAGCTTCTCCTTGGCACCCTCCTCGTCGTTACGCCTCCGGGAGATGCGGATGCGGAGCCTGTAGCCGACACCCTTCACACCCTGCTCCCAGACCTTCTTGTTCAGCTGGGGGTCCAGACGGACATCGGTGGTGCCCTACATCCAGTCATTGTCAGCCTGTTGGTCTCTCTCCCGTGTGCATCCTGGCCGGGCGAACGTCGGCTCCGGGTGTGTTCTCGTCTGTTGGGATCGTTGGCTGGGTGGGTGTCTGTGATCAAACATACCATGGCCTGCGTCGCAAACGCCTTGATCTCCTTGATCGCACGCGGGGCCCTCTTCTTGAAGGTGACACCGTGGAGCTTCCCATATAATCAGTACTTCGTTCTGTTTCTGGGCCGTGGCTTCTAACAACGTACGCGCTTGTGCAGGTGGATGGTGTACTCGCGGGCGACCACGTCGGCGATGGCCGAGCGAGTGGCCTTTCCTGAGGGCTTCTTGGACGACATTCTGACAGCAATTCGTTAGCGGCTGGTACGGGAGCGTAGGATTTGGCGAGAATATCTTGTTGATTCAGGTGGAGGCGAAATGTGCGAGCGCAATTACGTACTTTGGCGACGTCTAGGTCTCGTGCACTCGGGGTCGGTTTGAGTGGTGTCGAGGAGTCGTCAATTTGGCTGCGTTCGATAAACCTCCCACAGGGAATTTTGCACTCGGGTTTTCCACGAATTCAACGAAAGTGCGGGCCTGGGCTTGGAGTCCTCGCGTAACTGCCCTAAAGTGGAATGGCGCGCTGTGCCCCACGTAATATTTGTGGCTGGTGCCCTGGTGTGTCTAGTGGCTGGTGTGACACTGCCATACAGCTGGTGGAAATTTTAAAGTGCCTGCATCCTCATTGAGATGAGCAAACGGTTGTGGCTCCACCTCATCTCGGATTCCACGAGACCCACCTGTTGCTCATCAGACATTCTGGTCGCGAGCACGGGGCAACCGCGTGCCTTCCTTCGATGGTTTCTTCGCGAGCTTCCTTGGGACGAACGCCATTTCAATTGTCAACGGTTCACAGAACAATACCTTATTGTGTGCGCTGTGCGCACCCCCACATTCGTTTTTAACGGCACATTGAGCGAGAAGAACCTCCAACCTCCCTGTTTCACCACTCCAACTTGGTTTGACAACCTCGCCGTGCAACACCAGCGCAATCTCCGCAGCAACTGGAGGCACCACAACGCCGGAAGGCTCTCGTCTGCGAGCGATTTCGAACACATTTATTGACGCGACCTGACCTCCCGATCACTACCATCGTTATTTTGTTAGCTTCATCAGTCCATATTTTTGCCGAACATCGACTCCCACTTCAATCAAGATGGCTGCAGAACCGGCGGCACCGGCGGCATCCAGTCCCTCCCCTCAACCCGACTACACTCGGAACCGGCTGCCCACCCTTTTCGAGGTTCTTAGTCGGCGCACCCTCCCGCCAGTCGACCTATTCTCGTTCTACATTTACATGCGGGACCAACAGCGCTCCGTTGACTACCTCGACTTTTGGTTTGTCGGCCCGGTCTCAATCGTACACATTTACATACCTTGCTAACCTTGATCCTAGGCTCGATGTTGCCCAGCATATGTCCCTCTGCCGTCACTATGTGCGTGAGCTTCGCCGGTCTGTCCTGGTGGGAACGCCCGACCTAGACAGAACTTCTAAGCGATCATCCGGCATCTTGGAGGGACTTGGCGACCTCAGCCACGGTGTCCCGGGCCCTTCGATGTATGCGACGGAGAAGGAAAAGGATCAGGACGCGCAGATGTCGGCCTTCTTGCGTGAGGACAGGGAGTATCATGACTCGCCCGCCAGCAGCGATGTGCGACAAAATCGGCCCAGCACGAATGTCAGCACCCCTCGCGAGTTCAACACCGATTCCAACTCTCCTCCGCACACGGTTGCCCGACAGGATATCCGAGCCTCTGCCGAGAAGATTCTCTACACATTTCTTCTTCCGGGCGCTGAACGCGAAATCACCCTGCCAGGCTCCATCACTCAGGATGTGACGACAGCAATCGAGCAGTTTGGCCGAGATGACCCAGAGGTTTTCGATGTCGCGAAGGATTACGTCTTCCAGGCGATGGAGCGCGATGCTTTCCCGGGGTTTCTGAGGATGAAGGCGCTTGGCAACCTGATCCCCCCAACCCTGATCCTGCGCCTCATTCTTGGGCTTGTGTCGATGTTTGGTGGTTTCTGGGCTGCATTCATCTTGATCTTCCTCGACGAGTCTCGGTTGGTACGACTCTGGGTATGTAACCTCGTTGGTTTTTATTCCCACATTTTCTTCGTTACTGATTGTGGTACAGCTCATTCTTCCCTTCACCATCGGCGTATACTGTCTCGCCTCGTATCAGTATTCTCTCGACCCCATCCTCGCCCTTGTTGGCTTCAGCGAGTACACCCCGTTCAACTTTGCTCGGGTGCGAGAACCTTACGTTCGCAAGCTTCTTGCACGCCGCGCAATCATGGTACTCACTGTTACGGTCCTCATCGATGCCGCACTTTGTGTGCTCTTCATTCTGGTTCCAGGCAAACGACTCTGAAGAGGGGAGCAGGTTTCGTTGATTTTGGCTCACGGGGAGGTTGTGAGCTGGTCTTGCTCCCAATCTGATTAGTCACAATATCCTGCTTCAAACAACTTGGGACCGGGGAAGCAGCATTTGAATTACGACCGTCACGATGATTTTCAAGCTTTTGCTAGCACTTCAAGAAGCTAAAGCCGCTCAACACCAGTTTCTCATCATTACAGGGAGGCGCTAGCTAGAAAGGGGGAATTGTTTGGGGTGTTCAGGATACGGCGCGTTTGTTATTATAATTCATTCCCCATCATTTTTCACCTGCTGGGAGTGATCATGTTTTTCCTCCTTGTTTCTCGTTTGACTTGAGAGACGGAGTTCCTGGCTTTCACTGCTCGACGGCTTTTCTGTTTTCTCCTAATGCTATCTTGATTTCTTCGCTGTACTCTCGCCACTACTGATGTACGGTATATCCCGTGCCCCAACCGATGTGTTATGGGCCTTGTCAATTAGCTAGAGAAACAGCTCTCGAGCCGGAGTGGGTTAACCGCACTCGATCACACTTTTGCACCTTGAGCTACGAGTAGGATCGTGATAGTAGTATTTGTTGCCCCCACATCAGAATTAATGCTGAGTTATGTGGTCTGTCTTGCACCATCTCCCCTTCCACCAATGAGCCTGTCTAGTCAACTACCCGTCAAGCTTACGCTTACTTGCCGGCGGCTCCGGCCCGTCAGTAGCCCCGTCGACCGTCTCACCCACACTAGCTGACCCCTGGCCTTCGATTTCCACACCCTTGTCGTCGGCGGTCATATCCTCGCTGCTACGCTTGACAGCGGACCTTACTTCGAGAAGCGGCGTGCTCCCCCCGTCGGGACTTGTTGTGCCTGGGTCGAGTTCGCCGGGTGTGAGGATACTGCTGCCGCCGCCAACCGTCAGCACGCTGTTCATCTCGTTGTTCGTGGTGGTGGTAGTGGTAGTGGTAGTAGTGGTAGTGTTGGCTATGCCGGCGCCGCTGCTAGCTTGCGCCGAGCCCTTGCGGCGGCTGTTGCGAGGGGTAGCGATGTTCCCAGCAGCAGCAGCGGACGTGGCAGCGCGTGTCTTAGTAGATGATGATATGAACTGAGAGGGTCTCCCACCCGATGTCTCCTTCTTTATGAGGAGGTCGAGGTCTGACGCGCGAGCCGCGGAGCGGGCAGCACGCCGGTCGGCGTCGGCACGGACTTGAGTCATCTGGCAAGAGAGAGATTCGAGAGTGGCCTCGCAGCGCCCAGCCCAGGCATGAAGGCTCGAGAGCAAGCTGCTGATCGAAGTGGGGGCTACATCACGAAGTGGCGAGACGCTGTTGATCTGCACGAGTGAAGCCTTGGGATTGAGCTGGGCTTTGATGAGCCCGGCATAGACGGCGCTGATGACGAGCTCTTCGAGGGCTTGGCGGCTTTCGAGCCCGAGAGAATTTTGGAGAGAGGTGTAGTCTAGGGCTGGGGAGCCGGCGTCGCCAGCTTTCCTATCCTGGTCCTTCTTGGCGAGGGTCAAAAGAGAGAGTTGACGGAGCTTCAGCCGCTGAGCATCGTTGAGCTCTGGAAGGCGGGCGGTGGAATTGTACGAGGAATAAGTGCCATAACTGAAAATCTTGAGAACCGTCAAGTGAGATGCAAACTCATCAGATGATGCAAGAGCCTGTATCTGGGGGGTCTGGAGGAGCTCGGTGAAGATGAATGTGTTTGGGGCCGATGTGGCACGTAAGATCAAGTCGGCAGCAGCGCGGGGAGAAGTGGCCGACTTGCTAAGAGCTAGGAATGGCTAAGTCAAATCTTTCATTAGAAACGGTGACCCAGTTCAGTGTCGATGGGCACCCGGCGGATTTGTCAAAGGTAAAGGGCGGGGATAATGACAAACCTCAAGCGCGTTTAGTGCCTTGGCCTGCTCCATTTCCGTTGAGTTGAAGGACTAGGGGACTTGGCCACCGATAAAATCCGGGAGTTTGCAGTAAATTTTTTCCTCGCCGAGCCCAAAAAGAGTTGGGAAGTTTGTTGGGTTGTTGTTTGTGGTCCCTTGCAGGCTACAGCCTCGTTGGTGGGGCATCAAATGGGGTGCTTGGGGTAAGGCTGAAGGCAAGCTCCATCCTCGTAGCTCGTACTATACGATTACGTACCCATACGCTTGACTGTAAAATACGTGGTCACCATCCCACCTCGCACGTGCCGATCGCGGGATGTCCCTGATCGACAGCGCCAAGTCTCGTCGCAGCTCAAAAAGCCCCAGCGACAAGGCTTTCCACCCCTCCAACCCCGCGAAAGGTCACTGTCCTTCGTCTGGTGTTTTGCCTCTGCGCGAGGGCTGCTTCAGATCTGTTTGACGCCTACCCTGAACCGCCCCAGACCCTCCTGGCCGCCAAGCGACCACAGTACAACCGGGTCACCCTCCCAATCGTTCACAATAGAGCCCTCCTTCTTGGGCCCGGCCGTCCGTTTTCTTTGTCCTCTTGGACATGCGACCTTGGCGAAACATCGCTTCTCATTATTCCCAGCAAGCTTGCCGGCGGGCGCACTGTGCGCTTTCTGGCGCCCCCACTGGCCGCGGTGTGCAATAATTTACGGATTCGCAACTGGTTGGAGCAGGTGCCTTGCAGCCTGCAAAACTATTGGATCCTGATTACTATTTCAGATGGGCTTGTGACCCCCCAAACAAGATGACAGTAAATTATTTCCAAGAATACCAGCTTTGGGAGTGACTGGCGCCGCGAGCAGACTCTTTTCCTGTCGCCCCACGGCTCCCAGGGACGCCCCCAAACTGCCGGGTCCCGCGCTATCCCTCATCCCGGAGATCGGCAATGATGCAAAATCGCACCTTTGGGCGTTTTACTTCTTTTGTGAGAAGAGCTAGATCTAGCTGAACGATTTAAGATTAAGCCTTGCCACGCGCGAGAAGACGAGTTCACAGAGTTCACGAGATTTGAATTCTGTAGGCCTGTGTACGGAAACTTGAGGAGTAGCCGACTTTTCCTGCGCTATTTTTCGTGGGGGACGGGCTGCTACATTCCGGACTAGATGGGAGAGACTCCACAGCAGTGTATTCCCCAAAGCCAAACCTGGAAGTAGATAGAATGATGCTGTTGGAAGCGCTTCAAAGGGAAAGTCGTAAAAATATCCGTACCTACAGGCCACGGAGTACTTCGTACCTACGATCAGATCATTCTGAGCGAATGGCCCCTCAGGTTCCAAAGCTGCAGAATTGACCCCTGGCTCCACAGTCGAGCGCACTGTGGCCGTATTCGACAGGGGGTGTCCGGCGCGCGACCAGCCGGAACGGGCTGACAAACCCTGGTTCCGTCGCTGCCGGAGATGCGCACCAGGAATTCCGATTCAGGCACTTGTTTCTTTCTCTCCGGAGCCTTTCTTTATTCTCCCCATACAAAAGCGGACTGCCATCGCCGGGAGCTGGCCCCGTCCCACCTCTTCTCTTTCAAAGAGGATTTACTCCCCGACGGCCTCGACACCATTCGACGCGCATCCAAATGTTATAACGACCGTTCTCAACCGATCGAGCGATCTCGGCGATTTTGAGTCGCACCGGGCGGATCCCCATCCCCACACCATCGCAACCTTTCTGGTGGTGTTGCGGCTAAAGAGCAATACGGGCTTGGAAGGAAAATAATAAAATGGCGCCCTCCAACATTCAGGTGTCCCTCGCGGCACCGCCGGCGCACATGGCGACCACCACGCTTAAGGTGGAAGGGATGACGTGAGTTATGCATCACAGGCTGATTTTTTAAAGACTAAGCCTAACTAATGTTTGCAGATGCGGCGCGTGCACATCGGCAGTTGAAGCTGGCTTCAAGGGCGTCGATGGCGTGGGCAGTGTGTCAGTCAGCCTAGTAATGGAGCGCGCGGTGGTTATTCACGATCCGCAACGGATACCGGCCGAAAAAATACGAGAGATCATCGAGGATCGTGGGTTCGACGCCGAAGTCTTGTCGACAGATCTGCCGTCGCCAATCGCGCCTCGTGCTTCATTCGGCCAATTCCCTGCCAAGGATGGCCCCGCGACGATGGTTACGACGGTGGGAATTCAGGGCATGACGTGCGGCGCGTGTACGTCCGCAGTGGAGGGAGGGTTCAAGGAGGTGTCTGGAGTTCAGAGTTTTAGCATATCATTGTTATCAGAAAGAGCGGTGATCGAGCACGACCCGGCGCTTTTGACCGCTGAGGCCATCCGTGAGATCATCGAGGACAGGGGCTTCGACGCCGAAGTGATTGAGAGCACGGAGAAAGACCAGGAGGCCGGCGCGGTATCCGAAGGCACGAAAACCGCTTCCGCGGCGACTACAACAGTTGCAATCGAAGGGATGACGTGCGGAGCTTGCACTTCCGCCGTCGAAGAGGGGTTCAAGAACGTCGAGGGTCTCCTTCGTTTTAATATCAGCTTGCTCGCGGAACGGGCCGTCATTACACACGATCCGGCGAAACTCCCCGCGGATAAGATTGCCACGATCATTGAAGACCGGGGCTTCGACGCGAGAATTCTTTCGACAGTGTTCGATTCAGTTGACCAGGGGGCCGGTGCTTCGACAGCGCAGTTCAAGGTTTATGGTGCCTCGGATGCAGCCGCAGCAAAGTCCCTCGAGGAGAAACTGACCGCATTGCCTGGCGTCAAAACCGCGCGATTTGCCCTCAGCTCGTCTCGTCTCACGGTCACCCACGTTCCCAATGTGACGGGCTTGCGGGCTATTGTCGAAAGCGTTGAAAGCTTGGGGTACAACGCCCTGGTTGCAGACAACGACGACAACAGCGCCCAGCTCGAGTCCCTGGCCAAAACCCGGGAGATCCAGGAGTGGAAGCGGGCGTTTCAAGTGTCCGCTTCTTTCGCCGTCGCTGTCTTCCTCATCAGCATGGTCATTCCCATGTGTATCCCGGCCCTGGATTTTGGCTCGATTCGGCTCTTCCCTGGCCTGTACCTTGGCGATATCGTCTGTATGGCTTTGACAATACCCGTTCAATTTGGTATTGGAAAGCGATTCTACGTCTCGGGCTGGAAGTCTTTCAAGCACGGCTCGCCGACAATGGACGTGTTGGTGGTTCTGGGCACATCCTGCGCTTTCTTCTTCAGCGTCATGGCCATGATCGTTTCCATCCTGTTCCCTCCCCACACTCGACCGAGTACCATCTTTGACACGAGTACAATGCTCATCAGTTTCATCACCCTCGGCCGCTTCTTGGAAAACCGGGCAAAGGGGCAGACCTCGAAGGCCCTGTCCCGGTTGATGTCGTTGGCCCCGTCCATGGCTACTATCTACGCCGATCCCATTGCTGCCGAGAAGGCTGCTGAAGGGTGGAACGGTGAGGCTAGCACCGAGGAACCTAAGGAGGCTCTCGATGGAAACGCAGCGGACGAGAAAGTGATCCCCACCGAACTCATCCAGGTGGGCGATATTGTCATTCTGCGACCGGGCGACAAGATCCCAGCGGACGGCGTCCTGGTTCGCGGAGAGACATATGTGGACGAGAGCATGGTCACCGGTGAGGCCATGCCTGTCCAGAAGACAAAGGGCAGCTTCTTGATCGGTGGTACTGTCAATGGCCACGGCAGGGTCGACTTCCGCGTTACCCGGGCCGGCCGTGACACCCAGCTTAGCCAAATTGTAAAGCTAGTGCAGGATGCGCAGACAAACCGTGCTCCGATCCAGCGCTTGGCCGATACCCTGGCTGGCTACTTCGTCCCCACCATTCTGTTTCTGGGCCTCATGACATTCCTTGTGTGGATGGTACTGAGCCACGTTCTGACCAACCCCCCCAAGATTTTTCTGGAAGATGCCAGCGGCGGCAAAATCATGGTTTGCGTCAAGCTCTGCATCTCAGTCATCGTCTTTGCCTGCCCGTGCGCGCTTGGCCTGGCCACGCCCACGGCTGTCATGGTGGGAACTGGAGTGGGAGCCGAGAACGGCATTCTTGTCAAGGGCGGTGCAGCTCTAGAGACAACCACCAAGATCAACCAGGTCGTTCTCGACAAGACGGGGACCCTCACCTACGGCAAAATGAGCGTGGCCAAGGCGAGCCTGGCCTCTCCCTGGGGCGACACAGACTGGCGCAAGCGGGCTTGGTGGGCCATCGTCGGACTGGCAGAGATGGGCAGCGAGCACCCCATCGGTAAAGCTATGCTCAGGGCCGCGAAGACGGAACTCGGCCTTAGCCCCGACGCAACTATTGAGGGGAGTGTTGGTGATTTCTCTGCCGCGGTCGGCAAGGGTATCAGCGCATATGTTGAGCCGGCCATTGCCAACGACCGCACGCGCTACAAGGTCCTGATCGGCAACGTGCTGTACCTCGAGGAGAACAGCGTGACTGTCCCCCGCACCGCCGTCGAGGCCTCGGAACAGGTCAACAGCGCTCGATCCACGAAATCAAATGCTGGTACCACCAACATCTTCATCGCGATCAACGGCACCTACGCCGGCCACCTCTGTCTCTCCGATACCATCAAAGACGGCGCGGCCGCCGCCATCGCGGTTCTCCACCGCATGGGTGTGCGGACAGCGATGGTCACCGGCGACCAGCGCGGCACAGCACTCGCCGTAGCCGCGGCGGTCGGCATCGACGCTGACGACGTGTACTCGGGCGTATCGCCCGACCAGAAGCAAACCATCATCCGACAGCTCCAGGACACCGGCGCGGTGGTGGCCATGGTGGGTGACGGGATCAACGACTCACCGGCGCTGGCGACAGCCGACGTCGGCATCGCGATGAGCAGCGGTACCGACGTGGCGATGGAGGCCGCAGACGTGGTGCTCATGAAGCCCAACGACCTGATGGACATTCCCGCGGCGTTGAGCCTGGCGCGTTCTATCTTCCGCCGCATCAAGATGAATCTGCTGTGGGCGTGCATGTACAACCTTGTCGGTCTGCCGTTTGCCATGGGGCTTTTCCTCCCGCTGGGCTTCCATATTCACCCGATGATGGCGGGCGCGGCCATGGCGGCGAGCAGCGTGTCGGTGGTGACTAGCAGCTTGTTCCTGAAGCTGTGGAAGCGGCCGAAGTGGATGGACGAGGTAGAGGCCGAGATGAAGACGGGCGGTGGTGTGGTGAGGAAGGGACGGGGTTGGGGTCTGTTTGGAGGTCTGCGGGAGGCGGTCGGTGGGTTGTTTGGGAGGCAAAGGAGCAAGAAGGATGGGGGGTATGTGCCGCTCGCGACGCTGGATGCCGAGTCTCCGGTTTGAGTGTGCGACAGCTAGTATTAGTTTTCTTTTTTCCTTTTTTTCGTCAGAGCATTTGAAAGCGAGAACTGGGGGAGGGGGAGGTTTGGATTGCCAAAGCGTGATGTCTCTCTTTTGTGTTCTTGTTTCCTAGTTATATACCTACCACTCCAATATCATTCCCTTGAATACTCGTTCATTGTAGTCTGTCAAATGATCAAACGGGATAATGTGTTTGACTCTTTTTGTTTCACCTTAAAAAAATGCTCTATCAAGGTAATGTGGTAGCATGAATTGAGGATACGCATTCTCTTCAAGGACGTCTATTCTCTTTTTACCTTAGGTAATGATACAGCATATTCTATCCCTCGAGCAAGTGACCCGCGCCCTGTTGTTCATCCAATCATGCAAAACAATCCTGACAGGTTGCAACAACAAAGTGCGTTTGTGTTTGTCCTTCCCCATTGAGGCCTCCGGTATGCAGAGCGAACTATTGATGGCCCATCACAATCGGACTGGTTCGCAGAGAAGAAACCACCGTGCTGAAACTCGGTGTCATAGTAAGCTGGAGGAAGCTGACGGCCGCATCGGAGGATACCATCCTCCGCCGCTGACTACCCTTTCTTTGTCTTGTGCCATTGCGGTTTTGGTCCGGTGGCGCAGCCCAGCACGCGACGAGCCCCGCGTGCTCGCCGTAGCGGCATCTATTGGTGGCGAGCGTTTGAATTAATCCTCCCCCATTTCGTCAGATTTGTTTAGAAAGCGGGCTGTAGGTAGGCCCTCAGGGCTTTCACGGCATCGCCATCATGGGACTTGAGAAGCTCGGTCGCTTTAATCTTAGGCAGCTCGAGCTCGTCGACCTAGGATAGACGAAAAATAAAGTGTGTGAGTAAAGTGTGTGAGAAACACCGAATTGAGGTAGAGCTGGGAAAGAAGACCCAAAAAAAAGACAAGCAAGGAACTAACCAGAAGCTTGACGTCGGCCGCATCTACCTTGACCGTCTTGGTCTCCTTCTTCTTGTCGCCGCCACCACCCAAAGAGCTCATAGCATTTTTGATGGCTTCCTGGTCGACCTCGCGGCCAGCCCCTTCGTCATCCCCGCGAGCATCAAGTTTGGACAGGGCCGCTGCGGCCTTGCGGTCTTCAGCGGACTTGGCGGTGGGCTGGACCTCGTCCTCAACGTCGCCTGATGTGGCACCTTCCACAACATCAGCGGGCTGTCTGTCTTCGGCCATGGCGTGCGAAAAATATGTGCGTATTGTGCCTTGTTGGTTGCGGTGCAGAGCTTGGGAGCTAGGTGGGTTGGGATGGGAAGTATTACTGTACGGAATACCTAGTTGGAGGGGGGTTGAGCTGTCTCACGCCTGGGCTGTGCCGCGTCCTGGAGCGACCCGAAATAAATTGGGTGAACGTTTTAGCGGCTTTTAGTGGGGGGAGGGGTCCTTTGTGACGGAACGCACCTGCATGGCCCATGGCTGCAAACTTTGCCCCGCTTAGGCAAGCGGGGCGCATTTCTATTGGCCAATGCACCGATTGAGTTTGTTTCCATCCCTTTTCAAGAAGAAAGTTGTTCGCATTCTTGACTCACAGTGACCATGGAGCTCCCAAAACCTGGCCGCCACTCTCGATTTCACCTTCATAAGCCGGGCTGAAAAAGTCTCCGAAATCTGGGGTGCGAGACGCTTATTTTTGTGTCACCGTGAAGGTGCTCTTAACTTCCATGGTGCTGCCGTGTTACTGCGCCAGAAGTTGACGACCAAAATTACGAATACTTGACCAACAACAAACAAGAACAAGAGAGAGTCAACTTGTCCCATGTTTGTTCTTTTCAGACAAGCTTAGTCGCCCAAGCTCTTTTTCATCCAACAAAACAACACCATGGCCGCACCAACCAAAACGAACGGGCACACCGGCGAGTGGACACCCAACTCGTGGAGGTCTAAGCCCATCAAGCAGTGCCCCGAGTACCCAGACCAGGCCGCTCTCGCAAAGGCCGTCGCTTCCCTTCACCGGCTACCACCTATCGTTCACCCGCGCGAGATCACCGAGCTCAAGAACCACCTCCGCGATGTCGCCCAGGGAAAGGCCTTTTTGCTCCAGGGTGGCGACTGCGCCGAGCTGTTTGACTACTGCCAACAGGATGCGATCGAGTCCAAGATCAAGCTCCTGCTGCAGATGAGCTTGGTCCTTCTCTGGGGTGCTAACAAGCGTGTTGTTCGCATTGGTCGCATGGCCGGCCAGTATGCGAAGCCGCGCTCCAGCCCCATGGAGATAGTCGACGGGCGCCAGGTGCCGTCCTTCAGGGGTGATATCCTGAACGGCTACCATGTCGACGAGCGGCAGCTGGACCCCGAAAGGCTGGTTAAGTACGTTGTTTCTTGTGGTCCGGGAGAACATTGAAACTCTCCAGAACGAGAGAAAGAGGGAAAAACGCAGATGAAGCAAGAAAGAAACCTCCCGCTAACTTCTCCCAGGGCCTACCACCACTCTTCTGCAACCCTTAACTACATCCGCGCATCCATTGCGTCTGGAATTGCCGATCTGAGCAAGCCCCTCGACTGGGGCCTCGGCCATGTACGCGACCCAGCGCTGAAGGAGAAGTACGAAAAGGCGGTCGAGTTCCTCAAGGACATGCGGAGCTTCATGCACACCATCGGCGCCGAAAACGAAAAGTTCCACACGGTCGACCTATTCACCAGCCACGAGGGCCTGCTCCTCGAATACGAAGAGCCCCTGACCCGCCTCCTCGACGACCCCTCAGCCACCTCCACCTCGCCGAAAAAGCAGTACTACAACACCTCCGCCCACTTCCTCTGGATCGGCGACCGCACGCGGCAGCTAGACCACGCACACGTCGAGTTCTTCCGCGGCATCGCCAACCCGCTCGGCGTCAAAGTCGGCCCAACGACCCCAGCATCCGACCTCCTCGCCCTGCTGCGCGCGCTTAACCCGGAGCGGGAGCCGGGCAAGATCACGCTCATCACGCGCTACGGCGCCGACAAGGTGGCTGACCTGCTGCCCGCGCACATCCGCGCGGTCGAGGATAGCGAGTACGCGCGCACAGTGGTGTGGCAGTGCGACCCCATGCATGGCAACACGCAGTCGGTCAGCTGCGGGATCAAGACGCGGCGTTTCAGCAACATCTTCAGCGAACTGCAGCAGACGCTGCGCATCCACAAGGAGCAAAACAGCTACCTCGGCGGTGTCCACCTTGAATTGACGGGCGAGCCGGTCACGGAGTGCCTCGGTGGTAGTGAGAATCTGGCCGAGGATGACTTGTCCACCAACTACACCAGCTTCTGCGACCCGCGCCTGAATGAGAAACAGGCGCTGGAGCTTGCCTTCCTCATCGCTGACCACTACCGGACTGAGCGGAATGGGAATGGTGAAGTTTGATTTGGAAAGGAGTGATGACGGGAAGGGGGTTTGTATCGGACAACAGATAAAAACTGGGAAATAACAAAACTAAAACCCTAAGCAGACGAACTCATGGGACGTTTTTTTTTTTGGGTTCACCAATGGGTCCATAAAATGATCATGGAACATTTCCGCCGGTACTGGTGAATAACCGATAAAATTCCACCAGTTCTTTCATTTATTGCTGGCTTTAATTGGCCCATCTATTCATACCTTCCTCGCCAAACATACGAATTCTGTTTCTTCAGACATCACACCCTCCTTACACTAAAAGACGCCGTTGATCATAAAACACTCCTTGCCCCCGTTCCTCGACCCCTACTCCCATCCCCCTTTCCTGTTGCCGCGGTTGCTCCCTCGCCCCCGCGCCCATCAAGTCAACCAACCAGCGAGATCGTCTGGGCACCCGCAAGCGCATCACCCGCCTCGACCGTCTGCCACGAGTCCACCGTGCCGGGCTCAATGCACAGCATCTGACGATATCCATCCTTGGGCGCAAAGTCGGCAAGCCCCTCAGCCTTGTCGATCCACGGGTTCCAGACCACCACGTTGCTGAACTTATCACGCGTAACGCGGTACTTCTCCGTGGAACCCTCGGATACCGTTACGGTGTTCTCCGCGGGGGTGTACACGCGGTCGGTCTCGCCAGTTATAGTCAGAGGTCCTTCCGTAGGCTGGGTCTTGGTCTTTGCCGAGTCGACCTTGTCGACGTACTGCGCACCACCGAGGCCGGTAACGGAGACGGCGGTAATATCCTGGGGTTGTCAGTGTGAGAACCAAGAAATTGCTATAAGTCAAGAATAGAAAAGTGGCTGGGACATACATTGACACGCAGGTAGGTGTGCAGAAGCACATGGCACTCAAACGACTGGGAATCGTCATTGGTGGCGAGGATGTTAGTCGTCAGGCTCTCGCGGTTAAGTGTCACGCTGTAAATGAGGTTGAACTTGTAGGGCCAATGTGCGGCGGCCTTGGGGTCGAGCCCCGGCGCCCCTGAGCTGAGGCCAAAGTCGAGCTTCACCGACGGATCGTTGGTGGTCTCGCCTTCGAGAGACTCAGACGTTGACTTGCCCAGGAACTCCCAGCGGGAGGTACGCGCGAACCCATGTTGTGGGAGATCCTTAGTCTTGAGATGGTCGGGAACTGAGCCGAAGACCTAGATGGTGGTTAATCACACACACACACACAACACAAACCCCCATCGAGCGCCTGAAACGAGGGACAAAGTAAAGACAATGTAGCAGATACGTACCGGAAAGACAAGCGGGATCCCGCCCCTCACAGCCTTGCTACCATCCAGCTTGGCCGCCTCACTCAGCCACAGTTTCTCGTCACCCGAGGCATCTTTCCAGCTGATGACGGTCGCGCCGTAGAGGAGCACCTCGACACGCTCACCCGTGGGAAGCTCGGCGATGACGCGCGAGTTGTCGTCCGAAAACGTCACGGTCGCCTGGGGCGGAAGGGCCGGCGTCGACGAGAGCGTCTTAGGCTTGTTGGCGCGTTCGACCATGGTTTCGTTTGTTGACTCTTTGGGGGGTTGTCTTTGTTTGATGTTCCTTGTGTGGACGAATCCTGTGTGAACCGATTGCTAGATTGTGAGACGGTGAACGTGTTGGTGAGGTGAAAGAGGACAAAGGGTTGAGACGTACGGATGTGGCGGGATCAAAGTTGAATGGTACTTAGTAAACAACCAATTGCTCCCCTCGGTTCATCTGGGCAGAATGTGATGCAATGGGGTCTTGAGTAAGGTACAGTAGCTGAGGTGGGTTGGAAGGTGGGACAGCTCCTCCAGTAGAATTGCGGGGTAGTTGGTGATGGCGGGGTGAGCTTTCCGTTTTTGTGAGTTGTTATCCCACGAGGTACTGTTTTGAAAACCACACCCGACAATCAGGTTATAGCTGAATGGAGAGTACGGCACAGGTCGAGTAATTGATGGGAAACCAGCGTATTTATTACCATCACGACAGGAACTAAAAGGATCCATTGCACTTCTGGATCACGCCGCATCGTGCCCGTGGCGAAGTTGATCGTCAACGTCGCAATGCGCACCGCAGTGGCAGCTCAAGTTTGATCCAACACCGGCCATTCATGCAAGGGCCGGTATGCCTGAAAGCTCAGGTCAGGCTGGGCGCATTGCATGTGGGAAGGCCACTGGCTCCCAAGAGTCTCTGAGTGTGCTGAAACTTTCCAAAGCTGTTCACCAATCCATGTGGGTGGGCAGCTGTTAGGGAAGGTCTCACGCAAGATGCGAGCCAACAGCGGGGTAAACTTCCAAGCAGTTGAGGTTGCTGCAAAGCTAGAGCTGCGAAGTGTGCAACTGATTGTGCCATCTCCCGCCGTCACAGGTTCGACCTCGGTGCCACCCGGCGTCCGGGCCAGGCCGTTCGAAAGGTCACCTGCATGACCTGAAACGCCGCCACCAACCCGTCACGGCGGGCTTCAATTCTGAGGGTGGGGAGGTACTTAGGTACTCAGGCGAGCCAACAACGGACGGGACCACCTCACCTTTGAATGGCGTCGGCGTTGAACCACCACCGGAAGACGGTGAACCTTTGACTGGATACCTCATCATGGCGGGTGCATTTGTACTAGTCACCAAGTAACGTTATATCTCTCTTCAGCAGTCCTCACACACGGTCACATTTTGCCAATGGAAGGAAGTAACACTTGCTGTATGACCATGACCGGCCACCAATTTTATTTTCAACCTTCGCCAACAGATGATTCTCATACTGTAGTCGGCTATGACAAGCGGGAATGAAGACCAACACCATGAAACTCAGCCCATGAACATACAAATACACAAATACAAAAACCAACGCCGAAGCCACCCCAAGTATCCTCCATGTCATAAACGCCATAAACCATGCAAAATGAGGATTATTTATGCTCTCCCGCGCCTCTCGGCTTCGTACAATTCCCTCTTCATATCCATAAACATATCCTCAATCCGGTACACCTCCTCTCTAGACAACCGCGCCGACCGCAGCTCATCAAGACCACCCCTGAATAGGTCCATGATCTTCATGGCCTGGTTCGTCTCCGGGGTTGTCTGTTCTCCCACAGTCGGGGCTGCATTAGCCGCCCCGTCGTTGACAACTTTCTCGACAATCTTGTCGCCCATCTCCTGTTCCTGAGCGACCGGGCTCTCGGCGTGAATGTTCTCCGGTTCTTCAAAACTGATAGGGGACTCGGACGCGTCCTCAGATTCCGGGGTGTCGTCTTCCTCCCGGTGTTGGCTGAATTCAAGAGCAATCTGGGACTGCACATCCTGATCGTCGCCTTCGAGGTCCATGGCTTCCCCAGTCTGGAGGGTCATAGATTCCTCCGGACCACCTCCTTGGCTTGAATGCTCGGAACCGGTGGGCTCCGCCGACGAGCTCGGGACCCGTTCCTCGACCTCATTCTCGTCCTTTTTAGGTATGCCTTCGACCGTGATCAACGGGACCTCGGCAGAGCCCTCGACCTCCACAGCTGTCTGACTAGACAGCACTGCGTCGGTTTTCCCGCTTGAGCTGTGCCGCCGTCGCTTCGGGCTCACATCCTGCGCTTTCGAAAAGGCCCTCTTCCTCTTCGGCCGCCCACTACGCGTCTTGCGCTGTGGGCTGACCAAATCCTGGGAGTCGCCGGCAGATGAAGTCGTCGATGTAGTTGAAGTGGACCTCGTTATTCTCGCCGGCAAGGCGACCTCGGGTTCTGGGCTTCCGGAAACCACAATGCAGTCGATGACCGGCGACGGTTGCTTCTTGCTTTCGGGGGAAACGGACGGCGAAGGACGTTGGTACCCTGAGCGGTCGGTAGTGTTCGCATCCAACTCCACGACCAGCCTCACCAGACTTGCTTCGTCGAGGTCGCTAACCCCGAACGAGGTACCCGTTCCCTGTATGTTGTGAGCTTGGTCATCGCCAGGCAATTTGGGTGCTTGTTCTTGTTCTTGTGCTTGTGCTTGTCTCGCCAACCGTCCGGGAGTCGGTGGTAGGGGGCTGGTTGGCGCGTCAACAAACTCCTCACCGTCCGACTTGGGTGTTGGCGTTTCGCGGGCTCGCGCCTGGGAAAGTCGAGAGGAGCGGCGTGGCGTGAACGGGCCCTGACTCCCTTCTACTGGTGTTACAAGTGCTTTCGCGTTGGATACCACCTCGGCAGCCTCAAAGACCATGCTATCCTCGATGATATCGTCTGCGGTCGATGGCGGTGGCTCTGTCTTGTCCTCTGCTTTGGCCGGGCTGCTAAGCACCTCGGGCAAAGAAACCACACTGACGTAGCCTCGTTGGCTAGAAGGGTCGGGAATAACCCCATGCCGGTGCGGATTGGGTGAGCCTGAGACCGGCGACGACGAGAACTGCCAGTCCTCGAGAAGGCTATGGCTAGCGGACCTTGATCGTATCTCGGCCGCGAGGGGGTTTCCTCTCATCTCCGGGGGCGATGAGGGAGGGTCGGTCGGGTCATGCTCAGGCATCACGAACAGTTGGCCCCGGCGAGGGGTCGGGGTCGACGAAACATAGTCATCGAATCTCATTTCGGGCTCCGGGGTTGCGGCTTGCCGTTCCCGGGGAGCAACCGGGAGTGGTTGTTGCTCGGAGTCATCCAGTGCAGCATCCGGACTGGATCGGTTGTCTGAGAAAAGAGCTGCATTTTCTCTCTGCCGCTCACGGATCTCCTTTTGCCGCTCGGTCAACACTTGGGATTCGAATGGACTCCCAGAGGCGGGAGCAGGCATAATTGCGGCGAACTGAACCTGAGAGTCATCATGCCTCAAACGAGGCGTCGTGATGTCTCGGGTGCTTACCGCCAACTTGCCTCGGGCAGATCCGTCAAGGCTTCTTTGGGGAAGGCTGGTGGATATAGGAGATTTGGGCTGGGGTTCATTGGGTCGTGGGGTGCTCCTCCGGCTGCTGGACCGCGTGGAATGCAAACTAGGGAAGCTGAAATCCTCAAATGAATCGATGAACGAGGTCTTTTGGTTGGCGTTCTCCTCCACACTTGGCGTTTCCAGCCCGGGCATTGCGATGTCGGCTTGGGGGTGCATCCGCACGAGAGCAGCTTTGAGCCCCTCAGGGTACTCGACATGTTCAACATTCTCGATCATCCCATTCCACAGGACAATCGTAGAGTTGACAATGGAGCGATGGCACGAGGCGAACGAGGCGCAGAGAAAATCCTCGAGGCTTTGCAGCTGCTGCTCGGGGTGATCGATGCCCTTGATCAGGTGGGCAAGTTTATCCCACAGTGTTTTCACCTGTATCGGTTAGCTTTGGGATATTTCAGATGAATATGATTTCGTACTTACCGCAGGAAAAACCAAATCACCCTGCCCACCGAGGCGCCGTTGTGTATCCTCTACCCAGAGGAGAAAGCCACCCTGCACGCTGACCAATGCCCTCACAAACAGTTCGCGGTTGCATCTGTCGAAGAAGCCGCCAAGCTCTCCAAAAAGACGCACCAGCGAGTCGGAGTCGACCGTGCTGAGATTGCTGTAGGCAGACTGCAAGACTTCGCTGAGGCCTCGGTAAAGGTTATCGAAGGTGTCGAAGGACGAAGACCGAGAGCCTGCCAAAACGGTGCCCCAAAGTCGCTTCCGGGCGGCATCCACTGCCTGTCTGTCGCGTGGTTGTGTGGCAACAGAGATAAGCTCGGTCATGGATTTGATGCCACTGAACGAACCATCAATTAGACCTTGGGTTGAGCAATGCTCAGCTACAACCTTTGCCAGGGGTTCAATCAGGACAATGGCTGCCCCAGCGTCTCCAGTTTCCTCACGCACTCGCTCAAAAGCCGTGTGAAATAGAGCGTCCCAATGGCTTGCTGGAAGATTGGGGGTCGATCGGATACCGCGCTCGAGAAGCTTTACGACATCCCGGTAGTCGTGACCAACAGGAGTTTCTCCTCCGGAGCCCGTTGATTGGTGGCTGTTTTGATCGGGTGCGAGCCAATTCGAGATGTTCTCGGCCACCAGCAGCCAGGCGCCGTAAGGGCGTGGGGCGTCAATAGGGATAGTCGACATCAAGTCCTGGGCGAGATCCATTCCCGCCTTGCCTCCCTTGGAAGCAAAAAAGGGGCTAAAAACGGACCGGAGAAGTTGTGCGTACTTGTCGTCATCGGGGATTCCTGGGGGAGGCGTTGATAACACGGAGAAGAGCTTATAAAGAGGCCCCTTGATGGGTGTTGATGGTTGTTTCCCCGTCTTTTCGGTGAAGGGAAGGGCCAGAGAGCGAACCAGTACTTCCAGATATACCATCGCAGAGGAAAGAAAGGCCGCGATATTGCCCTCAGTTTCATCTCGCCCTGACAAACCACGATCCCACACCCTTTGCAAGGCGCCCAAAGACCCTGCAACGAAGGAAGCCGTGTCTTCGGAGACGATGATTTCCTTAGCCGCTGCTGCGGCAACCGTCGAAACCAAGCACGTCCAAAGCCTGCAAGTAGCGCTGTCGGCCTTGGCTAGCGAGAGGAAGTCTTGCTCAAGAATGGGCTCGACAACACCAAACACCCGGTTGGTGTTCCGCCGGATCCATTTTGAGTCTAATGAAGGGAGCTCTCCGGGACTGACGAACGGTAACTCGGCAACGCGATCGACCTTCCATCTCCGTGGGGTGGTGCAGTCGAAAAGGCCGCCAAGAATGGCACTGGCTTGATGGACGGTATCTTCGACAGGGCCGGCAGCCGCGTCAAGCAGCTTCGCAACGGCGGGTTGAACGCTGTTATCCCAGTAAATGTCTAACAGCATTGCGTTCGTATTGGGCTTGAAGGTGTAGTAAAATAGATTGCAAATGGCACCTAGCACAGCTTGCCTCAAATCGTCTGAGCTTTTGCCGGGTGACCTTCGTTTGAGTTGGCTGATAAGGGGGGTAGCGAGGGTCCTCAGGCTCTTTGCCGACCATCGCTCTTCGAGATGCATCATGTACACCAGTCTGGACCAAGCACGGTTGGCAGCAATTTTCGTCGGGAAATCGGGGCTGTTGAAACAGCCCTGGATGATGTGAAGCCAAGGCTGAGCGTACTCCCATTTGTCCAGACGGACGCGGAGAAGAAGGATGACAACGCTCCAAATCTCGGGAACAAGGGCAGATTCGTGCCTGTCCTTGGCCATTACCCTGAGTCTCTCCTCGTAGTATTGAACGTAGCGCCTATCCGTATCCGCAAGGTTGAAAATTTCCATCGCCTTCCGCGACAGTTGCTTTTCGTGGCCGATGCTAAAGGCCGCTTCCAAGCCTAACGAAATGGCGGCCAACCGGATGTCCTTGAGATTGCTGAGCATATCGGTGAACATGTCCAGCAACCAGTCCGAGTGGATGACCATGAGCTGCCGGGACTGCTGGATCAGTTTCCGATAAATCAAAACACGAGACAACACGATGCTCTTTCCCTTGAGGTGTTCTTCGATGTTGTGCAACGACGAAACCAGCCTCCCGACTCTGTCTGCGGTCATGACTTTGGGAGGGAATTTTTGCAGAGAGATGACCTGCATGAGACGACGCGCGGTATCTTTCGGGGTGGATGAGTCCTCGAACGAGCGGATGCAATGGTCGATGATGAAGACGCCGAAGTCGTGGGGAATGGTTGAAGATATGGCGGGAAAGTGTAAAAAGGTATTCAAGAGATTCAGCGCATGGTTGACAAGAACGACATCGGGGTTGCCTTCCATGTTCCGTGTTGAAATGTCCCGTTGCATAAATTGGGTGAATAGTGACATCTTTTCCTGGAGAGCCACCCTGTCTGGAAGATTATTGGAAGCCTTCCACGCCCGGGTGAGCATCAAGTAGGCATCGAGCTTAGAGCCGCGGTCGCCGCCGGCCAGCTGCTGGAGGGTGGAATCCAACATGGCGATTAGGTTGATTTGGGGGTTCGGGGAATTGGTACCACTTCCGGCAGTGGGGTCGAGGATGTTCAGGGTGTTGGTAGTGACTTTAAGGATCGACTTGACGGGTTTCGATGCACTTCGGGGCAGTGACACGGGGGTCGGGTGCTGCTTCACTGCTTCACCGTCGGGGTACACGGGCGCATCCCGGTACTCGGCTCGAGCGGAGAATCCAACCTTCTTCTGTAGCCGTCGTGACGTCGAGGCTGTCGTAATGAAGGAGTCGGGTGACTGAAACCCAGGCGGGGTATGGACGCTCACTCGGGTATCAATGAAGCCCAGCTGAGGTCGAGTGGAAGCCGCAGCCTCATGATGAGCCTCGCGTGGTGGTGTTGGAGGTCTCGGTGGCAGAGAGCTCAGAAAAGTCGACACCGCTGCTGGGGATGACATTCTGCGCCGGTGGTTGGCTTGAGCGGAGTGAGATGCAGAGAATCTGCGTCCTCAGACCAGCGAAGGCGTCACCTGGGGGAGTTGATGGGTGGCAGTGGCATCGGGGCTAGAACACCAGCAGTGCAGAGATTGAGTAATGACGAGAAAACTTAAAACCAAGGAACCAAGACAACACAGGCCCGAAAAAGTTGGTGTGTGGCAAGCTGTTGTCGGAATTGGTGTCACGAATGGGTCTCGAAACGTCGTTTGCAGGTGGACAGGTCAGACGCCAGGCAAGCAATTAAGACTTTTGACGCGATCGCGTGTGGGACTGGGGAAGCGCGTCTCCTCGCGCGACGCCTTCGCGCTAAAGTTAAGGGCTCCACTCTCTCCACACACCAACCTCCTGGCGGCTCTCTTGCGGATTGCCGAATTTAGCCAAGTGCCTGGGCCGTCGCGACAAAACGTCACGATTCATATGCCGAAACCCCAAAAGCAGATACGAGAGGTACATGTACGCATAGAGTGAAAAAAGAAAGGAAAGGGGCACGGCAAAAACAAGGGCAAATACATTGAAGTGTTTAGGTCCCTCGCCGACGTACGCCGCCAATTTTCTTGGACTGTCCATGCCGGACATCCCTTGTTGAACTCTGTATTTCCGAACATCGTTTTCGTAATTATACCGTATTGGCATGTAAGGTCTTTCGATCCTAGGTAATGTACCCAAGTACCTACCATATCGGTACCGAGCTCGCGCCTTCTCCTGACAGGACTTTGATGTGACCGACCAACCGCCTCCATCGAGACTGTTCTCAAAACCGAACCTGAAGACGTTCAGAAATCTGTCACCTTCCACGGCAGATCCTTTGCCTGCATCTTGAACCTGTCTCACATCATCCAGTGGTCCCCGCCGAATTCCAGGTGGGGCTTACCGGACTTGTTCGAGTTGCTTCTGGTTGAGCTCCCCCCTCAACACCCGGGCCATCAATTAATCATCTAGGCCGCTTCATCCAACAAGGGGGTAAAACACGACGAGTGTTTTCCGCAACACTTTACTTACACACATTGGCTGAAGATGGCGCAACTGACTGGTCCTGGTTGGTTCCCCCGGCCCTCTGGCAATTGTGTTTGATGAACGCCTCTCAAAGCTAACTTGGTCGTAGCGAAACTTGCGGCGGTACAAAAAATTCTCGATGACTTGGCCAAAGACCTCGAATCTCCCGTCCTAAAACCTCAAGGTATATCGTCACCTCGCAGAGACGGATGATAAACGGTGTGTTAACCCTCAGCACAGAGCGGGACGTGGCCCTTGAGCAACTCAAGTTATACGGCCGCAACCCAAGTTATGCCGAACCGATATTCACCAAGAGGGTACGTCCATTCGTTCGGATCTGATCCTGATTGTAACTAATAAATCCCTTAGGGCCTAGAGATTCTCACCAAGTTTGCTTTTGACAGTGCGTCAGATACGACATCCCGCAATGCACTTCGAGTGCTTTGCAACACTTTATTTCTTCAAGAGCAGACAAGACAGGTTTTTGTGAGTCTTGGGTACGAAGCTAAAGCGTGCCTCAAGCTTCGGAATGATAGCTGGGAGGATGAATTCCTGATCTCAAGACTCATTCTCCTTACCACCTACGGCACAAACATCGATCTCCCAACGTTGATAGAGAACGAACAGCTAGCCGACACCATAATCCAGAACCTCTCGAGACATGCCAAACGTCTCGCTGGGACGAAACCTGCACCAAATACGGCTGACCCGATGGCGGGCATGGCACTGGAAGAAACACTGAAACTCCTGTTTAATGTGACGAACTTCGCCAAGGATCACCTCAGTGCCTTTGACAGGGCATTCCCGCATATTTCCTCGCTGCTCTCCACACTGCCACCGCCCCAAGCGAGCGCTCCTCTCGATCCTCCGTTCGGTCTCCTAATCAACACCCTCGTCAATCTCGACGCCAGCACACCAACCGCCCGGGCCGCCCTCTTTCCTGTGGACAAACCGACACTTCTCATCGACCGGCTTCTCCAGCTTCTCGATCTCTCATTAAAGACCTACAACGATACCGAGCTCGAGCAATCTGTGACCCAACTAGTCTGCACCTTTTCACTACTCTATGAGCACGCCCCCAAACCCGGCTCGCCGGCTGGGGCAGACACGGACACAGAAAAAGACACAGCCCGTACCGTTCTCCAGAAGACTCTCCTCCCGACCGAGCAAGACCGAGTCACCGTCCTGGGCCGCGCTGACACCTTACCCTCACGGCTATTGCGCAACTGGACCAACCCTCTGACGCCAAATTTTGGTCGCGCGATAGCTCACTTATTCTTCGACCTCTCCGACAAGAGTCCGGTTCGGTTTGTAGAGAACGTTGGATATGGGTACGCATCAGGGTTCTTGTTTGAGAACAACATCAATGTTCCGGAAGAGGCTTTACGGGCACAGGGCGGTAGCGGGCAAGGTTCTTCGTCCTCGGCAGGCGGTGCTAATGCGGGCCGGGGCCGGAGGGAGGTGAATCCCATCACTGGGCAATTTTTGGACGAGGAGCGGTTCGCCGATCTTCCGGAGATGACGATGGAGGAGAAGGAGAGAGAGGCGGAGAGGCTCTTTGTCCTTTTTGAGAGGTATGCCTCTTACCGAAAGATTGTTTTGACCATGTAGTGGCGATGCTAACGATCTAACAGGCTGAGGCAAACCGGTGTGGTTGACGTGGAGAACCCTGTTGCTACGGCGATGCGGGAGGGGAGAATTCAGGAGCTTTCAGATGATGATGATGCTGCGGAGGATCTTGATTAGACGCCTGAATGCGCCAAAATGTCACCGGCCAAGCGTGGAACTCGACTGTATGTTTATGCCTGGTGACGAGGACGGTCTTGAGGATATGTCTAAGTTGTGTTTTGAGCGCTGCTGTTAAGTGAGACTTTACCCGGTCAAGCGAAATAATGTTGCGCTCAATGCTAAACAGCTGGCCAGAAAATTCAGATGTCCGTACGTAATATGTGCAAGCCAGAAGTTTAATACGCGTAGGCAGTTGCAGAGTTGAATCCAACCTACCACTTACGCTGACGTTTTATTCTTAATTCATTAATGGCTTTGAAGGATTGGGTTTCATGTATTAGTTAAATATTTTTTTCAACCCTCATGTTTTTTCCTTTCAACCCTTGGATTCAACAAATAGAGAACTTTGCGCCTTGATGCTTACTTTGCTGGGGTGTTAACAAGAGGCTGTGTTAGGGTAGCAACAACAGTTATATTTTCAATATTTTCCTGGGAAAAGTAGAACTACCTATACTTAGAATAAAACTTTCTCGAAAAGACACAGAAGTAGAAAATACTGGGCCTTTGTTTGAACTCGCAAGTCATTCACATTGAGTGTACAAGTGGGATTTGGGGGGCGAAGCTAACACTGGGAATTTAGTTCCGTTTCTCACTTTCATCGATCTTTTTGATCTTTCTCGCCGCAACCGAATTGCCGTGTTTACATCATCGCGTCTTCGCGCTTCCAACAATTTAGTTTTATCAACGAACGACTTCGTCAGAGGTAGGTTACTATTTCATCCGCGCAACTATAAACTTCCGTCCACTTTTTTCTCAATTTTATTTAACCTTGCAACATAGGTCCAGTTGGCGCGCGCCGCGAACCCTCCAAGTCACTCATCAGTCGCGTAATTCCTGCTGATTTCAACAACCAAATTCAGCAACCCCTAGGCCTAAGAGCAACCCAGTCAAAATGCCGTTCGGCGAGATTTTCTTCGGCGATGAGGAACACGATATTCCTCTGATTCAGAGCGACCTCCTTGAGTAAGTTCGCGAACTGGTCTCATGCTAACCATCGAATTTCGTCGCAAATGCGCCAACTCAAATGCGCCCGCCGGCTTTCGCCCATTGTTTTTTGTCCTTTATCTAGTTCAGTCTGATGCAAAGTTCTTGCGCAACAAAACTGAAACCCCACTTCCTACCTTATATCATACCCCCCGGCAGTACCTATTTTGGAGCTTCTGCGACAGCCGCTAACGACAAACCCACAGATCCTTGGAGGCGGAAATGGATCAAGAGGATATCTATGGAAATGGAGACGCAAGTGCAGGTCCTACGGTGGTCACGCTGGCCGATCGTTCTGCGGTAAACGACGTACTGCCGGATGCCCCAGAAGCCGACTTGGAGCTCCAGCTCCAAACTGAGATCCAGGACAGCCTGCCTGTCTCTGCGCCAGCCTCGGTCCCCAAGAAGCGCGGTAGGCCTTCGCTCTCGGCCTCCGCCACCACCGCCAAATCGGTCGCGGCTAGGACACCTCGTTCGGCCAAGAGCGCCGCGACGCCGAAAAGCGCGAGTCGTAGTGCCGGCAAGCGCAAGGCGGTGGCACCCGAACCCGAGCCTGAGAAGGAGGAGGAGGAGGAGGAGGAGGAAGAGGTAGAAGAGGAGGCGGAAGCAGACGGGGAGGCCGAGGAGTCGGGGGAGGATGAGATGGAGGATGTTCCGGCCGTTCCGGCTGGGAAGCGCGGCCGCCCGGCGCGTTCTACGAGCGCACCTACCAGCGCGCGGATTGCGGCCAAGGCTGCGAAGAAGCCGACCCGAGGCTCTAAGAAGCCTGCTGCGGTAAGCATGTCCATGAAAGAGGAGTACGTGTTTGTAATTGCTAACCATCGCAGCAGGCCGCCGCAAAACCAGCTAAGAAAATAGGTCGTCCCAAGAAGAACGCTACCAATGGTGATGTGCCGGCGGGCGAGTACGAAGTCGAAACCATCGTCGATTCGGCCATTGACGCAGATACGATGGAGCACATGTTCCTCGTCAAATGGAAGAATTACCCTGCTAGCGACAATACCTGGGAACCCAAAAAGAACCTCAAGGGGTCTCTCGATCTCGTTCGCCAGTTCGAAGCCGCAAAGAAGAAGGCCCAGGCCGCCGAGGCTGCTAAGAAGGCATCCACCCAGAAAGCAGCGGCGAGTGAGACAAAGGCTACGAGGGCTGCGAAGTCGAAGGCTGTGAAGCCTGTGAAGCCTGTGAAGCCGGCTAAGAAAGCACCGGGCCGGCCGGGCCGGAGGAGGAGGACCCGAGCTTGAGCAGTCGGTGCGCTTGATTTATTTCCGTCTTGTCTTTTATTTTCTTGATTTTGCTTTGCGAGGACATGGACGTGACGCTGGAGGTTGATGCGCGTCTGAATCCTTGTTATTGCTCTGGGTGGGGGGATAAAGGAGGGGCGTCCGGTTCTCCTAAATACAAATGGGCCTCGATTTTTTCTACGGTCGATTAGTCGCGCCGTAATAGTAACAACAGAAGCAAATACCCTCCTATGCAGAGATAATTTCGTTGCGTTGAAGTTCCTCAGCGTTCGTCCACCATAGGCCGGTGTATAGCATGGTGAGATACACTGCGAGGGAATTTGATGGGTTTGTCTTCTCATGGAGTTGTTTCAGATGCACCTTCTTGACTGATAAATGAGCGTGTACCACGTGTGACAAGTATTTTGTGTCTTGTTGGCGGTTTCCGGGCTGCTGGGTGGATGAAAGCCGTGCCGCGGCCAAGCCCCGGAGCTGAAGCTCTGTGGTGGGGCCGCCCCGGTCCCCAAATACCGAGACACCCATGACGTTGCCAGGTCTTTTCCCAACTGCCAGCTCCCACCAACTCCTTCATTGACGGTCCGACGAGCCCTATCTCGAAATCCCCCGCCACATAGGGACCGACTGTCAAGCGCGTTTCAAACTCAACAGCCGCAAATATGGACGCGCTTCGCTCCGCGATCCAGCCGATCACACACAATCTCCCAGGTCCAGTTCGCGACCTGGGCGAATCGATTATTGGCGACACGTGTTACAAGACTCTCCTCCTCGACGTCGACCTCGAGAACACCGAGTGCATCAAGCTCGCGGTCAGCAAGGGTCTCGGAATTGGTATCGTGGGCGCGTCGTCCATCGTCAAGGTCCCGCAGATCCTCAAACTCGTGCAGTCGCGGTCGGCCAGCGGCGTGTCTTTCCTCTCCTACCTGCTCGAGACCACCAGCTACCTCATCTCGCTCGCCTACAACGTCCGGAACGCGTTCCCCTTTAGCACCTACGGCGAGACGGCGCTCGTGCTGGGGCAGAATGTCATCATCACCGTGCTCGTGCTCAACTACAGCGGCCGTGCTAGCGTGGCGGCTGTGTTTGTCGCAGCGCTCGCGGCGAGCGTCGTGACACTGTTCAGCGAGAACGTTGTGAACATGCAGAACCTGCGGTATCTTCAGGCAGGGGCTGGGGCACTTGGTGTGGCTAGCAAGGTGCCGCAGATTCTGGCGATTCTTCAAGAGGGCGGGACCGGGCAGCTCAGCGCATTTACTGTCAGTTGGAACTCCTCTTGACTCCTCTTGCTTAGGCAGGACCCTGTGAAAACTCAAAAGGACACAACGCTAACAAGGCTCTGAAACAGGTCTTCAACTACCTTCTCGGATCCCTCGCGCGCGTCTTTACGACCCTCCAAGAAGTGGATGACAAGCTGATCCTGTACGGTTTCGTGGCTGGTTTTGCGTTGAACCTGGTCCTCGCGCTGCAGATGGTTTACTACTGGAACGCGCCGTCGGCCAAGGCCAAGGGCAAGCAAAAGGCGGCCCCTGTGACGGCCCCGACTTCAGCGACAACGACGTCGGCATCAACGCCGCCGAAGAGCAAAGGGCCAACGACTCGCCGCCGTGGTTGAGGGAGTGCTTCCATTTTATCGTTGTTATGGCTAGAGTTTGCTCACACGGCAAGGCGTGTCTATTTTACGTATGCTGATAATTTTAACATTTAATTTCTGCCCTTTCCTGATACAGATTCCCCGCTGTGCTATCTGTCACTTTCCATTGCGTTCCAGACCGGTCGACTCAGTTGAGCAACAAGTCATGTGCCCTCCGTGGAGCACCCCCAACCAATCATTCCCGAGTTAAACCTTTTTCGAGCTCGGTGACTGTGATAGTTGCGAGGCAGCACACGAGCAGCACACGAGCAGCACATATCTTCGCGGCAGCTTGCGCTTGAAGATTGCCCGGACGCTCTGAACTAACGAAACCAAGCGGCGAGCTTGTGGATATCACGCTTTAACCCCTCCCACAATCCCGAATTCAAATCCCCCCATTCATGTGGGGACCCCTGCTTTTCCCCCACAGCCACCCCTGTCTTTTGCATGTGGGACAAAAGCTGAAAAAAAAAGTCGGAATCGGCCAGCGGATGCATGTTTGATAAGAGCCCAGGCGCTCTGGGAGCGGTGAGGTTGTTGTGTCGCGAGTGAGGTGGGGATGCTTCACGACGAATTTACCGGATGCCGCCCCCGAGTTGAAAAACATTTGGTTCACTGTGAAGTGCCAATATTCTGTTAATGTGTAGACTCAGGTGATACTTGTGAGACAGGGCGGCAACAAACTGGAAGCAGCTTTTCAACGCCAAGCCACAACAGATCGTGGAGAGTTCGGACCGAAGACTTCTCTCGGGAAATGCTCTCGTGATGCCAAGACAACGCCATTTGCGAAATCGCACATTGGGACTCCGAAACCCCCGGCCGGGCTCCCCTGGCAGCGATCCCTTGTGTTTTGCCAGACTGCCGGGTGCCGGCGAGGTTCCCGAAGATTATTAAATATATGGAGCCACTGCTGCTCCGTCTGTTCTCATTCTGTCCTTCGATGGCGCCATCTGACGAGCTTAGAGCATTGCATCAAGAGAAGTTGCGTGCTGAGGCGTGATTCCGTCCCATCCTCCGAGTCTCCCTTCCTTCCACTTCCACACCGTTTATACACCCTCTTCACCAAAAGTCCCGTGGGGGGTTCTCTTTTTTTCTCTCTTCGTTTTCTGATATCCCTTTGCAATCGAAAGATCTCAGCCCACCACTTTGACGTACAACCTAACCCCCCGACCCCCGTCGTGTTCACTTACAAGTTACACCCCTCGCTTTTACCTTGGTTGGTGTTGCTTTGCTTGGTAGATATCGAGCCTTTCGAGTTAGCTCCCGCGCGATCTTCCCACAAAACGTGTTTCTCATTTGCGGGCTTCGATCCGTAGGGCTGAATCGCACGCCACAGTGGTGGGATCAAGCCTCATACATCCACCCCCAGGCCTTGAAAAGATAGCAGAGAAGGCAAAGCACGGAAATTCCAAAAACAGAACCAATGGCGCCGGACCTCAACTCGCTCCCGGCCTCCCCGGTCCCGGGCAAGGCCCCCGTTAACCTCACCCGTGGCGGCACTACTGCCGGTCCTGCTCCAGGTGAGAAACGGCCCAACATCCTCTACATTATGGCCGACCAGCTCGCGGCGCCTTTCCTCAAGATCTACAACCCGGACTCCCAAATCCTCACCCCCAACCTCGACGCTCTCGCGGCCCGGTCGGTCCAGTTCGACTCGGCCTACTGCCCATCGCCACTATGCGCCCCATCCCGCATGAGCATGATCACAGGCCTGCTGCCCATGAAGATCGGAGCGTACGACAACGCCGCGGCCATCTCCAGCGATATCCCCACGTACGCCCACTACCTTCGCATGAAAGGCTACCACACCGCCCTGGCCGGCAAGATGCACTTTATCGGCGACCAGCTGCACGGGTACGAGACCCGTCTGACCAGTGACATCTACCCGGGCGACTACGGGTGGGCCGTGAACTGGGACGAGCCGGACACGCGGCTGGAGTGGTACCACAATGCCAGCTCCATCCTGCAGGCGGGCACTTGTGTGCGCAGTAACCAGCTGGATTATGACGAGGAGGTCATGTACCGATCGACACAGTTCTTGTATGACCACGTCCGCGAGGGTCCCGACTCGAGGCCATTCTCTTTGACGGTAAGTTTGAGGTCATTGTGATAAACTTATATACTTTTGACCCCCTTGCCCAGTCTGGGAACTTGTGTTGCATGATTGGTTGGGCGGGCGCGCACGTTGAGCGTGGGGGTCCCAATTACAGCCCAATATACCTACCCCAAGTCCCGCTTCTGCATCACACACACCACCTCTTTTTACCAAAGATGAATGGAGACTAATGGGTCGGGCCGCTCTTTCTGTCCTCGTGTGCTTAGGTTTCATTGACACACCCCCACGATCCATACACTATCGAGGAAAAGTACTGGGACCTGTACGAGGGTGTCGATATCGATCTCCCCAAGGTCAATATTCCCAAAGAGGAGCAGGACCCGCACAGCAAACGCCTGCTGAAGGTGTGCGACCTTTGGGATACTGAATTTAGCGAGGAGCAGATTAAGCGGGCGAGGCGAGCTTATTACGGTGCCGTTAGCTATGTCGATGACTGCATCGGCAGGCTGCTGGACGTGTTGAAGAAGTGCAAGCTCGATGAGAACACCATCGTTGTCTTTAGCGGCGACCATGGCGATATGCTCGGTGAGCGTGGGCTCTGGTAAGTTCTTCAACTTTCGTCGGCCCTGGTAACATGGTCTTCAAAAACGTGACGAACGACAACCGGCAGACACTAACCTTAACCACCGTTGGCAGGTACAAAATGAGTTACTTCGAGTCCTCGGTCCGCGTCCCGCTCCTTGTTTCCTACCCCGCCCAATTCACTCCCCACCGTGTGTCCGCCAATGTCTCTACCCTGGACATCCTGCCCACTATGTGCGACTTCGTCGGCACTAAGCCTGCATCCTTCCTCCCCATGGATGGCGTCTCTCTCCTCCCTCATCTTCAAGACGTCCCTGGCGGCCACGACGAGGTCTTTGCTGAGTACACCGGCGAAGGCACCGTCCGTCCGCTGATGATGATCCGCCGTGGCAAGTGGAAGTACGTGACCTGCCCAGCAGATGGATCGCAGCTGTACGACCTCGAGGCGGACCCGCTCGAGGTGACGGACCTGGTCAAGAGCGGCGCGGTAGCGACCGACGAGAAGATCAAGCAGGCGTTCGAGGGGTTCGAGGCCCAGGCCAAGGCCAAGTGGGACTTTGATGCTATCACCAAGGAGGTGTTCCAATCCCAGCGGAAGCGGCGGTTGGTGTGGTCGGCACTGACGCAGGGCAAGTGGACGAGCTGGGACTTTGATCCTATTGACGATGGGAGGGAGAAGTAAGTCGTGCCTTTATGCTCTAGTTAAAGGGATCCATTCATGCTAACAAAGACTCCAAGGTATATCCGCTCGCACATCCCACTCGACGATCTCGAGCGTCGGGCGCGTTTCCCGGCAGTCGATGCATTTGGGCGGGAGACGGGGTCAGTTATTGTAACTGACCAAGCGGGCTCCCATGGACAATGAGTGATCCCTGGCGCTGGATCATCGAAAGGAGAGAGTACATATCTAGCGATTACATACCCCGCCTACTTGACTTGGTCGCATTTCGGCTCATATGGCTTTCAGGCGTCGGTTAGCGCGGCGCAGAGCGTTGCCTTATGAATACTCTTTAGCAATATTTAAAGTGCTAGAAAAATAAAAATCCTTGCGTTTCAACAGCAGGTTAAATTGATTCAATCATTGCGTTCGGTCTGGACATAGTGTAATTGGGGAAGTTGTCAGCGTTCGCCGGAGAGTGCTGTCATGGTGATCCATGTTCAGGGTTAGGGGTTGAACTCGCGTCTGAGCTCCCATGCTGTCACCCTTCCGCCCGCATCATGTCGCGGTTCCACCTTGTCCGACAACAATGGCCATTCTACAACCCGCACATTTGCAAGCTTGCTAAATTCATCAATCGTTTGCGGAACTCGTTGCTTAGAATAATTTCCTTACCGGTCATCATCAAAAACGCTACCATGGCATCGCTGAGCATGAGCCTGGAAGAGCTCAAACAGCTGGAGCTCCTGCGCAATCGCTTTGCGCAGCTCACCAGCAGCTTGCTAAGCCTACGGTCCAGCGTTATAAACTCTAACCCTCTTCCTTCCCAGTGAGCAAGCATACTCCCCTCCAATATCGACATTCTACTTACCCGGTGAAACCAGACAGTCCCTCCAAAAGTCCGTCACAATCCTCCAACAAAACATTCGCACCATCCAGGAGCTCATGATCGAGAACGCGGGCATGTTCCAGCGCCTCGCCATCCACCCCTCGACGAATTTCCCCGGGCGCACACACGAGAACGTTCTCATCACACTTCTCCGCAAGAAGCTCGAGCCCGACGTCGAGAATTGGGTGGAGGACGCCCGAGCTAGCGCGCGAACAGCCGGGTTGGACCAGAGCAAACTGGCGGCGGGCGTGCAAAAACGGGGCGAGCACGATTACGATGACGAGGACACATATGGCATGGAGCAGGACGATGATGCACCGCAGGACCCCTTCAGCGAGCAATGGGGAGAGATGCTGGACGATTTTCAGCAGACACTGCATCAGTATGTGGCAGTGCAGTCCAAGAAGAAATACACGGCGGAAGAGCAGGCGGCCGGCGTAGAGAACGTACGGACGGGGCTTAAACAGGTGCTCGAAGAAAGCGACGAGGAGGAGGATGATGAGGATGAGGATGAAGACGAAGATGAGGACGAGGTTGTGGAGGTCGTGCTACCTGGTGCTGGCCCGAATGCTGGCGCGCAGGGGGCGGGGCCTCTCGGTAGTGGTCCCTCGGTTGTCATCGAGCCGGAGCACATCTTCTTCTTGCAAGCCACGGGTAGCCTCGATCTCCCCAAGAACGTTCCAATCCAGTCGCAAGCCACAGTGCCTATTGGGCGGGTCGCGCCGAAAAGGTGAGAAGCGAGCGAGGTAGAGGCAATATGGTTTACTTTAGGCATTGCCAGTGCCATTGCCAGGCATGATCTTGAAAACCGACTAGGACTTCTCGGCTTGGGGGTAATGATGGTTTCAAGGTAAGCTTATCGCCCGATCAAAGATCTCTTTCGCTTGTGCCCAGACTGATCAATTTTAAGCCGACTCTTATGGGCATTCATTAAGAACCCTTTGCGCGGCCAACCAACACCAGGGCGAACCATCGATTCGCAACTGAGACGGACGGGAAGTGTGCGGGACCAAATGAGTTCGCATACACATACATAGTGGGCAAGTATGAAATTGATATTGAATCCACGATTGCCCAATGCATCGCGGAAATGGCACCACGACAAGTTGCTCAAGAGTGTGATTTGGATCGGCAATGGGTATAAATATAGTTTATAGCCTGCATTTGGTTAGAATGACTTAGCCGCAAGAACGGTCCCAACGAGACGGGAGGAGGTTTCGCCTCAATTGCTGTGTGTGACTCGAGTAAGCAGTCTCGTTTGGAGCCGAACCTCATGCACGAGCGTGAGATTGAGTTCATTGATCAAATAACCGGAGTGTTACACTATATGCACGGTTTCGTATATCCGTCGACTGCAAATGAGACTGCTGTTGAATTCATTTCTGCTTGCAGGAGGCCGCGTTCTTTTCTGGGGCCAGCTGCTCTTGGCTGTGGCTGTGTCAAAGAATGCGGCCATTCTGGGGAAGCAGAAATACCGATCAACTCCCGACTCGCCTGCCCCACACCATGTCTGCTTCCAGACTGCACATCATTGACTTGTCGAGCTGTTCCCGTAACGTTAACAAGTTGCAGAGCTGCTACACTCCAACAACAGCTTCTAACAACGCGAAGTTTTTTCAGGTTACAAACAGTTCTCAGGAGCGTCGATTAACTTCGACCTATTGGCGGATGTTGTCGCGCAAGCCAGCGAATTACGTCCTTTCGACTCGGCCCGGGCCTCTGTCTCGGGAGATGGAAGAGGTCGATCTGATGAGACCGACGAGTGTGGGGTCGGGTCCTGAGCACAACGTCATTTTGATACATAAGCTGTTGTAACACGTTGGACGTGTGTTGCTCATGGACCAACTGTTCAACTTGAGTCGTGACCGAATTCATCATTCAGCTACGTTTCTTCTTTGTCAGTCGAGTAGCGAGGAATCACATTCTTCCGAGGCAAAGCCGCCCATTTGAAAGACGAGAGTTCCGAAGCTGCCCGACTGGGTTTCCCGAGCTCTAGCTTAGGTACCTATTGATAGCTGCGCATGTGGTATGACCAAGGGCCGGGGGATTCGGAGCGGCCACTGCGCAACATTGCGCCCTCACGGGCACCTTCTACATATCAGTATGCTGAAGCCCAAGATGCATACTTTTCTTGTCCATCTACATAGTAAGCTTACCCCAGCACCCCAGGCTGCCTTTTACGCTTCGGCGCCTGTACTATGTACACTATAAGAAAACAGCCAGTGATCCACCAACGTTCGATTAATGAAATCGAGATGGCTCGCCGGCTCGGTTTCAGATGCCCCTCCAACCTGCAACCAGTGGGGCTTTTCCCCACGTGCTGCACCTCGGGATGTAATCCCTGACCCACGCACCCACTAAACCCTGAGACCCCTGATTCGAGGCCCAAGGGGGAATCAAACCAGAAATCCACCCACCATTTTCCCAGTTGGTCATCTGCCAATTCTCCGATGGAGTTGCCGTTGACATACGACTGGAGGGGGAAACCGACGCGACGAGCTCTGAAGATCCTCTCCACATTACGTATGTAATGGACGCTTGTGCTCCTTGATTGTTCCCGGCCGAAAACCGGTTACCCGCTGTTTCGACGGCGCGGTGTGTTCCGTCTTGTGGACTCTTTCAACGAGGTCGTCCACCGTCAAGTCTCCCCTTTTCAGGTTGTTTGTCACACCTCCAAGCCGCTCGTTTCAGCCGAACTTTGAATCCGTCGTTCTTTTGGTCTTATCTTCCCTTTCCAGCGATTCGTGTCGCTCTTCCACTATTGTTTCACTGACACGGCATTGCGGCTTGGTGCATCAGCAGTTGGTAAGTGCCGTTGGCCCCCCATCCCCCGCCTCTTCCGCCGTTGGGAACGATCCCAAGCGAGTAGAAGTGCCGCGCGGCGCAGGGTCTCAGACGTCATGTTGGCCTGCTTTCCAAAGCAGCCTTGTCTCTTTTGCCTACCCAAAACTTTTTGTTCGTCCGGCGCTTCTAACTGAAATTATAGAGAATTGCCGCCAATGTCCTAAGCTGCACCTCACCATCATACCCGGCTCGTGCTTCTGCCAGCCGAGCCAACTTCAACAACCAAACCACCCACCATGACAGGCCCGAGCCATCGGCGCGGGACGTCAAGTTCCTCCATCCACAACTTCGTTCGCTCACGATCACCATGGATGCGTTATCTCCGCCCACTCCTCCCTAGTTTCGTCTCTGATGCCTTCTTCCCCGATCACCGCCCGACATGGCGGTTACATCCCACCTCGTATCTCGACGGCCTACGCGGCGTGGCCGCCATTCTTGTCTTCTTCTGCCACTATACCGAGAATAACTTTCGCGCTCTCATACCACCGTATGGCCTCGAGCCGGACCCGGAGGAATGGCACGGTTTAACTTGGTCTGCCGACTCGTGGATCCAGCTACCATTCCTTCGCGTTATCTTCTCCGGGCGTCCGATGGTTCATATTTTCTTCGTCATTTCCGGATTCGCGCTATCCTATAAACCCGTCCGCTGTCTACACGCTCGTGAACCAGACAAAGCCCTCGCTGCGCTCGCCTCGTCCGCTTTCCGTCGACCGTTCCGCCTGTTCGGCCCTTGCGTCGCATCGACATTTATTATCATGTGCCTACGCCAAATGGGGTACCTGACCCCCGTCATGGACACATTTGTGGAGGAGTTTATCAAGTGGAAGAACGCACTGTTTCACCAGATCACTTGGCCGTGGGCGTGGGACCGGGATTTGCGGCCAGCGTATGACATCCATTTGTGGACCATTCCGATCGAATTTGCCCACTCCATGCTGCTGTTCGTGGTGCTGTTAATGCTGTCGAGGGCCAAACTGCCAATACGGATGGCGACAGTGTTTGGCCTAATGATGTACTGCCTGAGCTGTGGGAAGTGGGCCGGATTTGAGTTTTTGGCGGGGTTGTTTCTGGCTGAGGTGCACGTCTTGCGGGCATCAAAAGCGAAGGAGTGGGAAGGGGACGAAGAGTCGCAGGGGCCAAATTGGGCACTCAAGAGCTTCCAGATCTTTCTCGTTGTGCTTGGGCTCTTTGTCGCCGGCTGGCCCAACCACGAAGCCGACAAAACGCCTGGGATCTCATTCTTTCACGAACAAACACCATTCCCGTTTGCAAGGATGGATAAGCTGGCGCCACAGAAGTTCTGGTTCAGTCTCTCCGCCGTGGCCACGGTGTGGGCCGTGGGAGATCTGGATTTCTTACGGGAGTTCTTTGAGGGCCCGTTTGCGCAGTACTGCGGGCGCATCAGCTACGCCGTATACATTTGCCATGGCCCGGTGGAGGGCCTTTTTAAGGAGCGATTGATCGGGCATCCCCCAATTCCGGAGTGGGGAGAGCCTGGGGCGCCAGAATACAAACCAGCCTTACCCGCGATGGGTATCAAAGGACTCATCGGGGATGACACCACGATACAGATCACGTTGAGCTGGCTCTTTGGTCTGTGGCTGTTAGGGCCGCTTGTTATCTGGGCGGCGGATGTGTTTTGGCGAGGGATAGACGCCCAGATCGTCACACTCGCAAGGAAACTAGAAACGGTGTGTTTGGACGACACGGAACCTACCCCTCGGAGTCAGGGGTACTCAATTGCGGCGTGAGCGCCGAAAAACTCTCTCTTTGAAATTAATGGGTTTTTCTTTTTGTTGGCTGTCTGATATTTTCATCTTTGCTTTGCATGAGCCGGTTGCTATACCCAGGTTATAGAATCATGTACCACAAATGTACAATTGCTTAATACCGTACCATTGCACCCAAAATCTCCCGTCTGGCGCAGCATTTCAATGTACACGTAGCATTCCCCAGAAAAGGTAATGATCTCTGTCTATGTCCGCTCGGCGATAGCTTCAGATGCCGGAGCCGGAGCTAAGCGATACATCGGGCCAGCATCGGATCGGAGCACATCGAGTCGCCGGGCCGGAGCTCCGCTTCTCGGTCCCTCGGCCAAAATCAAAAACAGAAACGGGTAGAAATGTTGGACTTGACTGGTTGGCGAGCTCAGAATCTGGCCAATGCCTTGGCCGACCCATGGGGTTGGGGTGGCCATTTCCTCGATCGTTATCTGAGCAAGTGGGGTGCTGAAAGCTTTCCCCGCAATCACAGCGCAACACCTGCCCAAAGGACACATCGACCCCCTCAAAGGCCAGCTCTGGGCGCGTTACATTTGCAGAACCGAGGAAAACACGAAATCCATCCTCCTCCGAAGACGCTTTGCAAATTTGAGTGACGGGTGATCATGTGACAACGCGTGTCCTGAACTCGCTCGCTCAGTCGCCCAATGCCCTAGGAGCCTAGCAACCTCAGGCCGGAAGTGACTCACGGCACTCGATGTCACTCGATGGGATAGTCATAGGACAAGGAATACAGGTATATCTTTCAGGCAACCGACAGGCTGGGCAGTTTCTCCTACTTCAGACAACATTGGCCTCAGGAACTTGTTTCGTCAATTTGTTGGGCACACTCTGAGTGTCCTAGCCCTGCGAACCACACGCGCCAAACTTTACGTTCCCCCCATTTGCTGCTCGCTCAGCCTTGCCTGACGTCAAGCTGGCTTGAGCACCCTTTTTGGACACAGCACCACCCAAAAGGTGCGCTCCTATTTCTCATGAAGCCCGGTGCCAATTCCAAGTCACCTCGGTCTCTAACAGTCGGCGCTTTTGGGACTAGAAGGAACCTGAACTTTTGAAGCCTCACAACCCACGATCGCCCCACCCCGCAGGCTCAATGCAACAGCCTATGTAATAATAATTAACGACACCAGCAACTCGGGTAAAAAATACATCCCCAACATGGACGCCAGTTGTCAATGCGGAGCGATCAGCTTCAAGACGCCCGGTCAGCAGCCCCTAGCGCTCTACATCTGTCACTGCAGCGACTGCAAGCGCCAAACAGGATCGGCTTTTGGGGCGTCGGCCATATTTCCTCGTTTCCAGCTGCCAGAGACTGAGATGCTCAGCTGCTACAAGTGAGTCAAAGAAGGACAAACCCCCAGTTCACTACTCTCAAAACTGAGTTCAGAGGGGACTTACCACCACAGACGGGCCACTGCTTCCGGCGACACTCTATTCTGGTAAGGTACCCGGCTGAGGATGGTTTCGGAGGTCGAAGACTCTAATCGTGCTGTTACCTACAGTTACTTCTGCAAACAATGCGGGACTCGTCTGCTTCATACCATCCCAGTAGGTGACAGTGAACCTGTGAGGTTTTACCAGGCTCGTACTAACGTTCGGAAATAGAATAAAAATGTTGTTTCGGTCAAGGGGGGATGTATTGAGGGGTTAGATTGGAAGTCGGCCATCCACCTATGGTGTGTACCGCTTTCCGTTTCGTATCAGAAGGAATGACGATGTGGGACTGACACCGTTGTATAGGACCAAGTCCGCCATGGTACCGATCCCCGAAGGTTCGGAAACGCACTCGGAGGACTCGGGGAATGCCTTCTATGGGGCAAACCAGGAATCACTCGACCAACCGAGTTCGCTGATTCACACAGGATTGAGCGCCGAGGAGTGAACTGTCTGGCCGTCCATGGCCGACTTGAAGAATGCTCGCGAGTTAACGGGTGTAATCAACAAAAAAGGTGGGTGGTGGAGGGCAGCATCAACGCAATGCCCCCTTCCCGGGATTTTCAGGTTGGCTTTACTACTTCAGGTTGTAGATGTTGTTTATTTTCCTGCACGTTAGTATGTTTAACACATTGAGCTATTGGAGTTTTACCCATTCATGGTTTCCCTAATATATCGATTGATGATGGGCATTGCCGTCGAGATTGTGATGAGTGAGAAGATAGCCGGAGATAAGGTACCGAGTTGCAGTTTTCAATCGCTCTCTAGGACTCAGTGTCCGAATGTCGAACTTGAGAGGATTGGCAACTTAATGAGTCTTCAATTGAGTCATTGAGAAGACTTTTTAACATTCATGAGCAACAACAAAATTTATGAAAGAAAATCTTGTCCTAAAGTGACAAAGTCGGCCGGTCATGGTCCAGGCCCAGGCCGTGGAGGTCGTGGTCGTGGGTCTCATCTGGGGAACCGTTACGCTTCAAATGGAACAATCCGATTGGGCGACAAAACTCTCGCCAGTTCTCTGACCTTTCAACCTCTTTTTCTCACCTCTGCCATGACACAGGGAGACAAGCGTGTTTAGTTTGTTTCTCGTACACTATGACTCGCCTTTGCGACCAGTTGAGATATCCTATTTTCGCTGATGCGCCCTTGAGACGGGGGCTTTGAGGATGACTCAAACGCTTTAGTCAACGGTGCGACGAACAAACTCGTATTCATTGCAACATGGGGTGACATTAGTCTACTCGACCTCTTGATCTTGTCGACATGGCTCGCTCATGAAGCTTCACCTTGCTTCATCAGGTCGTCTTTTTTGTCAATTGGGGTGTCGTCGAGAATCGCGGTGGCTTTTGTTGCAGCCAAGGGTCCCCTGCGCCGCTCACACAAAGGCCTGTTTCGCTTGGGCCGACTTCTGACACGAGCCGTTTGGGGACCGTCTCATGCCCCTCTGCGGCGTGGGAGACCCAGGCCGGCCACAACGCCCTTCCCCATTGCCCGCCATGCGGGGACCTGCGTCCAAAGTGCCGGCAGGAATCTAGACTGCCGAGCATTGAGCCTCATCAGCCCGTAACCCACTTCTCGAGACCAGCTTGAGACTACCTCTCAGACAGGGTCTCCGTGGGGTGTAACGTCGTCGCGGGCGCCAAAAGTTCCCCCTTAGGGGCAGTCCAGATGCCCCCTTCATGGGACGAGATGGCGATGGTGGCGGGGATATGGCCCGTCCGAAACAACCCCCGTCGACTTTTCTAACTCATTGTTTCTTTCCGGGGTTTCCTTTCTCCCTATTTGCCTCCTCTTCTCGTTTGATGTGATTTCGTTCGTTCTTGCGTCCAGTTTTGCCTCAACTACACACATTCTTTTAGTTTTTTTGAGTCGTGCACCTTTCACTTCTTCGCCCAAGAGGCTATCGCCACTACGATACTCTCAGGCCCTTTCTACAAACACAGCAGTGCTGGCCTTTTCTTACTTCTACTTGGCCGGTCACCAAGTTCGCCACCCAAAAAAGATTATACTGGTTGAGAAAACAACTTCCGACGCCTGTTACCAACTCTCCTTGAGCCTTTTGTTCCACTATCACTTCCATCAATCATCGACGACGACAACAGACGAGATATCACCAGTATATGTCGAGTGAACCTCCCAACCACAGCATATACTAGCTTCTTCTTGACGGGCACGGTCGAATTTCTCCGATTACGACCAGCCCTTGACGACTACCTTTCGGAGTACATTGAAGAACATCAAGACGGCACCGGAAAACGTCCAAGTCACAGCGCTCCAGGCACAGGATGAGGGCGCATGTCCGATCCATAGTAATTATTCTGGGCTTGGCGTCACTGAGTCAGGTAAGGACACAATCCCATGGAAAGCTCTCGTGGACACTTGCTCACAATCACGTAGGCCGCCGCATACGATCGGCTTCAAGAAGCTCAAGCCCCCGCGACCACTGGGAATATCGCCAATGGCATCGTGAGCATGATGAGCCGCCTCGGCGTGGGCGGCCAGACGGTGACTGAGACCGTCCTCCAAACCATCACTGTCGGGGGCGGCGGTGGTGAAGTCGCTGCGGCTGCTGTAAACGGAACCACTATGACCGTGACCGTGACAGCCCCGGCGTCCACCGTCACGGTTTGCCCATCCCAGGCCCAAGGAGCTGCAGCGGGTGGAGGAGGTTCCGCCGCTGGAACGCCATCCATAATCGCCGTCAACGGGGCAGATAATTCAGGCGGCGGGGGAGCGTCGAACGTTGCCCATGGCGGAATCGGCGTCACGGTGATTTCAGTTCCCGAGAACGCTAAAATCACCACCAGCGCCGGCGGGCAAGCGGCCGCCTCCTCTCAAGGAGCATCGCCCCCACCACCACCACCTCCTCCTCCTCCGCCGGCGGATGCTGCATCTTCCGGCGCCCTAGTAGCAACGAGCTCAGCCCTCCAAGCGCTCCCAACCAGCCAATCTGGCGGCAACGGCGCCAACCAGTCGGGTCTCTCCCCACTCTCAAGCAGCGTCTCCAACGCAGCAGCAGGTGGCGGCGGCGCTACCTCATCCACCGGCCTCTCTCCCCTTCCTTCGTCAGCGGCTGCCCCCATTGTCGGCGCACCCATATCCGACAGTTCCGGAGGTGCGGCGGCCGCTAGCAGCACATCGCTCGCCGCGCTCCCCGGCTTGTCCACTTCTACCTCGACGGGCGAGACCCTGGCCGTGATCCCGACAGACATAGGCAGCGCTCCCATCGCGACTCCGATTTCGAACCCGGTTGGTGCTTTTGGCGGTAGTGCCGGTGTGATTCCCCTTTCGGAGGCTGCGGTTATTGTGGATACTGCAGCGACTGCAGCGACGGCAGTGACGGCGGTAGCTACGGCCGCGGGGACGGCGTTGACTACTGCGGGGACGACGCCTGGTGTCGCGAATGGTGCGGGTGTTGGTCCGCCGTCGATTGATGTGTCTGGGTTGACGCTGTCGAGTCAGTTGAATTTGGGGAATTTGGCGAAGCAGACTGCTATTCCGACGGCTTAGGTGGGAGGGTGGTACCTCCGGGATGGATAGGTAGTGGATGAGACATCATACATACCCCTTTTCTTCGTAAGGTTCTATGGCTGGACATAGCTAGACACTACTGCGTGGCGATAAGCTTTTTGTTGTACATTTTTTGAATAAGGGGAAGGGGAAGGAGAGCTGGGAAGAGGAGCGGCATTATTTTCTATGTTGAGTTTAATGTATATAGCGTAGGTTATGCCGCCTTTTCCTTTGGCGTGATCTGTACGGAGTATCCGCCGCGTTCCAAAAAAAGCAATTTGCAGATGGATAGGAACACACGTCCACCTTTTTGACCTTTATATTGCAGTCCTCATGCTCCCAGTCACGTCTATCGGGGTATCATAATGCTAACTAGTGGCCCAACATAGTAGTCCCATAAAATCTCATAGAATCTGCAGCTAGGCCGGTCATTGTTTTGCCTGAGAGCCTTCCTTTCTAATCTTTTTAGCCTGTCTCTTACTCATCTCTCCTTGTTGAGCACCACCACCTCCACCTTCACCATCCTTCCGCTTCTGCCCTTGCTGGTTTTGGTTCTGTTGTTTCTGCTGCTGCTTTTGCTGTTGCTTCTGCTTCTTCCCAACTTTACCATCCCCACCGTCTGCACCTCCCTCGCCCTCCTGTTTCCTCTTCCCCTCCTCGCCCCCCTCAGCAGGCTTCACAATATCCACAACTCCCCTAAACCCCCGCCTCTTAATCCCCTCATTCACCACCACCGCCCTCGCCCCTTCACCAAGCGCCGCAAACCCTTTCTCCGGTCCTAACCCCCAAACCGCCATCAAATTCACCACATCCGCCGGCCCCCTCAGTCCCAAGGCCCCACGAGCCTCGCTGCTGATAATCACCCCGCGCCCCTTTGTCGCCCGGATCAACGACTGCACATTCCCAATGAAATTCACCCTCTGCCTCGTCGCGTCTACCCCTCCACTCCCAGCCCCACTCCCACCACCATACCCGCCCCCCAACGCCTGGGCATAACATATCTCAAACCGCACGCCCCGCTGCACGGCGGCCATCGCAGTGCGATGGTGTATGTGCCAGCCGAGGTGGGAGGATAGGTCCAAAGATATGAGCGCGGGGGGCTCGGTGGTGGAGAGGCAGGCCCAGGAGAAGGACTTGTCGGAGGTTGGACGGAGAGCGAGGATGTCGTAGGCACGTGTGTAGTCGGCGAGGCGGTAGTTGGTTGTGGCTGGGTCGGTGATGGTGAGGGTTGCGCGGCGGAGGATTGTGGGGAGGGAGGCAGTTGTTGTCGTGATTGTGTTTGTTGGTGATGTTGTTGTTGTTGTTGTTGTTGTTGTTGTTTTTGGTGGTGATTGTCCACCGCCTGGATAGGAAGGGTGAGGGGCCCCAAGTTGGGGGATTGGATTTGTTATTAGCGACGGTTGTGTGGGTATGGGCCCTGAGATATTGTGATTGAGGGCGACGACATCGTAGCCTAGGTTTTTCGCGAATTTGAGGGTGCTTTCGAGATCGGCGGCGGGTGTGCCTGGTGACCAGGCGATGTTAAGATCGTAGAGCATCCTTGGTGGGTGTACGACGGTTCTGAAAGTCCCAAAACAAAAGTTTTGCTTCGATGATATGCCCACAAAGCCCGGACTTCGAATTGGGGCGGTTGGTACTTCTGGAGCGTGTTCTGCGTTCACGTTGATGCTTTGATTGAAGCTTTTCGAGAATTCAAAGAGTCAGTGGGGCTCGAGAGCGGCTTGGAGTTCCACTATCGTGCGGCGTGCCCCCTGCAGGCGCTAGCAAAAGTGGAGAATCAATGGCCCGAGTCTGGACGAGTTCGTTATCACCCATTTCAACTCCTTTTGAGAGGTTGCCCGTTATGATGGAAGGAGGAATGAAACGACGGCAGAGCAGAAGGTCGGGCTGGTGCCCAAACTTCTGCAGAAACCATGAACCCAGAGTAAGCCACAGGAGACGGAGGAGTTGGTCAAGTGTTTGTTCCGTGCTCTCTTGCCGCTTTGTTTGGAGCCAAGAGACCCTGCAGAGAACCCATCCAATCTGCATTGGCTTCAGAGCTCAGTGACGTTGCCTGCCGTCTTGGCGAAAACCCGCGGCAAACTCCCACGCGAGGAGAACAGAGCTGCCACCATGCACACTGCCACAACGTGACCCTCATAAAGTCGGGGTCTCGCACTGGAACTTCCTTTCTACCCTGGATCTGCTGTTCGAAACCCACGACGACGCCTCGACGCCTCGACGCCTCGGCCCCCCCAATTCATTTGCGCCTCAACCTACCACGTTTATAGCGTACTTTCGACGACCCCTGCTACATCACTGGAAACGCGCGTCTTCCCATCATGTGTATCGTCTTCACTTGCGGCGAGCACACTTTCCGCAAGGAAGTCGAAGGCTACCACGGCCTGGTGTGCCGGTGCCACAACTGTGGTAACTACTCGGCCTCAGTCGTCAAGTCAAACCCCTGGTTCACATTCTGCTTCATTGTAAGTCCCATCACATGATTACCAGAACTAGCAAACGCGCTTCCAACAACCGCTAACGTAACCTGTGTCGCGTGTTCCAGCCCGTCATTCCGCTTTCGATGAAAGGCTACGAAGACGTATCATGCCGTGTCTGCCACTTTGAGCAACCGCTCACGAATCGACCCGACGTCCAAAATCTCCGCGGCCAAGGTGGACAGGGAGTACCAATGCAGCCACAACAACATGGCGGGCCACCGCAAGGATGGCATGGGCAGCAGGGCGGATATCCTCAAGGGGGACCGAAACAGAATGAGCCTATGAGATATGGATAATGGTGATAATGGGGATAATGGGGGGTCTGGTTGAATGGAGAAGGGTAACGGTCGGTTGTTTGGAATCAGGACGATAATATATGCGAGATACCAGTACGGGTGGAAGGCAATGGCGTTTTGGGAGAAGACGGCAGTGGGACTGGCTCGTTTGATTCAACGGAGGCGCTTTCAAGCGGCCATATAAGTCTCTGAGGGGGTTCTAGTGCGCTTACTCTTTGGAGGAGGCTTGTGGAAGCCTCCAGGCGACATGGCTTCCCGAGAGGATAGTGAAGCCCAATATGTTCGTGGGCTCACTGAGAATATACGCATCGCTGCTTCATTATTTTCCCTTTTTTAACTTTTTTTGCGGCCACAGATGCAGCCCCTTGTGCGGAATCCCGGAATAGCGCAATATATTTGCAAACCCTTATGAAACGACTCTCTTTATTACCGCAGTGTGATTTCATGTTCGGTACCTTGCCATGTGGTTCAACGGTCGGGTGGGTCAACGGTTTTTAATGCTGCTTGGGTGGGGCGCAGTGTAATGACGTCGCTTTGGCCCGTTGGAGCGCTCAAAATATGGACAACACGGGGCGCAAGGGTCGACCCAGAAAACAACCAACAGTGCCGTGGATTCGACTTCCAATCGTGTCGCCGGTGGGTTTACAAGCACACCACAACCAGCGCTATGAGAAGATTCTTCAACTAAAGTGTGCCGCGTCAATCGAATTGGTTGCTAGCGACTTTACGGACAGGCATTACGAGTCCCAACACTCTCGGCAGACTCTGCCTTTGTCGTCGCAAACCGGTCCACAATGGCTTCGTCAAAACGAGGGCCATCGGTTTTGGTAAGTTGAATCCAGCAGTACCCTTTCCGAAGCCATTGTTTAACCGCGACGACCTCACCAGGTAACCGACTCTCGCGAACGGCCTCGATCCAGATCAGGAGGACCACAACGAACCACCACCGGGCCCGCGCGACCAAGCACCCGTCTCATCTCCGTCGACAATGTCCTGCAATACTCCTCCGACATCCCTTCAGGCCAGCCCAGGGGGCCACCCGCACAACGCCCAACCCGCGGCATCACACTACGTCGCGCGAGTCAGGGCGGGTTACCGACACTCGCGTCTGCTCGCACCGGCCAGCAGATTGTGCCGTCTCGAACGACCAAAGTCAGCGAGAAGTTGGTGCTGATCCCCGATGCCCCCGACGCGGCGGACGAGGAGGCGGAGAATGGCGAAGATGAGGATTTGATACGGCAGGCGTCGATACTCCGGGGTGAAGATGAAAACCGCCCGCTCAAGGACGAGGAGCTGGACGTACTGAAGAAACGGGGCGGGATTCGCGGGAAAAGCTATGCGGAGCGGTTGCCCAAACCGCAGCGTGGAGAGAAGGTGTCGCGATTGACTGCGTACTGCACCGCGCAAACCTACAAGATGAAGGCGGCTGCTGAGTTTTTGAAGACGGCGCACGAGGCGAAGACGAAGCTGTACGATGACTGCTTGTATGCGGTCTACCACCTCCCACTTCTCCCCGGCACGGAGGGTTACCGGTTGCGTAGCCGGCCGGTTCTGAAAACGCCGGGAACCGGGAAAACGGTGTTGGATCTGGAAATCGAGCGCAGCGAGCGTAGGGACGAGCACGAGGGGTTTTGGGATGAATACTCGTACGGTATGCAGGGGCTTGGCGACAGCCCGAGCAATGCTCCGCTTCTCCAACAAGTGACTAGTGCTCCAGACGCTCTCGAGACCACATCGGGTGCTGCTGCTGGTGGCGACGGCGATTCTGGGCATGTGGCCGCTAGCCCGATCAACCGGCTGGTCCCTGACGCGAAGAACTTTGCGGAGATGTTTGTCTACTCGTACGGGGTGGTGGTATTTTGGAATTTCACGGAGCGTCAAGAGAAGGATATTCTAGCGGACTTGACTTTTGCAGAGAACGAGTCGGGGATTCTGCTCGCCACAGGAACATTAGACGAAAGCGACTTTGAGACGGAACAATTTCACTTTGAATACAGCCCCGACGTCAAACGCCCGCGCGTCTTCAACGACATGATCACGCTACTCCCACGATCTGATCACATGGTTAAACTAACCATCAGCCACGCCATCGCCCAAAGCACCAAGCTCTGCTTCTTCGAGGAGCGCATGTCGGAAACAATGCTTGATGCACAGCATGTCCCCAAACGCCTCGCTCTCACGGGACAACTCGACATGACGCGGACCGAGATTGTCAAGATTCTCGGGCAACTCTTCAAGAGCCGCGTCGAGATCAATCTTTGTAAGAGAGCTCCCTAGCCAATTCTTCCCCCTGCTGCATCAATAAATTACTAACATCACATCACCCTTCGCCTAGCCTCAAACATCCTCGACGTCCCCAACTTCTTCTGGGACGCCGAGCCAACCCTCCACCCCCTCTACGTCGCCATCCGCGAGTACCTCGAGATCGACCCGCGCATCCGCGTACTCAACGAGCGCTGCCGCGTCTTCCTGGACCTCGCCGACATCCTGGCCGATAGTGTCGCCGACTCCAAGATGAGCAACATCACGTGGATCATCATCATCCTGATTGTCATTAGCATTATTGTCACCGTCACGGAGGTGGGGTTGCGCTTTGGGATGTTGTCTAAGGAGAAGAGTCGGGAAGGGGTGGGGTTGTTGGGTATTGGCGCTGGTGGGAGTGGGGATGGGGAAGGGGATAATAGTCAGCTTGACCTGCGGTGGTTGAGGGAGAAGAAGAATGTGACGATTGAGGAGCTGAGGTTATGGAGTCGGGCGTTGAATGAGCGGGAGAGAGCTGCTGTTTGTGGAGCGGATGTTGTGGGGACGACGTTTGCGGGTGTGTGAGCGAAGGGATTGTATAAATAAATACCTATATCAAAAGCAACACCACCAGCTTTTAGAGCGTTAGCTGGTAGATGGGGAGTTTCTTCTTGGCTGTTGGGATAGCACATAGCGAGGCGTTTCTTGGAGCTCAATATTAGCTAATTTTCAGACTGATACTGCATGCATAGGCGTAATTGGGAGGTGCATCATAAGACACGGGAACCGCAAAGCACTGGGCGTATCACCCCCACAACTACCTAGTGTGTCGACGCAGTAGACTCCGAAAACCAACCAAACGCTGGGACTCAGGACGTGTGTTTATCGAGGAAATCCAATAGTGTCCAGTCCAATCAGAAACAGGACGAACAAGGAAGCAGAGGAAAAAGAAACAACCGAAATGACCGGAGCAAAAGAGCAGAAGTTGAAAATGCAGAGAGAGGTAGGATCAACATCGACAAAACAACGTATGGTAACGTTAAACCCACATAGGCAGGAAACAGACACGCTGATATGGATCGATGCATTTGTCAACATACAATACATACTATACTCCATAATCTTCCATACGACTAATAAACATCAACAACCAGTCAAACGCCAACCCAATAACGCCGCCAGTCCCCTTCCCATGTGTAAACTCAAACGACTTCATTGCCCAGCCGAGTCGAAAATGAATGACTTCGTTCCTGATACTGTCCTGTTATGTCCGCCTGGTTCGGCTCAGTCCAGGCACCGTGCGAACAAAAAATTCCATTTAATTCCACGCCTTCCAAGCCTTCGACAACGGACTCCCAATCTTCGGCGCAAACTGCAAACTCTTCCTCCTCGCCGCCATCAACCGCATCATCACACTCTCATCTCTCTCCCTATTCAACGGCAACGCAAGCGGAACCGGCCCGGACTCTACCAACGCCGTCCGCTTCGGCGGCGGGCATGTGCGTTGGAGCATCATTTCCTCTCGACGGCGGCGATCATCGTTGTCTTTCTCATCATCGACGCTGCTGCCCACGCTTGAAGGAGTGGCCGAGCCGGGAGTGATGTTGGCTACGTAGCGGGCGATGGCCTCGGGGGCGGGGGTTTTGGGGACTGGGGTGAGAGGGCCCCATTGGGTGTAGTCCACCTGATTGTTGTTGTTCCGGGGGTTGTTGCGATTCTCAACATCGTCATCGTCGTCACCATCCGCGTCACTATCGTCAGATGCAGAACCGTCGTCCATGTTAAAACTCTTGTCGGGAGAGCGCACCCAGAGGGAGCTGTCGCGACGGTTGCGCTTGTTATAGTTGGTAGGCGTGGTGGGAGCGGTCTGCGAACCGCCGGTGGATTTGCGGCCCGGGGATGGAGAGGGGACAAGCCCGCCGCTGTGTTGGTTGGCCATGGCGCGCGGTTCCATGGTCTTGCGTCGGTGAGACTTTTTGCTGCGGGGGGCGAGAGAGGTGTCGATGGAGTAGGGGGCTTCGTCGAGCCATTCGTTGTCGCGCTCGCAGCTATAGCATACGGTTAGTCATATGTCATCGGGTTTTCTCATCTGCAAACTACCACCTGCAAACACAAACAAACACTAGGAGAGAAGAAAAGAAAAAAGGACTCACTCCAAGACCCAACTAACACCCACACACTGCACCACCCCACCACTCACACGGACCTGCTCCAGCGTCCTCTTCGCCCCATCCTTAAACACCACATGCGTGATTTCCACCCTCGAGTCCGACTCAGACTCCGAAGACGGGTTCCATTCCCACGTCGGTACACACCGCGCGCCCATCTGGGTGAGCAGCTCGACAAAGATGCTGCTGGCATCTTCGCCCTCGCTTGTGTAGACATCGACAAACACAACCGCCCCACGGAGCAGTGCCGAGTCGAGGTTGCGGTGTGGCGTCCGGGCGGGTGTGCCCATTGCTGACCAGAGCTCGGCTGTCTTTTGGGGTGTTACGGGGGGGATGGATACGCCGCGCTGTGGTGTTGTTGCGAGCACCACTGTTTCCTCATGCTCCTGCTCCTGCTCCTCCTTCTCGGGTTCCTCTTTTAGTTCCTCATTCTCATCCACTTGTTGAACTAGAACGTCATCGCTACCGCGCTTGGTAGGCGAGTACGAAATGACGGTAGAGTTCCTCGCCAACCGACCCGAGGGCCTCGCAGCAGAGACGCGCGAGGCACTGTGGCTGCGCGTTTCGAGCCGGGTTCGCGGGGTAGAGTTGTCGGCGGCCTTGAGCGGCACTTTGGCCACGGTGTGGACTTCGCGACTGCGCAGCACACGCTGCGGCGTGACAGGCCCAGTGGGAGCGGGAGCGGGAGTGGGAGCGACAGCGACAGCGACAGCACTAGGGCTAGCGGCAGCCGGAGAGTGAGGAATGACACTTAGGCGGCGGCTGTTGCGGCGAGGACTACTGTTGTGGGCAGTGGTAAGCGTGGGGTCGTTGGGTACGGCGTTCTCATTGGCATACTCCTGGCTCGCCTCGGAGATGGTCTCGTCGTTGTCGTTGTCGTTTTCCTCGTCATCACCTTCCTGGCTGGGGACAGCAGCATGGGGGCTGGCTGGGTCCTTCTCCATGAGCGACATCTCGTTCGCCTCTGCGGCCAGCTCCATGTCTTCCTCGGTAAACGACAAGTCTTCCAGGACCACCTGCTCGTCATCCGCTACCTCTGTGGCCGCGTCTTCTTCGTCAACATCAACATCCATGGAATCGGGGCGGACGACCATTTCGTCTTCGAAAAAGTTGTTTTCCGCTGGCTCCGACGGTGTAATGGGCCCGTTGCGTTCGACATTGGGGACCTCCTCCGTCGGAACTTCGGCCAATGGGAAGCCTTGCGTTACCGGAGAAGCCATACCGTTGCGCGTCATCAGGGGGCTCTCACCCGCAGACCACGCATTCAGCTGCTGAGCAAGCGGGGTGAATCCAAGGGGCTCCTCGTTCTTGGTCTTTTTGGCCGTGGAACGGTTCGCGGATTGCGCGGTCCTGAGTCTTCTCGCGGAAGCAGGGCAAGGCGTTGCCGGCAAGTTGCTGAACGCCGAAGTACGCTGGGGCTTTTTCACGGGCGAATCGTCCTCCGACTCCGATTCGTACGCCTGCAGATCCTTGTCCCGGAGCCCAAACATGGGGTTGGCGATTTTCGGGGGAGACGAAGGGGGCGTGGTTGAGAGGGACAAGTCAGCCGGCGCCTCGACTGGTTCATCATCGAGGACCATCCGTTCGCCAGGAACTTGCACCTCTTCAGCCTCATCGTGCTCCTCCGCTTTCTCCTCCTTCGCTTCCTCAGCCTTGTCCTCGTGCTCTTCCATCTTCCCCGGTGTGAGCACCACAGGAGGCGTCAAGGTCGGGTCCGCGTGCCGGGGCAGGACAGCTGACATCCTGCCTTGGAAACTGGGTCTCGTCGGCGAGTCAGGTATCACCTCGTTGCCGTCAACGTCAATATCAGCGTCCACATCCTCCGAGTCGGCCACAGGCTCAGGAGTCTTGCGCTGCGGCGTGGGGCTGGCAAGTAGGGTAGGCTTTGGCGCAGGAGTCCGGTTCATCGGCTCTTCCTCCTCCTCTTCTTGTTCCTCGATGCGCTTGGGCAGAAGCTTAATGGGTGAGATGGGCGGGCGCTTGGCAGGGGACGACAGGAAAGAGAGCTTGACCGGGGAAGTGTTGAACCCGTGGGCATTATCATGACCACCGCCGGGGTTCAGGTTGAGCGGCTGTCGCTTGGCCGGGGACTGCAGAAGCCCAGCCTTGGTCGAGACCTGGGGGGTTTTTCCCTCGTTCTGTGCTTCAGATCCCAGGAGGAGTCCTTCCACCCGTTTGGCAGGTGAGTTGATGCTACCCTTCCACGGCGTGGGCGGCAGTCGCTTTGCTGGTGTGGCTAGCATCAGGTTAACCTCCGTTTCAGGCCGGCTGATATTGCCAACACCGCCGCTCAGCGCATCCTCGTCTTTGTTGGTGGCAACGGTCGCTTGCGACTTCGCGGATGTCTTGTGCGTGCCCGAGGTAGGCTTGATAGGAAGCTTCTTGAACCGCTGGACGGGGACTTTCTCCTCCATACCGAGCTCGTCATCCGACTCGGCGGCGCGGTTGACCGTGAGTTGATTCAACTTCTTAGGGCTCAGCGGCATCGGCTTCTCTCCGTTCTCCGTCGCGTCACTGGTGTTGTTCGCTGCTTTAGTCCCGCGAGCACCCCGAGCCGTCGCTGAACCGCCGGCTTTCCGAATCGGCTTGCCCCGGAGACCACCCGCAGCGGTGGTAGGTGTTGCCTTTGTGGCCGTGCCCCGTGCTGTTGGGACTGCGGCATCATCAGGAATGATGTTTTCCTTCTCGGGCTCCTCGAACTTGACGGTCTTTTTAACCGCAGGTTTAGCAAGGGGCTTAGAAGCAGTAGCTGCTGTAGTGGTTGATGCTGTTGTTGTTGCCCTTGCCGCAGCAGCCGGCCTGCCACGAGCCGTCTTCTTCACAGGATCCTCCTGGGCAATGGACGTCGTGGTCTGTTCCGTCGCAGTCTTCTTGGTTCGTGTTCCCCTCGCCGTTGTCTTTGCAGGCTCTTCAACAGCAGGCTCTACTGTTGTCTTCTTGGGTCGACCGCGGCCGCGTGCGGCTGGTGCAGCTGCTGTTTCATCCGGGACAGGTTGAGAGACTGATGTCGGTGCTGCTGAAGGGGCGACCGTCTCTTTCTTTGGACGGCCACGACCCCGCGTGGCCTTGGTGGTGGCGGCGGTGAGAGTCACTTTCTTAGCTGGCGGCATCTCATGGTCGTCCTCCTCATCCTCCGACGGGGTCTTCCTCTTGCGCGTGCTTTTGGTTGTGCTCGTCGTTGTCGTTGTCGATGTCGTGGCTGTTGTGCGGGCCGTTTTGGCCTTGGCAGCGGCCGTGACGACGCGGTTCGTCGACTTTGCCGCAGCCCGCGCGCGCGTCATCCTCTTTGGCGGCGACTGCGGATCCATTATGGCGTGGTGTTAGGTGGATGTGTACGGAATATGTGCGTGTCTCGTTTTGTTGAATCACAAACTGGGGAAGAAAATGAGAATGAGAGAGATGATTCAGAAGGAACTCCTCTCCGCTCCACAAAATAATTCCCCTCCTGTCAACAAGCGGTGACAAAATCAACAAACCTGGGGTGGTGTTTACTTGCAGCCGCGGTTCGACCGGTGAGGACCTGGATTGTGGAGATGGCGTCTGCGGGTCTGTTGATTTCTCGCGTGGCCCGTTGCCTGGGAGACCCGAGGGAGCATCGATAGGCTTGGCACCACCAAGTGGAGTTGACGTGGGCTTGATGTGGGGTCTCACTCGGACTTTATTTTCAGTCCGGGGTTAGGGTTGCTTGTTCATGCCCTTTCGAGGGGTTAACTCAATCTCAACTGACGACAACATTCATCAACAACCCTAAGTTCCAAACGCCCTTTTCCTCTTACTTGGTAAGATGACCTAAACTAACTAAGTAATGGGAGTATTTTAAATACTAACATATCATGTAGGAAAACCTTCATTGCGGTGACACTTATTCGACGTACTTTGCACATTTTAATTTAAGAATTTCATTCTTATGTTGTCATAAAAACGACTTCACCCGTGGGATCGATAACTTTCCCCATGTCGATCGACCTTAACTGGGAAACCGTCACGGGCGGCCCGGATGGCCAAGAGCTGGCCGACGGCATCCGTGACTTCATCCACACCAAATTCCAGTCAGTGCCGTTACCGCGCTTCATCAAGTCCGTCACCGTTCTCGATTTCCAGTTCGGCGCTATCCCACCCGACGTCGAACTCAAGGATATCACCGATCCATTACCGGATTTCTACGAGGATAATGTCGAGTCCGACCTCGCTTCCGACGACTCGGACGATGAGGAGGATGCTGCCAGCAGCGCTCCACCGACCCCGGGTGAGCGTCGTCGCCGAGCTGAAGCCGAAATATTCGGGAATAGCGCTCGGAGCCCAAGCCATCTCCCACCGCATTTGATGTTTGGGGGTCCCAGCGGCCCTGGCGCGGGAAACTTGCGCAACGGGGTGACTACCCCTGGGATTCCGGGAGGGACGTCCAACCTGCATTATTTCCACTCCCACTTGGCAAGCGGCCTTTCTGGGACGCAGACCCCCCTCGCGGCCGTAGCCAGCGCTCATCACCTCAACACCGCCAATTGGCTTGAAGGCCACGGCCACGGCCACAGTGTCTCTGTACCAAACCTCCGTGGCTACCCCAATATGGGAGGCGTCAACCACGAAATAAGCCCGCAACCGGTGCCAGTTCACAACAGAAACCCGTCTCAAAGCTCTGTCTCCATCGCCGAGTTTAGCGTAGCCGGTGGCAATCTCGGCCCACCATCACCCGCCAACCTCACCGTCCCTTCGCTCCGAGAGAAGCACAGCGTCTCAACACTCGCACCCACCTCCGCTGGTACATCTCGTCCCCCCGCCCGTGACCGGGTGGCTCTTATGGGCTCCGCCGTTGGTGACGACGATGACGATGACAACGTCGCCAGCGAGCCCAACGCTACCAGCGCGAGGGCAAGCCGAGACCAATTGCTCCCGAAACAACAACCGCAACAGCAACAACAACCACACCCACACCACCACCATGCCCACCACCAGCACCCATCACAACCCCAACAGCAACAAGCTAAGGAAGACGACAACAACCCACGCCTCCGCGAACGCCGTATCGACGACATGCAAGCCGTCTTCCGCATCCGCTACGCCGGCGACGTCAAGCTACTCCTCACGGCCGACATCCTGCTGGATTACCCCATGCCCAGTTTCGTTGGCATCCCCGTGCGACTGAGCATCACGGGTCTCACATTTGACGGCGTCGGCGTTCTGGCACGGATTAGGAAGAGGTTGCATTTTTGTTTTTTGAGCCCCGAGGATGCGGTTGCTGCGGTCGGGAATGACGACGGAGAGGAGGACGAAGCCGGGCCGGGTTCGCCACCTCCGAGCCGGGGTCGGCCATTGACGAGGCAGCAGCATCATATGCCGCAAGGCGGCGGCAGCAGGGCTGGTGGGGGGCCGGGAAATACCAAACTTGGCGGGTTGTTGCAGGAGATTAGGGTGGAGAGTGAGATTGGGCAGAGGGAGAGTGGGAAGCAGAGCCTGAAGAATGTCGGGAAGGTGGAGAGGTTTGTGTTGGAGCAGGTGAGGAGGATATTCGAGGAGGAGTTTGTATACCCCAGTTTCTGGACGTTTCTGGTTTAACTTAACCCACGGCGCATCGGGGAACTGAATCGGAAACAAGTCACCGCGCAAAACCAAAACACGGTAGGGACAAAACCCCGGCCTTGTTCATGACAGGGTTCTTTTAAACCCCTGATACGCCGAGTTGATATCCAGCTCTAACTCTCGCGCCTGGTCCTCCGTCAGCTCCTCCGTCGCCTTCATCTGGTTGAGTGTGATGAGCCATTGCACAATCTTCCCCCGGTTGTCAAAGTCCCGATCCGTCACCTTGTTCACCGACTGAATCACATCTGTCAGCAGCGGGTGAAGTTGGTCTTTCGCTAGTAGCCCAAGCCGTAACGCATCCAAAAAGGTAATAAAGTCCTGCGTCGCCTCCAAGATCAATGTTCCGCTAGTGGTACCGGCCGTGGCCGGTGCCAGGGCAGCCCCCGAACTCGCTGTTACCGCGGTCGATGGCATGCCTACCCGTATCCTCTCTGTTGCGCGGGGCACCTCGAGCTATATCATCTCCCCGAGACTGTCAGCATCGTATCGTATCGTATCGCATCGCATCGCCGACAAAACAATTCAAGACTTTAGCCGGGCAAATAGGTAAATAACGGGGACACACGCACGTCCCACTCAGCCTTAAACTCCTCCAACCCCACAAATGCCTTGGCCACCGTTTCATCGGCAACCAACGACTTGTACTGCTTCAGCGACCGCTCGCAGATCTCTGTGTAGTCTGCCTCGGGGATGGCATCTTTGAGGAATGCCTTCTCGAGCTCGTCGATCGTGACGATGATGCTGAAAATCTCGGCGAGGGAGTCTTGGAGATCGCGTTCGGCGCGGGTGTCGGCGAGTTTGACTTCCTGTTTTTTTCTCCTGTTAGCGCGGTGGTTTGGGGGAGGTAGGAAGGAGAGCTTGCGGTGGGCATGGCATGTATGGATGGATGAATTGGGGGAGGCAGACCTCGTCGAGGTTTATGGTGGCTGAAAGCGTCGAGTTTGGGACATAGCTGTGGGGTGTTGGGGCGTAGGGTTGTCGTGATATCATCTTGGTGGTAATGGTGTTTAAGTGAAGTGGTCTTGAGTTGGAGCTCTCCCTGTTCTCTGTAGCCTACAAGATGACGGCATCTTCAGGTGGTTCCCCCTGTTGCAAGCAACTGTGGTGGGGTGAGAGCCAAGCACCCCGACCGATAAGACCTTTGGCGATAAGGATCCCTGTCCGCGCATTGGAAAAAAAGTTTGGGATTGACCTTCTGAACCGGGTCCCCTCGAAAGTTCACCATCATTGCTCGTTGGCCGAATTGAACATCGCGTGCCTAGCGCATCCCGTCACCCATAATGGCGACCTCGAAGAAAAATCTCAAGGCGACGAAGAAATTCGAGAAGAAACACCTCAAAGGTACCCTCGAAAAACGGAAATCCGTCGCAAAGATCAAGCAACGACAACAGATCAAGGACAAGAAGAAAGCCAAGCGCTCGCAAGATGACGATTTCTTCAAGGGGCCCGGAGGCGACGAAGCCAAAAAGGCTGTTAGCAAGAAGCCCGGCGCTAAGGCGAATGAGATGAGTGTCGATGACTTCTTCAAGGGCGGCTTTGAAATTCTCGACAACAAGTCTGCTGGCAAGACGAAAGCGACCGCAAAACTGGGGAAACGCAAGCGTGGCGAGGCGGATGTCCGGGAGAACGCTTCGGATGATAGCGGCAGTGAGTCGGAGGTTTCGGGCAATGACGAGCCCATCGGGAACGATAGCGAGGACGCCGACGCCGACGAAGGCAGTGATGCCGACGACCTGGGTATGAGCAAGGGCGCCATGGAAGCCCTGGCTGCAAACGACCCGGAGTTCTACAAATTCCTCAAGGAGAACGACCCGGAGGCACTCGACTTTGACGAAAATGCGGACCTGGCCGAAATCGACGACTTGAGCGGCAGCGAAGCGGAAGACCAACAACCCAAGAAGAAGCAAAAGAAGGACAAAAAGGCCGCCAGGGGCGACGACGGTGATGATCGGGAACTTACGCAGGCCATGGTTGCCAGGTGGAAGACCGCCATGGACACGACGCGGTCTCTCAGGGCCGCCCGCCAGACGGTCATTGCTTTCCGCTGCGCAGCCCACCTAAACGAGACCGACGAAGAGAACCCGCAACGCTATACCATCACAAACCCCAACGTATTCCATGACATTGTCGTTGTTGCGCTGAAGGGGATTCCCGAAGTCCTGCAGCATCATGTCCCGGTTAAGGAGTCGGCCTCTGGCAAGGTCTATGTCCAGACAGAGGGCAAGAAGTTCAAGACGATGTCGATGCTGATCAAGAGCTTTGCCGCCTCCATCATCCGGCTCCTGGGGACCCTGTCCGATGAGGCGACCCTCAAACTCACCCTGTCGGCGTTGCAACCACTACTGCCGTACTTGCTTTCCTTCCGCAAACTACTGAAGATGCTGATCAAGACCGTCGTCGCTTTCTGGTCCCAGTCTGCCAGCACAGACACCACCAGGATAACGGCGTTCCTCGTGATCCGTCGTCTTGTGGTTGTTGGTGACAAGGCGGTCCGGGAAGTCGTTCTCAAGGCAACCTACCAAGGACTGGTCCAGGGCAGCCGGCTCACCAACTCCAACACCGTCCAGGGCATCAACCTCATGAAAAATTCGGCCGCGGAGCTGTGGGGCCTCGACCAGACCCTGGGCTACACAACGGCTTTCTCCTCCATCCGCCAACTTGCCATCCACCTGCGCAACAGCATCGTCAATAACAAAAACGATGCGTTCCGCGCGGTATACAACTGGCAGTACGCCCACTCGCTCGACTTCTGGTCCTGCGTCTTGTCCGAGCACTGCAGCCCTCTCAAAGAAGCCGAGGCCGGCAAGGAAAGCCAGCTCAAGCTCCTCATCTACCCTCTCGTCCAAGTGACTCTGGGCGCGATGCGTCTCATCCCCACCTCGCTCTACTTCCCCCTGCGCTTCCAACTCATCCGCTCGCTCCTGCGCCTCTCCCGCGCGACCGATACCTACATCCCGCTAGCGTCAGTCCTCCTCGAGGTGCTCAGCGCCGCGGAGATGAAGAAACCGCCCAAGTCGTCGACCCTCAAACCACTCGATTTCGCCGTCGCCTACAAGGCCCCCAAATCATACCTGCGCACGCGCGTCTACCAAGACGGCGTCGGCGACCAAGTCGTCGAGCTACTATCGGAGTTCTTCGTGCTCTGGTCACGCAGCATCGCATTCCCCGAGTTCGCCCTCCCCGTCATCATCAGTCTCAAGCGTTGGCTCAAAGAGAGCCGCAAGCCCGGCAAGGGCAACAAGAACGGCAAGATGGCGTCTGCGCTGGTCCTGTTGGTCCAGAAGCTCGAGGCCAATGCCAAGTTCATTGAGGATAAGCGCGCCAAAGTGGACTTTTCGCCCAAGGACCGGGCGCAGGTAGATGCATTCCTTAAAGATATGGAGTGGGAGCGGACGCCATTGGGGGCGTTTGTGGCGTCGCAGCGGAAATTGAGGGCCGAGAAGCAGCGGCTGGTGGAGGAGGCGAGGAAGGAAGAGGAGAAGAAGCGGAAGGAGGAGGAGCGGGAGGCTTTGGAAGATGGTCTGGAAGGGGAGAGTGGGGATGAGGAAGATGAGGAGGAGGAGGAGGAGGATGTGGATTCAGAGGAAGATGATGAAGATGAGGATGAAGACGATGATGAGGAGAGCGAATGAGTGTGATTATATCCAGTCGGGCTAGTTTACGGATATCTAGGGCGCGTTGGAACATATTTTCAGAAGCAATACCATCTGTGTGGATTCGTCTGATGCCCTCTTCTGCTGCATTCTTCGTGTCTCATAATGTTAACAAGCCTGTTTTTACCTCGCCTATACGAACCTCCATCCCAACCCTACCTCCAATCCCGATCATCCAGAGGCGTGGGATCGCAATACTCAAGATCACCATCATTGTCCACCATCGTAATCCCCATCCCGCTTTCCTCATCGCTCTCGTCACTCTCGTCATGCGCGTGGCTAACCGCACTCTGGTGGTGCGAGGATGTCAGCTCAGGCTTCGTGGGGGCATCGATCCGGGATCCTGTCGGTACAATGGGGGCGGAAATAGAAGAGGCGGGTCTTCCGCTAGGAGTGGTAGACACCGGCGGTTCTGGCCGCTTTGTGATAGGGGTGGGTGTCTCGGAGAGGTCTAGTCCTAAGAGATCTTGGCTGGCCGGTACGGAAGATGAGGCCACCCGGGACACCACTGTCCGCTTTCGGTCCTGCTGGGGAGCAGATGGCCGAGGCGGAAGTATGGGCGCGGACGCAGATGACGGTACAGACTGCGTCTTCTTGGGGGGAGCCTCTCCAAGATCTAGGCTATCCAGTTCGATGAGATTCGCATCGTTCTTATCCAAATCATCACTGAGTTGGATGACACTTTCGTCCTGCTCTATCTGGCCGTCCGCGCCCCGTACTACCGGCACGCCGCATCTAGCCAAGATTTTTCCGATGAGCTTGTCGTAGCGCATATGCCCCTGAACTTCCTCGCTAAGATCGAGGTTTTCGACTCCTTCGATATCTCTGATCGCCTGCAGGCCGGCAACCCCGAGCTGGACAGAGGTGGCGCGGTACAGGAAAGCGAGGAGGTAATCATTCTCGGTGTACACGTTGAATAGTTTGCCCGATACCACGGTGCGGATCATCTGCCAGTGTTGCCTGTTAGACGGCACGGGGGCACCAATGAAGACAACGGAATCGATCAGGCCGAACGCTTTTCGTGCGGCGAGAGAGCGCAAGCACGAGTAGATCACTCTCGCGCCGAGGGAGTAGCCGATCAGGGTGACGGGACGCTCGCCTTGGACCTTGTTGATGAGTGCGTCAGCAAGAATTTCACCGGCTTTCTCGGATCTGTTCTTGGCAAGGTTAAAGGGATTGTCAATGGTGGAGGCCATCGACAACAGGTAGGCTGGCCACAAGGCGGACCACAGGGTGGCTAGGACGGTCCTTTTCAGGATCTCCATCTTGACGGTATTCCACGCATAAGAAGAAACAAGTTCCCGCAGCGATTTCCCCAGTCCCAACAAGCTCTTGATCTCGTACTGGAGAGCGAAGGCTTCCGAATCATCGGCCAGAGCACGCCATGGCCTTGTGACGTCGTCCTTTGTGTTCAGCCAGCCGTTGATGCCGATAGTAACTCGGAGGCGCCTATCGTTTTGGCTAGCTGGCCGTGTGCCCCATTCGTCTTTCAAAGGGATGAAACGGAAGTTGTCCACTTCTTTGGCGTATTGGTCCACCATTTCACCCTAGAGTCCATTAGCATTGTGGTGGGTAGGGCAAGGAAGGATTACATAGTAGCAGCCACTCTTACAGTCATCCTTGCCCCAAAGGCACCAAACAGCGTCCCTACAAGCGCTCCATTCATCCAAAAGATCCCCAAGAAAGAGGCAACGCCACCCAAGCCGACCGATCCCATGATACCCCCAATCGCGCCGGCGACAACAGGAGCCGCCAGACCCCCGGTTACCCCTATCAGTGCCGCGCCAGCCACCGAGGCCAACCCGACTTTCCAGTACCGGCTCTGCTGGTTCTGCTGCTTCCGCTTGGCCGCTTCCGCCTCAGCGGACATGCCAGTCGTCCTCCGCTGCTGCCCAGGCTGCTGCTGCTTTTCAGCCTCAGCCGACCGTTCAACAAGGGACACGGCAATCTCAGCCTCCTCGGTGTCGAGGATCGCCAGCGGCAACTCAAGCGCCGAGGTGAGATACACGGCCAGAGCGCGGGAGTGGGCTGAATACCGGCCCGTGGCTAGCAACACCAGCAGCACGCAGCTGAGGGCCTCGCGGCGGTCCTCTTCAGAAATCGTCGTCAGCCGCGTGGGGATGGGATGCCAGTGCGACTGCAAACGGGCCACGGCCTCGCGGGGGTCCTCCTCCTCCTCATCTCGGTCTCGGCCCGGCTGCCCCTCGGACTCGGGCTGCTGTCCACTCCGGGGAGTTCCCGGTCGATTCTTCGCCCCGCCGTTGGCCCCCCCTCTCTGCACCCCCCCATCGAATCTCGCAGCGCTGAACAGGCCCGCCGCATTTCCGGCGGAGGAGCTACCTCGATTAGGCGACTGAAGCGTCGTCGTCCCTTGTTGCTGCTTCTGACGCTGCTGCTGCTGCTGCTGCTGAGCAATCCGGTCAGTCCGTTTCCGACGCGCGTCGAGAATCGCGACATCATCGGGGGTTGAGAGCAGTTCCCGTAGGGTAGCTAGGAGATCCTTGCGCCAAACGTCCAGATCGTCGAGGGCGGCGGCGCGTAAGCGCACGAGCGCGGGGCTGGCCGGCGTGGCATCCCCCGCTTCGGTCGTGGCGGGAATGACGATGCTGTTTTCGGCAGAAGGGTCAATTTGCAGGAGCGCTGCCGCGTCGCCGCCCGGGCTTCCCGAGGAGAGCTCGCGTGCTGCCTCGAGCTGGGAGCGCATAAAGGCTGTGATTTCGACCAGCAGTGTGTACAGGGCCTTGCGCCGGGCCAGGTTCAGCACTGTCAGCACCTGGCGCGGTTCGCTGGCGAGGGGCGCCATGGTTCAGCCTACTCTGGCTGTTCCAGAGGGTTCTACTGTGGCACTCTCTTTGGTCGGTTTTGTTTTCCTCAACTAATACTGGAGGTAGACACAAGTAGTGTCGCGGTTTGACTGGAGCGTTCTCGACATTTGGAAGAGGGGCAATTCTGGGCGTTCCCAAAATTTATGGGGCTTAAACGGATATATCAGGTTGGTGAAGCACGCAGATTTGGGAACTCTCAGCCTCAAACCTGTCAGCCCAGAGAGCCATGGCTTTTGCTCGCTTGCTATATCTCAAAAGAATCATTGAAGGCGCAGCGCTTCCAAGTTGAGGGGTCCTCGTTGGGCGTCATCCTTTAGGTACGGATACGCTTCCCGTTTGGGTAGGGGACTCGCGTGAGTCCCGGGAAATGGCCCGAGAAATTCTGTTGTGTCGGGGCCTTGTGGCCGTCTGCCTGCCGGATCGACCACCAATTATAGTTGGCCTGGATCACGGAGCCCGGCTGTTCCGGCTGTTTCATTCGCGGAAAAAAAAGTGTGAGGGGAGCCCGAGGTGCGAGCCTGAGGCTGCAATACCTTCATCTGCCATGATGGAGTCTCTAACCGAACCAAACTCGGGCAGCCTAGGGCTGAACACATCGCCTCGAGTTTCTGAGTCCATGGGCCAATCCGATAAAATCGGTGATAAACCCTGTTAGTTCACAAAAGTATGTCACGTAACATAGTAGTTCATTGCTGGATATCCAGCAAATGGCGGTATTGATGAACATGTGGAGACCAAAAAGCTTGATGGGCCCGGGTTGCCACTGCAGCTGGGGCTTCGGCACGCTCGGGACCCTGACATTTCCAGGTTCCAGGAAACGGTATCCACCACGAAGAGACGAAAACCACGATCTCGACGGCCCGGCTCGGGCCCGGCCAAGCACAGAAGCTTAGCATCTTCAACAGGTGGTCAATCTAGCTTCCAAGTACATAGTAAGGTTACCCGGAGAGTTGGCTCACCCTGCCCATTAAGTCGGAATCCAACCACGAGGGGTGAATCAACTTTCACGGTTGTGTGGAATCGTGATGGAATCAGTTAGCACGCGCGCCAAAAGGGCCCGGCAGGCAACTAATGAATGGGCGGGCTGATTCCGCCGTGCCTGGGTGCCTTTGCAGCATCATTGCCCTCGCGCTGCAAAACTTTATGCAGCCAAGTTGTCCTGAGCTCACGCGCCCAACCTGGACAGGTTGCAAGAGGGCTGTCGGCATCATCCAAGTCTCGGTACGCAACCATGAGACTTATTAGATTCAATTTATTCCCTCAGCCTACCCTCGTAGCGGTCACCCTCTCCGCCCGTCTGTGTGCGGTTTCTCCGTCGCCGCAACCTTTTTGAATTTTCTAAATTATTAGTTAACTACAAAATACAGACCTGAATACAGATTACGTACGGGTGTATCGGACCAAGACAGACGCGGCACCCCCAAGAATAGACGACGACGCGCTAATGTCGACCCTGCAGGATCCGGGAAACAAACACCCTTGACGAGTCTGGGCCCGCCTGCCAAACCAACTTGTCCAGGCTTGCCAGGGCCACCCAAGATCCGGCGACGCTCTTGGCGCTCAAAACCCCCGGGTCCCGCCCCGGTGCTTGGCTCTCCCACCTCATCGGGGTTCCTTTCCTTTTTGCTTTGCTCGTGTCATCCCGTGCGACTCTCCCCGTTGCTCCTGCCCTGCTTTCAGACGAAAGCCTCTCTTCTTGTTGAGACGGTTTCGCTCTTCCCGGGTTCAACCAACCACCGGCTTCATTTTGGTCGCTTCACCGCCTTCCATCCAGTCTTTCTTCTTCTCTCGCTGCGCCGCCGCTTCCTGGGCGGGTTGCCCGTGACCCGTCATGTCCCAGGGCCCTTTTTTGCGCCCTTCGACATGTCTGCACGATGTCCATGTGTGAGTTTGCTCTGCCACGGTTCTGGGCGCTCCCTTTTACGAAGCTTGGCGAACGCTTTTCCCGCATCGAAGGACCTCTCCCTCGCCTGAAGTCCCAAGGCCAAGCTTCGTGCCAAGCCTGGGGTAGATTTGTCCTTCAACGTTTGGCCGCTGACGTCGTCTGAGACAGCCCTCAATGAGATCCGCAATGTCATGTACGTACCTTCTTCTCTTCCCTCCTCTCCCTCTCTCCAATTATTATTGGATTTATTTATTTTTTCGAAAATCCCCGTGGCTGCACTCTAGACCGGTTGGAGTGTTGTTGTCACGGTCGTGGCCCTACCCCTCGGCTGCCAAGCCACTGGTGCGGGATCTCGATACACCGTCGTCGTCATATGCCACAAGCAATGTCCCCCCATTGTTGTCAAATACCTGTGTCACCATGTTCCCCACCTATAGCCAAGTGCTGTTTTGGGCCCGGTCTACCTGATATACATTGGGGGTGGTCCGAATTTATTCTCTTTTGTGGTTCTTTTGTTTGCTTCTCTTACAAAGAATGGAGAGGGCGTGGTTTCCGAAGCAGGTAGACTGACAACAAGGCTTCGATAGTCTTTTATTTAGCAACCCATCATGGAAGGGTGGTACAACAGTCTCTAGTACGGTTATCAGAAATATCACCGCTCTATCAGTATGACGGACACCTGTACTTCACACCCATCAGGGCTTGTCACTGACCTCCTAAACAGAGCCAGCTAGCCTACTCGGCACACTTCGTGGGAAACACTGTCACCTTGTCTAATAGGTACGCCATTCTTTCGAATGGCGCCATCTCAGGCTTGCTCTTTGTCCCCGATCTCCGTACCAACGATGCCTGCAACCGAGAGACAGCGTCACATGTCCCTTTGAATGTTGCAAGGCAGGCCGATTTGCCGCCAATGAACTACCATTTGATCGCCATTGCGCCCTGGGTCAGCGGCCGCTGTGCGGAAGCGTATATGAACGCCGCTCGATCTACCCCAGTTCGAGCCTTTCTCTTCTACCAAGCCGGCTCAGGGTCCGCGTTGCCACCACCTTCTGATGCTGTCGACTGGCAGATCGACAGCACAACAGATTGGATGGGACAAAGCAGTTGGCCCGTCTACGCCGTCTCCGGTATGGTCGGCGAGGTTCTAATGCAACATCTAAGCCTATACTCAGGCAATGTCACAGAAGCGCCGTTCGGGAGCAACATCACCGACCGATTTCTGGCCGACCCCGAGGACTACCTCCGAATATGGACCGAACTCGACGTGGGCACCTCACCCTCAGGCTTTGAAACTTGGGTCTACTTTCTCATCATCCTCGCCGTGTTTCTTGCTGTCATCACGACGACGTCACTCCTCATGCACTTTGTCCAGGCGTGGCGACGCGTGGGGCTACGACGCAGAGTTGCTGCGGGGGATGTAAATCTAGAGGCCATGGGGATCACCCGTCTCACAGTACCAAGGAGCCACATCCAGCAATACCCACTCTACACCTATCACTACGAGCCAGAAGCAGCGAGCCCTCCAATAATACCAGGCTCACCTGGGCCCGCCCGCACTCGATCAAGGACTCTCAGCGGAGATTTGGCAAAAAGCTCTGCCGCAAGCCGGGCCGCACGGTCTGCTACCGTCTCGGAGCTCGGCCTTAGCAGTCCTTTCACCGCATCCACAGCTGCGACCGACTACCAACCTACTTGCGAGATTTGCCTGGAGCCTTACGAGAACCGAGTAACCGTCATTCGTGAACTCCCGTGCGGCCACATTTTCCACCCGGACTGCATTGATCAGTTCCTCGGTGCGAATAGCTCGCTCTGTCCTGTTTGCAAAGCAAGCATGTTACCCCCAGGGTACACTCCTAGAATTACCAACGCCATGGTACGCCGGGAGCGTGCCATCCGACGGCTACGCGGCCAGGTGGAAGTGCAAGAAGACGGTGATTTCGTAGGATCCGGGGGACCACGAGGCCGCTGGGCGGCGACGAGAAACCGGTTGTTCGGTCGAAACAAGGACAAACCGAGCTTGAACTCAATAGACTCAACCGAACTCCAAGAAACCCGGCCGGTGTCCAAGCCGAGCGAGCGACAGAAACGGCGGGGGAGTCGTCCGACTGAGCCTCAAAGTCAAGAACCAACGAATACCCTGGCCGAGGGACGTATGCGCGAGTTGGCCGGGTTCGAGCCGGATTTTGACAACACCGGCTCAACACGATGTAAGTTCTTATAAACATGACTCATGCTCCTCTTGCTGGGCTTTGCTAACGGACTGTGCAGGGCAACGGATGCGTACGAGGATCTTCCCGGGCTTTTCTTGAGGACCACCACCCACCCTTTTCTGGCGTTTATTTAACGGGCTCTGCTTTCTGGGTTATGTGTATGGCATGGTATGGGTTTTGGACCGGGTCGGAACGGAACTGAATGCAAGATACCCTTTTGGAATTTTCCCACAATTTTTGTATCAAAATATCATGTTCCGAAAAAGTGTATTTGATGTTGCAAATGACTTGGCGGTTGTTAAGGGTTGGGCTTGGATACCTCGATGGGTGGGTGGTAGGCAGAAGAGGATGAAGTTTTAAGGCGAATGTCAAAAAAACTGGTCATTGATCAATCCAGACCCCGTGAGGTGCGGAGTGAACTACGTAGTGCCGTACACTGTTAGGGTGAATGAATCCCTACTATCTAGGCAGCCAGGTTCATGCATACATGAGTGACGAAAAGAATTCGGGTTCACCTTGACAGCGATAAGTGATATATAGAGCAGATTTTCCCCCGCTCCGAGACCAATACAAACGCCAAACCACCCCCAAGATCACCCTTATGTAAGGAGGAGACATAAAACCCTCGGCCACTCGGTAAGTACGACAGGCAAGTCCCAAAACACCGAACCGAAGAAGACCCAGCAAACCCCCAACGCCGTTGCCCGCGATAGCCGCCATCACTTCCCTTCGTCTGAGTCATCTGCATGCAACCGAGGCTGTATCTTCCAATCCGACCCATCCATTTCGTCCCGAGTGAAGTAAGTAAGACCCTATTCCTCCTCAACCTCCTCGTCCCAAGCTTCCCGTTCCCGTTTCATCAACCCCAGCATCTCGCCCGGTTTAAAGATGGTTGTATCGCCATCGGCCGCGCGAGGCACCTTCGCCAGCCCCTCATCGTCAAACACCGTCCCGATGCTCTCAATCCACCGCCGGCGGCGCTCCATCAGCGTCCGTGTCAGGTCGCCGATACCAGGTCGCGCCATGCCGGCGGGGCCTGCGGCGGCAGCCGCCGCGGCCGCTGCAGCTGCGGATTGGCCGGGACGGGCCTTCTTCGGTTTCTTGCCCATGGTGCGCGTCCGCTTAAGGTAGGCGGCTTGGACCTGGGAGTCGAGATCTTCGAGGATGGTCTGGTACTCCTGGAATGCCATACGCTCCTTTACGAGGTCGGTTAGGCGGGACTTGCGCGCGCCGTTGAGAAGGACTTGTTCGCGTAGGCGGGCCTGGAGGAGGCGCATGCGCGCGGCTACTTCGTCGTCGTAGTGACCGTCGTACTCGGCTGCGGTGGCCGGGTCGGGAGCGGCGGCTCCGTTGGTGTTGGTGCCATTGGCGCCGGAGGAGTTGTTGTTGGCGCCCGAGCCAGAGGTGCCGTTGGTGTTGTTGGATGAATCTTGGTGCGGGGGGAGCGGGAGGAAACCTATGTGACGGAGCTCTTGTTTGAGACGCTCATCGACCTGGTTGTAATCTAGTTTGGGGTGGGTGGCCTTTTTCCAGGCCTCGGTGTTGGATTCGGGCATGTAGGTCGCGGATGGGAGGGACTGGGGTTGATCAGGGTTAGCGGACTGAGAGGTGCCGTTGATCCCGTTGATGCCGTTGGTCTGACTCGGCGGTGCGTTGTCGCCAAAGCTGAAGTCGAATGTTGCGACGCCATTCATACCGTCTCCATCGCCATTGACACCGTTCGCACCACCCACTCGGTCTTCGGCTGCTGGCGCGCGGTGTTCAGGGCGCATGGCCTGAAGAAGCCGCGCGAGGAGGGGCCCGACGGAGAGTTTGTCGGTCTCGGCCACCTCATCATCCATACTCTCAATATTCCCACGAGCCTGATTCGGCGGCAGCTTCCCCGGCGGCGACGAGTCAATCTGCATATCTCCATCCTCTTCTGCCCAGATATCCTTGTAGTGTCTTTTCCCTCGTTTTGGCATCACAAAAGGTGTCACGCGATCGCCGCGCTCACGCAAAAATGCAAGGTCCTCCTCGGCAAAAGGGCGAAAGTAGGGTTCGATGTAGGTGCTGAACGTGCTGAAATTGATTTGGTTGCTGGGCTTCGCGCTGCTGAAGTCCTTATCTGGCGGGTCGCCGGCAATGAGGTCGGCCAAGTCACTCTTCGGATATCCTCCCACAGAGTAAATTTCTTTGATTTCGTCCTGGGTCATGCCCGGCTGGACGGGTAGAATTTCGTACACGGTCGGATCGGGGAATGTTGAGGGGTCATCACCGAACGTGTTCGCCTGGGGGCGCGCCTTGGGCGGTGGTCGACCGTCGTCTGAGCTGGACTCGTCGTCGTCGTCGTTCGCTTCCGCTTTGGCCTTGTCATCCGCATCCATATTGCTCGGAGTTCGGGGGGCAACCGGTGAAAGGGAAGAACTGGCTGAGTCGTTGTCGCGAGACAATTTCCTAGACTTGCCAGTAGAATCTCGGAGGGGGGAAGTACGTTCTGAAAGCAGGGAAGGTGGTCAGTGTTGGGGCTGGTTTGCGGTCTTCCTACCGTAACCACAAAATTTTGAGCGAGTTTTTGGGAGTGAGTAAAGGAAGGCACATTGTTGGGTCACTTGCACAATCCGACAATAAAAACAAAGAGAGGAAAAAAACAATCATCACACTTAAATGGTACATAAGATAACTCGTGGAGACTGAGATGGGATGAAAAAAAAACCAAAAAAACCGACCTGTGTTCCCGCCATGGGGGGCCAGGGTGTCGGCGCCGCCCTTACGCTTCTTCTTGTTCGATTTCCGCTCACCATCGTCGGCCTCGCGTTGTCGTCGCTCGGCTTCCCTTCCGCGCTCCAAGGCCAATTCATCCATCCGTTGGCGGCGGGTCTGGGCGAGCAACCTCATTCCGCGATCGCAATGGGTGCCTCTTTTCTCGATGGCATCGCCAAGGCGCTGGAGTCGGGTGATGATGCCGTCAAGGCTTTTGGAATCCGGGATCAGCGAGTTCAAAGAGGGGGTGTCCACCATATCTTCGAAGGTCAAGTTTCGGAAGATATCGAAGCGTAGCTCAATGGTCTCGGTCTCGACAGTTTCAAAGGGCGGAAGACCGGCAGATGGGGGCGCGGGGCCGGGGGTGGTGTTGCGGCTCCGCTGCTGCTGTTGCTGCTGCTGTTGGCGGATCGCGCTGGCGCCCCCCTTCTTCCCTGTCCCCTTCTGGCTCGAGGATGGAGCCATCCTGGGCAATTAGTTTCTCGTCACCGTCGGATCGTGCGTTGGCCGCTGCGTTAGGCACGATGTAGTCTTCTGGTGTTTCGCGCATACGGCAGCAAGTTGGGGGCGTCCGGCGCGTCCTGTCGCCCTGGCTTGCTTGGTCGGTCGCGCGAGGCTTGGTCGTTTGTGGGAGGCTCCCAAGCATGCACGTCACATCCAATGATGGGCCTTGACCACACAAGACACTGCGCAGCCCGTGCGGATCCCTGTTCGTCAACTCCTCATGAAACGACCCACCCAAAGAATGACTAAGCTAGAGTTCTTCTGAGGCGTTCCTTCTTTTATAACTATTCTGAGAACGCCCTGAAGGCGATGGCTGCAGTTTTGAGTTTTGGCAGGAACGGAATTGTCGAGGCCACTTCAAAACTGGGGAGTTTTGGGTAGAGATGGCCAATCGAAGCACAGTGCTGTGACGACATTCAGACTTCCGCTGAAGCAGTTAGCATGCACTTTCCAGTATTGCTGACTAACATCTATCCATATCTTCATTGATGCAAGATGTCTATCACCTGTACAGAATTCAGGTACAGCCGACCTCGGCAACGGCAGGTACCTGTAGAGATACTAATTATGTAGGAATGACAACCGACACTCTCCTGTCTGGCATCTTGCGCACCACTATAACAGTATCCGTATGACCTGAACCCATCGCTCAGAGACATGTAATGTATTCTATGACCCCCCATCTGCTGTTTACATAGCACTGCCGCGATGCACGTTAATTTGCAACAACCCACTTCGTTAGCGGCTTCATTGGACACTGATGCATAAGATATTGCGATAGCCCAACGCGGCCGCCAGATCCTACTCCCCATTCAGCACGCTCTAAGGGCCTGCACACCCCTCGCAACCATGGATAGGAGTCACGTTTTCTAAGACATTCGCCTGGAGCAATCAACTCGAATTCTCGACGAGAATAAAACGCATGTTGTCGACAACAACTCGGAAGCTACTGTCGTGAGGAGATTACCCACAGGACCCTATAATACTGCGGGAGCCTTCCCGTGGGCTCGTGTATTTTCCCGATTGGCCTCCGTTGAAAGGCCCCACAATCTGTTACCCAATCCCATTATGGGAGGGAAGTGGGAAGCTTCACAGCGAGGGGTAACCGTTCTTTGCCGTTCCCGTCAACTTGCAACTGAGTGAGCAACCGAGAATTCCCATAGCTATCGGATGGCGCGTCGGGTCAAATGGGAGTGTCGCGCGAGCGGCGGCACCCCGCCTACCTTAAAGATCGCGTTTCACAACAGATAACCTCTCGGCTCTCACACGAGCGATCCCTGGTTTTGGTGCTGCTGGTGCTTTTTCTCGGTTGCTCTGCTGCAGTCAGGGTCTTTGAACCGGCACAGGGATACGCTACTGGAGCTAGTTAGTGGACTCCGTAAATTCAACATTTTGGGGCTCGGCGCAGGGCCTAAATTTCAGTTCTCTGTCTATCTCGTCTTTCACTTTCGGCACAATTGAAGACAGAAACCGAACTTCTAGCCGACACAGAAGGCAAATTTAGTCCTTTCTTCACAAGCTCCCTGCTGATCTTGAAGAATCAGCTGTCTTGCACACATTCAACCCGCTACCGGAGCCGTTTCGGCCGTTTATCTGCGGCTCGCTGTCGACGCGCAAGATGCAGCGGAATGGGACATGTGGTCAAGCGATTGGTTGATGGTCGCACACTCCTACTGAGCCCACTTTGCACCCACCCCCAAGTCCTTCCAGCTTTGGTGGGTCGCGGCTCGCGGCTCGTGGGTGCTGGGCGGCTGCTCGCTCAACGTCTGGAGAGTCTTGGGGGTGCCAAAATTGTCGATCTGCCATGCCGGGAGGAGGAGGTGCGGAGGCGGGCGGGCTCACCTCAACGTGACACGGATAGGGATGTGTGTTGGGCAAGCGAGGACGATAGGGGGGAGGGGGGATGGGGGTACAGTCCATGGATAGGCTTGTAGGTTAGGTATTTAGGTCCGCTCTTCATGCTGTTGTCTCTCGTTCACGTCTTCTCCCTTCTTATTCTTGCCTGTTAGCCGTCGTATTCAACCTCTTTTTTGACCCGTTTCAACACTACATCTCTTTGCTCCCCAGCATGAGAGAATACCATGGCTTCTCTTGGTGGTAACATTTCGCCCCCTGAGAGCATGATCAGCCCCCAAATCTTTGTTGCTGGCCTTGCCGGTGTGGTATTCTTCACCATTGGCTTTTACCAGCTTTCAGGCAAGCCTTCTCAGGATGGCGACGACGACGAGCCCAGCATCGTCAAGTCGATTCTGCTGTTCTGTTACTCTTGCTTTCTCAAACCGCACCCGGACGCCACTAAGGGCGGTCAGCAGGGTGCCCTAGAGTCGTTTTACGCTGGCCAGGCTGGCGCTGTATGTCTTTTTTTTCCTCGTCCATTGGCGATCTGGCAGCCGACAGCATGAAACCAAACCGCTGACTCCCCTGAATAGTACGATGTGACTAGGAAGGCGCTTCTCAAGGGCCGCGAAGACATGCTGGCGCTCGCTGCGTCTCAGCTCCGCTTCAAGGCCGAGAAGAACGAAAATGGCGCTGAAAAGAAGCGCATTTGGGTTGATGTAGGTTTTCACTCTGATTTTTTATTTTATTTTATTTTATTCTCTTTGTAAACAAGATGATCATGGGTCGCGCACGAATCTAATATTCAACCCCTTTAGGTTGGCGGCGGAACTGGCTGGAACATTGAAGCCATGTCCGAGTTCGTCAACGTCCCCGAGTTCTTCACCAGCGTCTACCTGGTCGACTTCTCGCCCTCGCTTTGCGAGGTGGCCCGCAAACGTTTTGCCCGGCTTGGCTGGTCAAACGTGAAGGTCATCTGTATGGACGCGCGGAAGTTCCGTCTCGAGGACTATGAGAATGGTTCCTCGAGAGGAGGCCCGTCCAGCCCCGCCCAACGATCCAGGAGCTATTTCGAGCCCCGACCAGATCACGGCGGCGCTGACCTGGTCACCATGTCGTACAGCTTGTCAATGATTGTAGGTTACACGCAACGGAGCAGACGTGGACGAGCCACGATAGCAGCAGCAGCAGCAGCAGAAGCAAAACAGCCACTAACCTCTTGCAGCCCGACTACTACTCCGTCATTGATTCGCTCACCTCGCTTCTCTCGCACGATGGCCTCATGGGTGTCGTTGACTTTTACGTCCAGTCCAAGGTGGATGTGAGCTTCCGCAACCACACCGGGGGTATGGTCGGTCGTCACGTCAACTATGTCGGCCGCACGTTTTGGCGCGCTTGGTTCGATCTCGACCGTGTTTCGCTCGAGCCCGGTCGCCGGGACTACCTGGAGTACCGCCTAGGCACTGTCCTCACGGCCAACCTGCGGAACAGTACCCTGGGCTCCATCCCGTACTACATCTGGCTAGGGTGCCACAAGAAGCCCTTTTCCTCGTCCAGCCTGCCCCACGAGATTGTTGAGCGCATCGACGCGCTCGCCACGGAGTCTCCTTACCTTTTCCCCTCCAACAAGCCCAAGGGATCGGACGCTTTGACTCGCGCGGTCGAGAGGACCGCCCCGGAGCTCCGGTCCAAGGCGTTTGACGCTGCGGTTGGAAACCTGTCCGCCAACTTGCCCCTGCCCTCGTTCTTCTACCAGAATCACCACTGGCGCATTTACTACGACGACCAGCTCGAGAAGCACACCCAGTTCAACGACGAGTACATCTACGCTTTCACGTGGGAAGACTCTAAAGTGGACGCCTCTCTCCTGAAGCTCGGCCCAGACGACGTCGTGCTCGCCATCACCAGCGCCGGCGACAACATCCTCTCTTACGCCATGCAGAGCCCCGCGCGGATCCACGCCATTGACCTCAACCCGAGCCAGAACCACTTGCTGGAGCTCAAGGTGGCCTCCTACACCGCACTTCCCTACGAGGACTTCTGGAAGATCTTTGGCGAGGGCAAGCACGCCGACTTCCGGTCGTTGCTCCTGAACAAGCTTTCCCCCCACCTCTCCAGCCGAGCGTTCCAGTACTGGCTCGACAACGCTAGCATCTTCACCAAGGCCAGCGGCCGCGGTCTTTACGACACGGGTGGTAGCAAGCACGCGATTCGGGCCTTCCGATGGATCTCGCGCATCTTTGCGTGCCGCCAGGCCGTCCAACAACTCCTTGCGGCCAAGACTCTTCCCGAGCAGCGCGAGATCTGGCACTCCAAGATCCGCCCGGCCCTGCTCAGCCCGCTAGTGAGCAACATCGTGGTCAGCTCCGAGGCGTTCCTCTGGGCGGCTCTCGGCGTCCCCAAGAACCAGCTCGCCATGATCGAGGCCGACCACGCCGACAGCCAGGCCGTCAAGGGCCCCAACCCCACCGCCAAAAACACCCGCGCCCACGCCATCTGGCACTACATGGTCAACACCCTCGACCCGGTCATTGAGACAACCCACATCGCCAGCGACAACCCGTACTACTACGTCTGCCTGACCGGCGACTTCTCGCCCGAGTGCCACCCAGAGTACCTCTCCCCCAAGGCGCATTCCATCCTGAGCCAGCCGGGTGCGCTGGACGGCCTGCGCATCCACACGGACGAGATCGATGAGGTCATCGCGCGCATCACGCCGGGCACGCTCACGGTGGCTGTCGTGATGGACAGCATGGATTGGTTCACGACGGCACCCTCGGCGGGTACCGCAGCGGCCCAGATCCGCAAGCTGAACCGCGCGCTCCGCATGGGTGGTCGTGTGCTGCTGCGCAGTTCGGCCCGCAAGCCGTGGTACATTCGCGAGTTTGAGGCGCACGGGTTTGTTGGCAAGCAGGTGGGTGATCGTGAGCCCGGGCGGTGCATTGATCGGGTGAACATGTATGCTAGCTGCTGGATCTGTGAGAAGGTTGAGAACCTGCCGCCGCCGACCCCGGAGTTTGAGGGCGAGGTGGGACAGGGGCTGGGTGAGGACTTTTCGCCGCTGTAAGTGGTGAACGGGGTGTAAAAGAGGAGACAAGGGAGGAAAGGAGGAGGAGGAGATGGGAGGGAGAGGTTGGGCTGATGCGAGGACAAGGACGTACCAAGATTGAAGTTCCGTCTACACACTGCACTGTCCAAACGACTACAGTCATTACCTAGTTACCTAAAATAGAAAACTTGAGGAAATCCAGTGCCCACATCACATGCCGGTGACGTCGATATATTGACCAAGGGTGTTGGGAATCAACCTCGACCCTGATTAAATCTCCGTGGCGAAACGACGCCGAGACGTGTCTCGTGGATGAGTGCAGCGATGAGATCTAACATTAGCTATGCCGACTACAAGTTACCAGCTTCGACCCCTGGGCTTGACGTTCGTAGAATAGTGCGTCATCGATGTTTTGTTTGTGAAGTGCCAAGGAATGGAGAGCATACCTAGTCGTCGATTCGACTTCCCGTCCCCAACGGAGTGAGTGTCTAGGCCGATGTGGTAAACATACCACGTGCATACATCGTGAGATTTTCAAACCAGCCAGTTTAAACGTCTTCTGGGGCCTATGCGACAGGAATGAGTGGAGATCCCGTCTGAACTTGCATCATAGGTAATAACGCCTCTCGATCCTCTCAATTCCGTCCTCCATCTCGGGTTGCATACATACACAACAGGAAAAGAGAGTGACCGTTTAAAACCTCGAGTTTGGGCGTGTCTGGTTGGTCTGATGGTGTGAGCGAGCATGCTAGGGTTCGTTGTTTGGGGGCCGGTCCGCTGGGAACCCTCCCCGAGGCAGCCCGAAGGCTGGGCGGTGGGCCGCAGTGTCGCAGGATTCGTGGGCGGGCGTGGCTTGGCCCTTCGACATTGGCCAGCACCGTCGAGGCTCGAACAGCCAGCATCATCAATTAGTCTCCTCTTTGGGACACGCGCATGCACTCACTTGAGCCTCTGCAAGATGGGGGACGTGCAGTTCACCCATACAGAGAGATGGGATATTTTTCGTTCGGAAAAGCATGTGTGTGTTCCGATTTTGTTTACATAGTGCTCTCCGCCAAGGCGGGTGATGGGCGACGCTGAGTTCAAGCACAGTGCCACAAGCAGGTTGTGCAAGACTCGAAACAAAGTATCAATCCGCACCGGGGACATTCGATTTCTGAGGTTAAAGGTGAGAAAAAAATAAGGAACAAATCTGTCTGAACGTGTAGAAGCATGAATCTACGACACTGCACCAGCATCGGCATTACGCATGATGTTCAGTCGATCATGTTGGTATTTTTGGATGAGCACCATGGAGTTCAAGAACGTTCGAGGATCATGGAGAGTCGGGCCATCTTGCTCGGGAGGGGCCGGATTGTCCGAGCTCCTACGCCCCGCACACTGTAAGCGCGGGATCCACTCCTGCGGAAGCGGACATCAATTCATCTGTCACAACCCGACCTCTGGATTGGCGTCCTCAGCCCACCAAACAATGCACTGTTCAACCATACACAACATCCATTCTCGTGTACATTCAGAATGACGGTCGAGTCAATATGCATGACTTCGAGAAATCGGGTTATCCATTAGGCAGAACACTTTCCTTTCGAGCCGTGACATCTCGCCACGGTGCTTCTCCTGTCAGGCAACCGTTAACGTTGGCGAGCCAGACCGGCTTGGGGGTGCTTCGCCGGGACAATGAAGAATGAATCGCGCTTGTCAGAGCTCATTTCCTCTTTCGAACTTCCAACGCCCCGGCCATCGAAAGCTTAATCGTCTGGACCGTTCTCCACGTAACCAAATAGACGCCATAGACGCGAGTCGATCGATATCCAAACAGGTGATTCGCTCTGCTGTTGGGGGGTGGCAGTGCAGCAGTTCTTTCACGATAGCCATTGGGTGAACAGGCGACCGGGTCGAGGCACGCCCGAAGCATGGGCTCCCGCCCAGTATCCCTGCTTCCCGCCCGCTGCGCTCATGGACTGTGCCTCTTCACCAAGCCTGGTCAGAACAGGGTCTTCATCTGCTCCTTGCAGAGCCCTGGGGCGTAGCATTGAATCGGCATCGCGCTCCCTCGATCTCTGGACGGAGCCGGGGGGAGGGAGCCGGAGGGCTCCCTCAATTCAGGCTTTAACTACTTAATAAGGCCGTGGTGGGTTCCTTTACCCCAGATATGTTTTGTTTGACTATTAGTATGTATTCGTGATCGTCACCAACAAGCATTGAGGTCACGGTCCACCAATATTCCGTGTCTTGCTGCGTTACACCGGCTGTTATATCGGCGCTGATTCACCGACCCCCGACCTCCGACCCCTCTATCACCCAGCATGTCGGTCTCATCATCATCGCCCGTCGCTGCTTCATCCCCGCCCATCGTCTCGTCTCCCACGACAAGGAAACACCAACAGAACTGTACCGAGTGCAAAAGGCTAAAGCGTGCCTGCAACAAAGGTCTTCCTTGCGACAAGTGCCTCAAGTAAGAAACTCCCCACCCAGCCCATAGCTCATGCTCTCGGACGCACGCTGTCTTGCGGGAGTTTAGTGTGTCATTAACTGATATTTACTTATCCTTCTCCTTTTCACAGAGCAGATCGAACCTGCGAATATAGAGACCCTTCCGACGATGGCATCCTTGGGCCGATATCCGCCGCTAAGGACATTCATTCGCTCACTTTTGGCACCCTCCTCGACGTTCTGGTCAACAAGCCGAGGGTAAAAGAGGCGGTCTCAATGTACTTCAATGGCGTCAACTCCTGGTTCACCATCGTGGAGCGGGCCACATTCGATAGGGACCTAGAAGCCAACTGGGGATCCCTCAAGGCCGAAACTAGCGTTCTGGCTCTTTGCATGGCTCTTGTCACCTACCCTCCCAACCAAAGGACCAGCAAAGGAATGGGAGACACCGCCTATCCTTCTACCAAGGCCATCATGACTTTGATCCGGAGCAAGAACCCGCCCTCGCTTCAGCTCCTCCAAGCCGAACTTCTCGTGGCGTTGTACGAGTTCTCGCATTCAATGCCACACCAAGCTTGCTTGTCCCTCGGGACGTGCCTCCAGATGACCAAGACCTTTGGTTGGCATAAGCCAGACTTTTGGTCCCCGGAGCGCCAAATATCTAAGCCGGCTGAGTTGAAACTCTGCTCTATCTTGTGGTGGGCAATTGTCTACCTTGACTGGTAAGCACCCCTATCCTTCTCTTCTTGAGCGCTATTCCCGGCTTTCTATTTTGTATGTGAACAATGACTAATGGCGAAATGCCAGTCTCCTTAATATTGCCGACCAGGATCAAACATACACGATGTACACTCCCGGCCTTCCATGGAACGTCATTATCCCCCTCCCAGAGAATTTCGACACTCCATTCGGCCATGACGGCGAAGTACAGGGATTCCGGGACCGTCACAATGACCACATCGAAGGCATGGTGTTTCCCGAAGCGACCGCGGCTTGTTATCTCAGAGACGTCTTGCAGCACCTATCAAACCCCGGAATACCAAACGCTATCGACTCGAAGCTTATCATAGGGCATGCCAAGGACCTCTGGTCCGCAAAATGGCAAGCCGGTGACCGCAGCGCAGCGGTTGGGGCCGATTTCCTGTTAGCATTCCTCCGCTATTCTCCATGTTCTTGCCACCGTTATGTGATCTTAGCTAACACTGTGAATTCCCTGGTTAGTGCCTTGATGAAACTCAACTATCCCGGACTAATGGGCATGCATGACCCCATGGAATTCCTGATGCCAAATCCGAGCCATACTCAAGCTGTCAGCAATACTCGCACGGTCATCGAAGTCATCCACGGAAAAGCTGGCAAACTCCTTCAGGCCGATAATCACCCGAACAAGAGCTCTATCGATCCATGCTGGGCGCTCGCCATGTGCCAGGCTGCGTTACTTCTTGTCTGGCACGGAGACGATGTGTTTGGCGATTCCAGCTGGCGTCAAAAAGTTACTACTCTCAAGATGGCACTTGATAAAGTCTCTCGGACATGGAAGGTTGCAGGTGAGTTTTTCGAGAATTGAAGCTTTGTTATCAAGGGGGTTCCAAGAGTCGGTTGCTGATTCTTACTGTCACACAGAACATTTTAGCACGAGGGTCCAAATCGCCGTCGACCATCGTCACACCGGACATAACGCCAAACCATGAGCCCCAAAGAAAAACAATTTTTCTAAAACGACAAAAAAAGACGGATATTTTTAGGAAGATGGGCGGTTGATTCACTATTTCTTATTTCAATATTTTCAGCTTTCGCTCAGCGGTGACACATTCCTTCGGCGTCCGGATTATTGGTGGGATAAGATACCCTTTTCGATATTACATATTATCAAGTATACGGCCTTGACAACGAGGCAGATATGAGCGTAAAACGCACTCCAGCCTCCTCATCGGCATTGCTTGGAATTTTGCTCTTTATCTCGACCGCGTTATCTTTCCTCACCTGCACGCCCCAGCCGCCCCTTTTCTCCGACGTTCCTCGCATTATACACCGAGGCCCTCATTCCATTTATTTTAACCCCATTCATATTCTCTCGTTTTACCATATACCCCTTACTTACGTGTTGATTTACCGCTTCCCCCGATGACCAAACTCTTGTGGCGTCCTAGGACTGAGATCAGGGTTTGATGCAGCGGGTGATTGACGGATAGGCGGGAGTTTTACGGACCTCTGTTGACTGCCGGGGTCTGCGATGAACATTTTTCACCTTGATACTTATTAGATCTATTGTCATGATACTTTTAGACTACAAAAGCATAAGATTAAGTTACCACCACACTTACACGAGCCTGTGGGCACTCGGCTAGCGGTCAAACGCTGAGAGTTGCAGGTCATGGTTGCGTGCAAAACCGTGTTGTTTATGGTGGCGCCCTTCGTGAGTATGTTGAAGGAGTACAGGTGGTTAGATGCACATGAGCTCACAAACATCCCTAAATTGTTGTGTAGGACTTGCTTGTTGATGGCGAGGGAACGGTCTGTAGTGGGAAATTCGACGTTCCCGTCGACCGAAATACGACTTATTGGAAAGTACAAGGCGTATGATTTTCCCATTCTCCTCATACCAAGTGATCCAAAACCGGAGTCTATCGAATTGGCCGTCTTATACAACTCTTTTAACTTTACAACCCAACGCGCAGCCATCCTGCCGTTTACCTAGACGACCTTCCCACACACCTGCAATGGGACTCCTGCCACACCGACCCTAACCGAGACAAAGGGAAACAGTTTTGGATAAAACCCATAAACAGATACCACAATTTTGTCATCAAGGTGTGGCCTCACGCCAAATATGAGCCAGCCACCCGCCTCCCTTCTAGCCAATGACTCCGCATCCAACCCCTCCCATCCAGCCCATTCCTTTATGCCGCCCAAATACGCTTGATAGTCTCGGTGATACCCACGTCGGTGGTTTCGAATTCGTAGAGGGCTAGGCCGACGACGGCTGTGGCGGCGTTGAGACCCCACATGAAGAACTTGCGGGCGCGTGGGGTCCGTTTCTGAGGGAGGTAGTCGATGATTACGTTCTGGAAGCCAGTATGCGAGTGAATGAGGATCGTGGCACAGAGGATGGCGTCGAGTGTCGGGTTCAGCGAGCCGGCGGCGAACGGAGCAACCGTGAGGGGAATCAAGGACCCTGCGACCAGACGGTCAAAGGTCCAGTGGTAGGACCCATGCGAAGGCGAGGGCTCTGGTACGGGGGCGGCATCGTTGACTGGATACGGCGGAAGCTACAGTTAGACTTGAATTCGGGGGTTGGGTTGGGGACGGGTGGTGTTGTGGGATGATTTGGCCGTCGAATGCCTCGCAATGTCTCGGCAGAGAGGGAGGGAGGGAAATGTGCGCATATCATTCATACCTGTGCCTTGAACGTGCTCTAGGGTGCGGGGTTAGCGAAATGAGTTAAGACAAACACTAAGGGGACGATCAAAGGTACGTACGGGGAAGGGGAGGTAAAAGACACCTCCTGCTGGTGGTGTGGAAGGCGGTCGTGCGGGCGGCGTTAGTGATGAGGGTTTGTTGGGGGTTCGGCTTGACTGCGGCAACCTGCCGCAGGAGGGAGGAGCGAGCAATCGATGCCATGGTACCGGCGGGGTTGTATTAAGAAAGTAGGGGGCCGGTTTCGTCGCAGGCTACGGGAGGAATTGGTCCTTGAATCTGGAAATGGCACCGGCGACAGCGATAGCGAGGACGGCGGAGCGAACGATGTTCGCGAAAACGGTTGCCGAAGTGGTTGCTTTGTTCCTCGGCAATCGGGTCTCAAGCCCACCAATCGACGGCGACATTGATGTCAGCCGAAAGCCCCACCACCCCACCAGATGGTTGACCAAGCACGTGCCAAGTCGCTGCACGTGAAAAGTCACGAAATGCCATTTAACCCCACACCTATGCCAAGAAGATCCACTAAAAATGGGCTGGATTGCTTGGCATCAAATCCCCTGTCCAAAATTTTGGCCAGCGTCTCGTGGGGTCCTTGTCGCAAATTGTCGACGGAGACTTCCACGGCACGTTCGGGATTGCGCGACGCACCGAAGCATGCTATCGACACGGATTCGGCTTCCAGAAACTTCTCGGAGGTGAATAGATACATCAATGGCGTCCCCGATGGCGGTCCTCTCCCGGAGAGGCACCGTTTGCCGGGGCTGCCTTCCAACACTTGCGCGAGGGGCAGCGCCAGGACAGCGAAGAAGTGTCTCGATGAAGTTCTTACAAAAGACGGCGGATGCCGAGGCGGCCTGGGAAGAAAACTCGATGTTAATCAGGGCCGGGGAAAAACCCCACCTGTTCGATATTTTGGAGGAACGAGGCTTCGTACACCAAACGGCTGGGTAGGTCGGGCAATACCTCGTTCACGATCATTGGAATCTGGCTCTCTAACACGATGTTGACCGTAGGTCGCCCGAATTGATTCGCAAAATCATGCTCAAGCACCGGGTATCCGCCTACGTTGGCATCGACCCATCGGCGGCCTCGTTGCACATAGGGCATCTTCTCCCTCTGATGCCAATATTTTGGATGTACATGCATGGGTATGGCGCTCACACGCTCATCGGTGGGTCGACGGTGAAGATTGGTGATCCTACGGATCGCCTTAAAGACCGGGAGGCTATCAAGGGCGAGGTGCTTGCCATAAATCTTACCAAGATCCACTTTCAACTGAAGAAGCTATGGGATAACGTCGAGATCATGGCGAGGCGGTTTGGGTACCAAAAGGAGTGGGCTTGGAGGCGGGGTTTGATCAATAACAACGTTTGGTGGAACTCGACTCCGTTTCTGGAGGTCCTAAGAAGGGTGGGCAAGTCCACTCGCGTAGGGCCGATGCTGTCTCGCGAGACGTGAGTACAAACCAATCTTTTTATTCCGCCGGAGGGGCGACACCCCGTCAAGTCCGCACACTGACCACAAGTTCGTCGTTTAGGGTCAGACGGAAGATGGAAGAAGGGGATGGCATGTCGTTCGCCGAATTCGCATATCCCATAATGCAGGGCTGGGATTGGTGGATGTTGTACAACAGGCTCAAGGTGCAGATGCAAATTGGCGGTTCCGACCAGTACGGCAACATTATCGCCGGCATAGACATTTTCAATACGGCACGAGACAACGAGCCTGACCCCTCCAAGGCTGAAACTCTCACGTTGAAGAACACCCCGATCGGGTTCACTGTCCCGCTCTTGACGGACTCGTCCGGCGTCAAGTTCGGAAAGACAGCGGGCAATGCGGTGTGGCTCGACCAATACATGACGTACACCCACGACTTGTACGGCTATCTTGTTCGCAGGCCCGATTCCGAGGTGGAGCGCCTCTTGAAGCTGTTCACTTTCCTCCCCCTACCGGATATCGAGGAGATCATGGTGCAGCAGAGGGAGGATCCGTCCAAGCGCGTCGCCCAACACCGACTCGCTAGTGAGGTTGTTTCATTGGTTCATGGCTCGGCAGCGGCACAGGAAGCAGAGCAGCGGAACAGGATGATGTCCGGCCAGGGTGGGGTGACCATTGCGATGGAAAATAAGGAACCGGACAGCGAGTACGACATGCCACCGCACCAGACAACACTCAACACCGCACCTCGGATTGACATGACGCTACCGAAATCGTTGATCCTGGGCAAATCGATTGGGCGTATTATGTATGGCGCCAAGCTTGCTTCAAGTATCAAGGAGGGCCACCGACTTGCCACCCAACAAGCCGCTTACATCGCCGGTATGCCTGGCCGCCCCGTAGGACTCGGCCAGCCCATGGATCCCGCCCAGCTTACTTGGACTCCTATCAAAATCTGGTTGCCGGAGGAGACTCAGAAGTACCTGATCGGGGGCAAAATCCTCATTCTCCGTCGTGGCAAACACAACGTGCGCATCATCAAGGTGGTCAGTGACGAGGAGTACAAGGCCTCCGGCAAGACCTATCCCGGTCAGCCATACGCCGGCCGTCTTCGTCGTCTCCGCGAGACGTTGAAATTGATGAAGGATGGGGAGATAACGATAGAAGATGCAAGACAGGTGGTGGACCACATTATGCCAATACAGTCGCGGCCGGGTTTGAACTTCCCAGCTATGGGTCGGGGGGCCGGCGAATTGACAGCACTCCAGACTCAGATAGAGGCGTTCCTCGAACAGGCGCAAACGGAAGAAAATAATGACGAAGAGGATAACGAAGAGGATTGGGACACACCATCGCGGCGGCTTTCGGACAAATCAACCTCGGGTTGGAGGTAGCGGATATCTAGGAATAGATACTCGAATGGGTGGACCTGGAGCGTTGTTTGCATTGCTCCCGTTGGGAGAGGGACAACGGAAGGCTGGGGGCCTTCTTTGTACGACTAGGGAGACGAGTCGTGTACATACAATACCTACATACACACGACTATCACGCACCGTGGGATGGGTAGGTATGTACATACATGTATGTACCGAAGCTAGATATGGACACGCTTAGAGTCTCCGTTCAAAAGAATTGTAACAACATTCTAGATTACATTACATCGCTTGGCAATCTATCACCGGTACAGGACCGTCAAATCTCCCGCGGGCGCGGAGGGAAAGCTTTTGAGTTTGTCCATAATCTCCGCATCCGTCAGGTTCTGTTCCGTGATAATCTGGTCAAATGTGTGGCACCCGTCCGTGTACTTTTGGAGCGGATCACCGCCCGCTACCGGCCGCGCTTGGCCTGTAGCCAGCGCCGCCAGGTACTGTTTGGACACGACGTGCTTGTGCACGCGGTACAGGCAACCCTTGATCACGCCGAATTGAACCAGCCGACGCACATCGACAAACCGCAGCACGTCGAGCCCGCCGTCCATGTGGCCCTTGAGCCACTCCATGACGGTCTTGCTCACACAAAAGGTGGTCATGAGCTTGATGAGCATGTAGTTGGGCACGCGGTGGCCGTGCGTGGTAGTTGTGACGTTGCCGTTGCTTGCATGATCAGGTCCTCCTTCGCCTGCACGCCCGCTTCCACCATTGCCATCGTCATCATCATCATCGTCCCCATCACCGTTCCTCACATGGCCGCCACCGCTGCTGCTTCCACTAACACTACCGTTGTCGTTGCCATTCCCACCACTGCTACCACTAGCACCAACACAAACATAGTTGGCGCATTCGTCCACGATGCCACCAACATTGGCGACAAAGTCATGGATCCCCGGCCGCGGCGCGTAGCAAGCCCCAAAGAAGAACATATCCAGCAACAGGATCGTGTCGTAATAGAGCAGATGGCGCAGGGCAAGTTGGGCCAGCTCGAGAGAGACGTCGGCGAGAAAGGCGATGCGCCGCACATCGGAGACGCCGTCAAGGTGCTTAATGACACGTTGTAGCGTTAGGTCCCAGGTCGGGTCGACGATGTCGGCAAACTTCATTTTGGGGACCGGCACATGCCAGCCCTTGACCTCGGGGGGTGTAGGGTGATGCGGGAAGAGTTTCATGTTAATCGTGTTTGCATCATCTGGATATCGGGGTCAACATGGTGGGGAGGTGAGGTATAAGCGGGAGAAAAGGGGCGAGTCAAGAGGGCTTACTTACCGACAGGAATCATGCACTCGCCGTAGTTGTTGAGATCTTCCTTGATAATCTCTAACAGCGACCCAATGGGCCGGCGGGCATTGGTGGCGTCGACTTCTTGGCTGAGAAAACCGCTTTGCTTCTCCATTTCGGCAAACGTCACGGCCAGCCGCCGGACCACGCGTTCGTAGGGGACTTGATCGATCTCATTCTCGACGACGAGACCAAAGTTGAAGATGAACTCGTTACGATCGTATCGCGGACTGGGGATGGAGACAGGGAATCCGAGCACGAAGTATTTGCCGTCTGGGTCGGCGACGGTAATGTAGCGGTTGCAGAAGGCCTGGCGTGGGATGATGTACTCCTGCAATACGTTGAAGTCGAACAGAGGCGGTTTGGTGATGCTAGTCCCGGTGGGCACGATGCAGCCTGGAGGACTTTGAGACACGATCTTGGTCCCTATTACGGTCAAAATTTGTCGGATTGGAGAATGTAGTCAGAGTTGGTACCTTCTTGAGGGAAGAAGCGGGCGTAAAATATCCCCTGAATCATGGTGGAGAGCGATGTGAGCGCGGCGGGTTCACGTCCGATCCATGCTCTTTAAATCCTTGCTGCTTTAACTCAATTTAGGGACAAAAACGAGAGGGTCGTCGGCACGGTCTCCCGTCTCTGACCATTACGGAATTGGATAATGTTGGAATTTTACTACATGCGATTCGAGGGGAGCGAGGGGTTGTGAACATCGATTGTCGGGATGATTGATGGAAGAATGAAAAGGTCTTGGTGAGATGTGATCACTGGTTTTGGAGCGCTTTGGATGGACACAACCCTAACCCTGCAGTTAGTTGACAACCCCCACTTCCAGAGTCTCATTACAAGTATTCCAAGTCAAAGGAGTTACGGACATCATGGAGTATTCATCAGTTTTCGGTCGAGTAACAAGGCGGGGGTATCATACAAAATTGTGAGGCTGAACAGATACGCCTCATTATTTTGCGCCCGCTCTCCGATTCGCTTCCCGTCAATTACCGATCGCTATCCAACCCTCCAGTGGGTGTAATATCCCGTTTTCCAAACCTCGCACCCAACCCCCCTATATCCCTCCTGAAAAAGTTCCCAATATGCTTCAAGTTCTCATTGATGGTAGCCTTCTCCTGCGCGCCTACACCACCTATCCCCGCGCCCGGTACCCCACCCGCCGTTGTCCCCATCCGCTCTACACCATCTCTCGCGGCATTCAACAGCTTCTCCCCCAATGACGCAGCGTCAAACCGGCCTTGTAACCCGGCACTCGCCGCGGCCGCTGCCGCTGCGCTACTATTACTCATGATCCCGGTACTACCCAAGCCGCTCGCTGGGCCACCCGCCATGAGCGGTGTAAGCAACGGCGAGGCCGGGACGAGTTGCGACCCGCCGCCTCCTGTGGCGGCTGAGGTGTGGCTCTCGCGATGGATGGCAAATAGCTCCATTAGATGGGCTTGGTCTTGCTTGCGGACGCCTTTGAGCTCGAGGATTTTGCGGAAGTTGGTGTCGGAGCGGTCGCTAATGTGGATGAGGTAGGCCTGGACGAGCCCTTCCGGCGGCGAAGGGCGGACCTGGAGTGTTTTGAGGAGGGGGTCGATGCGGGTCATAGAATTGTTGACGCGCTTGATGAACCCGGCCGGGGGTGGGTTGGGTTGTGGTACAGAAGGATTGTGGTGGGAGAGGAGGTTTTCTAACGATTTGGTGAGGACGTATTTGTCGAGAAGCATTTGTTCAGCGCCAACTTCGGAAACGGGGCGGCATTGCACAACGTTGTTGATGTAGGCCGTCGCGAGGTGGTCGACTAGATTATCGCAGAGAGCCCGGGCATACTGCGGCTTGATGACGAGGGGTAGGATCTCCTGGGCTTTACTGGTGATGTGTTTCAGCAACTCGCCGACATACGAGCTATGATCGCTGACGCTTTCCATGTTGCCCCAGTTAGTGTTCCTCATTTCCCTCCATGCACCCTCGCAGCCCAACTCGACATTAGATACCAGGCCCATGACGGCTGCGCTCGCCACACCCATGAACGCATCGGACTGCGACGACAAGTCGACCTTAGAGGCCATGTCGGGGTCAATCCGTTTCTTGATGTTCTGTTCCAATTGCTCGGCATTTGTATACCAGAAATCGGCCGTGTTCAAGACAAGAATAATTTCTTGGATGGGAGCTCCTTGTGAGCCGCCACGCTGTAGAAACGTTACGAGAACTTGCTGGGCGTATTCGTCGAGGTACTTTGCGAACGTCTTGCTCAGGTCTAGGAGTCTCTCTCCGGTAGACAGCTTGGCGCATTGTGAAAGCGTCAGCTTATAAAAGTGGAACAATTCAATCGCCGAAGGGATGACAGCCTGGGGCGAAAACTCTTCGTCGGCCGGGATGAGACGTTGTGTCTTGTACTTTGGTATCATCGCCGCCAGGGCTTTGTCCTGCGACTCAACCCAAAGGCTGAGGTAGGGTTCAAACGCGACGGATATGGAGCCATTAAAGCTCTGCGTTCTGTCATCTGCCGAGCTGAGGGTGTCGATGCTGGCCCGCGGCTCGCTTGCAAACCGGCGCTCCAGGCTTTGCTCGAAATCCATTGTCTCTTGCAAGCAACTTAACAGTAAATTGACGTCAAGCTTGGCTCCGTCAATGCGCCGCATGCTCTTTTCTAGGATGCCCTTGAAGTCTTCCCGCGTGCCGTCACAAAACGCCATCCCCAACGTCTCGCCAACCCGCCAATGGGGCGGGAAAATAGCAGCATGTTCCTCCTCGTGTGTTTTGAGCATGCGTTTGAACCAAGCATAACGGCGTCCAATGTTGTCCAGGTTCCCAGCCTCGTCGTTCCCGCGGAAGACTTGACGATACTCGCGGAGCTCCGTGTTGACGTACCACGTCACCAACCGCGTCTTGGCGTGCTCGCCGAGGGCGTCCATGACCAAGCATGCCTCGACCAATGTACCTCGGCGGGCAGCCACTTCCCCTTTTGCGAATGCCATCTCAAAATCCTCGCAGACTTGCTCGAGAAGTTCCCGCTGCAGGTCGCTGACATTCCGGCTCAGTCCGGCAATCTGTTCGATGCTGCGATAACTGTTGAAGTGGCGCATGAGCTGCAACACGGCCTGCAGGAGGCCGGCACACTCCCGGTATTGGCGGGTCCGGGAAAGGCCGCGCAGTTGTTCGTAGGCGGTGGTCAGCATTTGCAGTCGTTTGAGGGCCGTCATGCTGAGGGTCAAGTTGCGCTTCGTGCCGTCGAGGCGCTTGATGTCGGCCGTCATGGTTGTGATGTCGCGCTCGGTCTGGAGAGCGCGGCTGCGGACACTCTCGATTCGTTGGAAGAGGGACGCTAGCTCGACCTGGGCTGACTGCATGCGCTCGAGTGAGGAGTCTGGCCCGTACGCCTGTGTCGTCTCGAGGGACGCGATCGATCGGGAAAGGTCATCTTTATGGCGTTGTATTGTCGACGACACACGGGAGACGGAGGATACGGTGGAAGGGTGCGAGAAAATGAGGTTCAGGTGTGCGATCGGGTCATAGTCAACTGTAGAACCGGGAAACACGTCAGTACCCCTTTCGCACCATTTTCGCATCGCTGCTTCAGCAACTCCAAGTTCGATAGTTGCGATGGTTGGTTGGTTGGTTTAGGTACCTGAATCAAGCGACGGGATGTCCGTAACGGTGGTGTTCATGGTGTCGTAGCTGCTGGTCTCGCTGTAGGGAGCTAGGATGGTCGAGATCAGCGCGACAGACCCGGACGCCAGTTTTGCGGTTACTTGTGAATGAAGAGGGAGGTGGATGCCAAGTATCCATGGAATCTAGATAATAGTTAGAGGTTCTGGATCCATTGCCAATCCCTGGAGGCGCAAGTCAGATACGTACAGTACCCAGCCCTCTGCTGATGGTCTAACCCGATTGGTGCTCATGTCTCGTTGCCCACGAAGTGGCTGCGTCCGCGTTTCTTGTCTCTGGTTCAGTGAGACGATGGTCAACGAATCTATCTTGATTTTTACCCTGTGCTGGGTGCACCAAACATCACAATATCCGCTCCTCACATACTTTCCTGATTTCTGTAGAGTTGGAAACGAACAAACAGCCCAGGAGTCAGCTTTTGCTTTCATGCACCTCTTTGGCCTGAAAGGGAATGCTTGGCAAAGCACCCACAACACCTGCGAGGTCCCCACATCCCTGCAATTGCGGCTCAAGCTCCAGGGCTCCAAGACAAAGAATTCTGAGCAACAACAACATTGCACACCAGCTTCCATGTAGTTAAAGGTTTCTACGAAGCCCTCTTTCTTGCCCGCAAGCTAGTCGGGGGTTTACGACAACACAGAACTACGATGCTACGCCAACCATCATGGACACATCTTCTGCAGCCTCGACGCTGACCAGGCAGCGCCTCGGCGTCGCCATTTTCTCACTCGCCGCGACGGCAACACTGGGCTACATTTGCTACCGCGCATCAAACCCCTCAGTCTCGCTTCCCGAACCCCCTCCCGACCGCCGACTGCACCGTAGCAACGCGATCCGCCACCGCCGCCGTTCTCTCCCAGATGTTGCCCAGCACCATGATGAGCGCGAACCTTCCGAGGCTTCGACCACGTCGGTCGAGTCCAACGCCGACGAGAACGTCGATGTGAACACCGTGCGGCCCCCGAACGACGCTGAGACGGTCGCGGACGATCACGTCATGGATGATAACTGGTACGACGACAGCGCGAATGAACGCTTTGCCGTCCAGCAGCGCGCCGGTCAAAATATTGTGACACTTCTGTTCCGCGTCTCCGAAGACAATGCCCGGCGCAACGCCTATGTCCACCGAGGCTGTCTGTGCAACGGCTGCGGCATCACCCCGATCCGTGGAATCCGCTACCGCTGCGCCAACTGCACCGACTTTGATCTTTGCGAGACCTGTGAGTCTCAAGGCCTCCACATCAAAACGCACATCTTCTACAAAATCAAGGTCCCGGTCCCGCGTCTTGGCTCTCGCCCGTTACAACCCGTGTGGTATCCAGGCGATCCCGATAATTGCCTGCGACTTCTGCCCAAGACCCTGATGGCCCAAATGTCCAAGGAGACAGGTTTCGAGCGACCAGAGCTCGAAGCACTCTGGGAGCAGTGGACCTTCATGGCGAGCACCGAGTGGCGCGAGGACCCTGATGAGCTAGGCATAGCCATGGACCGCAAGACCTTTGAGAGATACCTCGTCCCTTCGGGCGGCTACCGACACATTTCGCCGAACCTTCTGCACGACCGCATGTTTGCCTTTTACGACGACAATAATGACGACCTCATCGGCTTCTCGGAATTCCTGCGTGGCACTGCGTATCGCAAGCGAAAAGACCGGCTCCGTAGGGTGTTCAACGGCTATGATATCGACGGTGACGGGTACATCAACCGCCGCGACTGCTTGCGGCTTTTCCGGGCCTACTACGTGGTCTTCAAGCACATGCATCGAGACATCCTTGACGGCCTTGATGACCAGGTTATGAGCTCCACCGAAGTCGAACAACTGATAACCAGCAGGCAGCCTTTGAGTAGCCTGTTTGGCCGTGAGGGCGGATTTTCGCAACCAGACTCGGATCGCCCAATAGAAGGAAAGGTTGTTAACCTCAACACTGGGGAGGTCCGCGTTACAGACGGAACCACGAGAGCCGTGAACGAGGACTCGCCCGATACTTCCGAGCGCCGGGACCTGTTGACCGATGTCTTCACTCAACAAGCTCACATCGCTGAGAGCCTCTTCATGCCTGTCATGGACCATCCACGGCCTGCTGGCGAGAGAGCATCAGGAATGGAATACTTGAATGGTCTGCTGAACCCGCCAACTCGAATCAGTGAACTTCCTGCGCTTCTTCTCGGTGAGACCCGGGAGGGCGATGATTTTGTTGTCGTTGTAAATGGCAATGAGCAAAATGGCCAGGGTGGGGACGAAGGCTCACGAGGCCCAGAACCAAACGGTGTGTCTAGATCAGGAGGGGACAATGCCGAGAACCTCTCCAATCAGCATCAGCCATTGAACTCTGGCCTAGAGGGGCGAGAACAACGCAGACCTTCGTACCGTACCACGTCTAACCGCCGCCTCAGGGTAAATGCCCGGCGGAAGTTGTTCGACCGCTGGAAAAGGAGGCAGTTCTATTTGGATGAGGAAGAGGGCATGCAACCGCCCGACGACTGGAGCGATGGCGACGACGTTCTCGCTAATCTCAACGACTCAACTGATGACTCCAAGGCCGCCCAGGCTGCGATGTCCTCACGTTCTCGCTCGTCCTCCAAAGTGAGATTTGCCGAAGACAACGATGAGTACGAAATCAGGTCAAACCCTTCGACTTCCTCGCGGAGTATTCCGGAGAGGTGGGGAGGCATGGATATTCCAGACGCTGAGCGAGACCTGGGCAAGGAAGTTTTCTACCAAGTCAGCCAACAAGCCTTCAATGAGATTCTCGACACCCTCTTCAAAGCGAAAGAGGATCTTGCGGTCCAAGCCGCCGAGACGCGGGAACTGCGGGATAAGCACCGGCCCATTTTCGAATCGATCAATCCCGATGATGAGAAGGACAACGATGCAAACGGGACCTCATACCCCGAAAAGCCCAATGGAGCCCCCGATCCGTCCTTGCAAGAGCTACTTGAAGTCAGTGGCTACTCTGTCGAACCCGCTCAGAATGAGAGTAAACCGGACGAGGAAGACCTAGCCGATGAAGATTCCGAAACTAGCGTCGAGGATGAGGCTTCGACATCTGCGTTACTGGCCGCTGTTGAGGAGACGTTGGACGAGGAGCCTCAAGCCTATCGCGACCCCACTATGCCGCAGTTTCGTCCGAATTCGGTATCCACGGCCGAAAACTCTGAGCCCAAGCGGGACGAACGCGAGGCGGCGGCGGTACCAGCCGCTTCGACTAGCAAACTGACTTTATCTACCCAGGTCCCCAATCTTCAGAAACAGGACAAGTCACCAAGAGACGCCAAGCCAAACGGCACATCGGCTTCCTCCAAGCCCATCCCACGCAGCACCCTCGTCAGCTGGAAGCGCCTCGACTTGGCGGAGAAAGAATCCAAAGAACGCGGCGATTGGGGCCGGCTGGACTTTGACGAGTTTGAGCGCATCTACAAGGGCGCCGAGGCGCGTGGCGCCCGTCTAGATTACCTCGGCACTTGGATCGACTTCTGCATCCCGTCTACCTAGTTGGAGAAGGGCTCGGGTCAGTTGGTGTATATTGGCTCAGCACGGTCTGAGGATGCTCCGTATAGTGTCTGGTCGAATGATTTTACCTGGCCACCCAGGGGATCTGAATCGTGAGGACGTTTGTTGTCTCTGTGTGGGATTGTGGTTCGGGATCATGGGGTTGCTCAGGGTGGTTAGACTCGTTGCCGGCTGGCTTTCTATGTATTATTATCATACAGCAAGTAGTGGACCAAAACTAGAAGGACTCGCGAAGATTAAGCTGTATTGTTCTCAATAAATCGTAGAAGATGCGCAACAACCGGTTACGACTAGCCTCGCCACAATCGCTAATAAGGGAGTCTATATACCCATTCCTAGCTCGGCGAGTTGACCCAGCTACGGTCATCCCCTTATCATTGTAAATTGCCTTTCTCGTGTTCAGTTCTCGACCTTGCCCACAACCAAGTCTTCAAAGTGAGTGGGTCGGCAGTGGAAAAGGGGCATGTAAATAATACGCACGGACCACTCTCCACCAACATGGTTCTCCTCGGCAACCGAAGTTGAACTCCATCACCCAAACCCTGATCTATCACGGATTGGGCTGGTGAAAAGTGTATTTTTTTAAACGAAAACAAAAAGTCGGGCGCCGATTTTAATACTTGAATTCAATTATGACTTTAGATTCAAATTTTTGAGTTTCGTGATGACCGTTCATCATCTCTCGCCTTTGATATCTTGCGGCCTGTCCCATCAGGCCGGACAATCCCCATTAGCGGCTCGAAAGAGAACTTCGCATGATTCAATAGAGTACTCTGAGAGCCCGGAAGCGGTTTGTGGATATGAGTTCGGGGGTTATGTTCCGTGAATGGGGGCCCCTTCGGCAGCTATCATGGCACACGCGACAGGAAATTCAAACGCCTGACCTGGGAGGTAAGGAGGCGCGCCATGACAAAGCGCGAGAGACATGGAGTTAAGCGTTCAGAGAACCGTGTAGAAGAAGCTTGGAGCCGAGATCAGTATCGCTCCAAAAACCTTCCCACAGCTGCGCATGCTGGCCCCAGACCATCGGCGGCGCGTATCAACGTGAGACAATGGCGATGGGAAACAAGAAAACACAGACTGCCTACTCCACTCAGATAACTAGGTAGCTGTTGGCTTTCCAGCATGATTATCCGCTCCGTTTTCATGCAAAGAGACGACCTGTTCTCGATTCTACCGTTTTTGGGCTGGGCCCGAGTTCCGTTGAGGGTCGGCCATTCTCGTCTTCAGCCGGCGGGAGGAGATCGCTCGCCTGTGACTGGCGAAATGATGCCAGACGCTTCGGTTGTAGGTATTACATTGGCAGTACATTGTCGGTCTTCGACTTGCTCCGTTAAGTACGTCCTTGCCACCTAACCCCCGAGGAATGCCGTGACAAACCGCAACGAGGCCCAAGCAACCCCCTCTCCAAATCCGCGTTGACTACTCAAATAAGAGGAAAGTTAGTCACTGCCATTCAAGTTAATAGATTTTGAGGATAGACCGACCTCTTCAGAGATGTAATAAACAAAGGCCCATTCTGGTAACTAAGTTGAAGTCTTTCTGACCGATCTCAACTCGCCTCCCTCGAGATCCTCAGTTTGCTGATGGGTGCCTGTGCCGACGGACGGGCCGCTAAGTCGGCCGATCGCAGCCTGTTGGTTCCATCGCCATCAAACAACACCCCAAGTGCCTCGGGCCACTGACCACAGGAACGAGGAACTTGGAAAAGTCAGATGGCGCCGACGACACCATGCTCACGCACTGTGCATCGTGTGCGATGTCGGTATGGTCCGCCGGCCCACATTGTGGGAGGGGCCGGTTAAGCCTCAAATCTGACCAACAGAACGTCGAAGCCGGGATGGTCGAACAGGCCCGCTGTCGGTCATTCCTGAGAGTCTGCGTGACGGGCACCGTGCGTCGTGGGAAGGCAAACAATCAGGTGTCGTCGGCGTATCAAAGAGAGACGCGTCCGGATAGCTGTGGAGATGCCTACCCTCCAATTGAATGGCGTTCCATGGGCTTCACAGAAACGCAAATGAATACCTCGTGTTTAGGGGGGCAGGAGTCTTCCCCTCACCCACCCACCATACCTGTTCGGGGCTGATAATGGCCGGGTCTAGGAGCGGCAGAACACCATCTCCACATGTTGAGCAGGAATCGATCACGGTGGAGGTGGCCACCAATCGAATTCTCAAGGCGATCAGGTGTGTGGCAAGAGTCCTGCAGAAGGGGCTCGTGCTTCGGCAGATAGTGACATTCCAGTAGCCCATCCTGTCACCACCTCATCATTCAACGATAGTCATTGGCTTGAGGAACAAAAGGCGCGGCGGCTACAAGAAGCAAAGACTGATTCCATGTGGGGATTTTGCGTTCGAGCTTCTCTTGGGGTTTGTTTCTGGGCCCGCGAGCGCTAGGTGGACATGGAAAGCTTTGTTTGGGGCAACGGGGTGGGCCGTGTTGGCCATGGTGCGAAGGCCATGGGGGTTTCGGGAGCAAATAACTAGCCGGGGCCCTGAGAAGCTTGACTCAAATGGAGACACCTGCACTTGCTGTTGCGATCTCAAGCAATGGCTGCATTGGGCGAGGCAATACCATACGAGATGACGAGAGGGAAGGTGCTACCTGTTACGATGGGCAATCATGTTTTGCTCTCGGGAAGCCGTGTGGAAGGCACATACACTCCCCACCAGATTGTCTTCGTTCAAATGCCGGTCTATTGGCCACGTTGCTGACGGCAGTGGCGCACTAACCTTGCTCCCCGTCGTTGAAGTATCACCCGGCCACCGTGGCAATGACCATTCGTGGCTTCCACTTCTCAGGATTTATGATAATCTGGCAGGCCCAGATGCAGTGCCCTCATAATATTGTTAATTCAACATTTCAATTACCTCTATGGCTTTATCTTCAACTTTCGAGCTTGGGCGTCAGCTAGATACCCAGTATTGTCGGGGGTTTGGGGTCCTGAACCTCAATTCATGGGCATGTCGATGCCAATCGCAACATGAGTGGCCAGTTTAACCTCGCTTCTTGCCCTCGCCTCTCCTCTTTTGAACCTTTTTCATTCTACAAGTCTTGCTCTGCAAGCCCAATCGGCACAAAGCTATTATTCAAGCCCTCATTTGCCTAGTCATGTTCCAGTCCAGCGGAGAGCAGAGAGGAAAGTGTGACCAGGGGAGCAGCAAGCCAAGGCGGTCACCAAACAAACCCAATTCTTTGATTTTGTCCGGCCTCGAATCGCTAGGAATACGCGCATAATATTTTTGATTATCCCCTGCAAAATGAAACACCACCACCAGTTCACGAATAAAATACTCCGTTGCCCTCTCCATGGGCACATCAGGCAAGCGCGACCCCCGTCGTCCGAGAGCCCGGCCGCCTCCTCGTTTGGTATCCGGAGACCCCTGCTCCTTACACAGAATAACGTTCATGTTCCCGGACACCCCCGCAATTTGCCTTGAGACAGGACCGTCTTTCAAGGCTAGTAAGCGCGCCACCGCGTCTCAGCGCTTAGAACGACGGGGCCAAGTCCTATTATCGCGCCGTTCGGGACCTCGTTTCTTGTTTGGTCCACCTTATTTCTTTCCTTCTGCATGGTTGCTGGTCAAGTGTCTTATTTAGTGTGGGTTCCTCCCGTCGATCCCTTGGAAAAACGGCGTCAAGAAAAGGACAAAAAAAGACCGGGATTTTGCAACCGAGTCAGTGACCGCCGGTCTATCGGAGAACAAGCGTTTTTTTCCCAGAGTTGATAGCTCAGTTGTGGCTGGCTGCGGGTCCCAACGGTCTAATTCGGACATCAACGTCGAGTCGTTGGTTCAGACTTTGGCCCAACTGCAGCACCTTGCATTATCCATTGACTCCCTCCGTCGTATTTAATCATTTTTTTTTACCAGAAATCCAAAAATGACCGACCTAATTAGGGTCACCCGAGCATTGTTGCGGTGTGCAAGGTCATGAGATATCCACACTCATGAGCCGACAAAATTTCAAGCATGAGAATCGCACCACATTAAACAGACAGCGGTAACGATGTCCCAAACAAGATCGACACTTAGCTGCCGTTTAGAAACGTTTTTCGGGGCGGACATGGTGTGTTTATTCAAACTACTGTTGGCGTACACGCTCTGGTCAGCCACCATTAGCTCCAAGCGTGCAAGCCGTGCGCCCTCTTTCTCGAGCCACCTGTCGAGGGCAGTCGCGGATGGGCCAAAGAAAAATCCCGAACCAGGCGAGACGTGGAGAGACGCGATGTAAACGGCCACAAGTAACCTTGGCCGTACAGGAAAACGGCAGGACCAACGCTCCCTTCCCTATCCTGGGCCCAGCGCGCTTTGCCCATCAAACCGGCGGACGGTTCGGTTGCCAGTTGCCTCACGGGGCTTTCTTATGGGCTCTTTCAACATTCCATTCATCCGTAGAACCGCCAGAAGATGACATCATGCAATCTTGAGCCACCCTCCTCTTGATCCCAACAATCCAGCCCTATTTTTAAATCGCGGCAGATCGAGCGCTCTACCTTTCTGCCCCGAGTTTGCTTCACCCTTCCGTTTTGCCAAGAACTGTTGATACCTTGGTACTGCCTTCTGGTCTGCTGTCCCCCACCGAGGTGTGCTGCCCAATTCTGTCGAGGGGACTGTGACTGAGGTTAAACTCGCGAGATGAGGCACAATCAAACAGAGAAAAATAGTCACGAAGACAAGTCAACCGCGACCGCCGTTTCTCCGACCTATTCCGAAATCTCATGGGAGGACCGCGGGGAATACAGAGAGAGAGCAAAGGATGAACGGGCAAAACCATGATTGAAGAGGGGTATAGCAGGTCCAACAAACCGTCAATGTTACCGTATTTTGCTTGGAAACACAGGCGGTAGATTATGCGCATGATGGGTAGACAGGAAGATCATGACTGGGCGAAGTTACTTCCAGTAAGCGCCGCTGGGGGCTGCGAAGGACTTCTTCCGCTGTAATGGAGGATGATGCAATGGAGGGAAGGACGCTGGCAAT